TATGTGATGCTTAATCAGCAAACCGCTTAGTCATCACTATTGTGGTTACCTTAATATATGGGTTTGAAGTTAGACTTATCAAGTAATCTTTATAGTCCTTAAGAGGTTTGATAATTTTTATGTTAAACTACTTACCTAGTTAGGCTAGTATTATTGGTGCACACATCTTAATCTTGCTGTATTAATTGGTATTCAACAAACTGGATTTACAATAATAGACTTTTGTAATGTTGTTCCTTTACCTGCTAGGATTATTGCCTGTGAAAGAGACGAAATCCTCCAAAGTCGTGATAACCCTGAGGCAGCGAAATGAGATGCGAGGTGCAGACAATATGATACCACAATTTGTGCAATGTTGGTAGTAATCATTTGAGGTCTTTTAAATATCCAAGCGGTACCCGTCTCATCGACTTGCATGGATGCAGATTGCGACGCGGATTGTTAGCCACCACCTGACTAGAATCTCCAATTACCAACCCCCACAGCAGCGCCTGTCCCTCATTTCAGATCAGCCACCTCAAGCACAGCGTCAATGAATTCCTGCGGCTTCTCCTGAGGGAGATTATGCCCCGCGCCGGCGACCTGGTGATGCACCCTCGGCCCGGCAAAATTCGCCGCCGATGGCGAGCCATCTGTGGGCGGGAAATTCCCATCCGCCAAGCCGTCCAGTGTCACGGCGGGCACGGGAATCGGCGGCTGCTTCAGCAGCGCCCGCTCAAAGTCTGCGTAGTCCGGGTCGCCGGGGGCGTACAGCAGACGGTGCCTGTACACGTGGGTCACAACGCTCACGTAGTCCGGGTTGACGAAGGTCTCGGCGGCGCGGTCGAGGTCGGCCTCGGTGTAGTTCCACTGCGGTGAGTTCTTGTTCCAGACGACGCGCGCGATGTCCTTGGGGTGCTCGGCCAGCGCGGCCCCCCCACGCGGCGTGAGGAAGTAGTAGAAGTACCAGAAGCCGGCCTCGATCTTGGAATCGAGCGGTACCCACGCCTTGGAGAGGTCCTGGATCAGGTAGCTGTTGACGGAGACGAGGGCCTCGCAGCGCTCCGGCCACAGCGCGGCCGCAACGCAGGCCCCGCGACCACCCCAGTCGTAGCCGGCGAAGATGGCTTTGGGGATATTGAGGGCATCGAGGAGCTCAATGATGTCGTATCCCAGGGCGGCCTGCTCGCCTGATCGGAAAGTGTCGGCGTGGAGGAAAGTGGTGGGGCCGTTGCCGCGGAGGTAAGGGACGATGACGCGATACCCTTTCTTGACGAGGGCCGGGGCTACGACGGTGTAGCTGTGGATGTCGTATGGCCAGCCGTGGAGGAGCAGCACGACTCGGCCGTCTGCCGGCCCGTCTTCGTAGTAAGCGACCTGGAGGCGGGTCGTGTTTACATATCGGAGGGGCTCAAGTCGCGGGAGCCCCGTGGAGTTTGTGGGTCTCCGAGTTATGGCATTTCCTGAGAACTTGAGGGAAGATGGCGAAGAGAGACTGCGACCCGCCATGTGCCAAGGGGTAACAACTACCGCCGCGGCCACAGCAACAACCGTTGTGACAGCCACGAAATAGGATACAAGACGCATTGTGACTGCGTTTTTTCTTATTTTTCCAATAGCGTCTACTAGCCCGTCGACACAGTTTAATTCCACATGATGACATCCCAATCTTTATACCGGAACCGCTCATGGCGCTGACGTCACTGGACGAGACATAATCCTTAGTAGAGCCCCGGAAACATCATCTCCAGGTCTGATTTCGACACTGAATAACCGGTTGCACGGCGGCGGTGCACCCGGTGTTATTTGTCAGGGCCGCTTGCAATTCTGCTGGTCTTTATTGCTCGTTTATACTAGCGTACTCTGTAGTGTAGAAGCTGAGTGAGGTATCCCCGGGACCTAGGCTGTGTCCGACTCAAAGACAATCCAAAACCAAGACTGATGATACAGCGCCCAATCATGCGTTATTTGCCGGCCCTGCGTCTTAAAAACTGGGCCGCGTCTGCGAGATCTTCTCCGCCTGTGAGATTTTAGGTTTTCAGATCCGGAAAGTCTTTGTTGATCTTCCGGGTACCTGAGTAAGCGAAAGTCCTTGTTGATTCTCCAGGTGCCTGAGTAAGCACCTCCCTCTAATTTCGAACCGCGGAACTACTCCGTTAGGCTAAAGCCAGTGCACAAGCTGTCATTCGTCAACCTGCCGTGTCTTGGATCTGTCCTGAATCAGCGCTGGCGGCTCCACGAGCCTTCTTCCGCAGGTTTGAAGCCAGCCTCTCCCAAAGCGGGAGGGCCTTGACTACAAGTATCATAGCCCGAGCGGTGGCAGTGCCATGATTCCAAATTTTTGCTCCTATGACGACAACCTCTATTCCCTGTCTGGTAGCCACGTGTGAAAAATTGATGCCTCCGGGGGGGAGACAAGGACAGCCCGAAAAGCTCGTAAAATCCTGGATGTCCCTGCCACATCACGGATATGATTGAGTTGTGGAGTTGTATAAAGCTGCTTTCCACGTCATATCACCATGATGATCTTCCCCCTTTCTTAAGCAGCAATTAGAATCTACAGAAGATTCGAACTGTACACACGAGCCCACTATGTCACTGTTACTATCGTTCCTCGCAGTAGGGCTTGCTTTCCATCCTGCTCGTGCTTCGGCCCTTCCAGGAACGTCGGTATTCTGCTCCAACATCCCAGCCCCCCATGTTCCAGGGGCGAGGGTTATTTCTGTCACTAGCAGCGTGAAGCGCGACTACTCAGTGTCGAAGGCACCTCCGACTCTAAACCAAGACGTCACCAACCTCAACGTCTGCGAAGTCAACGTCATCCTCACCCACCCCGGTGCGAACGACACCGTTCACGTACAGACGTGGCTGCCTCTCCACGGCTGGAATAACCGATTCGTCGCCATCGGAGGCGGCGCCTGGGTCGCTGGCCTGGGGGAACTCGACCTCGCCCTTCCGGCGTCCCGGGGCTACGCAGTCTCCTCGACCGATGCCGGTCTTTCCGGCGACCCGAGCACCCCGGCTGCCTGGGCGCTGAAGCCCGACGGCATGGTGAACCTCGACCTCCTGACCAACTTCGCATCGCGGTCGATCCATGACATGGCCGTCGTCGGCAAGGCAGTGACGGCTTCCGTCTACGCAAAGCACGCTCGCCATTCGTTCTGGAACGGATGCTCCACGGGAGGGCGGCAAGGCCTCGTCGCCGCGCAGAAGTACCCCGACGATTTTGACGGCATCTTGGCTGGCTCGCCGGCTATATACTGGACGGAATATGTTATTGCAGAACTGTGGCCGCAGGTTGTGATGAAGGAGGCGGGCTACTATCCTTCGACATGTGAGCTGGACGCTGTCGTCCAGGCGGCTATTTTGGCGTGCGATGGGAAGGACAAGGTCAAGGACGGAGTCATCAATGACGTGTCAAAGTGCAACTTTGATCCCTTTACCGTCGTCGGTTCCAAGGTCCAGTGTAATGGCAAGGAGGTTGTCATCAGCCGCCAGGTGGCTTCCATCGTTCGCAAGATCTGGGACGGACCCACAACCCCATCCGGTAAAAAGCTTTGGTATGGCATGCCTGTCGATTCCTCTCTTGCTTTTCTCTCAAATTCCACCGTCGACGACAAGGGAGCAAGCGTCGGCTTCCCTTTCTCCGTCGCAGATACGTGGATCCGCTACTTCGTCAAGGCGAACCCGGCATTCGACACCACCAAGATCGACACGGCGGGCCTGACCGAGCTCTTCCGCGAGTCCAAGCAGAAGTTCGACTCGGTCATCGGCTCGGCCGACCCGAACCTCTCGGGCCTCAAGAAGTCCGGGGGCAGGCTCCTCGTCTGGCACGGCCTGGCCGACCAACTGATCTACCCCCAGGACAGCGTCCACTATCTCGAGGAGGTGGAGAGCGCCATGGGAGGCAGGGCCGTCGACGACTTCTTCCGCCTGTTCCTCGCGCCGGGGGTCGACCACTGCGGCTACGGCACGACGCCGGGCGCGGTGCCGACGGATCCGTTCGGGGCGCTGGTGGCTTGGGTAGAGAACGGGACTGCGCCGGAGGAGCTGGAGGCCGAGACCCTGCCTGGCTGGCCGGCACACTTCACGCGGAAGGTCTGCCGATATCCAATGGTGGCCAAGTATCGTGGTTGTGGAGACTCGACCGTTGCCAAAAGCTATAAATGTGTTTGAGCTGAGTGAGACACTTGGTTAGAGGAAGCCTGGAAAGAAGTGGGCCGAGCCATTACGCGATCTCACATCTTGATCTGGGACGTCTTCTTGTTCAATGATGCACTCAGAATGTCACAAGATAGCCCAATTATTATGTGTAATTATTAGACAAGTTAGCCTTATGTAAATATCTAGTTAATATCAACAAGTCTTCAGGCTTTTCGATGAGGCCATTAACCTTGTCCTTTTCGTAAACAACTCTTCGTCATTCTAGATGCTATACAGTTACCCATCTAGACACTACTGTACTGTACAACATGTATCTAAGCAGCAACACCAATGCAGTACCAGTATCCCGCCCAGAACGAGCCACCACAGTTCGCCCCATTCCCGCCAAGCGCCGAGTTCCACGAGTAAAAGTTAGCGTAGTCAAGCCCATGCCGATCCGCAAAAGCGGCACACCAATCGCCGTCTTGGGCCTGAGCGTACTCGTTGCACGTGGAGATAGCGTTTCCGGCCTGGTTGGGCTCGGGGGCCGGAATGGGCTCCCCTCCTCCCCCACTGCTGACGCCCACGCAATATGCGTAGCCGCCCCAGAAGCCGGAAAGACAGTCGTTGGAGACGGCGGGGTTCCATTCGACGAACTGCGCAAAGGTGATGTCGTACGCTGCTGTGATGATAGAGCAGTCGTCTCCGGCTATAGCGACAAGGTTAGGTGGCTGTAGCGAAGTAATTGGAAGGGGGACTTGTAGTAACTTACCCGCAACAATGTGCCACACGTTGCAGTTCTCCGGTTGGCCGTCTTGGACGGGACCTGGGGCCGTTGGGACTGATGTGGGAGGCGTTGTTGGAGACGGAGTCGTTGTTGGAAATGAAGTCGTTGGCGACGGCTCGGGATCCGTCGGGGGCACCCAATCCGAGGTACGAACACAGTAGTGATAGCCTGCGAAGTTTGTTAACCAATTATCACCCAGACCGGCTTGGCTGGTTGTCGGTCTCCTTACCTGCCCACATCCCACTGCAGTCTACCCCAACACTTGGGTTCATTTCATAGAACTCTTGATTGGAGAGTTCCCACTCGTCAAGGATGCTTTGGCAAGTCGGCAATCCATCAGGCCGGACATTGACGGTCATTGTGCAGTCCTCAGTCATCCCCTCCTGAAACGCACCTGAAAGTCAGTTACAGAAGCAAAAAATACCGGGGGCGGCGGTAAGGGTGTTGGAGGAGGGGGGAACTAACGCGGCCCGGGAGGCCAGGGTCTCCATTATCATCGCCGGCTTCTCTGTCGCCATAATAGTACTTTCCGCAGTATCGGACGCCGGACTCAAATGAACAACTCGGGTCTGTCGTGTCTCCCAGGCCTGCACGAGACTGGTTAGCAGGATGAGATTACCAATGACGTCGGCGATTTGTGTGTTCTCACTGGGGTTCCAAACTTGGAGATCCTCCAAGGTCACGCCCATGACGGCGGCGAAGAACTCGCACTGGGAGGAGAAATAGGTCGACGTTATGTTCACCTGCCATTCGTCCCCGTCGGCATATTGGTAGCATTCCTTCCGCGTGCCGCTGGCTAGCGGAAGGGGAGTCCTCACGGGCAACGGGTACGTGAAGGAAGCATCTGGGAGAGTGGTGGCCGTGTCATCAATGGTGCCCGTCATGGTGAGCGTAGGGGCACCGTATCCAGGCTTGCCGCTGTACGTGTTGACTATTGCAGTCGAGATTAGCTTCAAGGCGTGCAAGAGTGCCGAATGACCACCTAGAGAGCTAAGTATTAGCACTTACTATCGCCAACGGGTTGCACGCAATAAGACTCTTCCGCGAACAAGTTGGTGCAGTTCTCGTTAATGGCCGGGTTAAGGAAAACGAAGTCGTCAAGAGATATGCCGAACTTCATGATGATGAGATTGCAGAAATCTCCCAGTCTGGCTTCGTAGAATGTCCCGCAGTACGTGTTCGTACCGCTCGCGACGTTCGTCGGCATTGGCGCTGCTGTGATGGGTATCGAGGGCGCAAGTGTGGTGGGGCCGGGAGTGATATAGGGCGTTCCGGGTTTGGCAACGCACAGCTGGTCGCCAACCATCTGGTTCAGGTTGTAGCACCCTGCGTTGATGGACTGGAGGGCGAAAAGAGAGGTAGGTCAGCATGTTTTCACTCGCATGGTCAAGTGCTCTTGTCCTAGGTGTCAAACTTACTGGATTCCAGGCTCTTAGCTGAGCCTCGGTGATACCATTTGCCTTGGCGATGCTCTTGCACGTGTCGGATTCTAGAACAGTGTGGACAGTGCAGGTATTGACGAGACAGAGCTCTCCTTCGGTTGGGAAATCGTGACAGAAGGCAGCAAGGTCGTTTTCCAATATGAGCCACTCTGTCCCAATTCCTTGGGAGAGGGAAATAGAGTGGCAGTTGTCTCCTGGCTGGATGGTGTATGTCGTTCCAGCGCAAGTGGGAGTTGGTGTAGGAACCACAGTAGTTGGCCTGGGAATTGTCAGATCAGAAGTCATTTATTTATTCAACGACGATGCAACTAACGTGATGAGGCTGTTGGTCGTCGTTGTCAGGGGCATATTTGCAACGCCGCAACTCGACGTCCTGGATTCGTACATGGACAGCGACTGCAGCTTGGGTCCATCATAGTACGGTGAGCCAGCCTGGAACCGGAGATTGGCGAGGAGACAAGTATCGCAAGGGTCCGAGGTGTCGTGGTCTCCAAAATCCCCGCCCGCTGGCACGCCTCCCGGATGCTCAGCAGCATCCGGGTCAGCAGCAGCAGCGAATGCGGCAGCGACGTTGTTGCAAAACCGACCTCCCTCAGTAAGACAGGCAAGATCGTACGAGTACCTGATCAGCTCGCTGAACATGGCCACGGGATGATTGTTCCCGCCTTCATCCTCCCACGTATCCTGGGCACAGTTGGAGACAACGGCGTTGTGGTAAGATGCTAGTGACGCCACGCAAGCCGGATTGCAGATGGATTGCAGCTTGGTCAACGGATAGTATTCGCTGGGCACCAAGGCCGCCACCGCCTCTCTGCAAGCAGTGTCAGCAGTCAGGGCGGTCAGGCACGCTGGGCTGATGCCCACGGGGGCAGCATTGGGCTCCAGAAAGGTACCAGCCGGTACAGAATAAGGGAAAAGGGCAAGAATCAGATAAGGAACGAACCAGCCATAGGCTGAAAAGGAGGGGAACGAGCCCATGGCATTTGAACTCAATAAAACGAGTGACAATCTCACGATGGAGAGGAGACAGGTTTGTAGCGTGGAAGCTTAAGGAGTGACCGAGTATGTGTGAGGGAGAGACCGGGGAGACCCAGATGATATCCAAAAGGTCGGCGGAAAGGAGACGCAAGACATGACTGGAAGTCCAGGAGCAGGATCTCACAGGTGGGCTTCTCATTCCATGCCATTTCGCAATTTGCCTCGCAACTTTCTCATGTTCATAATGGTACAGGTACTTACTTGTACATCCACGAGGGGCCGAATGGGTTACAATGGCGTGCATGTGATTGCAGTGGCTGCGTTGCATTTCTTGCCTTTCATCCATCAATGAAGCGTAAATCTTTTTTTTAAGACGAACGTAGCCCCCAGTTTAAATCCCACCCTGCGGGAAAGGGAACCAAGATAGGAGTTGGCGAGCGAGAAGATAGACTATGTGGGGGGGATCTGAGGATCGGAGGATCGGAGGGCTCAGACCGAGGTCTAAAAATGGAGAGGCTCAATCTTAATCGGTGCGGGACGAGCCGGGATCGAAGGGTTTGCATGCAGTGCTAGCTCACCGTTGTGGACTAGTCGCGAGGACGCCCAGCCGCTAAGGCTGTGTGTTGTCTCGTTGAAACGGCCGCTTACAGCCGACGAGGCTTCTGTCTCGTCTTGGCCTCGTTTCGCTATGTTCATTTTAACTTAGTCATGCCTGAATGCCGGGTTCAGGCGTTCATATTAGACACCTGGCTAGTAGGTCTGCGGTCTTGGAGCTGAAGACTTTCAGCTCCAAGACAAACGGTTAGGAGATGCAGCGAGACTGCGGTTAATAGTACGCGGCTATTGGGGCAAGATTATTCAATTGCTGTACATCGTTTCTCTGGGCTCCGCATCTCTTGGCACATGTTCCTGCATTTATGAATGCTTGGCACTTGCTGCGGCCATAAAGTTCTTGGGGGTTCACTAGGTAACTATTGGCTTGGTTCACTTGGCGGCCACAAACGAAGGATTATCTGCAACCCTAAATGCAGAAGGTGGGTGGGAATGACCAGGTTTGGGAGACCGCTTCATTTCCTTCGAGTGCGTGGAGGAGGCCGAGTTCGGGGCGTATCGCGGTTGAAATAATCGTAAGTGTTCTGTTTGGACGGTTTCCCATTATGTAAAGGAGCACTGAATCACACATCACCCCATAATATCGAGGGGCCGATATGCAGCCGAGCACATTCTGGGTTCATCACGGCATGTACCTGATATGAATAGATACCTCGGGGTTATTATGGTCTCACCATACGCTATCCAAGATGCACTTCGGAGTCTGCAGGTGCAAAGGGGCGACAGGCAAAGGTGTCGGTTAAGAAGAATTGCCCGGCGGATGAAGATACTATAAGTACTGCTAGAAGTTACCTCCGGTTACGTCGTCGCGGGTAGACTGTGATGCTGAATGTCTTTCCTTCGCGGTAGCCGCACATCTTCGGCACAAACTTCACCTGGGCCAGCTCCGCCAGCCCCAAAGACACTCGTTTTTTTCTTTTTCTTGTTTTTTATCCCATCCAATCTGCAGTCATGGCAAACTGCAGGACGTCCTCTCGTTTTCTCATAGTACGATCATTACTTACCATTCTTTTGTTGCACCTTACCACTCCCGTCCTAGGTCGTCCTCGTCACCATGGACACCACCACCATCGACACCCAGAGAGGTCGATCGACCCTGCCACTACCTGTCGTAATGAGGCTTATCAGTACGTCTGCCTCACCTCAGTAGCCAGGAAGTCGCTTTGCTGACTCGGATCATAGTCCCTTTGACTACTCTGTCAAGCCCCGACAGGATCCCAATGCCCCATTGTGCCCCGTCCAACCCGATGCACTGGCAGTGGTTGAGACCCGCGACCTGCTCATGGGCCGGCAGGTGACCCAAGAGCAGGACTATTCTTGTGGCCCAGATAGGCCATGTCGCAATGGTTCGTTTCGTTTCATCCCCTACGTCGTCCCATCAGCCCGGTGGCAGGTTTAATAACGATGCTGATTCCGGAAATCACCAGAGGCTTGCTGTCCCAAGGAGACGGGGTGGTGCAACTACGGCCCCGATGCATGCGGCACCAATGGACAGTCGCCCAATGACGTCTGCTGGAGCAACTGCGACGCCAAGGCAGAATGCGGGCGATATGCTGACCCGCCGGGCAAGGAGTGCCCCCTGAACGTCTGCTGCTCGCCATATGGCTTTTGCGGCATGACCGCAGACTTTTGCAAAGTCACCAACGACGAAAAGACGTCGTGCCAGAGCAACTGCAAGCAGCCAGGTTCTGGTGCTTCGAAAGGCAACGTCCGAAAGAGAGTCATAGGTGCGTCTCATCTATTATGACCGTCGTGGGTAACGGTGGAAACTAACCAACTGCTCTGCTTTAACTCTCCAGGTTACTATGAAGCATGGGTGCATGACCGAAAATGCAACGGCATGGTAAGACGGACTCCTTCTTGTAATCATTCCTAGTCCTCGACTCGAACTCGATGACTGACACAACTCGATCACTAGGCTATCGAGAATATTCCCGTCGGAGCACTCACCCATCTGATATTTTCCTTTGCCTACATCACTCCTGTCGACTTCCAGGTTGTGCCGATGGAGGACCTAGACCCTTCCCTCTTCTCCAAGATAACAGCTATGAAGAAGAAGAACAAGGCTCTCAAGGTCATGATTGCTCTCGGAGGTTGGACTTTTAACGACCCGGGCCCAACCCAGACCGTGTTCCACGACGTGGTCAGTTCGAAAGCAAATCGATCCAAGTTCATTGGGAACCTCATGAGCTTTATGAGGCAATACGCCTTTGACGGCGTTGACTTCGATTGGGTAGGAGATATTACCCACGTTTCCCGCTTTGTTGAAGGCACGGTGACGCTGACCTGGCAATCAATTTGCCACGACTAGGAGTACCCGGGAGCCGAAGACCGTGGCGGCTCGGACAAGGATGGTGAGAACTTCACTCTTCTCCTCGAGGAGCTGCGAGACGCCATCAAGAAACAGCCGCTTGAGTACGTTGTCTCGTTCACCACTCCAACCAGTTTCTGGTATCTCCGCCACTTCGACATCAAAGGCAGCACAAAAGCTGTCGATTTCGTCAACATCATGAGCTACGACCTCCACGGCGTGTGGGATGCATGGAACCCAATTGGGTCCAACGTGCTTGCCCACACGAACATTACCGAGATCAAACTGGCCCTGGATCTGTATTGGCGGAATGATATCCCACCCGAGAAGCTCAATCTCGGATTCGGCTTTTACGGACGCTCTTTCACCCTGACCGACCCGACTTGCTACAAGCCCGGCTGTCCGTTCTCTGGCGGTGCCGATCCTGGCCCGGTGAGTCCTTCGCTCCCACTTTAATTAGATACTGATCGTTGTTTCTAATACCTCTCTGACTTGGACAAAAGTGCACCAAGAACTCTGGTACCCTGGCTTACAGAGAGATTGTCGACATCATCGAGGAGCACGACCTTAAGCCATACTACGACAAAGAACACCAAGTCAAGTACATTGTGTGGAACCAAAACCAGTGGATTAGCTATGTGAGTAGGCCATTACTCGGCTGATTCAAATGATTACTTCCTCTGACTGACGCATCTTTCTAGGACGATGAAGAAACCATCCAGGCCAAGATTGAGTTTGCTAATAAGCTTGGCCTCGGCGGACTGCTCATATGGTCGGTAAGTAATTGGAGACATGACTGTGGCTGACAGTGAAGACCTCTTTGCTAATCTGTGATTGCAGGTGGATCAAGACACAGACGACCTCAGTGCTCTATCAGCCATTGTTGGGCCCAAGACCATAGCCTTGGCGATGCGCAGCTACCAGGCCGATGACGCATCCTACTGGCAGGATATGGGTGCCCAGGGATGCTATGTCACTGACTGCGGCGGATCGTGCAAAGTTGGCTTCAAAAAGATCACTACCCAGCCTTGCGGCGGTGCTACCATCGTCACAAGACACTCGAAGGAGGAAGACAGCACGCTTTGCTGTCCCCTCTCTGCGGCCCCCGACCCGGATGATTGTCAATGGTAAGTGATAATGCCATTGTCCCAGAACCCTCTATTTCCCTCGCCAAGACCTGACAGCTTCGCCGCTTCGCAGGAGGAGTTCAGCCCCCGAATGCGTCGGCCGGTGCGAACCGGGAGAAGTCGGCCTGCAGTTAAACAAGTGGGGTGACGGCGCGTACTGCGAGAACGGGAACAAGATGTATTGCTGCAAGGTAGCGGCCGAGCGCGAGAACAAGTGCTACTTTGCGAGCAACGGCAAGGAGTGCAAGAGTGGTGAGGAGCCCCTGACATGGTCGGGTTACCTTACCAAGGATGAAAAGAAGCTCGAGAATCTGTACAGTCTCAAGGGCGCCTCACTTCGGTCAGCACTGCATGACTACGACCTCGGCCACGTCTCCCTGTACTGCTGTCCGCCGGAAGACTTGAAGCGATGGGACGGCTGCGAATGGAAGGGCTCGCCCGACCAGGGCAACTGCTACGACGGCCACTGCGACCTGAATTCTCAGATTGCCGTGACATGGGCCGGCTCTGGTGGTGGCAGGTCTTGCGGAGGCCTCGACCCTGGCCGCCTGCGAGTCTTCTGCTGCCCCCCGCCCTCCGGCGAGGCCTTCTTCCTTCCGGTTCCTCTAGAAAACTTGTTCAAAAACCCGCCGACCGGCGACGATGTCAAGACCAAGTTCGATCTCAACATCGACAACACTTGGGGAGACGGCGTGGAAGACAACGACTCGGACGACGACCCGAATGCGGCTGCGTTCCAGTTCCATGTCTTGGCCAGCTCGGACAAGATACAAACATCGCTCGACAAGCGCGACGGGTCACACTGGGAGCTATACAACTGCAACGACGCCGTCAGCGAGCAAGAGCAGACGGTGCAGATGGTGTGCACCGACCACTCGGATAAGAGCAACTGCGGCGACATTTACAAAGGCCACGGTGCTCCCGGGACAATCCTCGAGATGCCCCGGGGGCAGGGATGCGGCCCCGGTAAGTACGCCGTCGCAAAGAGTCTCGAACTCTCCAGAAACCAGTCTCTCCCTCGGCACTTGGCCAAGAGAAACCTCGGCGAGAGGGCAGTCGTCTATGATCTCACGTTCGACTACGACTTCACCCGGGTGCCGCGGGACTTTGGTCCGACGCATATGCGAATCGACTTTTCGTAAGTGTGACCCCTCCCTTCCCCTTGAGTCTAGAAATAGACACTCACTGGTCCGGGACGACAGAAACCAGGAGGGATACTGGGACAGGATCGTCGCCGCGCCATCGTCCAAGAAGCTCAAGCGCTCTCTGTCCGACGTCAAGGGTAACCACCGTCGCTGGCTTGAAGAAGAATGGCGAGATGATTACCACTTTGGCGCGGTTGATCGAGAGGAGCTGCGGAAGCGTTGGTTTGGCGAAGGTGTCGTTGACTGGCTGAGGGAACTGCTCAATATCAACATCAAGGTCGAGAAGAGGCATGACTATGAGGAGGAAGTGTCGGCCATCATTCTGCAGGAAGACTGGACATGCGGGGCTTTCAAGGCCAAACTCGATGCCGTGGTGACAGCGGGAATCCAAATGTCGACGTCGTTTGGATTCACCATCATCACAACTCTGGGGTCTAACATGGATCTGAGCCAGTCTTTTCTCCATTTCAATAACGAGGTGAGCGAAGAAGGAGTCTGATTCTTGGACGACGGGACAGCAGCTTACACAAGATACAAATAGGGAAGTGTCGAAGCCATCTTCACCATCGACGCATCAATGAGGATGGACTGGGACTCGGGCGTTTTCACCATCGTGCCGCTGCCCATTCCGGGAGGCACCTTTAATATTCCCGGAATCGTCAAGCGTAAGTTGTATTTCCTCGCTCTCTTACCTGCTGCATCCTACGTACTAAAGTCAACCAAGTTGGTCCCCGTTTCGACCTGAACGCGCGATTCAAAGCCGGCATCTCCATCGAGGGCCGTATCGAAGCCAAGGCCCAGCTTGCCAACTGGGAGATTAGGCAGACATACCCGCAGCAAGCCTCATTTGAGCCCAAGGAGGTTGACAACCCGAACCGCCAGTTCCCCAAGGATGGACTCGCGGCGCCCAGCTTCGATGCCTCAGTGACTGCGGAGGGATATGCCGAGGCACACATCCTTCCCACCCTGGCGTTTGGCATCAAGTTCAACGACCAATGGGGCATCGAGGATGCTGAAGTCGAGCTCCACGGCGATCTCTACGGCAGGGTCAGGGCCAAGTCGGACATTGTAGGCGGCGATTGCCTGTTTGGCTACAAGGTCGAGGCGGGAGTGAAGCTCGTGGCCGACGCCCATGTGCCGAGCGTGTTTCAATGGCACCCATCCCCATATACCTTTGGCGAGGTTTGTCCTGCTATCTATCCGCTCGCTTTGTGTCTGACCTGCTAACATGGTGCTCTAGCTAAACAAACGCATCATCCCCGAGGACTCTAGCAAGGAATGGCAATGCATCACGCAACAAAACGCCAAGAGACAAGATGACTCTCTCCTCGGCTACAACTCTTCGTCTAGGGCTCACTCATTGATTGGCACGGGCCTGCGCAAGCGTCTGGTTCCCTACGGGCCCGTCATCACCCTACCAAAGGCCGAGAAGCTGTGCCCAAACAAGGGCCTCCAGGACCCCGGGGAGTGCTCGGAAATTGTGGCCGTTGACTCATTCTACGATGCCGAGAGCTCCGACTTTGCCTACGTCCAGCCGGAGAGTGCCCCCCTGGCAAGGAGGGAGGAGATAATTGCCACTGACCCAGCTAACGACACGAGCCTCGTTGGGCGTGGTGTGCTGGAGGCCCGCGCGAAGGGCAAGGATGTAACCATATGCTCGGGTTCAAGGTCATTCGGCTTCCACATCAAAAAATGGGAAACCCAGGCGGCATATCCCATCTGGGACAATGGCAACTGGGGTGACTGCAACGATTGTAAGCATTTTCCTTTTGTTTCTCCCCGGCATCAATGCGCTCTTGCAATGCACGTGTCCAACGCCAGCTAATCTTAGTCACCCTTGAAACCAAAAGACTCGTTTGGCATCCAACCAGCCAAACAATCGGTTAGAAGACCGCCACGCCCGGGAAAGGCCCAATCAAACGAGAGATATGTCGTGGAACACATACTGGAGGCAAACTTGCTGGCCGAGTTCCTCAAAGAAAGCGCGTATAGCGACGTTTGCAACGACATGGCCGAGGCAGGTTCGGGTTGGTACGACAACGGTGCCATGTCGCCGGTCGTGCCAAACGCGGTAAGCCGATCGCCATGGCAGTATATCGCCGACGGATACCCTTACTCTGCCAAGCAAGAGACTGGGGCGACGGGGGGGAGGGTGGCCTACCCAGCCAACCACGAGGACGAGTTCGTGTTTGTCTTGGAGTCGGTCAACATCGCCAAGGAGTACGCATTCATGAACCTGCACGCCCTCCCCGGGACCAGCGATATGGACGGAGCCGTGGCATCCGAAAACACCGTCGACACCGCCATCCGGAGCATGAAGATCATGCTCATGACATACAAGTACCTCAACTCGGCCCAGATCCAGTCCACGATCGTGGCGCAGGCGACGCGTGTCGGAAACCGGATGGACGAGGCCGAGGACTTCCTGCGCAGCCAAACCAGGTACACGTCCCAGATCCAGGGGCTGAAACAGCTCTGGATGGGCTTCGTCAAGGGCCGCACCGATCTTGCCGCCATGAAACTGAGGACCTTCCTAACCATGTGGATGCCCCGAATTGAGAAGGTTCTCGATGGAACTGACCCGACCCTAGACGCGCAAACTCCGTTCCGGGCGACTAGAAGAGCTAAGATTCAGGCACTGAGGGCGGCGGTTGATGACATGGGCGCGTGGGTGAGTCCATTCAGATTCGTTTTTTAATTAGTTAGTAAGGTGGCTGGTAGAACTGTCGGCTGCCTATGTAATGTAGCTATCCAGATAACGCATATTGTAGTTAGTTCCGTAAGATGCACGTTTGGGTTCTGACACCGAAGATGTCAAAGGATCACCAGGATGCTCTTATTGTTGGCCTTGTTCATTTGAGCTAAGCAGGGTTCTCTCTTCTTCCACACTGTGACACTGTGACATCGAGACCAACTTGCCAAGGACAGCAAGCAGCCTCTCCTGCTTATTGGGCCAAGAGATGCCAAGAGGTAAGGGATGCAGCAATCCTGGTATGGGGTGTTGCCTACGGTTACTAGCTAGGAAAACAAAAACAAAAACAGTGGTTCAATGACGCACACACAAACAAACCTTATACCCAAAAGATAACACGAGATTCGAGAATCCCAACATCACCACTAGTTAACAAAATGACTACATCGGAAACTCTCGACTTCGTCTCGTCTACCGACGTGGGCAGACTCTCGAGAGTAGTTGTCAGCCGGGTCGAGGCTCGATCCTTCTCCAGAGTTCGACTCAACAGCTGTAGCGAATCGCTGAGACAGTTTGATGACATCTTCTCGAACCCGGACCTGCGCAGTCTCGTGAAGACAATCAGCTACGACGTCGTTCTACCTGTCGTCAGCGACAAGCGTCTCAAAAACAAATTCCAGAGCCGTCGCGAGGTGGCCGAAAACTCGGCCGCCTTCACGCAAGCCATTCTCGAGCTCTTCACGCGGCTCAGTTCCTGGCAGCAGTACAAGGGCGTCGACTGGTCACTGACGGCCACCTCGCCCTCGGACGACCCAATCCTGCGCAGCCCGGGAATCAAGGTCAAATACGATCGGAACCATTTCAAGTACATCGGCATCGACGACAGTGTGCTTCCGCCCGGGGGTCTCCCTTCCGTGCCCTGCATATCCTCCTTCAACTTCGAGAACCTCGACTGCAGCACCAGCTGCCACAGTGATCGGATGCTCCACCCCGATGTCATCTGCGCCATCGCTAGGGCTCTTCCATGTCTTGAGAACGCGGCTTGGGAGACCTTCATGCCGCCCCGCCGCATGGCCTCTCAACGACAAGAGGTTCGGGCAGCTCTTGCGCAGGTGTTCCTGCGCCCTGCATTCCCCTCTCTCGCCTCGCTGAACATCCGCCTTCGGGATCATGATCCACGAAATGAACTGGCCGAGCTCGAGAGCTTCGTCCAAGACGGCGCGGAAGACGACCTAAGTCTTGGGATACGAAGAGTCTCCCAGCTCTCTACTCTTGTCACGCTGAATCTCAACGGTAAATGGATTATCTCTCCACAAGCCTTTGGTGCATTTGGGCCCCTAGTGGCTTCCGTGTTCATCAGCGTGTCTTCGACCACGCCGGATGGAAAATGGCTGCTCGACTACGATCCCTCCGACCTCGAGGAAGACGAAGAAGACGAAGACGACGCATATTCAGAGTCGTGGGACTCGGCCGAAGCGGAAGATGACGTCCTTCTAGATCTCGATTCAGAAAACTCGGACGTCGAGGACCGTCTTCCAGAAAAGGCAGAGGCCATGGCCAACTTGGACCTTCCATCGAAGGAAGTGCGCTTCAATCCCAACTCCGAGCTGTTCACGCCACTACTAGTCTCGATCGCAAACGCAGTAGCAAAATCGACGTCTACTTCTCTCCGCGACGTGAGGATGGACTTCTCCGCCGCATTGGCAGCGTTGCACCTCATCTACCTCGGTGTCGGCGAGCAACAGCATCAGGGATTTACCTACTTGAGCCGGCCAACAGTCGGGGACAAGCCCCTTGAGAGGCCAAAGTGGTACATTGATGGGTCTGGCGGCATAGCCGGCATGAAGTGGAAGGTGCCAGCTGAGTTGAGGAGAGCCATGGAGGAGAAGGTGGGGAAGGACAATATTGATGGTTACACTGATTCCAGAACGATTGAGATGGAATGAATGTGGAAATAAGGATGTGCATTTACGGCTTGGAAGCGGGATTTCGACAGCCCCAACTCCCTCGCTGGATGAATAACCTGCGGAGCTGTATCTCTCGCCGCTCAATGGGGCTCGCCTTCCAACATTAGTCGAAGAAGTGTTGTTCTAGCATCTCATCTTTTAGCCTTGGTCAGACAAGGAGCAGCATAAGTAGGCAACAACGTAGACTCTGATGAAACACCACGTCCCAGGTCTCTTCAATGTGGAGGTACGCAATCTCGACTGGCGTGTCGCCATTTTTCATCTCGCACATGGACGCCCGAAAAAGGGGTAAAAGTGAAAATCCATGGAATGACTTGGGTGAATAGCCCCCTTTCTCCTCACCCTCTCAGAACTCACTTTCCTTCCCGATGCGCCACACATCTACTCTAACTCAGTGCTTGATACTCATTTCTAGGCCTTTGGAATAGGGGATAGTCAAGTTCGTGTAGCCATTGGCCGGGGATCGGAGATGTGCCAGCAGCTCTGCGTATCGTGAGGCGGAAGAGATGGAGTTATCAATAATGACAACCGCACCTGGCCGCATCTTTGGCTCAAGGAGCTTTAACGCAGGCAACGCTACAGGTGCCCAGACTGGAAACGGTTGATTAGTTGGGCCTATCTCACCAAATACTGAAACCCAATCACTCACTGTCGATTAGCACAAGGTCCAACGTCGGGACATTGTCTTTCAACGTCTCGAGGAGATTGCCCTCCCTCAAATCGATATGGCGCGCCACCAGCTCGTCGCCAGCCTCTTTCCAGTACTGTCGCGCCTTCTCAGCCTTGGTGCTCTCCTTCTCGGTGCCGATGACGATACCCTCTCCCCCGCTGCGTTCGAGATTACTCCCAACTGCCAGGGCGAGATATATCGTGCTGACGCCAAAGCTGGTGCCCACTTCTGCAACATTGCGGGCCCCGATAGCTCTGGCGAGCTGATAGACAAACTGGCACTTGTCTTGGTCCAAGGCAATGAACTTGTCGCGCATCAGGTCATCAAAGCCGTCTGCTGTACTGAGATACGTCCCAATAGCAGCTTCTTGAGTGAGTGACTCTTCATGAAGGCGGTCGAGTAGGGCGAGGACGTGGGTCGGCGCCACAACGGGATTTGGGAATGGGGAAGAAGACATGACAACTCAGATGAACACAGTTGAGGGCCGGGGATGGAAGCAAGCGCGACTATTCTGTAATAGTAAAGGTTAACTAAACTCTTGAGATTGAGATGCGTCTTCTCGCCATCGGACTCCTACTTTATACGAGGAGTACCTTCTTTTCTTAACCACAGCAGTTGTAGAATTCTGCCCCCTCCTTTACCTCCCGTAGACCGTCGGTCACCCAAAGCAGTCACGAGTTATTGGCGCATTGGACCCACTCAGGAGCCATTTGCCATTTAACGCCCTTTGAGAGACGAGAGTACGCCATTAGCTCGGCCAGAAGATAGCGCCACTGCTCGTTCATGAACGCAACCACGTGTCATTCAACGCTAAATCTGGCGGGAATTGCCCGGATATGTGCGGATTTTCCCCATAAGCTTGAGAGAAATCCACTGTGGGAGCATGTCAATTGAAGAGCGGCATCGGCGAATGCGGGCATTTTCGGGATTTGTACGCCAATAATTATCAGAAGTTAATTACTGGCCCCAAGTCCACCTGGAAACGTTCAGACGGCTCCCCAAATCCTCTTATTGCAGCCAGCTTCCCACGCCCGGCCGGGTGCCGTCATTGTCCACGAGGTCCGCATCTGCACTAGCAGAAACAAGAAGTGTCAACTCGACGTGGTGACCATATCGGCATGCAATGTATAGGGCAGACCACTCATGGAACCCTCGGCAGTCCACCTCCGCGTTGGCCCGGACCAGCTCTGCATCAACTGCAGCGTCCCCGAATCGGGCGGCCGGTATCAGTGGCGTCCGTCCGTTGGAGCTGGCGGTGTTGGGAGCTGCCCCCGAACGCAGGAGATCTCTCACACAGATGGAACAGCTTTTGCGCGTCGTCTAGTGGAGGGCCGTCTCCGCTCTCCGGTCGGTGTCGGAGGGCGGTGCCTTTAGTGCCACTAGAGAGCGTAGTACATGGTGAAGACATTGCTCAACGGGTCTGTGGATGTATAGCTTCGTTCCTCCTTCTTGGGTTCCCATCTCTGCTACTACGGTCCAAATCGAGAGCGAGCCCGAGTCGCTCGTAGGCGGGCCTAAGATTGAGAAGTCTAACGAGCTGGCAGAGCCGGATTGGGAATTCGTCGTTTAGCGACAATCACAATGACGGCGATATCGACAACGATGGAGGTTCTGACGCTGATAGCGACTACACTTTGGAAATAGCGAACAGCAATGGCAATCCTGCTCTAATAAGGGACGGCAACGGGAACGGCCACAGCGACAGCGACAGCAACGTCTGTCTGCCAAAGAACGCATACCACCTGTCAAAAAAAAAAACTTGGCGGTCCGAACCCCTGCCCAGCACCTCCCCTGCCCGATTAGCCACACTACCACATTCCCCTACCCGCGGAGACAAGCTCGCAACAAACGGCATAACTTGCACTGTTCTGGGGGGACAAAATTTCTAAAGACTCCGCTGGGGAGTTCCGCATGGGCCTAAATAGGGCACGGGACTGGAACCGATTGCCCATGTGTCCTCCAGAACACCTGACTGCACCGATGTTGACGGGTCCAGTGAATCCGCAGCCATATGCCTTGCCTCGCACTAAATCTGCTGTGAAACGTTGACTGCCTTGTTAGGACCGGCGAGGCTCCCAGGTTGGGCTGACACTCACACAGCCCATCACCTTCAGCTCAGCCCAACAACATCCACAGTGATTTTCTCTTCTCCATCCCACAACTGCATCGCATTTCCCATCGATTACTATCCCTCATCGAAGTCCCCAAGGCAGAAACCAATTAGCCAAAATGGAAGCAATCGGTGCAGGCTCTAGCGTACTGGCCTTTGTCTGCCTGGCCCTCAAATCGGCAAAAGCTATTCACTCTCTCCTCTCGGCGGTGAGAGATGGCCCCCAGAATGTCCACCATCTCGTCGACGACATCGCTCAGCTACAGAGTATTCTAGAGCGTCTGTCGCACTTGAAATCTGGATCGATCACCCAGACGGACGCGTTGGCGCTGCAGGATACAGCGAGGCGCTGCGCGAGCGACATGGACCATCTTGAGGTAAGGCTGCAGCGCCTAAGCATATCGCCAACCGAAGGACACGCCGGCAAGTTGTGGAAGAGACTAAAGATTACCATTGGCGAGAAAGACCTGGACCACATGAGAAGCGTCGTCCACAGTCACGCCTTGATGCTCAACGTCAACTTGGGCATGTCGCAGGCGGCACAAATGTCTGCGTCGCAAGCGCAACAGTCCGAGATTCTTGAGATGCTAAAACAGCTCCAAAGGGAAGTGGTGGTTCTCCGGGAGACTGCGGACTCGACCGGTGCTAGGCCGACCGGCTTCCTCGCGACAGACGCGACGACCATCGACCCTCCAGGAACGCCTGCCGTCGATCCGAAGCTTGATGAAAGCATCTCTCGCCTAATTGCACTCGTCACCGAAAAGGAGCACACAGTCGCATCTAAAGACGCGCAGCAGATGATCGATGATCTCCAGACTCTTCTGGAGTCAGCCCAGAAGCAAGAGTCTATTGCATCAATGCCGACGCCGCCAACTGAAACAGATGCTTCTTCAGAGGACCAGCCAAACGACCCGACGCAAAGCATTTCTCGGGAATTGATGTTCTCCGCACCATCGATAGGCATCAACAAAAACGGTAAGGCAGTCACATTTCAAATCGAATGATCTATCAAACTGAATAGCTTGCAGGCCCATCTCGGTTAACTTCCTCGATTGATCTTGGGACAGCAATAACGCAAGATCGAAAGCGGAAGTCCATCGACATCTCTGGGGGTGCCTTGACCATTTACACCAATCGAAGAACTCGCCGCCGCCGAGAACCCCTCGGCGACAGAGAGAACGGCAATGACGACATACAGATTGGACGAGACTTCATTGCCAAGATTCAATTTCGGCCGAAAAACTCCCAGTCAATGCTTGAAGTGACGGTGAGCCAGGCCCAGCTCCTCGCCGGCAGTTTCCTGAGCATCCCAAACCTATCTGTCAACAATGTCATCCCACGCAACTCCGAGGTATTCAAGCTTGCGCAGCAGGGCAGAACTGACGACATCCTGGCGCTGATCGCGGACGGCAAGGCCAGTCTTCGCGACCGCGATGAGCTCGGCTGGTCCCTGCTACATGTAAGTTCTCAAGCGCGGGGCTTCAGCGCGGGGCTTCAGTAGTTACGAATTTGCTGACGAGATCTCTAAGCATGCTTGCGAATGGCAAGCGTTTACGTTGTGCAAGTTTCTCATTCAAAATGGTCTTGATGTCGACGAAGGTGTGTTTTATGAGGACGAGAAGCAAATGGTGTACGTATCCACTCTCTCAGAGCTAGATTGACGTCCGGAACGTCTTTTCTTTGGAGCGGATACGACTGATACTGACGCTGTGCCAGAACCCCATTGCACCTTGCCATCGACCACCCAGTGGTGGGTGCACTCAGGTTCTCTTGCAAGCTGGGGCGGATCCTAGCTTTCCTGTTGGAGATTGGGTGGGCGTCATCAATATATTACTTGGCAGTAGCGGGCTTCTGGTAGGTGATATTTCATTGCCATTTTGTGGCTATTCTGATCAACTCTCAGTCATATGGTATTCTTCGAGATATCTTCAATTTCGTCCCACATCTTGCAGACCTACGGCTGAGGGATCGTTGGGGCCGGTCCCCCTTCCTAGCGGCGTGCTCTCTAGTCGGCTACTCCGCTGCCTTCGAATCTGGAGTCACTGTTCAAAAGATGGCACTTCTGTTAGACAAAGGAGGTAGCATCCATGAACGAGACTCCGGGGGTCGCACATGCCTGCACCTTTTATTTTCTTGCCCCCTTTGGGCCCTGTCCAAAAATCGGTGGAAAGATCCTTTGATATATCTCATTCGCCAAGGAGCAGACGTTCATGCAAAGGACGATTTTGGATTGTCTGTCTCATATTATGCATATACAAAGAGCTGTCGCGATGAAAGGCCATTGTCCTACCGAGGAGACCTCTGGGACGCCGCGCTCGATGCTTGTGGCCATGATATTCGGGAATTCAGAAAGGGCTATCCACGGACGGCGAGATATACTGCCATATACAAGCGCCCTGACTTTGAAGCGCTTTGGAAGGGTCGCGAGGACAGATGCCCTTACTGGAAAGATACAGATTGGTCGAGTCCCGGCGACGAGATGAGCGGACAATATGGCCAAAGTGGCAGCGCGGAGGTGATATGTCACTGTGATGGGGATCATTGTTACTACGGATATGAGACTGAGACGCAACATTCTCCATCGTGGAGCGAGGACAATGGACGCGATGACAAAATCGGAGGGGCGGATCTTGCCTTCGAATTCCCTTCCAACGGTCTCTCATCGCAGGCCTCTATGCCTGGGACCGCTTCGCCGCGCAGTGCATCCCCGGAGCGTCAACACCAACCGTCAAACTGGGCTTCACCGACCGCTGATGAACTCCACATTGAACAAATCGGCGAGGCGGCGTCCCTTGCGCACCATCAGCAGGATTTTTTCGCATTCCAACACGGAGAGCTAGTGAACAACCCCTGGTCGGACGTTGTGCTTGGAAGAGTTACCGAAGTGGAGGGTGACGGGGATGATAACGAGGCTGAGGCGTTTCTGCCATGGATTGAGTGAGGTAATTAGACTTCGGGGGAAAAATTAGATCGGCGTCATAGGGAATCATCGTGGCGAGTCAACCGGCGTATGGAACAACAGTCATATGAATTGAATGGACATGAACGCGGGCGGCGCTGCACCGTCAGAGCCAATTCGGACATTAGAGGTATTAACGGCTCGTAGATTTCTAGTATTATTTATCTACATCAGCCTGTTGCTCTCGGTCAACAAATCCTTCAGAACCTCATGATACCTCGCGGCGAGACCCCTCGACATGACGCCCAGCCTCTCCGCCACGCCCCGTAAGACAGCTTGGACATTGATGTCCGTCCCACTCCCTAAGCCCTGAATGGATCTGTCTCCGTATCTCGATTCGATCCACTCGTCCAGAGACGGCGAGGCCTACCAGTTAAGCAAGTAGCATTACACGAACGCCGCCGCCGACGCAGATGGAGTCGGGGTTGGAGAAGGAGAGGCCTGAAAAGCGGAGGTACGTGCACATGTACAGCGCAGCGTCAAATATCCAGACGAGCTTGGTGGGTGAGCTGCAGAGAGGACTATGACGACGTTTCGAGGGCGTGGCGGGCTAATTAATCCTGAATTCAACCTGGCGGGTGGGTTTCTTGGGCCGGCGAGCTCTGGGTTGCGGAGTCATACCTTAGCTTACTCATCCGGCACGATGAGGCCTGCGAGCTCCTAGTCGGTGATAGGGCAAACTCCGAAGAAAGGTTATCAAATTCCGGGCCTTATCGCCCACCCGAACATGAAGCTCCATCCAGCGGGGGCACATCTCCAACCCAACGACAACGATGCCAGACGCAAATTTTCAAACACCTACATGAAAATAGGCTTTCTACAACCGTGTATATGCAATGGTCAAAGCCCTCATCTTCGGCACCGGCGGAGTCGGCAGTGTCTACGGCTGGATCCTTGACAGAGCCGGCGCCGAAGTGACTGTGGTCTGCCGGACAAACTACACAGCTGTCAAAGAGCATGGCATCACGATCCGGTCTGACATCTTCGGGAAGGTCCACTACAAGCCCATTACAGTGAATTCGGTGTCGACAGCCACAGGGCCCTTCGATTTCATCCTGGTCTGCAGCAAGGCCTTTCCGGGGACATCGGCCCTGATAAAGGACGCTGTCTCGGGCAAGACAGCCATCGTCCTCGCCCAGAACGGCATCGGCATCGAGCAGGAGTATGCCGACCGGTTCCCCAGCACGCCCATCATCTCCGGCGCCGTCTACGTGCCTGTCAAGGAGGTCACACCCGGGGTCGTCGAGATGGGGCCCCTTGAGCTTCTCGAGATCGGCACGTACCCGGCTGAGGCGCCGGCGGAAGTGAAAGCGAAAGTGAAGCTCCTGCAGGACCTGTGGGCGGCGGGCGGAGCCACGTGCAAGGTTTTTGAAGACGTGCAGGCCCGGCGGTGGATTAAGGTAGCCCTCAATATGGCGTGGAATCCCATCTCCGCCTTGAGTCTCTGCGACGATGCCAACTTTGTCCGCTCGTCGCCCGAGGCAATGGATACGATCAGAAGGGTCATGCTCGAGGTCGCGCAGGTTGCGGCTGCGGCGGGGTATCCCGGGTTGGTGGAGCCGGCGATTGAGGATCAGCTCAGCCGTACGAAAGAGAGGTTGGAGTCCCGCGGGAAGGACCCTAGTATGTTGACGGATGTCAGGAACGGCCGGCCGATTGAGGTGGAGGCTATCGTCGGAAACACGGTAGCTATTGCTCGGAGGTTGGGCGTGGATGTGCCATCGCTGGAGATGTTGCTGTCTCTGGCAAGAGGCTTGAATTTTGCCATCACTCGACCGGAGGGATGGAAACCTGTTGCTACCGTGGATTAAAGAGATTAAAGAGGTGAAATATTGCGGGGAGACTTTGGCGGAAACGTCAAGTGGTGATAATAGGCATGGAAGTCTAACATTAAATGACCGATGATAAACAGAGAAGTTAGATGACTATTGTAGACTCGAGCGAGAATCAACTCAACCCACACTGACTTTTGGCGCCGCCTTCGGCATGCTCTAGATAGGCTGCGTCGCGGCCACTGCAATGTTCTTCCTCCTGCGTCATTCAGTACCATATTCTGTTATCCAGTCGCTTGTCCCCATTATACTATCCACATCCCGCCCATCTTTAATCCACCCTAAGACTGACCTTCCTCTGTCTCTGATCCTATTTCTGCCCTGTTGCTCCATGCCTTAATTATAAGCCGACCAAGCCCTCATATCTCGATTCTCCAGGCCTCCTCCACCTATGCAGTATCAACGTGGTTGCCCACTTCTTTTGCAGCGTCAATCCAAGGAGGAACTTGCTCAGATAAAAGTAAGGGCAGGTGCATCTAAACCAAAGGACATCAAACTTCAAGAGATAGCCGATAAGCGTCGCTTCGAGGAGCAGATGAATGCATGGGTGCATGCAAACCCTGCCGCCCCCAATCCTCGACAATTCCGCCTCGCTCTCAACTACAAGCGAAATCCCCACCCCCTCAAAGCTTCTTCTCTACCATGCGCATTCCAGGCATATGCCCCCTGCTATATCAGTTACAAGATGCATGGGAAGAGCTAGAATAGCCGCATCTGCCTCTTATGCTAGCTCTCATTTCGATCCTTCTCCTCAGCATCGCCTTCCACTCAAGCCACTATTGCCCATGGGTCGGCCATGTTGCTCGAGATTAAACCCATCAGCTGCACGCCTCAGTCTCCCCAAGCCGACTCGCGCAATCTTGACAGGCCCCCGAAGGCCCCAACACCCCCTATGTCGCTGCCCGAGTGGTATCCCGTTGTTTGCGTCTTGCAAGGCCTCGACCGCACCGATACCGATACTGCCTGCAGCTGAAGCAAGAGGAGGACTACAAGAGGGTGATGGAACAGTGATAATGGGCTATAGGGGGGAGTTGTAAATATGATCAGGAGGAGGGGAAGCCAAAACACATGAAACACGGTTTAACGGGGACGACTGGCATGACCCGGACGTTTCTAGATAACCCGCCCGGGAAGACAGACCCTTAGAGTCGAATCACCCATAATGCGATCCGTGATTTGATAGGCATTAATAACCGCCTGTCATTCTCTAGCATCTTGTTATGGGAAAGTAATCACGGGCAGCCTCTATTCTAAGCTACATCTTCCATTGAAGCACCTAATAGCCAAATTCACGCTAGCTATAAATCAGGGAGGACATCAAGACCTGCCAGTCCCAGTACGGCAAGACTATTCTCCTGTAGATCGGCTGCGCCACCTACACGCAGGGCGGCTTTCCGTCCACCTCCAACGCCAAGAAGTAAGCCGACACCATGTGGGCCACGTTCGACCCGGAGCAGGGCAACGGACACTGATCTCGCAATCTCCAAGGCTACGCTCAACGCAGATTTTCTCATGCTGTGACTTTATTAGTGCAGGATTTTCAAGTGCCTCCGTAACCGTGCCAACAAAGGCATTCAGCAAAATAGAAGAAATAACTGAAATTGAAGCCCCCTTCAAGAGAGAACAAAAACTAAACTGATAGCCACAAAAACTAGTTTCTTCCGAGATTGAACTGCAAGCCGAAAACTGTCTAGGTAGGCCGTAGAACATAACCTAGATCTCCCCGACCAAGCCGGTTAGGCGGCTTTAATCCCTGACACACTACCTACAAAGTTCTAACTTCTATACCGGCACTCTTCAGTATAGTGGCCCTCATCACGGCACCGAGGGCACCATGCTTCGTCCTGCGTATGGGCAAACCGACATTGTTTCCCGCGGTGCCAGTAGGAGAGATCGCACTTCCTCGTTTTCCACAGCCCGAAATCCTGATTTGGATTGTCCCGAAACAGGTCCAGCTCCTCGTAACTATGGCGGTAACCACACTCGCCTCTTTTCTTGCAGCGGATGCGATAAGGACATCGCTGCGTTTGGCGTAAGGCGTGACGATGATCTTTTCCCCTATCGGATCGAGACACCGTTTGCCAGCCGTCGTTGTCGTCGGGGTCGTTGAGACCTTGCATCTCTTCATTTTGCCTGTGTCCACTCCCAGGTTCTGCGGTGCTGAATGATGGCTTGACTTTGCGTTCGACGGGATCGTTTTCTTCTTTCGCCATGGCAGAGGTGGAGTATTGGCCATTATCATCCGTCAATGGCGCATACATATTGATAGTTTCGACCTTGGCGGGGCGGTCCTTATTGAAACGGCTTGCGTATTCGGGCCATGACAGCACCGTCAACATTTCCTTGAACCGCTCTCGTGCCTTGAAGATCATAGCCTCAATGTTCTCAACCCTCGGAAACTCCACAAACATCTCCGTTTCCGTTTTGGATCGAGTGATGTAGAACAAGCGGCCCAACTGAATGAGCTGCTCGCAGACCGAAGATTCGAGGTCATCCCCGCTCGGATCAGCAAACTCGCAGAGCACGATCGTTTGGTTAGGCTCAACCAGCCCGGTCTTGCTCCGTCGGGTAGAGGCGAAATTCGTGAAGGAAATCTTGTCGAATATCCAGTTCAGAAAGTTTACCGTTAGCAGACCGTTGTGGTGACACAGCTTCAAGTACTCGGTAGACATTCCCGACTCCCAGGCCCAGAGCTCCACTCGGATGTTAGATTCCAGCACTTTCTTGATTGGCGGGAGCATGTCGCGGTCTCCGGTGATGGCGACAAACGTCGTATTGGCTTTCCGCTGTTTGGCCCCCAATTCATACTCGGCCCTGATGCTGAGTTCGGTGGCTTGAGAGCTCAGATCCGTTGCCATGGAATTATCCACCTCTTTCTCTTTACCGTGGGCGCGATCGTAGATCTTGGTCTTGAACTTGTACTTCTCAAACGCTTTCCACACTGAATCGTTGGGCGGTGGGCGAGAGCCATAGAGAAACGAAGGACCTTGGATGCGGTCGTTGCGGAGCGTGTCGACCAATTTCCCGACATCAATTCTGAGACGCGGGTCGCGGTCGCTGTCTGTCAGTTTGGGCATGTGGCTGTTGCCCGAGGCGGCGAACTTTTGGGCCTCGATCCATATGTTGGAGTCATCCACGAAGAACATGCAGGTCTCGGTCGGTTCGCTACTCATCATGGATGGTGTTTGCCTGGTAAACCTGGCAGCAGCTTAGGTTGGGGTAGCGAGCGGGCGTAAAGAGTAACAACGAGGCGAAGACGAGCGAGAGAGGGGCTCGATGACCACTGTCACGAGCTGGCATCTAACGAGCAGAGGATGCGAGGAATTGCTGCCCCATGATTGAGGCATTTAATTTATACTCAAAGTGGGACTCTTAACATTTTTATGCCCAAAGCACACTGTTGGGCGTCAGCTTCGTTGGTGGCGTCCAAATGTGCAGAATCATGCAGCTTGGTGAGCGCCTTGATTTGTTCAAACCCCTTAGGTGTACTGTATGACGTATCAAGTAACACACAGCCGGGCAATATTTATTCCTCGGGGATCCATAAGACGCCTTTGCATTAGGGATCAATGTGTATTTGTCTGCCAGCATTTGTTGAATTGTTGCTTTTTAGTCCTTGGTGTTATGGAGTTGGTAGAGATTGGCCGCGTCCAAGGGCAAGGACACGGCCACGGCCAAGGGTAAGGGCAAGGTTAAGGGCAACGGCCCCAAGCGCAAGGAACCAACCGCCGGCAAAACCCCATCAGGCTCCGAGCCCACCAAGAAGCCCCGCAGCACCCCGCCGCGCTTCGAAATCGCCGAGCTATAAAGGCTATCGCGTTTCGAATACGCGTGGCGCTCCAGGCCAGGCGCCGAAGGAAAAAACGTGCTGGGGGGAGCAGGGGGCATGAAAGAATATCTCAAAGGAACGTGTCAACTAGTTGGAGTGCAAAGGCTAATTATACCCAAGTTCCTCGCTGCATTGAAGCTTGTCTTCCAACTCAAATGTAGGGCGCTCCGAGCCCCTGACCTCCGTGGCCGTGGCGGACTACAACCAGCCAAGCACGGGTCCTGAATCATGACATTGAAATGTTTGCTGATTGCACATTGCAAGCAACCTCATGCCAAAGACACCCAGCGAAGGTGGAGAACCTGGGGCCGTCAGTGAAGTGACTGGTGAGGCGACGCGCCCGCTATCCACTTCGGAGAGAAAGTCGGAATGGGCGTAGACGGCGTTGCCATAAGTGCTGGTGCTGTTCTGGTTACTGCAATTCATTGCACCATCCCTTAATGGGCGGAAAACCGGCCAAAACTTCGACAGAGACTTCGATCCTTAGATGATGCGGCCGGGCGCGGTAACAAGGCGGAAACCGGTGCCAGCCAACGGAAATACCGGTGTAAAGGCGGCCCGTCGTTCGATGGTCAGAAACCCTAACCCTCCGCCGATACCGGGAAAAGGTGGAGAGGGGGCGCGGGTCGGGAATAAGCAACGGCGTACATCCGTACCAGTGGCCGACGTGCTTATCTATCACCTGGCCACCGCCCCCGCATCATTCCTCGGTCAGTCACAGAAGCAAGCGCTCCAAGAACCGCTGGCGCATATTATTGTCTTTACGGATACAGGTCAGCAGAACCTACCAATCGTCAATGGTCATGGAAAAGGAACCCCAATTTGCGGGGGCCAGGGCCACGCCACCACGACGGCGCAATACGCCAATCGCCAAAGCAGCCGCCCTTCTTGGCTTCGTTGGACTAGCTGGTCTCGCTCACCGCACCGTGGACTTGAAGCATATATGGTGCAATGGCCCAGGCCCGCCTGGCCACGACCATCTACCACTTTCACAGCCTCTGCAATGCTCCCCGTACGGCCAGTTTCCGCGTCCAAACGACCCCTTCCATTTCATCCCGTGCACCAACGCTTCTCTACCCCCGGCACTCGACGACTCCAGCGCAGACAAGACCTGGAGCGGGCTCTTCGATCCCAATCCGGAGCATTGGAGCTGGGGACGGAACGTTGCAGACAAGGATGCATCGGATAATGATGACCTGTACTCGGGCCGCGGCATCTATCTATGCGGCTACCTCGACGTGCCCCTAGACTATACCAACGAGTCCGACAGCCGAATTGTGCGCCTGGCCGTGACCAAATTCCAAGTCTCCGGCCTCGAACCCAACCCGGAGGAAGCAGGGGAGAAGAAGAGCGAGCGCACCATCGTGATTGAGCCGGGCGGCCCCGGCGGCAGCGGCACGTCGTATGTCTGGAGAGCCGCAGAGAACGTGACGGAACGCCTGAGCAACGGCACCTTCGACGTGCTAGGATGGGATCCGCGCGGCGTGAACATCTCGCTGCCTTCCATCTCCTGCTTCCCCTACGACGCCGACCGGGACCGCTGGGCCCTGCTCACGGCCCGGTACCGCGAGGTGTCGCCGTCTCCCGCCGCGCACCTCGAGCTCGCCGACGCCATGAACAACGCGACCTTCCGGGCCTGCCGCGAGAGGCACGGCGACCTTGCGCGGTTCGTCAGCACCGCGTTTGTGGCCCGCGACATGGAGGAGATCCGGACGGCGCTGGGGGAGGAGGAGCTCACGGGGTATCTAGTCAGCTACGGCACGGGCATCGGTCAGACCTACGCCAGCATGTTCCCCGGCAGTGTGGGGCGGCTTATCCTGGACGGGACTGAGTACGTTCGCGACCACCGGCTCCTGGGTGGATTCGGCTGGACGGCATTGGATAATGCTACAGACGCCTGGCGTGACGGGTTTCTGGGCGAGTGCCTCAACGCCGGGCCGGCACACTGTGCGTTGGCCAGGTCGAAAGACGGAAAACCCGTCAGCCTGGAGGATCTGGAGGATCGCATGGCGTCGCTGACCAACTCGCTTGTCGTCCGACCGATCCCCGGCTATACCGAATCCAGCGGCCCCTCTCTAGTGACATACTCGGCACTGGTGGCGGCCATGTACTCCTCGATGTATAATGCCAGAAGCTGGCCAGCCCTCGCACAGATGCTCTACGAGCTGGAAGACGGCAACTCCACCCTCGCCGCGGCGTTCTTGGAGGGCCAAATCTGGGCATACAATCCTTCCCTGCCGGCCTCGCCGTCCCCCAAGCCGCCCAGCTCCCACGAGCTCGGCTCGCTGGTGATCTGCGCGGACTCGTACGACGCGCCGCAGCCGGCGGACGGCCTCGTGTGGTGGGACTCCCTCTGGGCCAACATGACGGCGCGGTCGTGGATCTCGGGCAACTCGCGATTCTACGACGTGCTTCCCTGCCGGCACTTCGACACGTACTGGGCCGCCCCCGCCGAGGTGTACCGCGGCGACCTAGACAAGACGCTCCGCCACCCCGTGCTGCTGATCGCCGAGACGTACGACCCGGCCACGCCGCTGCGCAACGGCCGCCGCCTGGCCGCGGAGATGGGACCCAACGCGAGACTGATCGCGCACCACGGGTACGGGCACTCGTCCCGGGACGAGTCGGACTGCACCGATGAGATTGCGAGGCGGTTTATTCTCCATGGCGAGCTGCCCGATGAGCCCGAAATTGCGTGCTATGCCAACGAGAAGCCGTACCGATATGGCGTGGGCGCAAATGAGACGACCATTTTTGGGGCGGAGGAGTGGGATCCCGTCAAGGCGTGGCAGGAGCATATCCAGGAGGTGATGATGTGGAACCCAAGGCTGTTGTTGCCAAGGCTGTAGATACAGTCCCTTATGTTTACCTAGCATGCGTCGCTGCGTCGATAACGATATTCTGTATTGGCTTAATTATGGTCTACCTGGACTAATAATTGATGCCGGGTTCGCATATTTTATGGTTAAGGCCTAAAAAGTTGTTAAGTTAGAGTCTAACGCATCCGTCGGGTAAGGCCTCTTGGCATCCTTAGCTTCCTCACTGTCTCACCTGACAGGTAATTAACAGGGAAACCCGCCGCCGCTAATGCCCTCCACGGACGCCGTTGACGATGCCAAGGACCCGGCTTACTATTCAGCCCTTTGCGCAATGCTAGCGGAACGAGACAGATATATATCGTTGCTGTAAGTTTTGGCGACAGCGACGACAATGATAACGCTTCTTTCTTTGGCACCAGTAACTCTCCTTTAATTAGCGACAGCTTTGTGATACACCTTACAATTGTTAGGGTTGCCCCAACTTCAAAGATGACGTCCCGAGGAGATAACGTGCCACAATTTTTGTTATCGGGTAGATATTGCAGGTTTAACTTAGCTTTTCAAGGACTTGTTACTGAAAACGGCGACCGAGGTGCTTCTCAGCCTTAGCCCTAGCATGTTACGGGGCAAAATGCAGCGAATTAAGTTTGTGACGATCGACCCATCCCCCGCACCTTGCCCCCAGGCTTACCGTGTCCCCACAAATCTGTCCCAAACTAGCAGGTGCTGCAGAATGACTCTCGCCCCTGTTCTCCAAATCCCGGTCACTCGGTGCTCTGACGTAGAAGGCTGGCCGCAATAAATACGATGCCCCGATTTGCACATAAGATCATCGGGTCGCCATCTGCACGATGATCTTGTCCTTTTTTTTCCCGTCCCTTTTCCCCTCTTTTCGTCGAAGGCAGGGTTGTTGACCAGTCCAATTCACCGACGAAAAAAAAAGAAACCGCACTGCCAATCGCTGAATGATTCTGTCATGGAAAAGGAAACCCACCAGCATGTTGACGACGGCGGCACCCTCGACCCCGAGGTTAGCCGGCCCGCCGAGAACTCCAAGTTCAACCTCGCCACCCAGCACGACCAGCTGCAGCGAGGTCTTAAGAGCAGGCACATTCAGTTCTTGGCCCTTGGTAGGTTCTGCCACTCGTTTTCACTATTGTATTTCGAGCACACACACACACACACACACACAGACATCGCAATTCACGCAGAGACAAGAGTCGAGTCGATGGCTGACAATGATGCATCTTCAAATTCACAGGCGGTGCCATAGGAACCGGTCTCTTCGTCGGCTCGGGCTCCATCCTCGCCGCCACCGGTCCCGCGCCGCTTTTTATGGCCTACCTCTCCATGATAATGATAGTCTGGGTCGTCATGAACAATCTGGCCGAGATGGTCGTCTACCTGCCCATGCGCGGCATCACCGTCCCCTATTTTGTCGCCCGTTTCGTCGACCCTAGCCTGGCCTTCGCCTCCGGCTGGAACTATTGGTACGCCTACAGCATGCTCGTCGGCGCCGAGGCCACTGCTGCTGGCCTCGTCATCGAGTATTGGAACCCGCCTGTCAATATTGCCCTGTGGATTGCCATCGTCCTGATCGTCAATCTGCTGCTCAATATCATCGCGGTCGGCTTCTTCGGTGAGGCCGAGTTCTGGTTCGCGAGCATCAAGCTGATTACTATTTGTGGCCTCATCATCCTCGGCGTCGTCATCTTCTTCGGTGGCGGTCCCAACCAGCACCACGTCCTCGGGTTTCACTACTGGAAGACTCCTGGCGCGTTTGTCCAGTACAACGCCCCGGGCACCACCGGTCGCTTCCTCGGCTACTGGCACGCTTTTATCGCAGCAGGCTTCGCCTTCATCACCTCCCCCGAGCTGATCGCCATCGCTGCCGGTGAGACGGTCGCCCCACGGCGCAACGTTCCCAAGGCCGCCCGCCGGTTCGTCTGGCGCCTCGCCATCTTCTACGGCATCTCCTCCCTCCTCATCGGCATCCTTGTCCCTTCCTCCGACAAGCAGCTTCTGGGCGCGTCCGACGCCAGCGCCTCGCCCTTCGTCATCGGCATCCAGAACGTTGGCATCCCCGTCCTGAACCACATCATCAACGCGGCCATCCTCACGTCAGCCTGGTCCGCCGGCAACTCGTTCCTCTACTCGGGCAGCCGCGTGCTCTACTCGATGGCGCTCAACGGCCAAGCCCCCTCATGGTTCCGCGTCACGAACCGGCACGGCGTCCCCTACGCTGCCGTCCTCTTCACCTGGGCATTCGGCTTACTGGCCTTCCTCAACGTCTCCAACACAGGCGCCACCGTGTTCAACTGGTTCGTCAATATCTCGACCATCTCGGGCTTCATCGCCTGGATTGTCGTCATGATCACGTACCTGCGCTTCCGGCGCGCCATGGAGCACAACGACATGCTCACGACACTGCCCTACCGCACCGCCCTGCAGCCGTACGCCACCTGGGCGGCCCTGCTGGTCATCTCGCTCCTGACCATCACCAACGGCTTCCAGATCTTCATGGGCCACAACTGGGACGTCGCCGACTTCGTGGCCGCGTACATCACCCTGCCCGTCTTCCTCGCCCTCTATCTCGGCCACAAGATCTGGTTCCGAACACGGCTGTGCATCCGCACCCCGGACGTCGACGTCATCACGGGGAAGCGCGAGATGGACGAGCTTGAGGCGTCGGATGAGATTCGCGAGCCGAGGAATTGGGCTGAGAAGGCTTGGTTCTGGGTTGCGTAGGGGAGTTTGGATGCTATAGTTTTGCCTTGTAGAGTAGGCAGGTTTAGCTGACCTAGGAGAAGACCACATCATTACATATACAATTTGTCGCGGATCTTGTTACCCAACTCGCGACCGATGGTCAGCTCAAGCACGACACCGGCACCCGGATCAGCAGGGACCAGGAATGACACGCATGAACGCGGAACCCACTCCCCTGCCTTTTCTTTCCTGTACGTATTGCCTGTTCTGAGGGCGGCAGCCATCTCGGTGCCTGGAGGCAAAGCCCGGTCAATGCCCTCCTCAGTAAAACCGCCGATGTGTAAAGATGGGCCGGGCACCAAGTGACTGCCGTTTGGCAGTACGACGTGTTGCACCCCATCCGTCACCCCCAACTCGGCTCCAGTCATGTCGCGTATGAGACCCGGCACTGTGGGGCTCCCCAGATATATGCGCATGGTGCAGTCAGCCATTGGGTCGCCGGGTACTATCATCTGCACCGCGTCCGTTCTTCCCCGCATTCCGTCCCTGGGCAGGGTAGGGTTGGTGGCTCCTAGATTGATGGCTTTGTTAGAGATGAGCTCTTTGCTGTACTTAGATGCGACCATCTCAAAAGAGTAACACACCGCCCTGTCCCGTGTTTTCCGACATTCCGTGAACCTCCTGCGAGACACGAGATGGTCAAACAGAGAGTCTATTGATTTCTCTGGGGCCAGTTGCAATGGGCTGGATAGATGAAGAGAGATTGAAGAAAATGAAATATTGCTACGGGGGAGTTGACGAGGGGAGGGGTAGAAGAGCTTTGGCTGCGTGAGCGGGGAAGCAGCAGCAGCACCACCCACTCACTGAGCAAGAAGATCTGGGCAAAGCATTTTGATCTGACACGTGGGTGCGAATCAAACCCTGGACACATCTTGTCTGTTTGAACCCCCCAGTTTGTGATTGGTAGACACGCCCGCCGTGATTAGCTGATCCCGTCGGAGTGCCTGTTGGCATCCATGTTCGCCCTGTTTGGGTCATGCTGGAAGCAATGTACTTATACCAAGAACGGTAATCAAATTGAGTAACTCAGTGTGTCAAAATACACGAAAATGGGCCTCAATCCGATGACTGTGCCATTCGGCCAATCGGGGACTATAACCTTCCGCGGCCGGGAGGGGGGGAAGGGGGGCATGATACGCCACCACTTTCAACAGGTTGTGACACTCTGCTTCTATAAAGCCTCGTCGTGTCATGACTCTTCACACACCACTCCTTCTTCACAACACCGAGAACACGTAACTAGAAAATATCGCGATGCAGTGCTTCGGGTGCTTTTCCTTTCTCGCTAGGCGGAACACCAAGCCCGCGCCAAGCTGGATTCCCTCCTCCGCCAGCAACCAACCGTCACATGAGATCGAGCGGCAGGCGACCAAGATCGTCGACGTCCTCTGCACCGCCGAGAAGCCAGGACAGGAGCTGCGGCTCCGGCTCGATGAGGTTGTTCGTACCAATAGCTGGACCGAGGCCCTTGCGAAGGCCGTTCTGCGGGGCATCGAGGAAACCATCAAGGCGTATCAGGCCATGTCAATGAACACCGTCTTGCGAGAGGCCATCGAGACGGCGCAGTGCGCCGCGGAAGAGCTCTTCGACTTTGCGCGGGAACACCCGGTCTTCGTCACCATCGTCGCCATTGGGGTTCTGGCTTTGCTGGCGCCCTGGGCGGTCGAGGCTCTTGGGTTCGGCGAGCTTGGGCCGGTCGAGGGTTTGTGTCCCCCCCCCCCCCCAAGAACACGATGGCTTGGCTTTTGGTCACCGGCTAACCATCAGCAGCAAGCTTTGCCGCCCTCTGGCAGTCCACATACCGCGGCTTGGTTCCGAAAGGCTCGCTCTTTTCCTTCTTCCAGCGGCTCGGGATGATATGGGGTCGTGCATAAGGTCTTGTCGGTTACGAAGAGGAGGATAGTATGCCGGTCATCGGATGGGTGAGGGTCGAATTGCTTCGGCCAGAGATATGAGGAGTGTCGTTTTGCCCCTGGGGTCACTGTGAATGGCGGCCTAGCTACTACCTGCGAGCTCCTTAAAGACCCATCGAATCATTTCCGCCACAGCGTTCTCAATTTCCAAATTCTCCTCCTCTGATCATCTGTGCTGCACATGGTGTTTATATCCTAAGAGTAGGACAGAGTCTTGCGCTGTCATGTACCTAAGGTATCAAGTCATTACTCTCAATGATGGCGCGAACGAGATTGGTCGAACGCGAATCGGTCGGGTAGTCCATCATAAGCACGCCATAGCGAGCAAGCGGTTGCACCTGCGCCGTCAGAAACTCTTGCATGTACGTATTAACCCCTTTGCAATACTTGGACCTGTCGTCGTCATAGAATCCCTGTGCAAACTCCCATGGCTCGGCCAATGTGAAGGTGACGGCACTCGAGTAGTTGAAATACCACACGTCGGGCTTCTGATTCGACGCGGCCTCCTGCATCAGGCTCTTGACTAGATCGAACTTGATCGGAATGGTCTTCCACGGGCCCCCACGTGCATAGGCAAAGTCGTATTTGTCCTGGACGCGGACGTTGGGCACTGGGCTTCCGGGCGTGGCGGCGATGGGAAAGGGTATGTCCCAGTTGTCCTTCCAGTCCTGGACGTCAAGACCTGCGCTGTTGAGTGGCTGCGGTGGGAACAACTCAAAGCGCCGTACAAGCTGAATCCGCCCTTGCAAGTCGCTGAGCTTCGGGATGTCGGTCTCCAAACGCCACCGACTGGGGTTCGAGGCGATAACCGAGAAAATGACGTTGCTGAAGTCGAAAGGGGTCCATTTGGCGGGCAGAGAGCCATCTCGTTTGAATTGAATGACGAGTCCTTCCTTGGGATGGTTGTCAAGGAAGTCGTACAGGCTTTGGAGGACGTCAACCAGCCCTAGACCGAGAGGGTAGTCACCGTGCACCAGGACTGGGTTCTTTTTCGCCGTCAGATTGACCCGCAAGTCGAAAAATCGAATTCCTTGCTCTGCTTGCTCGGAAACCGTGAGAGACTGCGTGCCCACAAACGGGACGACCGACTTTGAACAGCTATCGTGGGTTCCGGGGATAGACAGATGTGATACAAGAACGTTGGGATTGGCTACATGTGCCATCCATGATGAGAGGGGAACCTTGGAAGGCATCTTGTGATTTGGATACCGGAGACAACGGTGACATCAGAGAGTCTATGCTTGGGAGTCAGCAGTCCATCACTGCATGTCCCTGAGGAACGCGGCATTTATATCATTTATGCCTGAAAGAAGTTCGACAGTAAGACGGCCGCCGACCGAGGTTAGAGGCATTGGTTGGCTGCACATAGACTTGGATTTTCCCAACCCTGTAGTCCTATACTGTCCACTTGCCGGCCCTGGTTTCCTGCGGCTGAGGTTCGTTATTCCAGAACTTGCCATTGGCATCTTTCCAGGGGGTCAGGTGGCACGGTAAGGTAGGGATTTATCAGCTGAGATAGACCGAGCGAAGCAATAGTTTCCAGGACTAATTATGTGAACTATTACTAGGTGCAGACTGATGGAAAGAGCTCGTGAGTCCTGCTTCTGACTGTGGCTGGCGAAATATTCCAAATACAGAAAGATGTGTACAATACTTACTAGTACTACTACGCTGGATGTAGTACATGCCTGGGGCGCAGTGGCGGTGATGTGTGGGGACATGCTCACAGGATCGGCGGTGCGACGTTCTAGACCGGCTGCCGGATCTCCTACTTGAGGGCCGGGCCGCACACATACGCTGCGCATGCATCTGCTAGGATGAACATGGATTCCTCAGCCGTTGCCGTTAGGTGTTTGGGAGAAGGGCTATGCTGTTTTTGGGTTGGACCCTTGCGCGAATAATTCAACAGCAGGGGCAGTGATAGGACGGACTCTCCGCTCCAACCGAGGGGGGCAAATGGATCTTAATCAGATTGTCAATAATTGGCCCGCTTCTGACGGTGGCCGGGCCGTATATTGACAATTTTTACGACGTTGCTAAACCGTTTCTGATCGTAGCTGCTTCAATGGGCCCGGCTGGATTGTGACTCGTGACAAGTCATGGCCGGCTGAGATGATCCAGAGTGGAGGAGGTTCTTGTTGTGAATGGAAGCTTGACCAGCCAAAGTTCAAGCAACCATGCCAGAGGTATGGGGAGAGTCTCCTCCGCAGAACGTAAAGCATGACAAAGCGACTATAAGTATGCAATGTCGGCCTCGATGCCGTTTCTGCCCCGAGTAAGCATCAGTTCTTCACGACTCGTCATCTTACCATCTTGAGCATCTTGAGTGTGCCTCCTCGCCAACCAGCCATTCCAACGAGCCTGTAAAGACAGTAATAATGGCGAACAGTACTGTGTATGCCATGACTATCAATATAACGAACAACACCGACAATGATCTCAAACCGTTGGGTGCCACCTTCTACGACGGGGATGGCGACGTACAACAGCAGCCGAAGACGGTCCTAGCTCACTCGACCGGCGACGGCGGCGTCCTGGAGAAGGTCGGAGGCACCGACGGCCTGTTTGGACTGGTGGCCTATGCCACGCCGGATCCGACGCAGACACTTGTCATATACATCACCATGCCGGCATTGAGTGGGACTAACAATCATTGCTGGGTATGTACACGTACAATACAAGTCCGGAGATTCTCCTATTTGGAAAATATTGCTAACTAAAAACTTAAACAGGTTGGACTCGTCCCTTCCAGCACCAATATTAATCCGGCACTCGCGAAGTCTTGCTATGACGGCCCTCCAAGTGGATTCTCGGAGGGGCAAATCACATGGAAATTCTCCCAGAGCGGGGAGAAATTCTTTCTCGTTGTAGGTAGCGACGTGTAACGGCACGAAATGCGAATCTGGTGTACTGATATTTGTAGGTTAAACCGTCCGTGGCCGATAAGAGGGCCTACCTCACCTCGTCTACCGTCGAGCTAGACATTTATCACCAAGGGTCTGAGCCGTCCGGCTCTTGATTCACTACACCACCGCCGTCTGTTGCCACCCTCGGAAGCATGCGCCTTTCCGTTGCGGCCTCGTGGAGAGGGCCACAGCGAGGCGCCGTGGACTTGCCCGGGCCTGATGGGGCGGGATGGGGTTCTGGATTTGGCAGAAAGAAGAGTGTATATACCAATTTTATCGAGTCATCTACCACGTACGACCATACCCATTGGAAAACTCGGGATCCCGTCCGCTCTCCCATAGATAAGCCAATGAGGGCCAGACTAGTAGTTGGGTCGGTGACGACCAGCGAATCCCTGGTGTTGTACGTTTTTTTTTTTTCTCTCTTTTTTCTTGGCTGTAAAAAGTCCATAAGCCTGCAGCAGAAACAAAGGCCTTTTTTATGCTTTGGAGTCAATGTTGCACCGAGCGTGGCCAGCATCTCTGTGTCTGAAATATCCATCTAGTGCTCAACTAAAGCTACCTAGGTAAGCACCCAAATAACTGTACGTAATTACCGCCTCAGCGACCAAGACAGCGTCAGTTATTAGATGCCTATACTGTCCATCGCTGAGTCAGCCATTGAACCGTCCTGAACTGCGCAAATCAATGGCTTGTTAACCTGTGGTTAAGTGAAAGTAGACAGATGCTTGCCACTTGCTAGGCAGGCAAGCAACATGTCTTTTATGTTATTGCACATGGCTTGAGGTTGGCCGATTGCCAGAAATTTAGACTGTCTGACCCAAGCAAGTACTCTGCCGTGCTCCGCCAACGTCCAACCTAGTGCAAAAAACTGTTGACCACAGTGATGGTAGTAGTGTAGACCATTCCCACTGCCCCGAGAGTCATGAAAGCCAGGTCCCCAATCTTGGCCGCCCTCGACGTGGCGACGCCCTTGTAGTGCAGGTACGGCGGGTAGATGTAGACCAATGGCACGCAAGCAAGCGACCCGATGAGGGCGACGAAGCGGTCCAGGTTCGCCGACCCGGCGATGGAGATGGCGACGCACACGGCGACGAGGGCGGACCGGAAGGCGTTCTTCTTCCACTTGGTCAGCAGGTCCTTCTTGCCCGAGCGGTCGCCGAAGAAGCGGTGCTCGAGGATGCGCATGGCCGGGAACAGCTGCACCGGGTTGCCCACCAGCACCGCCAGCGCGTACATGACCTGCACGGCGTTGACCAGCCGGCTGTCCTGCGGGAAGTTGTCGATGACTTCGATCTGCGTGTCCGAGCCGAAGGTGGCGTAGCAGAGCGCGCCGATCGACGTGAAGATGACGGTGATGATGAGCATGACCACGCCCAGGAGCGGCTCGAACCGCTCGGGGTTCCGCATCGAGGACTGGATCGGCAGCACGAGGCCGATGCCCTCAAAGGTGAAGATGGAGGCCCCGATGGTCATGGTGTAGGCGTCGGGGTTGAAGAGCTCGACCGAGGGGTGCATCCCGCGGCTGGAGAGTGCCACGATGTCGTAGTAGTAGATGTACACGAGGCCGATGACGATGAACACGTCGGCGATCAGCGCGGCCGGGCCCAGCTTGGAGATGTTGCGGATGAAGGAGAGCGGGATGATGACGGCGGCTTGCACGGCGATGAGGGGAATGACGCCGACAGGGCTGGCTCCGTTGGTGACGGCCTGCAGGAAGGAGTGCCAGTTGTCGGCAACGAAGACCAAACCAGTGCAGACGAATCCCAGCTGCGACAGCGTGATGGACCCCAAGATCAGGGCACGCATCCTGGGACCGGCGATCTCCCTTCCGATGTCGCCGTAGCCCCCGCCATAGCGCGCCCTGCACGCAAGCAGCAGGTGGAAGGCGAGCATGGAGATGGCGGCGACGGAGAGCATGGCCAGCGATGAGAACAGAATGCCGCCGTTCTTGAACGCCTTGGGCAGAAACATGATGCCCGTGCCGATGAAGGCCTTGACCGTCGTGAAGAAGGTATTGACCATGCCGGAGTCGCCTTTTTTGGGGGGCCGCGTCGACGGTCTACGGCGGCCAAGAAGCGGCCGTGTCTCGGTTGGAGCCGTGCCTGCCTCCTGCTCCTCTTCCTCCTCCTCAAACTCAAGGGCTTCCTCGTCCGACTCAGCCAGGTCCTCGCCAGCAAAGGAACCGTACAGGTCGAGGAACTCGATGAAGTTCCTGGTAATGGGTAGGTTCCTGCCGCCTTGTACACGATGTTTCTGCATGACAAATTGCCGTCGGAAGCCCTGAGGTTGTAGCATCTCCTCAGGGTGAAGCATGCCGTCGTCATCCGTAGCCTCGGAGTCCTGTCTTGGTGGATGGGAAAAGGTCTTGGACCTTTGTATGGGGGCCGCCTTGATTTTGTAGAGGCCTCGGTGTATGTCCCCGCCGGGCAGCCTGAGCGAGGATTCCTGCTGTTCCTCCCCCTCCCCGGTCACGCCCGCGGTCACCGGCGGAGCGGAATGGGCCGACTGGGTCTCCAAACCCGACCCACCGGCATCTTCACCGGCGTCAAAAGCCGTGCCGTATCCCGCATGCAGGTGTTCGGCAACGATGGCTGTCTGCCGCTCATCACTTCTTTGAGGTGTCGACGACATTGTCAGCTCCAATTGGAGGGTGAGAATGACGTCATTAGACCTGGAGTCGAAGGAGTGGAAATGTCTGCGAGGTTTCTCCTTCGTTTCTTCCTTTTGAGGTAGAAGTCGGGCTGACAGCGAAGTGCCTTTTTTTCTTTCAGGCACGGGTACAGCGGGTGTGTCCCGTCGTCATCGAGAACAAGTTTATGTGGGGCAGGATGAAAGATACTTAGACCTGCGTAATAATCAGGTGAGACCAAACGTATTTTCCATCTTGACGCTAGACCCCCCCCATTGGCGCCCCATAGATAAGATAAGCGGATCAGGTGACGACCGGCGAATCCCGAGGTTGCACGCTCATTTTTAGTGGGGCTTTGCACCAGGTGCCGAAGAATTTGGCAGATGGTCTTGTGGGCCGCCAGGATCCAAACTAGTACCTCTGCCATCGCCAGCGCCATTGTTAATAGCGGGCACCGTTGCCAGCTAACGCTATTTATATCGCTTGTAATTGTCCCTACACCAGTTCTGTTGCCATTGCCGCCACTTGATAGCTCTGTTGATGTTGCTGTCGCCAGCTACAATTGTTGGCGCTCGTTAAACCAGGTGGCAGAGTTTCTTTCGGTCCGTAACAGTTGTACCCTGGCAGTCCAGCTCCTTGCATCAGGGGTAACTACCGTGCCGAGCGTGCCTACCTATACGTAGGTATGGAGAGTCCCCAAAATAAAAATAAATATGCGCATCCCCTCAGACAGATTCCCACCTACAATCCACGCGCCGCGAAGATAGACAATGGTCATTTGTTTCACGTGATGAATATCGTTTCGCAACGTTACCAACGGTTTTACCAATGAGTGGCAGCCGTTAGTGCACGCCGCCAAGATGAGGCAGGGATGCTGGACAAGCCTCCTTGGCATTTGGCTATATCAGAACCACGTCTTGGCAATTCTAGGGATGACAACCATTGGGCCGCATTGCTTGACAACACGTGCGTCCCATATATCTTGTTCATTTCTCATGGGGCATAGCTCCTGGCCGCTAATGATGTTGGTCGAGGACATGGATAAAGAGGCGGGCATGATAGTAAGGTGGTGATCGATTGGATTGATGACCACGCAGCACCTGCCTTCTAGAAAAAAAAGCAGCTCTACCCTAACATTGCTAGCTAGAGCTCTCCAAACCCCTGTCAACAGCTCAGTAGAGCTACAAGGATTAGCTTGCTGTGTATGAGGGGTAGGATGGATCTTCATGTATAAGATGAGACGTAGCATTCCTAGAAGTCTCAGCTGCTGCTCTTTCCGTTGCCCTTCATAGAAGACGAGTCATCTCCGAGAAGACCAAACCAAGTGAGGTGTACGCACCTCGATTTGCCATGCCTGCAATGCCTGCCATGTCCGCCGTCTCGCTTGCCCTGGCCGGGCTTCTGGCCCTTGGGCCAAAGGTTAATGCCGCACCCGCCGGCAAGTCCTGCGGTGGACTGCAGCCGATCACCAGCGTCCAGCTCGGCCCGCGGCCCTACTTCCTGGTCAACGACATGGATCCCGGTCCGCTGAAGAACAAGCTGGCGTCCTGCTCGGAGCTGGAGATGAAGCCCACCGCCTTCAGCATTGGCCACCGCGGCGGCGGCACCATGCTCATCCCGGAGGAGACGCTGGAATCGCAGCTTGCCGGAGCCCGGATGGGCGCCGGTATCCTCGAGTGTGACGTGGCCTTCACGTCTGACAGGGAGCTTGTGTGCCGGCACGACATCTGTGATCTCCACACCACGACGAACATCGTCACCATCCCGGAGCTGAACGCCAAGTGCACCAAACCCTTCAAGCCCGCAGATCCCAAGGCCGGCACCAAGGCCAGCGCGACTTGCTGCACCAGTGACATCACCGTGGCCGAGTTCAAGTCCCTCTGCAGCAAGATGGACGGCTACAACCCAAGCGCCACCACGCCGCAGGACTTCCTACACGGCACCCCTGCGTACCGCACCGACCTGTACGCCACCTGCGGCAAGGTGATGACGCACAAGGAGTGGATCAAGCTCGTCGACTCCCTGGGCCTGAAATTCACGCCCGAGCTGAAGACCGCGCCCTTCGCCATGCCCTTTGACGGCGACTACACGCAGGAGAAGTACGCCCAGCAGTTCGTCGACGAGTACCGGGAGGCGGGCATCGACTTTAGCCGCGTCTGGCCGCAGAGTTTCCTGTACGACGACGTCCTGTACTGGCTCGAGCACGAGCCCGAGTTTGCCAAGCAGGCCGTCCTGCTCGACGAGAGCGGCGACACCCCTGCGACCTTTGAGAAGGCCGTTGCGAACCTGAGCGGCTACCGGGCCGCCGGCGTGAACATCATGGCTCCGCCGCTGTACTACCTTGTCGCGCTGGATGAGGCTGGCAAGATTGTGCCTTCCAAGTATACCATTGAGGCAAAGAGGCTGGGTTTCAAGCTTATTACGTGGTCGCTGGAGCGGTCTGGCTTCCTTGGCGACGGGTCCAAGGGTGGATTCTACTTCACCTCCATCGCCAATGTTACGAACAACGATGGTGATGTGTATAACCTGGTCCACGCCTTGGCACAGGACGTTGGTGTGCTTGGAATCTTCTCGGATTGGTCGGCTACTGTGACCTACTATGCCAACTGCTTCGGTCTCTTCCCGTAGAGAGGGATAAGGGTGCATGGCATGGCTTGTCGTTGTGGTTGACTGGAGGATGTGTTTGCTCGGGTTGAACTTCATTTCTAAACTAGAGAAGCATGTTTGTTAGACATTGAGACAACGTCCATAAGCTACATAAATTATCCGTCAAACAGGTAATACTCATGAAGCATACGTCCCCCCTACTGGCACGAGGTCTCGGCGCTCTTGATCGACTTCCTTCGGAGGAGTTAGCTCAAAGTATGTCAGAGTCGGGTGGCTGTTGCTCAGGGACGAGTAATAATGCCACCGGGGCTACTCGCGAAGTGCCAGTTTGAGGTTTCTCCCTCCTCTCTGTGCCATCGTCTCCTATCGAGGTCCATACAACCCTTACACTCGACGATCCCGACGTAGGCCTCTGGGATCAAGGGGCATTCGCTGCGGGCAACATGTCGCCCTTGTGAACTGGTTATGGAAGTAGATGCCGCGATGGCTTTGTCTTCGGCGGTAGAGAACGGCCTCGAGGAGTCAGACCGTTCCGACTCTGTCCTCTCTGTACCTCCGTTGCTGTGAGAGACTCACGGCCAAATTTGGGATCCCGCAGTTCTCCATCAGTTGTTGACCTTACTAGGGAGAACAGCTACAAACAGGACGCGTATTAATAAAGGCCTGCTGCCGTTGCTTACGCTTCCCACCATCCCGTCATGTTGCGAAAGGGGGAAAAAGGGGTAAAGGGGGTAGCCCGTGCAGAGTCATGGTGTCACTTCCTGGGTACAGCGAGAGGCGCCACACTGCATCAGATGTGTGTTGGTATTGGTTTCAACCGAGAAATCCACATGTGCAGCGATAATGGTTAGCGAAACTGCGGTACCCTGAGAAATCACATCAGGACCTCGGCTCGTGTTCCGATTAGATTGCATCATAGAAGTAGATGTCAATGAAGAAGAACCCTTTGCGTCGAAACGTAGTGGTCAAGAATTGGAGAAAAACCATTAAATAAGTAATTAACTATACGCTCAGGGTAGCGCCCCGTGGTTGTCAGAACCTACAACCCATAATGCATCATGATAATCCCTAATCGCAACCCCGTGTCCTTCTTCGCGGCCCTTCTACTTGTCCAAGCCTAGAGACTTGTTAAACTCAAGCATTGGCAACTCGGGGCTCCCCTTATCACGCGAGGGGACAGCCCTGATCGTCGTGTGCACCCCCATCCTCAGCCTCCCGTCGAACACCTCCGAACCGTCCGTGTCCGTGTCTCCCTTCGGAGGGTAACCTTGCACGTCATTTCGGTGCTCCTTCGGTAGCCGCCTCTTCTTCCGAATGGCAAAGAATAGGAACGCAGCCAAGCCCACAAGGATGACGACACCAGCAGCTGCGCCGATGCCAATTCCAGCCTTGGCCCCCCGGGAAAGACCGCTCGCCGCCTTTCCGGCCTCCGCCGTGGGATCGCTTCGCGGCGGCTCCCCGTCGGTATTCTCAATCCCCCCGGTGCTCGGCTTCCTCTCCGTTGCCGGCTGGGCGTGGTTTCCGACGCAGGAGAAGCTCCCCTTGACGATCGGCTTGATGTTCTGGTCGAACCAGGAGCAATCCATCGAGGCGGCCCCCACGATCTTGAAGTCCGACGTCACCTCCTTCAAGCCGAAGAACTCGACGTTCGTCAGCGCCGGCCCCTTAATGGATATTGTTCCGGCGGTTGCCAACGCGTTGGCCGTGAAGTTGTTCAGCCCGTCGTTGCCGGAGATGAATATGTTCTTCATCGAGCGCAGTCGGGGGAAGGCGAGCGTCGTCATGGCGGAGTTGTCCTCCACGGTGATGCTGCCGACCGCATGCGTCAGGATCGGGATGGTCAGGTCGGTGAGCGAGGTGGACTGGAAGGCGAGATCGCCCGTCACGTTCCGGAGAGACGGCAGGTCTATCTCGTCAATGTCTTGGATGGTGGACGTGCTGGTCGTGTTCGGCTTGCCGAGGGAGGAAAGCTGCGGTAGCGAGACGGCGAATTTCTGCCCGTTCGAAGCGAAGGAGAGAGTCTCGGCGAATTGGAGGGCTGGCAGTTCCAGCTCCACCAGTTTGGGATTTCCGTCAAAGGTCAGGTCTGCCCCCACGGTCTGCAACGAGTTGAGAGATACGGACGATAAAACGTCATTCTGTTGTATCCGGAGGAAGCTGGTCACCGTGACAAGATCCCCGATATCCAGTGTCTTCATGCTGGGGTTTGTATTGATCGTCAATTGCCCGTCCATGGTGACCAACCCTCCAACGTGGAATTCGTCCACGTCGGTACCCCACGCCTGGAACAACTTTCCAACAGTGAGCTTGTCGGAATGTTGGATCGCCACCTCGCTGATCCCGCCGGTGATGGCATATCCACGACCCACGGATTCCAGGCTCGGAAACGAGATGCTGAGGCTTCGAACCGTGCCGGTGGAATCGATATTCTGGATGGTGATCCCACCTTTGATGGCCTTGAGCTTCGAGGCGATGACGGTGGTCCGCTGAGGACGGGAGTCAGCGTAGATGACAAGGTCGCCCGTGATGGTTACGATGTCGCCCAGATCGACGACGGCGTTGGAGGATTGCCATGCCGAGGGCTTGTCGCCGAAGAGGAGGGAGATGGAGCCGTCAAAGGTCGTGCAGCTGGAGATGTCATCGCTGCCGGCGGGGGAGGAGATGGAATAGCCAGGGGAGCTGCATCCTGTAGAAAGACAGCGTCAGTCACCATGTTTTGGCTGGAAAATGAGGTACTGAATGGACTGTACCTGCTGCGACAGAACCAAGAAACTGGGAGACCAGCAAGACTGCCGTTAAGAATGGACGGCGTGGCATGCTCGCGATGGCACTGACGGCCTCAAACCTTGACCCCTCAGAGTCGTATCACAAAGTGCACCCAGATTCGAGAGAACTGGGTTTGAAGGTCCAGGGAAATTGGTCCATGTTTTACACGCACGGATCACGGGGTGGCTGTCAGCAGCCAAGACCACCGCTAAACTCACTACGGGCTGCCAGCAGGGGTTCGCGATCAATAGCGCGCGATCTAGACTCGTGTGTCAGCAAATTCGAAATTTGGTGCTGTTTGCGTACAACTCGAACATGGGAAGGGGAGAGAGCCTGAGACTGTAAGGGTCAATATGATGTCTCTCGATATTGCAGGGTTTACCTTGAAGTGACAGGCAAATGATACTTGCCAAGGCCACGGGAGAAGACCTTGGCAGCCCGAAGCTTCTGGGAATAGCAATAGGGCTCAAACTCCCCCACAGCCCTCCCTGTCCCGTCCCGGTCCTGGATCTCCGAGTGCGCGGCCCGGGAAGACGGGGCTAGTGAAAGGTGGAACCTGGCTGCGTGGAAAAGGGAAGGAAAAAAAGGGGTAAAACGTGGGGCCTGTGCACTCTGTGATCACGTGAAGATCCCTGTTTTTTATCCTGGTCCCGCTTCCAGGAACGCTTCATCTGGAGCGTTGCAGTTACAACTTTGGTGGGGCGGTACCTTGAGGGTGATCGGCGTGATCGGCAGCTCTTGCGAGATTAGCTTTAGGTTTTGGGCCGGTTTTAGGGCTTTGAAAAGCTCGATTATGACGGGTGAGAAGCCAGAGACGTCCCCATCGCCGACATGGCCAACAGTGTAAGTTCACCGGGCCCAAGTCCGGTGCCACGCCCGGTAAATGTCACCGGGGAGGCCGGCTACATCTCGAATGCGGAGCTCAACGACATCATGGGCCTCGCATCCGGCAGCGGCAAGCGGGACGGCAGCGGGGTGACCTCGTACTACGACGAGGACAGCCGAGTCCGACACTCTCGTCTAAGGCGATAACTGAGTTTCGTACATGAACTCGGCGACGCTGAGCAAGCGCGTGGCGAAGTACAAGAGCGACAACTTCGGCGGTTCGACCGAATGGGCCGTCGACCTGGCGCGGTTCGTCGTCAAGTACGACCCGGATAATGAAGACTCCGGCGGTGCTGACTGGCACCATGTCTACTGTGGCGATTCGTCGATGGACATTAACGTGGACCCCGACATCCGATGGAGAGATCTGGGCTGCGAGGGAGCCTGGAAGGATGCCGAACTCGCTAAGGTAAGGGGAGGTGAGTCTCGGTAAGGCTCGGTGGTGCGGGGTTGTGCTGAGGCAGGAGAGGTAGGGCGGAATTGCCCAAGTGTGTCCTTCGCTACCTTGCCGGTAACTACATAACTACCACAACTCCCGCCCTCTCGCGTCGCCCACCTTCTTGCCGCATTCTAATTGCTTCCACGCCCGATCCCACTGTTTCTTAAGTTGGCTATTCTTGCGCTCGTCGAAAGGCATGATTAATGACCACGCCGCGTTACGTGGCACTTCCGGTCGACAAGGCAGCCGACGACGACGAATTGTTAAAGCACGTCACCCACGAGGTACGGACCCCGTATCCCTTACCGCGCATCGGAGCCTGTTTTGTGCCAATGCTGACATATGTGCTGCCAAAGTTTGGTGATGGCTTCTCGGCGTCACAATGTGACGTCTCTGGCTTCTCACCCGTCATAATCGAGCTTTTCAAAGCCCACCCGACCGATCGTGTCATCGTCTTTAGACCACAAGCTGGACTCGAAGGCTTCGGGTGCATACGCATACGTGTGCTGAAGAAAGACGAGGACGACAAGCACGGGGACAGGGACAAGCAGAACAAGCACAAGGTGACGAAAAATGCCACCGTCTGGGAGAAAGTCAGAGGCAAGGGCGCCTATATAGGGATGATACCTGCTGGATGTCGATTTGAAGCTATGTACGTTGATGTGAACCTCGTCACGAAACGGGGGGACTAACCCCACGATAATTCCAATCCAAATGTTATGTGCGTATTCGAATGCAGCTTCGCGTGACAAAGTTGTGCTCATTTGACTTCTGATAGACCTCGGGTGCCTATCCTGTTGCGCATTCTGTGAGCGTTTGTTTCCTGGAGAGTTTGCGCCGGCGTGAGGATTTCGGCAGCGAGCTCATGAAGCCGGGCGGCCTCTTCGCTTGAGGGCCGGAATCTAAGATTGTGAAACTTCGCCGGAGTGGCTTCAATGTTTCCGGCGATGGACATCATGTCTGCCACCATGTCATTTGCGGTGGCCATAGCCTGCGGCCAGACAATGCTTAAAGTGATAGGAAACAAGGCTCGCTGCTCGCCTTCTCATCTAAGTCCCATAGCCCCGCTCGACTCGTGGACGCCGTTCAGGTTTGTGCAGTTGGTAGCACCCGCTGCCAGTTGGATCTCAGTAACCTCAGACTCTCAATTCCGATGTCATGGTATGCGCAAGCTCAAACTCAAACTCAAACTTAATGCAACTCACCGATGAGTCACGCCGTGAACCCTAATGCCAGATACAAAACGAATTCTCCGGTTGGGACACGACACGCGGAAATGTCATCTCTGCATCCAACACCACCACCACCACCTCAATTAATACCATTGGACTCTCTCTTGGACATTTCTCCCCAACACACACGCACACACACACACACCGCTCACAAACCCAAGCACACCACGTGTACCGGAAAAGCAGTAAGGAGAATAACAATCCACTTCACCTTTATTACACGGCTAATGATGGACCCATTCCAGAAATGCCCATCCGAAATCCGTCTGGAGATTATCCTCCAGCTCCACACCCGCCGAGACCTCGTTGCTCTCACTCGTGCATCCCCGGTCATGCTGCGCCAACGACAAACGTCCAAGTTTTCGATACTCGCTAACTATGTCGAACGAGATCTCGGTAACGGCTCTCTTGTCCAAGATGCGATGGCTGTTATTCTCTTCCCGACAACGACGGAGGAAGGGCAAAGTGGCAGCAGCAACGACGAGAGAACCGCCATTATCGATAGACATCTCCAGCAGTGGGCATCGAACAAACTGCCCGATCCATTCAGGCCAGTTGATATCCCCACCATCTACGTCCTTCATTCGCTCTGCCGGAGGATCTCTCTATACGTCGAGGACTACCTTTCCAAGGCCACGAGCCGATATCTGCCTTGGGTTTATCGTCAGCTGCCTAAGTTCGCGCATGGCGCCCATCACGTTTCTTGGGATTTTGCCGAGGCGGAGGATTGTAAGCCATCCCCGTCGCGCATGGTGAACGAGGGTGTGTTTGACATGGACGTATTAACCGACGACGAGTGGCGCAATATATTCCAGGCGTTCCTTCTGTACGAAATCCTTTGCAAGGTATACGGCCCAGTCCGGGAACGCAGCCACGGCGTTGATCATAAGGATGAGGAAGATGACGAAAGTGGTGATAGTGAGGACAGCTTGTCATTCTTAGCCGAGGAAGATGACCTACATGGCGCTAGCGAGGACTGCTCGCCAATCGCCTCCGAAGACGATGAGGAAGATGACCCACATGGCGCTAGTGAGGACTACATTCCGTTCTCCTCCTTCTGACAGCGATGAAGAAGAAGACCAACATGGCGATAACGAGGACTGCTCGTCATTCTTCTCCCTCTCCTCTGACGATGAAAATGACCAATGTGGCGATAGGGGGGACTTCTCGTCATTCCCCTCCTCCTCTGACGATGGTGGGGAATATGACGAAAGTGGTGATACGGAGGACGACCTGTCCTCTTCTTCCGATGAAGAGGAGGACAAAGACAACAAACCTCCTCCATTCCTGCATTGGGACTGGAGCTTCCTGGACAAATGCAAGGGAAGGATGGCGCAACTGCCCGACCTACACCTACTTGCCTGCGTGCGCGAGTACCTCCTCACCGTGTACGGGACCATGATCGCCATTCACGGGAAGGCCCGTCTCCTTTGCATTCCAGAAGCATGGAGATACCCGGAATTTGAGAATGCGCGTCTGTTGGGTGCCAGAGGATTTCCCGACCAAGGCGGGTATTGTCCCGGTTGGAATGACGTCGGGAGATGGTCGGGTTGGAGCAAACCTCTTGTGTCGTTGATGGCGACGGCTGGCCTTGACCTTCTCACAAGCACCCTCACATCACGCAGGAGGGCGTTCCGGAAGTTCATGCGAAACTTCGAAAAAGAGGTTAAGCACAAGCGTCCTATCGTACGATACACCGACATCGGCCCTTCTTCTCGATTTGAGCTGGGTCGTGATAGTAGATGGACTTTCGACTCGCCTTGGCACTGCGGTGGGCTTATGAGCCTCTACAGGCAACGGGCTTGGCCATTATTTGACGACGACCGATTGTATCCTGGGTCAGGTGGACTTCCGTCTGCCCGTGAATATTGGGGGTTGTATAGTGAACGGGGATATTCTATCACCGGGATTGGCACCGACGCAGGCAGCAGCGACTACGACGAAGACGACGATGCCGCCGTTTATGCTCGGGGGGAGCTAATCAGCTACGGGGCTATACTTTACCCGTCTATCTCAGCCAAGCTCGTACCTTTTTGGCATCGAGCAATCGTTTCATCAGCTATTTAATCCAGCGTTGATAGGCCAAGGTAATCAGAGTAAACAAGACATGTGACAAAGATGGCGAAAAGAATGTAGCAGGAATCTTATTCGATTAGAAGCATGTTCGTCGTCCTTAGCAGCCCTTGATATAGTTCCAAGATAACAATTCTGCCAATGGCAACTTCACAAACCACGAGGCACGAAATGCGGAGTGACAGATGGCGACACAGTTTTGCAAGTTGCATTTCCGCGGACCTCTCCAGTTCCTCCCCGCGACGTTGTAAATACTCTGGCAATTCGTCCGTGCGTCTATGGTGTCAAATCACGACATTTCTGTCTCCGACACCCGATGCAGGAACTGTTGTTGGATATCTCCGCGGAGGGAGCCATGTTTTTATAGTTATCTTCTCAGGTGTAACCAAGTCAAACGTCGTCGTCGATGAGCTCATCAGCAGCCAACCTTCCACCATTCCTTGTTCTGGCATTGTCCCTGCTTCTATTAACCAATTATTAAGCACAGTTGCCAAGATACCAGGGAGGCTGTGGGGGAAGCTGGTGAACTCCATGTTCAGCCGTGCCTTATCTCCGGAACTCGAGACCGCACCACCCTTCCGATGGCCGATATTATATGGATGATCAACTACCGGGGGCTCGGGCAGCCGCACTCCGACACCCAGTAAACAGGAGGGGATAACAAGTTGACGACTGCACCCGGGGCCATGGTTGCGTTATTCATCGGTCCAGACCCTGCAGGTGAAGTGGCGAGCGATTGGACATCAGTATTCTCGGGTACCGGTCCTCTCGCCAAATCTGCGATTTGAGCGGGTTCAAGCAAATCATACTGGGGAATGACAAGCAGCACGCAATAGATTGACAGTATTTTGGGATCATGGGAATGCAGGGCAGCTTACAATATCTTATCGCATCTGGCAGCTGGAATGTGTGATCAACATGCGTATATATGGGCTCTTCCGGCGTACACCTCAGTCCTCACGAACAAGCTCTCCCCAGGAGAATTAAGACGTCTCGGACTGAATTAATTAGAAGTCAAACCCTGCTCGCCTTTGAGCTTCCAAACCCACCCATGGCCGCCAACGTCGCGCCCGCTGAGAAACTCGGCGCCGTCGGGGTCGGACCCGACAGCGTCGAGGAGAAGAGCAAGAGCAGTCTCATTCACCTCAATGCCAGTGAGCACTCGGGATCAGATGATGAAGTGTACGACACCAGCAAGAATCCCTTCAAGGACCCCGCGGTCGCAGAGCACTGGCGTAAGGTCTATGACGCCGCCAAGTACGAGTGCCGGTTTGTCTTCGACCCGGAGATCGAGTGGTCTGAAGAGGAGGAGAAGAAGCTCGTCAGGAAGCTGGACATGCGTGTCTGTCTGTGGGCTGTAAGGATATCCCCTTCCTTTGAGGGGACATAAAGGCTGACGGGCTGAAATTCCCAGTGCGTCATGTTCTTCGCGCTGCAGGTCGATCGCGGAAACCTCGCTCAGGCGGTTTCGGATAACATGTTAGATGATTTGGGGATGAACACCAACGGTTAGTCATATCAGGCCATGTCGGACTGACGAGAAAGTGCATGCGTGCTGACGCCACGAAAAAGACTACAATTATGGTAACAGCATCTTCCGACTGTCATTCCTCCTGGCCGAGCTTCCGTCTCAGCTGGTGTCGAAGAAGATGGGTCCGGATAGGTGGATTCCCATGCAGATGGTACTGTGGTCTATCGTCGCGCTTGCGCAGTGCGCCTTGACTGGCCGGACGAGTTTTCTCGTTACCCGCAGCCTTCTAGGACTTCTCGAGGTTCGTCTGTTGTTACCCTTCAAGATATGTCGTGAGCCAGCTAACGTGGTTTTCTCCAGGGCGGGTTCATCCCCGACATTGTCCTCTGGCTGTCCTATTTCTACACGTCCCGAGAGCTCCCAATCCGACTCAGTTACTTCTGGACCTCCCTCTCGGTCACCGGGATCGTCACCTCCCTCCTCGCCTTTGCGCTCCTGCACCTCCGCGGCGTCAACGGGTGGGGCGGCTGGCGATGGTTGTTCCTCGTTGAGGGCCTAATCACCTTGCTTGTGGGCATTGCGAGCTTCTTCATGATGCCGGCCTCGGCGGTGCAAACCAAGGCCTGGTTCCGCCCCAAAGGCTGGTTCACAGACCGGGAGGTCAGCATCGTCGTCAATAGGGTCCTGCGCGACGACCCCTCCAAGGGGGACATGCACAACCGCCAGGCCATCACGCCGATGCGTCTGTGGGAAGCCCTGAAGGACTACGACCTGTGGCCCATCTATGTCATCGGACTCATCGAATTCATCCCATCCAACCCGCCAACAACCTATATCACACTGACCCTGAGGAAGCTTGGATTCAGCCCCTTCACTACGAATCTACTGACTATTCCATACGTAAGTTATCCCTCCAAATGGCAAGGAGATGCAATACATGCCTCAGTACTAACGACGTGATCCTAGAACGTCTTCCACATCATCAATCTCCTTCTCCTGACGCGACTGTCGGAAAGGCTGAACGAGCGTGCACTAGTGTCGCTGCTACAGCCCCTCTGGACACTCCCATGCCTCATCGCCCTCCGCTGGTGGCCCGGCGTGATCGTCGACAAGTGGGGGACCTACGCCCTCGTCACCGTCCTGACGTCGTACCCTTACGCCCACGCCATCATCGTCGGCTGGGCGTCTAAGAACTCAAACAACGTTGGCACGCGGTCTGTGTCTGCCGCTATGTATAATGTGAGTGAGAGCCACGCCGCTTTGTCTTTATTATCCTGTCTACCGACCTCTACTTTGGCATTGAGAGGTTCCGTGCTGATCTCGCAACCGAAAACAGATGACGGTCCAAACCGGCAGTATTATAGCCGCTTACATCTACCAAGATTACGACAAGCCCCTATACAAGGTCGGCAACCAGAACCTGGTCATCATCAACTTCCTTGTCATTGGCGCCTTCCTCTTCGCCAAGGGGTATTACGTCTGGCGGAACAAGCAACGCGACAGGGTGTGGGACGCCATGACGGAGCAGGAGAGGCGCGACTACGTCGACAATACGAAGCTGGCTGGGAGCAGGAGGTTGGACTTCAGGTTTGCGCACTAGGGGGGCTGTAATAAGGTGTGCAGGGCGGAACCAGGGATATGAGAAGGGAGGATTGAAGGCGAATGGATGAAGAGGAGAAATGGAAGATAAAGGAACCTTGAAGAAGGCGGGGTGCGGAAGACTAGCGGTCTTGATAGACGATGGCTAGGACAGCCGCTTATATCACTCTCATTATCCTTACGCTGTTGTGCATTTCCGGGCTTTGTCCAATAGTTAGCCCTCGGGAGCTGGAGATCAAGGACAGGGGAAGGGGAAGCGATAGAAAAGATGAATGGGAATGAACTGGAGAACCCGCAAGTTGACCAGCCACATGGAATCGCAGAGGGGCATCAAGGGTCAGGACCTGTCTCCCTGTCTGTCGACCCGGCGCTCTTCAATACCTCATTCCTCGTCAAACAGCAGCCTCGGCTCCCTCCTAGACAACAACGGGCTTCCGGGGCCAATTTTTCCCCAGTCATGCGCATCCAGACAAGCCCGCCGCGAAGCCAGGACCCCCGCGCGGGCCCTCGCGATAACGGCATCCTCGTACCCGTCGAGAGCCGCCCGCAAACCCGCCGCGCCGCCATCGATCGCGATCGCCTCCGCTTTGTCGTCGATATCAGTCGTCGAGGAGTTCCCTCGAGCTGTGTTGTTTCCCTCGGGCCCGCGAAGGCAGGGCGAGACAATGTCGGCAAAGTCGAGCACGTCGAGGATCGCGTGGTTAGCTCCCTCCCCGCGGTCTGTCGTATGTCAACGATGGGTCAGCATACCGTGGCCGAGGGATATGGCCCCATTACAATAAAACACCTACACATCGTCATAGTATGAAAGGCATCTCCCATAAGCACCACCCGGTCCGTCCCGTGCGCCCCCCTCGGAGGCGGCCAGTCTGCGAGATCTAGGGTCTTCACCTCGGTACCCGGGGGGATGCCGAGGACCAGCGACTGGAAGGGCTCGGCCCACGTCTTGGCGAGGATACAGAGGAGGTCGAGCCTGCCCTCGTTGGTGGGCGGCACGGGCGTCGGCGATGGGTTGCCGAGGAAGCCTGGGCGGAAGGGCCAGGAGACTACGATCTGGCAGGTGTACATGTCCGACCTCTCGTCGTTGTTGGCTGGCGCGTCGAGGACTGGCCGGTGGGGGTTGGAGTGTCAGTTCTGGGCTGGTCGGTCGGCTGTTATTTCGGCGTGGAGGCAATGGATGACCTACTGCTGAAGTACATGAAGGAGTCATTCTCAGACGAGGCGCCCTGGAAAAAGAAGGGGTCGAGCTGCCTCAGCGGCTCGATCTGCTCCGGACTGACGTCTATCTTGACGCCCATCAGCCGGACAGGCAACGGGCGGTTCTCGTGCTCGTTGGGGAACAACTGACGCCGGACTCTGGAGTTGCTGCCGTCGCATGCTACCAGCAGAGTGCCCACGCACGATGAGCCGTCCGAGAAAGATGCCGTGATTGAGTCGTCGCCTGTGGACTCGTATTTGGTGAAGGCTTTCCTCCACTGCGAGCCAGTGGCAGCGTCAACAATGGATTCTTCCCTTCACCAGATTTGGAGATCCCGAATCCACGCACCTGAATATCAATTCCAGTCGCGAGGATCTGCAGCAGCCTCTGGCGACTGACCCTGATCCTATCCGACTCCGGCGCCTTCGGTGTCTTGGCCACGAGCTCGCCGCTAGCGAGGTCAAAGAACGGGAACGCCGACGACTCCCCGTTCTCGACGGCGAGCCTATCGACGTACGCCTCGGGCAGCCGGCGGACCAGGTCCTCGGGGAGGAGGGACCTCACGGCGGGCAGCGACCAGTGGAGGCTGAGACCCCAGCCCACGCCGCGGTAGGCGTGGCCGAGGTCCCGCTCGAAGACGCGGAACGGGATCTGCCGTTCGCGGAGGTGCTGCGCGAGGAGAAGGCCGCTGACTCCGGCGCCGATGACGATGACGGGCTGGTGGGGTGGGTTGACCATCTTTTTTCTTTTTTTTTTTTTTTTTTTTTTTGTCTCTCTGCGCGCGCGAGACGGCAGGAAGCGGGGTACAGTATTGAGCAGCCTGGTGGTAATGATTGTTTGGTAGGTTCGTTGATGGTGCGTGGGATGTGTGCATGGATGGTGGCGGGGGCTGGGTGGCTGGGTTACACTGTTGGGGGCAGTGGGCTAATTCAACGGCGCACCTTGGAATGTTCCAGAGGTACAGTCGAACCTTGTACCTTTTGAGTCCACTGCAGGGCCAAGCGGCTGGAAACTCCCCCACGAATGGAAGTGTCAAGGCAAGAATCCCCCACTATTTACCAGGGTGTGCCAGCCAAGCCAGCCAAAGGTCTAGCCAGGATGCACCACGCAGGGTGTCTTGTTCCGACTGGTTCACCGACAATAGAGCCTGGAGCTAGCGTACGACGCCGTTGGGACTCGCACAGATTACCGTATTCAGATGGAGTGGGGCCCTCACTCCATCTGAAGGGGTTATCGGAGATCAGGCAATCGGTGGTCAGTTTGCTTGTTGGTTTGCTGTAAACAGGGGATGGTTTCGACTGCTGATTAACTGACACATGCGACGAAAAAGCAAACTTAGAAATACGAGAATACTTTGGATGATGGGGCAAGCGATGCTTTTCGCTCGCGCTCCTATATCCCCACTCCTTCCCATTTGTCCCCGCTCTATTCTTCTTCGTAATTCCACCGAGATTGATCAGCGACGCAGAATTTACTACGAGTGGCCTACCTGTAACTACCTCTATTGGTTGCTTCGCAGCCACGGAGTCTATTGTTACACAACTGATAAGTCACTTTGGATCCACATGCTGGGAAAGTATCTTGCCTGAGATCTCCCAAGGTGCTCAAAAACTCGAGAAAACGACAGCCCGGACGAAACACTCGTCCGCCAATGCTGGCCAGTGCGGCGCAGCCAATGTCTGCCTCGGGAGGAAAGGGAATGGTAGGCCATTGCCTCAGCTAGGAGCGCCCTATCCTCTGTAGTGTAGTTGAGAGATACCAAACGGGGACGTCCATCTACTCGGCATATTCGTGCCAATCATGTATCAGAGTGAAATTAATCGGTGGCCCAGTGGAAAACCCCTGCAGGTCATTGCAGACAGAGTGCAGATGTGGAGAGGCGCTTTGCTTGTATAATGGTCGTCGTACGAAAGGACTTCTAAGAAGGGCGAGATTGGGGTCAAGGTGGCTGAGACATGTAATTAAATCTCTCGTGGTGGCAACGCTAGAGCGAAACGTGGCGTTGATGATGGCGTCGCAGGAAGGGCCTGGCCCTTTGCTATTAACGACGAGGCGTATCAAGATGGGGTCATATCCTGGGACTAGGTTCGAATGTCGGATTGAAAGACCTGAGGAATAGGAACGGGTGATGATGGCACTGGTTAGGATAGTTACAGCGTTGTTGGCATTGGAAACTTATATTCAACGTCGGAGCTTACAATCACTTGTTGTGGACTGTGAATCGGGAATCAGAATTCAGTTCAAAGTAATTACTCAAAAGAATGTCGTGGAGGCCTCGCAACAGCACAAGTAATTAAGGAGAACCGAGTTTCCAAGCACACCAATCCCACCAGTCTCATCAGAGCTAGCAACCCGACGCCCCAGCCTCCAACCAACCCCAATCCAGATTATCCTTATGCAACGGCAGACAGCAGCAGAGAGTTGTCATCTGGTTTGTCGGAAGATGCCCAGTCAAGTGGCCATGCCATCGCTTAGAGCTGGAGGCAGTTGAGGGCGCTGATGGAGATGAGGGCGCCCTGCAAACCTAGTCAGCATGTCCCGGACTCCAAATTTGAAGAAGTAATTATAACTTACAACTGGGGAATCGGTCTTGCAGCAGTAGGCCTGGTTGGTGCAGCCGGAGCTCACGGCCTGGACGACGCAGCTGAGAAGGCCGTTGCAGCAGACCTGCTTCTCGACGTCGGCGTTGCAGGAGCCCTTGCCACCACCGCTACCACCGCCACCACCGCCACTGTGGCCACCACCGGGACCACCATTGCGGACAGCGAGTTGGGGAGCGGCAGCGGCGAGGACGGCCATGGTGGCGGAGAGGATGATAGACAGCTGCATGTTGAATAGGTGGGTTGGGTTTTTGAGTGGAAGTGGGTGAAAGGTGGGTTTGAAGGCTGGAAGGGGGTTCTGGGCTCTGAATGCTGCTCGATGATGTTGGTTGCGATGTCAAGAGAGTTTGAGCTCGAGAGGGGCGAGGGACCGTGTTATATAAACATTGGACCAGGGCAGAAGACGCACAGAGCCAGACACCATCGCGGCCGAGCTGCCTAACGGACCTTTCACCCCGGAAAAAGTAAAGCCATCATGGCTCTTCTGAAGTTGGCGAAGGGAAATCTCAGAGCCAGGTTGCAAGCGAGCCAGCCTGTGCCGTTCTCCCAGGACGTAAGACTTGAACACGCTTCATGTTGCACTTGCTGTGATTCGTTCGCCTAGAGGACGCAGGGGGTCAATGGGGGAAGAACTTGGAAGAATCTAGGGTTAATGTCATTTTGATCGACAACGATGCATACGGAGAATCGTCGATGATGCCTGGCTAACAAGACACTTCTCAGGGCAGCATGCCGATCTTTAAACAAAAAGGGTATCCATCCCTACTACGCAGCAGCCGTCACCCGGAAACCCCCAGCCAGTAGCAGGGAGCCTACAAGTCCTTTGCAGTTGGGAATTTAGCAGCCATGCCGTGCAGATCTATTTTAAATTCAACCTCACGTTGGGAGGCTATTTATACAGCCTGTGATGTATGCTACGTAAAATTAAAGGTATTAGCAGGGTCGACGGAAACAAGACATAACTCTGGCAGTTGCCGATAGCGGGCCGTCGTCTACGCATAATGAAGGGGTCCTCTTGGCGAGGCTGGGAGGTTAGGGGTCAAGGGGGTTCCGAGGAGGTAGGTGTGCGCCAGCAGCCCGGCCGGCAGCTGCGATCGATCGATGGCCCAATTATCTCTGTCTTGTGCAGCAACTGGGTGGCCTGCAGATTACGCTTCGACAGACTGGTGCAAGGGCAGGCTGGAAATGCAGTGAGACATGCAGACGTGCCTTTGCCTTGATCGCGGCTGGCATTTGGATAGTAATTGCATCTCGGCTACTTGGTGGCGTCTGGTAAATCCAGGTAGCGTAGCATTTAAGCTAATAGTACAATGCACGATCCCCCGTATTCCTTGGCAGGTGGGAGCCACCCCCGCATTTGGGCGCGGGAAATGCCTGCCCGTCTCAGGGGAAAACAGACGTCATTGGGTACCATTCGCAGCAATGATTCATGGATTGTCTTGAATCAACACTTTGTTTCCTTTTGTTCGGCCCAGAAAAGCCAATCATAGTGTAAATGCCGGCTCTCGGCCGCGCATCCAAAACAAGGCATGCGAGTCTAGAACACCAAGACACGGCCTGACATTGCATTGGCCCACGTATGGTGTCGATCAGCGGTGTATTCTGCTCCGTGCAGCGTTCGCCACGCTGCCTGAATTCCACTTTTTCCCGTGCACTTGTCCTCAGCTCTGCCGATCTCCACCTTTATTTTGGTGGCTGGCTCGGGCGTGGTGGACAGAGCTGATGATCCCCGACGGCTGAGGTAGAACACGTGTTTGGAGGACAGAGTAGACACCGGGGTTCAGGGGTGCCCTTCTTCCCAATATAGTGGTGATCTGCGAATTCCGGGATATCACCCTGGATCCCCGCAAGTCTTGTTTTGACATCGCTCCGTCACCCGGCGGGAAGAAGGTGTGGTAACTTAGACCTACAACATCGAATGCTACGTCGGTAAAGAGGCTGAAGTCGAGAAACAACTTGCCACGGCGCATCTGGCTTGAACACTACGTTTTGGTGGCGGATGATGCAACTACAATTCTAGGCGGCATGAGGTGGCATGGGATCTCGGCACCGAGGAAAGGGAGCGGTGCGGAACGGGACAGCTTTGCCGTGATAGGGCCAGTCATCTTCTCCCTCTCCTGTTGAATGTTGTTCTGTCTCCCAGGTTCCTGGATACTTCCACTTTAAGGTCCCGGAGACTCCTCATTCGGGGCTAATGTTCGTCGTCGTAGGTGGCGTTGCATCGGACCGACCCCTTGATTGGTAGCGCAGTTTTAAGGAATAATACTTTCACACTGGACAACCGAGCGACAACCCTCCCATGAAGGGGATAGAAGTCCTTCAGCTCGTTGGCCTGGAATATTCCGCAACCCAACACTCGTCATGATATCCAAGAAAATACAGCTTATAATGAACAAGCTGCCTCAACAAGTGGATAGAAGGAAATCGTAGCCCGGAGCGGCATTTCAGGGCCATTGGTAAGTTTTTTCCTTGATATATTTGGGCCTGTGGAGTTGACCGGAGGGGGGGTCGGTCTGGTGAAGGATGTCGGTGTGCAAAATCCGGTCCAGCATCTGCTGCCGTTCCCGCCCTACTCCGCCATCGACGTCACCGTGCAGGCCGGTTGGCCGAGAACCATGGACCGGAAGGGCCTGCGTATGTTGTGAACCAGTTGAGTGTTCCATATCGATGTTATAATCTCGACAAATCATGCAGTCGATTGAGCAAAGCCCAACCAATGATGTGGAATCGGCAATCCACCATGTTATTCAGCTCAGAATGCCCCGTGTTTGAACCAGGTTACCGGATTAGAACAATAATGCATAGAGAATGTCAATTATGGGAAGTCAACATCGTTTTAATCCCTGGCTGCCGTCATACAAATTATATAGACCGTCCCACCTGGTTACCCGGCCGTGTATATCCCCGGTTCCCAATCACGACATACGAAAACCCTCGATCAGCGGCCCAGCCGTTGATCCCGACCGGCTGTGCCAGCCGCGGCCTCTCAGACCGCCGGCAGGCCGATGCGTAACACTCAGCCAGTCGCGGCCACTGCCCTAGAACACCAATGACTTCGGTCGGCACCCTGATCCGATGGCTTTATTTCTTGAACCCCTTCCTTCTCATGAAACTTAATAAGTTGCGATAGGACTGTGCCTTTAGTTCCAGCTGTCTCCCCCAGCTCAACTCTCCTTCTAGAACTTCCAATGGTACTTCATGAACCGCATCGATCCTCAAGAAAGAGCGATAAGGTAGGCCGGCCACACCCAAGGAATCATCGCACAGCCGCAACTGCATACCGGTTTTTCGATCTTTTCGTGTTGGGGCGATTGGGACATATAAATCAGGGCTCACATGCTCGTTGACCGTCGTTGTTATCTACTTTTGTCAGCTCAAGTCAGAAACATTTACGCGAGGTATCCAAACCGTGGCAATTTCCCACCATCCCCGCTTGTTCTCCGACTTGCCTACGACGATAACCTTGTGACTCAAGATGATTCGCGGTACATGAACGCTGTCCTTGGCATCTTGACTCCATTTCTGTCTCTCTTTCAAACGATAGACTCTCCCCTCAGGAGAATTTGGATGCTTCATTTTTTATGGCCAGCTTTAGGAGAGGTATGGCTGTAGTTATTTGTGTTTGAGCGTAATTGGACCTTCAAGGGGGTAGAATACTTCCAACATACGTTGCTGCTCGAGCATGAGCAATTTTTTGATGACGACATAATTATGAGTTGGCTCGGCAAAGGCAGGCAGAGCGATTTCATGCTAACGTGGTCACTGCGTAATCAGTACATGTAGATGGCTTACTAGGGGCTTCGACGGTCTACTTAATTCGCTCACATGATGGCGGTAAGCCCAAACTCATCATACGTTTGCCTGTTGCTCTCCTATGTGTCGTTGAGGACTTCCCCTGTAGATAGCATATCTCTATCCCACAAATTAAACCTCTAAGATGTCAGTCATCCCAAGGGACACACATGCGCCCCCGGCTCCGTCCATGACCACATGTCGCGCACGAGCTGGAGCATAGCCATACGTTGATCACCGCGGGGACCATCATCAGGGGTGTTGATCAGAATGTATACGTCCTGGAAAGAGCGCATAATCTTTTGAAGGCAGCCCAGAAGTGCTTTGTCTGGCGGCATAGCTTTCCGGTAGCTATCATGCAGCCGCAAGAGACATTGGTGAGTATCGTCAAGCTGGCCCGACAACTGCAAGACAACCGCACGGAACAATACAATACAGATGCATCTTGCTTTGAGGAATCGGTGGTAACCTTCCTCTAGCCAAATGGGGATTCATGATGGCCTCCTCACCACAGTCGGTGAGCTTCTCCCCCAAAAGCTAAAGTCCTTAGTACCCGGTTCCTGAGTGTCTTGATACTGACGATTGATGCATGCCCTGACAACATCTGCGCAGTCGAGTCCGACTTCTCCCTTCACAGCGCCCTGCTTAAAGAGCTTTCTCCATTCACTAATTCCAGAAAACCAGAGTTAACCTTCTTTCCCAACGCACCAAGCCAATTCGACAGCTTCTCCTCCCGGATATCCTGCATGGTCTTCCCAAAACCGACCTCGATCAGTGCACAACCTAGCCTCACCAAGGCAGTGCCGAATTATTACTATGGCAAGTTCTAGATCATTATTGCCGCGGAAGGCCTAGGAAGAATTTGTTAGCTGCTTGTGGTCTCTGCGTGGATGTTGGATGTGTGCGCTTGGGGTCGCGACTAATCTCTAAGCTCACCCAGTTTCGAACCACTCATGTGCATCAGTCCAGAAACCTTTCCGTTACCATGAAGTTATTTTGCGGGAGATCAAACTGATCCTGGATGCGAGGAGCAACAAGTGAAGACATCATAAACGGAGATCGAAAGGCAAAGTCCTGGAAGCTAATCGGCAGGAATGCAACATGCTCGAAATCGAGGATGTACAGGTCGCCGGCATCTATGAACATGAAAGTTTCCTTCGTAGAGATCAGAGTATACGCAAGCTTGCGCTCAAGAGTGACCTTCGGGTTGGTCTTGATAAACCAGGTGGCGAGCTATTTGGACCTTAGTTACGGCGACCCTAGATTCTCAGCACTGCAAACATGCCGTGTTAATGTGTCCTCCAACATTTCCAATCGAGTCATACCGAATTAGTGCTTCACCGTCTTTAAAGAGAGGATGTTTGATGATGCCTCCGCCGCAAGGGCCGGGTTTGGCATCTGTTGGAACTGGAATGGACAGAGGCAGCTTGATTCCTCTGGCGATTTTGTCGTAATATGGCTTGGAGTTCTCCTCAAAACGTTCGATCTTTTGGTAGAGCTGGCCGAGTGTCTTCCCCTGAACATATTCCATGACGATATAAGCTCCCCGGGGTGTGTAGAGGATGCGACAAATCTGTGGGATGCGAATGTCGTTTCTGCGCTCCAGCGGTGTATTCTCAAGGGCGTCAAAGGAGAATTGATGTGTCCTAGCCTCCGCGGTCATGGATGCGATGGACCGATTGCCGAACTTGATGTAGAAAATGGGGTTGTCGAACGGGTATGCAAAGTCAGTGAAGCCATGCCCTGCCTCGTTGCATGGTCTTACTTGGTCCCTTGCCTCGTGGATATCGTCCTCGATGAGCTCTTGAGCCCTTAGGGCAACGGAGCGTCTATCTAACTGCGCCATGGTGGATTGCAACAAGCAAAATAAAACCAGCTCTGATGCAAAGGCATTGTGTAGCGGAAATTCAAGGATGTTCTGGAAAATGGACGTCGCCCAACTGGCTCATCAGCCACGTCAGCCTCAAGAGGGGTTGGAGCATGGCCGACATTCTCACCCTCATATGACCCAAGGCCACGCCATTAAGTCCGGATCCTCTGTATTTTCCATATCTCCCAAATTAAAGCTGAGTTCGCATCGGCAACGACTACGTGATCCAAGGCAACAACAACAACAACAACAACCCTGGTGGCGGCCCACGCAAGCCGTCACGCTTTAGGCAAGGCCAACCACTTCGCCTGCATTGTTTCCCCACTTCCGCTGCACAGAGGTGTGTTTTTGGATTCCAGGTTCCGACGCATTGAAGAACACTGGCGCCATCGCCTTCCATATCATTCTGCACAACCGACTTATTACCAGGACGATAGGGGCTACTACGGGTCAGGCTATGGGCAGTACGATCAGGCTGCTGGCGGATCGGGCTATGGCGCGTCGGGTTATGGGTATGAGGATCAGAGGTTTTGAGGAGATGTAATTACCTTCTACTGCAATCAGGCAAAAGTGAGCTGCGCAATGTGAGTTCGGGCAGCTTGGCGATCCGCGATTGTGGTTCCGATGCCTAAAATAGAACGATGCATCTCAGGCTAATCTAAATCTCATATATAATACAGTGCTCATGCTTTAAAAAGACCAGAAACCGCCAGAGCGGGCTCAAGGTCTACCAGGTACAAAAAAGGACAGCGAGGCGAAATAAGGCCTTTAGTTCATTCAAATAGAGTACTGGAACCCCCGAATTGGATATAACCCCTGTCCCGAGAGTTTGCACAATACCCATTTTTGGCCTCAAAATGAAGATCCTCGACTTCTCATTACTAGCAAACGTTGTTGTCGTCGCGAATGCCCAGGCCAATGTCGTCGTCAATCGCGTCGTCGACTCCTTCTCCTGGACAAATCCCTTCGTCCCCGATCCCACGCCGGCCGGATTTGAAGCGAAATGCGAGGAAACCGCCACCTTCCGCGCAACCCAGCACATTGTGCGCGACATAACAGAACCGTACCCGGTTGGTCTCGCACCATGGGCTGATTCCATCAAATACTTCTTCGGGGGGCGACCGTTTCCTGGTAGCTGGGAGGGCATCGATAGGGATGGCACGAACCGCGATGTCATCTTTATGGAATACAAGGATGTCCCAGAGCCTGTGAAGGATTGGATCCAGGAGAAGAAGAGAAACCCAGATGACGATGCGAAGTGGCTGTTCGGAGTGTACGACAAATCCAAGGGGGCTGCAGAGCCGAGTACTGCGGCCGAGGGGGGAGAGAAGCCGAGTGATGGTGATAAGGTGATGGTGTTTGCGGCTGGGGCGATATACGAGACCTTGCCCCTTTGGGTTGCGAAGGGGAGCAAGTGCGAAGGTATGTGGAAGCAGGAGGGCTTATTCCATTTGGGCATTCATTGACACCTCTCCAATAGACGAGCTACGAGACCTCGGCAAGTATAGCGCCACGCCAACCGATCAAGCCGTCGTGGCTTGGGTTGTGGACAGAACTGAACCGGATTACGACTCCGGGAAGACGGAAATTCAGTTTACCATCAAGGCCACACAGTTGGTGCAGAAGGAGACGAACGACGGGGCGGCGACAGACCCGAAGGAGGAGGACAATACCAACGCGGAAGACCCTGTGAAAGACGAGCTATGAGACTACTACGGCGCTGAAAGACGGGAGCCAGGATTTATTACGAGAAGAGCGATAGAAGAGATCCGCCGCGTCAGCGCAGGGCCGAGGTGGATCGGAGACCATCGCGGAGAACGGTGCGTTCGGATAGGCAACAGGATTAATTAATTATCAGGCGCAAACAAATGGACAGAAACAATCTCGCGTCGTCATCTTCCCACCCCGAAAGATGCCGTGTCTCCAACTCCTTCGATGTGTCAGGTCCTTGACGTGACACCCCTCCAGTCCACACCGTGGATCATTTCCGCAGAGACAACCCAAGGCCTTACTGCATGCGCTTCACAACTCTTAGTCCAACCCAGACCGTGAATATCGCGCTACCAATCCAATGACGCCATGCGTTGTTCCTCATCTTCGGACTGCCGCATGTCCAGACCGTCCAGCCGTCCAAAAAGCCTGTAACCGCGACCGCGGCCGAGAACGCCGTCACCCCAGTCTCGTTTTGTTGAGCCTGTAGGATGAAGTACGCAAGTCCAAAGGTGATGTCGCGCGCGGCCTTGGGATAGACGAAGGGCGAGACGGGCTCGACGGCGGCAGGATGGATTGTCAAGGGCGATGCCTTCGACGTTTGGAGGGGGAGCCCGAACATTTTGTAGGCGCTCTCTGGGTTCGCATAGGCGTTGAGGCCTACCCCGAGGAAGGCAGTGCCGAGGAGGTATGCCGGCACAGGTGAGAAAATTGAGTTTGACATTTTGGTTAGGTACGATAAGCATGCAGCTACTTGGTTGCCAAGATTTGGTTTGGATGCGGAAAGACGTCAGATGGTTAAAGGATTCCAGCCCCGCATCAGATTGTGGCAGTGCATTGTCTCCGAGTGATATTCGCAGAAACCTGGTCCGAAGAATCCCACCAGCAGCTAGCAAACACGTAATTGTACGTATACTAGCAAATTATCGCGAAGAATGGGTGGGGCTGGTCAGATCGAGTGCCCATGAAGCAGCCAATGTTATCGCGACCTCGATCTGCAGGATGGTGCGAGACCACCCCCCACGCTGTGCAGCAACAAAAGTACCAAGAGCATGGACCACCTGTTCGGTACATGGCCGGAACATCAAGACCGCCATTCCGGCGCCTGCCCGTCGCTGTTCTTGATCGACAGGGTAACAGGGTGTGATCGTGCATCGAACATGCATCACCCAGGGAGCTTGCGATCAATCATGTAGTCGTCCCGCTCCCGCTCCCGCCCCTCCGTTTTTTTTAACTCCCACCATCGCCTCCAGTCATGCCATAATCTGCAGTTCCTTCCCTCTCTCGCTCGAGATCTTAATTCCTGCCGCACAGCAGGTCATCGGCATAATAATTACCCCTAATATTCACCGCGATTTATTTTGGATCTCCATCCTAACCCACCACTCTGGTTTCTTTATCCCCCCTTGCTCCCTTTCCTGCGTCCTTCCCGGACGATGTCTAAACGCGGTTCCAACGACAAGGAGATTCCCGAAAAAGATGCCAATGCAACTAGGACATTGGCAGTCGACATCGGCGACGGCAACTCTTCCGACGTCGATGGGGCCTGGAAGTTTCTCGACAATCACCGAGGGGATGATGCTTCGACCGACATCAAGGCGCTGCGGCGGAAGATTGACTGGCACATTGTGCCCTTAATGTTCCTCTGCTACACGATGCAGTTTTTGGACAAGGTCATCTACAACGTGAGATTGGAGCTGTCTTCCACTTTTGCTTATGTTTGGGTAATAACATGGTGTGGTTAGTATGCCGCGGTGATGGGCATCCAAAAAGACCTAAATCTCGTCGGCAACGACTTCTCTAACATTGCCACCTTTATGTTTGTCGCATTGCTGTGCTTCGAGGTTCCCAACGGTAATTGTCCAATGTTACTCACCACGTTGCAAAGAGGTGACTCTCCATGCTAACCAACACCTCGTCCCCTCTCCAGTCTACCTCCTCCAGAAGGTACCCGCCGCCAAGTGGCTCGGCGCCAACGTCGCGCTCTGGGGAGTGGCGACGGCGTGCGGCGCGGCGGCGCACAACTACCAGACCCTGCTCGTCAGCCGCGTCTTTCTCGGCATCTTCGAGTCGACTATCGGGCCCTCCCTCCTGCTGATCAGCAGTCAGTGGTACACAAAGTCGGAGCAGGCGCCCCGGTTCTCGTTCTGGTACCTCGGGCTCGGCCTCGGCCAGATCATCGGCGGCCTCGTGTCCTACGGCTTCCAGCACGTCGTCCCAGGTCCGTCGTCTGCCGCGCTCGCCGGGTGGAGGACCATGTTCGTTGTCCTCGGCTGCGTTACTGTTGTTGTTGGTGCAGTTACGTTCTTCTTCGTCCCGGACTCGCCCATGAAGGCAACGTGGCTGTCTGATGGCGAGAAGGTTGCGCTACTGAAGCACGTCAGCGTCAACCAGACAGGCGTTGAAAATAAGCACTTCCGGCTCAGGGAGATTGGAGAGGCGTTGTTGGACCCCCAGTTATACCTCATGGTCCTGGCCGTCATCTTGGTGAGTGCCCTTTATGCTGGAACACCCCCCCCCCCCTGCCCTCTCCGGCGGTTATTAATTCTTCTTGTACAATACAGCTCTCCGTTTCCAGTGGTGTCGTCACCACCTATTCGTCTACACTCATTCGTAACCTCGGCTACACCCCCAAGAAAGCGGCTCTCATGAACATGCCATCCGGAGCCGTCAGCATCTTCTTCACGCTGTTCGTCGGCTACGGGATCCGTTATGGATCCCACCGATGGGCGTGGATCGTCGCCACCATCATCCCAAGGTAATCTATCAAGAGTTACCCGCAACCATCCCCTCATCGTTCGTCGTGCTAATCCGCACCCAGCATCATCGGCGGTTCTCTCATGTCCTTCCTCCCAATCAGCAACCGCGCCGGCTGCCTCGCAGGCATCTACCTCGTCAACGCCGTCGTCGCGCCCCTCCCTGTCTTCTACCAGGTAATCCCCCCCCTTTTTCTTCCTCCCCAAAACAGAAACCCGACCGACCAGCAGCTAACATGGCATCCCAAGTGGACGGCCTCCAACTTCGCCGGCGCGACCAAGCGCGCCCTCGCCGCCGCCGTCGTCAGCGGCTCCTTCTCGCTCGGCAACATCATCGGCCCGCAGACCTTCCAGGCCCGCGACGCCCCCGGCGGCTACCGCCCCGCCAAGCTTGCCGTGATGGGGACGCAGGCCGGTTGCGCGGCCGTTACGGTTACGCTGTTTGCGTACTACGTCTGGGAGAATCGGCGGAGGGGGTTGGCTGGGAAGCGGGGTGTTGAGGACGGGGATGGGGTTGTCGGCGAGGATGCGTATCTGGAGCGTGAGGCGTGGGCGAGGATGACGGACCGGGAGAATCGGAGGTTTAGGTATTCGTATTGAGCGGAGGGCTGGGAATAGAGTGGTCGGTTTGTTGGCTGTGTCGTGGGTGTGGTTGAGCTTCTCGGGCATTGCTGGGACGTCTAATAACTTCGGCCAACTCCCTCTTGATACGGCCTAGGTTGATCTCGGAGCAAAGTACCATAATAATCACTTGGGATATAGTCAGCAAAAGAAGAGTTGATAATAATGAAGCCCAACGACACGATCGGCGTCCATCCAGCAAGAAAATAAATGGGTATCATATATATACAACATAGAGTAAACACACCATGCATTACAAGAAGCCCTTCCTGTCCCCAGCCTCCCACCCGTTCCACTAAATTCCCATAAATACCTTCTGTTCCCATAAACACTCAGTCCCCGCAGAACAAACCTCCTCACGACACCAGTCCATCAAGCCCCGAAGCAACAGCATCATCAATAACACCAGCGCATTCATTCAGCCTGTCCGCACTACGGTGCAACGCCCGCAGCAGCCACGCCAAGCGGCGGGCCGCGACGGCAGCGGCGTCGGCGCGAGCAGCGAGCAGGCGGGCCCGCCACCCAGCCTGTGCCGCGGCCGCGGCCGCCACGGCGTCGTAGGGGAAGATGCTCTCGTGGGCCAGGCGGCAGAGGGCGTCGAGGCGGGCGATCTCGGCGCTGATGGTGGATAGCTCCGATGGCGGAGACTCGGCTGCTGGCGGCGTGAGCACGTCGAGGGTCGCGGCGATGTCGTCGACGGCGCGGGCGTTTGAGCGGAGGCTGTCTGCGCGCGAGAACATCTCCTCGCGGTGGGATTCGAAGTCGCGTTTGAGTTGGGCGAAGAGGTCGCCGTAGGTGCGGAAGGACATGGATTGTCGCCTCCCGGTGCTGCTTGGATGAGAGGTGGCGAGGTCGGACACGAAAGATGGCGTTGGGACCTCTAGGGCTTTCTCGTCGTCGTCGGCGCCGAGGTCGTGGACTAAGCGTAGGAGGGGTGGGGAATCGTCTCGTCTAGCCGGGTTGCCATCGTCCTCGTTGTCGTTGTCGTCGTCGTTCTCGGCGGGATGTTGGTGCTGCGCCAGAAGGCCGAGCACGTCGCGCCACATGGCGTAATCGATCTGCTCCGGCAGGGGGAGGTTGCCGGCGAGGTGAAGCGCGACTACGATAACGGCAACGCCACACTCGATCATGTCGGACTGCTCTGGGGTATAGGGAAAAGTGAATACCGAGAATGACGGCTGCCTCGCAGCCGCCTGGCCATTGGCCTGGGCCACGGCAGCCCAGACACCACCTCTGGGAGCTGATGCGGTTAGGCCGTTCAGGAATGTCGCGGCGAGGTTCTTGGATCGTGCACGAAAGTGCTGGGTCGGATATGAATCGAATATCTGACATGCCGGTCCGCCCGCCGCGGGTTCCCGGGACTTGACGGCGGCGAGGCACCAGTGGGCGTTGTCGATGTTCATGGGAACCAGGATGGTGCTGTCAGGGACTGCAAGATAGTGTAGACGCTGCCAATACCCCGCCGGCACCGTCTTGTCCGGAGCCACGAGAAGGGGGTCCACGGTGATGAAGCGGAGCGGCCGAAGGGCGGCGACGAACACAAGGGCGTCGGATATGGCGGTATCGTCCAACCAAGTTCCTGGCATCATGCAGGCAGGGACTCTGGAGTCGTCGGCGTGGCTGCCGACTGTCTCGCCCGAGGCTGCACGAGGGGCCGCCGGCGACGACGTGGGGCCCTTGCCCGGTGGCGAGGAAGAAACTGCCAGAACCTTGGCTGACTCCTTATCATTCCCTGCCACTCTTTGTCGCTGCCTACCCGTCCTTCGATATTGCTCATACTCGTCCCCCGTTTCAGTATCACCCCCCCAACTGGGATGCCCCTCGCTGTTTTCCTCGTCCTCTTCCAATCGGCGCTTCTGAGGTACGACTGGTGCTTCTAGGCTCTTCACTATAACGACGTTTTCGATGGGAGACTCTGCCCTGTCGCTATGGGAAGTACTAGCATTAGCTGTGGCTACGTACAGGCTTAGAGTTGAGTCCAACTCGAAGCGTGTTGAGATGGTTTTGCTACATTGTGGCGTTGGACGGCGGAGTGCCGGACCGACGAGGTCGGAATTACACCTCACAATCCTCATCGCAGTGTCAGTCGGCTGAGCCGGTGAGACCACAATGCTGTCGGATTCCTGCGGGGCCGGGCTGCAGGCCGGATTGCCTGCCATGGCGCTCTGTGTGATTTCAGGCCTCTCAACAGCGGATGACGGGCGAAGGTCAATTTGGGAGGGGATGGGCGATGGTGATGGTGATGGCGACGGCAGCAGCAAATTGCGATACGCGATGAGCCCATAAAGCGCTTGATGAGTGATGAGGGGATGAGGAAATTAGTGTTGAGAGTAAAATTAGGTGACACAGGAAAAAGAAAGCAAGGAGTCTCAGCCTCAAATCAGTGCAGACCAGCACACTTGCACACCGATTCGCTGATTGGCTGATTCAAGGATCACACAAATATATGGCACGTGATTTTCATAGCTCTGGCAACTGCATCTGCAGTACAGACAGTGCCGACCAAGTGCTCGGTCTCATTCCTACACCTCACAATTACTGGTCGTACGCATTCACAGCTGATCTCATCGCCAACGGTCTCATCGCTCTGCCAGGCATAACCTTCAGCTTCCCTCCGAACAGCCCAGAAGAGCCGGCTGTGGCGGCCGCTGGCTGCTCCTATACTGCCAATGTCATGGCCTGCACGCCCGAGGCAGACTAGAAGGACATCCGGGCGGCAGCAGCTACTATAAAGCTCTCCAGCAGCGGTTTTTTCCGGTCTATCCTATCCTTCTGCCCCACACACGACGGCGAGCTCTTCTTCTCGCATCCCGAAGCAGTACTATTCAGAAGCGTTACACCCCGGAACAGAGGGACAATGTTCCTACCTATTTAGAGCGGCACTTCCAACGTCAGACGGCTGTCATCGTATCTTCTGGCGGCGTTGATTCAGCACCCTAATATGGCCAAACCATCTGTATTGCCAGCGTATGTCCGGCATTAACAACCCATCCATATGGAAAGCGATAGCATCGACCGGCAGCCCATGGACAGGAGCACGCGTCTCGCACTTCGTCTACACTCTCGGACCTTGTATAGCTTCAAGACAGCATCTATTTGTTATACAGGAAGTGAGCCGTCTATGCAAAGCCTACCATTAGATTTTATCGCGAGTGACACGGACAGTTACTTGAAAGGATGGGATTTCTTGCTTAGGTTGAGTTATATATCCTCTATATACAAGCCCCTGACTCCAACTTACACTTGACGACCGTTGATCCCCTCAATCTAGTTCAATTCCTACTCAATCACATTCCCCGTATAAGGACACTTCCTCGCCTTAGAATGCAAATTCGCCCCCGCCTGCAACAGCATCATAACGCCCGACTCAAATCCCCTCTCAACCGCAATATGCAACGGCGTCCACCCAACCTCATCATATGCATCAATAACCCCCCCATCCCTCTCCCCGGCGCGCCGCTCCCCGAGCCGCGCCAGCAACACCCTGAGCACGGCCTCGCGCCGGTACAACACGGCCCAGTGCAGGGCGTTTCGGCGCTCGCAGTCGACGGCGGAGATGCGCGCGCCGTGCGCCAGCAGCGCGGCCGCCACCCCGGCGTGGTCCTCCATCACGGCGTGGATCAGCGCCGTGCGCCCGTCGCTGTCGCGCTCGTCTAGGTCCACGTTGCGTTGCCGCAGGAGGACGCGGAGGATGTGCTCGTGGCCCTTTTGTGCGGCAATGTGTAGGGTGCTGAGCCAGCCTTGGTTGGTGGAGGTGGTGGAGGAGGAGGAGGAGGAGGAGGCGTCGAGGGAGGGCTCGCGGTCGTGGGGCGCTTGTGTTGGTGGGGGGTTGCGGCTGGTGGATGTTGGGTTGCGTGGCGGGTTGGAGGACCGTCGTCGGGATCGGAGGTTCTTTTGCTCGCGGGCGGGTGGGGGGTGGCGGTTATCCTGCTTGCTGCTGCCGCCGAAAAAGCTACTTAGTGCGGTGGAGGTTGCGGGCGAGGTCTGTTCTGTGCTTGGGGAGGTAAAGGCAGAGTCTTGGAAGAACCCCGACTGGAACGAGGATGTGTCGGAAACTGAGACGGAGGAGTTATTGGTGCTGTGGAGGAATCCGTCGATGGAGGGTAAAGGATCCCAGAGGCTAGCATCATCGAGACCGCCACTGACATTATACGACACGTCGATTGGGTCCGCTATCATACCGTCCAATGTATCGGCGGGGTTGGCCACCGAGTTGGGGAAGTCAGCAGTTGCGGCGTCCATCGACGAGGTTGTTGAGATCTGGTTGTGAAATTGGTCGGGAGAGCATTGCGGCAGTCCCGAAGTTGACGGCCAGCTCCATTGTGCATCGTTTTGTTCGCCGTCGGCGGGGCGTCTGGGATCTCTCTTCTCTAGAGGGCCATCACGTTCAGCTCCTTGGTCAGTTAGTAGCGGGTTGTTAGAACCTGACTTACGACGGAACTTGCGCTGTGCAACCCGATTTTGCAGCCGGCGGCGCTCGAGGGGGTCGGTGGGCAACTGGAGGTTGAAATCCATTCCACATTCTGGATAGGGGGGTCATTCGTTCCCGTTACATGTCTGTTGTTGGACAGGGATGGGCGGGAGGACGTTGGCGGCTTAAAATCCAATGTTGGCTGGGGGTATCCGACCATCTTAGCCGCCGCCATCTCTACCGCATGGGGCGTGGCGGAGGTCGCCGAGCTCGGTTCATGGGTCCGAAGGATTTGACTCTGGGTCTCGAATCCTCACGGTTCTTCCTCCATGCTCTTTTAGGCAAGCGGTTCCCTACACCATCTGCAGGTACTTCAACTAGCGTGAGCACGCCACGAAAACGGCTGTTTGTATCAGTGCCGGCCATGGTCTGTGTGAGTCCACCCACAGCTGCGTAATCGTTGTCGTGGATCCATAGGAATGTGTCGGGGGGTGGTCACTGATTTTGTGGCGTTCTCACGCTACTTTATCAAGGGCACAAGCACATTTAAACAGTCACCGTCTCTTAACCGACGGCCCCCAATTGCCCCCACCTTGACATCTGGGTGCATGTAGGCTGTGTAGGGAATAATGTTTCAGACCAATCGTTATGAGGCTGACATCACGCCAGATCCGGATGAGGTGATTCACATCGACCCTTTCTCTTGATACGGAACTTTAAACGGGCCAACCCTGGGAGAATCTTGCCAAGATTGCCAAGCCAGGGACTACCTCCCCTGCCCCACTGCGAGCCGTCCCTGTAAGCGGGCTGCGCCGCGCCGTTTCGAACGAGGTGAGCTGCATGGCAGGATTGGAGCTAGCCAACCAGATTCTGCGAAGGACTCTACGTGCTCCCCACAGCTGTTGATGTCATGACAAGTTTCCGTTGCTCTGGTTGGCAAAGTCATTACGCTACAGCAGGTGTGTTACATTTACGCGCTTCGGTGCGGCCGCTGAGGTGCAGATGACAATCGCGAAGGATCCAGTTCCTCGCATTCATGTTGGTTGCCTGCCCCAGTTAGCTTGGGAAGACATAACCTTATCTACTAATACGCCTCGCAAAGTTGTGAATATCATAATGTGTCACTTATCTCGCACTCAGCCGCTGCAGAGGGGGTGGAAGATGGGGAAGTGATAAGCGGAAGATGGTCAGCAATAGATTAACTACCAGGGCCTGGTCATGGTATCCTCTGCCGGCTGACCATCACATCCCCACCCCCTTCTGCCTGTGCCCCATGTTTTTACCTTCAACCTCATCCGATGGCTAGAACGGCAAATCCATATTCACCCAACAAACTTAACCACCAGCCTCAATATTCGGTAGCTTCGAAACCAACTTGGCACACAGGGCAATCAGCGAGCTCGAGTTCGTAATATCAAGCGTCGTCAACTCCGCCCCGAGCTCCGACCGGACCCAGTTCCGCAGCTCAACAGCCGCAAGCGAATCCAACCCGTAAGCAATCAGCGGCCGTCCGGGCTCCATCTCCGTCTCCAGGCGGAGAATCCTCGTAAACTGCGCTGCCATCAGCTCCACCGCTGCCTTAGCCAAAACCGCCTTGTCTGCCCCGGACCGGTGCATCAGCACAAACGCCCGGATCGTCTCGTCGCCACGCCGGCCCCCGCCTTCCTGGCCTGCGGCCCCGGATGACGCCCCCTGGCCAAAGAGGTAGGCGAACCGGGCGTCTCGGACTAGGTCGGAGTCGTCCGGGAGCGGGAAGCCAATGCCGGTGATGAGCTGGGCGCTGCTGGTTGCGTTGATGGGTGCGCTTGTCTGCTGCAGGATCGAGTAGCTCAGGATGCTGCGCAGCGTGCCTTCGTTTATCCGTGTCCACTGCCGCTTGTCGAAGTGGCTGTCCATGCCGCCTTGTGCGGCCGCATATCCCACGTCTTCGATGAGCCCGAGGTCGACGGAGTTGGCCTGGAGGCCGAGCGACTGTCGGTATTTGGCGAAGGAGTCGAGGAAGGTGTTCCCCGCGGAGTAGTTGGCTTGACCTTTGTTGCCCACGACGCCTGATATGCTTGACAGTAGCGTGAAGAAGTCTAGTGGTTGGTTCTGCTCCTGAGACGCCTCGTGTAGGGCCCATGTACCCCTGATCTTACCGTAGAGAGCGGCATGGAAGTCTTCCACTGTCATCGTCTCGTAAGGTTTGTCCTAGACACACCCGTTAATGACCGCGATACGTGCCTTGGGAGGGCAGAATGACTCACCCTGAGGACCATGGCGCCCTGAATAATACCAGCCACCTTGGGTGTTGCCTCTCTGAACACTCCCCGGATGAACTCCACATCGGCAACGTCCCCCTTCGCCTCGACAATCTCACATCCATACGCCCGACAGTCTTCCACGCTCTTCTGGGACGCCTCATCGTTGACCCCGCTCCTCGAGCACACAATAATCCTTCTCGCTCCATGCCTCGCCATATGCACAGCCAGACTCCCACAAAGACCTTTTAGGCCACCAACAATGAGGTACGAGGCTTCGGGCCTGAGGGCGAGCTGGGGAACAGCGGGCCGGATGGGAACTTGAACGTCGGTCTTGGCGCCGTCGGAGATGACAACCTTGCCGATGTGGCGCCCGCTGCGGATGTAGGCCAGGGCGGAGGTAATGTCGTCGAAGCCGAAGGTGGTGATGGGGTGGATTGGCTTGATGTGGCCGGCGTTGACGAGGTTGAAGATTTGGTCGAGGAGCCTAGGAGGAGACAGGAGATTAATAATTTCAAATCAGGGATTGCTATTTCTCGGTGGGATTAAAAACAAGTTAGTTGGTGTCGGGAAACACAAACCTTGAAATCAGAGGGTCCGAGATGTCCCTCGTGAACGAAAAGTCCATGGCCCGGAATGAGCAATTCCGGTCAAACGGCTCCATGGCCAGCACGTTGCGGTCGACGATGTCCTTCTTCCCGATCTCGACCATGGTGCCGCCGTTGGCGCAGATCCGCCACGACTCGTCGAGCATCTCCCCCGTTAGGGAGTTGAGGATCACGTCAACGCCGCGACCGTCCGTTGCCCGGAGGATCTTCTCGGCGAAGTCGGTGTTGCGCGAGGAGAAGATGCGGGTCGGGGGGATGCCGTAGTTGTCGGTGAGGAATTTACGTTTCTCGTCTGTGCCGACGGTGACGTAGATCTGCCACTGCTTAGTCCATGATTCAACTTGCTTCTGTGGCCCTCATCTCACCTCCGCCTTCTTGTATTGTGCCAACTGGATGGCCGAGAGACCGACGCCGCCCGAAGCAGAGTGGATGAGCACGGACTGTAGGTCTATTAATGGCCATCCCCCGGAGTATTATCACCATGACAGGTTCTCACCTGGCCCTCTCTGAGATTCGCGATGTCGAACAGCGAATAAACGCAGCAGAGGTACACCGACGGAATCGTTGCTGCTTCCTACAAACCCCGACAATCAGATCAGTTCCTATAATTAATACACTGCCAGATAGGTCGACATACCTCGAAACTCATCGTGTCTGGAATGACGTGTGCCCGCCCGACAGGCACCTGGAGGCGATTCGCATAACTGCCGCTGTTGAGGAAGCAGACCCGGTCGCCGACCTTGAACTTGGTGACTCCCTCGCCGAGCCGCTTGACGACGCCAGCTGCCTCATATCCCAGAGCGTACTCGTTCTCGGGCACAATGCCCATCGTCACGGCGACGTCCTGAACAGCGTCAGCAATGGGCAGTCTTATCTCTTTCCAACATGAAAGAGGAGAATTTAGCAGAACTTACCTTGAAGTTGACACCCGCCGCGAAAACCTCAACCTCGACCCTATCCGCCTCGACCGGCACCTCCGAAAACCCCGTCTCAGACCACGTCAACCCCTGGAAAGTTCCCAGCCTCTCCGCCCTCAGCGCAACAGCCGCCTCGACGCCGTGCAACTCCCTAAGAACGGGCTCGGCACCCTCCCTCTCGTCCCTCCGGAAGCCGTTGACCGGCCCGTCCGGCACGACCCGGTGGACGTATACGATGCCGCCCCGCTCGGCAAATTCAGTCTCAACAGGGCCTTCATGTCGGTCGTTTGTCGCCAGCTTATCGAGGACATCGGCGATTGCCCGGGCTGTGGTTGTGGAGTTGGTGCTGGACTCGACGTCGAGGGTCGTGACCTTGATGCTGGGATCTTCTCTGCGGACGACGCGGAAGAGGCCGTGCGCGAGCGCGGTGTCTGGGTTTGTTACCTCGTGCTGCGAACCCTGGGTTACCCAGAGGAGGTTGGTTCTGGAGGTGAGGAGGGTCTTTAGGGAGTCCCATTGGTCTGGGGTGATTTGGGTTAGGACTGGGGTGTACAGTTCGTCGAGGACTAAGACGGTGCTTCCAGGTGTTAGGTTTGAGAATGGGTGTGTTTGCTCGGTGACGTTCCATCCGGATGTGTGTAGGAGGGCTCCAAGGTTGGGATCTAAGGCTGGGGTCGGGTTGGCTAGACGTACGACGTGGAGATCGCGGAGGGGTCGGGTGTCCTTCTTCAGCTTGGTTCCGAATGTGAAGAGGTACGCGGAGGTGTCGTTGCCGGAAGTATTAATCTCCAGACTTTCCACGAAACCGTGCGGTGCGACAATGCTTTTGAGAGTGCTCAGATCCCAAAGATACCGTTCAACGGCTGTCTCCACGTCCGATGTTAGATCTTGAGTTTCACGGATCTCAACTTCGGTCACCTGAACAGAAACTGTGACCTTCTGAAGATCCTCGGATGCCGACACATCGCTAACCGAACTAGCAGGTGTGTCCGGCCGGTGTTCGAGCGCCTGGGTGAGCGCCTCCAGCGTGCCAGGTGTTCCCGGCGAGTCGGGCGTAGAGTCTCCACTACTGCTAGACTCTGCTCCCGGCGTCGTCTCCCTCCGCTGAACAAAGAACACCCGGCTGCCATTTACTAGAAGCGGAGTGAGCGTTTCAACCAACCCGTCCGCTCTCAGCTCCGCCACCTCCGAGACCTGCACGATGACGAGATCAAACGCCGACTCCGACACCGGCAGGCCGAATGCCTCCTTGCCGGGATTGAGCACGTGGAATGACGAGTCCCTCCGGCCCTCGAGCTTCGTCTGAGCGGCGACGGTGGCTCTCGCATCGGGCGAGCCGAAGTGGTACTCGAGATATGCGGCTCGGGAGGCGGTATCGCCGGCATCGAACCAGAGAGAGGAGGTATCGGTGGCGTCGAGGTTGATCTCCAGAACTCTCAGGGCGGGCTTCTTGTGCGCGATCAGGTCGACGACGAGGTCGATCTTGGCTGCTGGCGTGTCGGCTGGGAGCGAGTCGAGGTATTCTTGGCGGAGGAAGCTGATGTCGGGTTTCCACGAAACGCGGTCGAACGTGTGCGGGTCGGGCTTCGACCCCGTATCAAGCTTGGCAAAGCGGAGGCCGGAGAGTTGAACGAGGAGGGCGCCGCTTGATGGGTCGTACACGGAGCAGTTGGAGAAGTAGCTCTTGCCCTCCTCAAGACGGCCACGGCCGGAGTACTCCGAGCTTGCGACGGAGAGACCCTCCCTGAGCCCGGTCGGCACCCTGTTTATGACGAGGTCGTCGATGATGGATGGCACCAAAACGGCGTTCATGGAGCTTCGCTCGCCGGCCCAGAGCGACGGAGTGACGGTCTGGAAGCAGCCGTCGAGCGATGCCGGGTGGATCGGGTAGTACGACTGGGGCGACCACTTCGACTTCGGCTCCTCCAGGGACACGGAGCTGCGGCAGTTCCGCTGGCCGCTGGTCGACTCGACCTGGAGCACCCTCTGGAACGCGGGTCCGAACCCGTACCCGACCTCGGCCTGGGACTTGTACCACAACTGGGCCGAGACGGGGTGTTCAAGGGGTGAATGTGCGCGGGGGCCCTCCTCGGCCAAGGTTTTCTCGACCGGGTGTTGAACACGGACCAGGCCGGAGCAATGTTCGACGACGGTGTTATCACTGCCGATCGACGACGAGATGCGGAACTCGTGCCAGTCCGCGGTCCCCACCTGCCGGGCCAGAGACAGCAACACGACAGCCTCCTTTTCCTCCTCGAGCACCAGCGCCTTATCAAACCGGACGTTCCTGAACCGGTAGGAGAGGTCGTTTGCGGAATTGACAGCGCCATTCTGATCGGGATCAACGGCCTGCTTCTTCTGGTACAGCGCCTCAAGGGCCATGGCAATGAATCCCGACCCGGGCATCAGCACGTCCGGCCCCATCTTGTGGTCGCGGAGCCAGGGCACGTCACCGAGACTGAGATGCTTTCGCCAGCTCGGGGCCCTCCATGAGGTGCCCAAAACCTTGCTGCCAAGGAGGTCGTGCGTGATGTGCTTCTTGAACCGCCAGTCCTTGCTCGCCTCGTTCTCGTGCCAGTACTTGATCGAGTGGTCCCAGACGTAGTTGGGGAGGTCGATGATGGTGCTGGGGAGTGTGCCGTCCGCATCGGAATATTCGTTGACCTTTGCCAGGTCGACGGGACCACCCGCGACGAACAGCCGGCCGGCGGCGTCGAAGAGAGATTTCCCGGCGTCGACACCGCGGGACCAAGCCGCGCAGTATGCGACGTCAGCGGCTTGATTTGGAAGGCTCTTCTTGATCTGAGCCACGGGGCCGGCCAGGGCGCCGGACGGGCCGATCTCGATGAGGAAGTTGGGCGCGTCCTCCTCGGAGAGCATGGCTGTGACGGCCTCGTCGAACCGCACCGGCGAGACCATGTTCGTCTTCCAGTAGAGTGCGTCGGCGGCGTCGGTCTTCTTCGAACCGGTGACTGATGAGAACATGGAGGCGTCAGCCGATCCCCCGAGAGTGGTGAATTTCGAGTCCGACAATAGCTGCTCGTATTCTTCGCCAATGGAATCCATGAACCTCGAGTGGTAGGCAAGATCGACCTGCAACAACCGAGCGAAGTGACCAGCGGCTTGGATCTCATCTCTCAACGCCTCCAGCGCGACGAGCTTCCCCGAAATGGTCACACTGTTGGGGCTGTTGAAGCACGCAATCCACGCGCCTCCCTCGTGCTTCTCTAAGAACGGCTTGACCGCCTCGGTGCCCAAGCCAACCGCCAACATGCCCACATCACTGTCTGCGTCACCCTTCTCCTTCTGGTTGACTGCCGCACGACCCCGATAGAATGCTGCCGCGATGGCATCGGCCCGGCTGATCAGCCCCGCCGCATACGCAGCAGCTATCTCTCCAGACGAGTGCCCGACGACGCTGCGGGGCTTGACGCCCCAGCTCTCGAGGACGGCAATGATGCACAGCTGAAGTGCCGTAACAAGCGGCTGGGAGAACTCTGGCTGGCGGAGGTGCTCCGTGGTGCGGGGCTCGGTGAGTTCATCTGCATGCCGTGGCGTTAGTCTGTCTAGCTCGACTTGCTCAGGAGTAACCTCCCGGGTTTCTCCACGATCACTAACCTATCAACGACCAACTAGGCGGCTCAGGCAACCCCTGCAGATACCCATCCAGCTCCTCGAGAACCGACCTCGTCCACGGGAAGAACTCAAGAATATCCCTCCCCATCCGCGGCCACTGAGCCCCCTGCCCGGTAAACACGAACCCAACCCTCGGGACCTCGAGCCCCTTCTTCCCGACGGTAAACGCCGCCTCGTCCAGGTCCGTGCTCCGCGCCGTCGCGAAGGCGCGGTGGAACAGGCGGGTGCGCCGCTCCGAGAGCGTGTAGGCCAGATCGGCGAGGCGGACGCTGACACGCGGGTTGACGAGGTGGCTGGAGAGGGCGGCGATGTTGGCGCGGAGGGAGGACTCGTTGTTGGCCGAGAGGACGAGCACCGAGGGGCGGGGGGATTGCTCGTGGTCGAGGGTGAAGGCGGCGTCGTTGTCGTCGTCGGGTGCGTAGGAGGAGGTGTGCCGGGGTCGGTTGTTGGGGAAGATGGCTTGCTCGAGGACGATGTGCACGTTGGAGCCGCCGTAGCCGAAGGAGTTGATGCTTGCTCGTCTGATGGTGCTTGGGGGCCAGGGAATGGCGGTTCGGGTTGCTTTGATGCGGAGGCCGGAGAAGTCGACTGTTGTGGAAGAAGTTAGCATGGCATGTTTACAGGGATGGAGTCGAAGTGCGGAGTCAGGGGGCCGGGGGTAAACTTACTTTTCGGACTTGGGTTCTCAAAAGTTGGATTGCCCGGGATGATTCCCTTTTCAATGGCCATGGCAGTCTTCATCAGTCCGGATATTCCGGCCGCTGGCTCGGCGTGCCCGACGTTGCTTTTAATCTTAGGGATTGGAGATTCCGTTAGCATTTGACTCAACATGTCCGTCAAGGAGGGAAGACATACCGATCCGATGATCAGTGGCTTATCCGCAGGCCGCGTCTTCGAGAACACAGATCCCGCCCCGCCAACCTCGGTGGGATCTCCAGCCTGGGTCCCCGTGCCATGGCATTCGAGGTACGCTGTCTCGTTGAAGTCGGAAATCCCCGCGTTGGCGTATGCGGCCCGAATAGCGACAGCCTGTGCCTCGGCGCTCGGACTCGCGATCCCCGGCGTCCTCCCATCGCTGTTGGTGGCGGAACCCCGGACGATGGCACGGATCGGGTCGCCGTCGCGAAGCGCGTCGGCCAGCCGCTTGACAATGATGCAGCTCACCGCCTCCGCCTTGACGTAGCCGTCCGCCGAGACGTCGAAGGTGTGACACAGCCCCGTGGGCGAGTGCGCGTTGCCAACCGCTCCTGTGTCCATGACGTGCTCTGGGTTCAGGTACAGATTGCTGGTGGCGATGATGGCTGCGTCGATCTCCCGGGTCTGGAGGTATCGGCTTGCAACGTCGAGACCGACCAGGCTGCCCGAGCAGGCCGTATCGATGGTCATGCTGGTCACATTCACGCGGTCAACATCGCATCCCAGCCAGGCTGGTATGGAGGTGAGACTTTCTCACCTTGGTCCCTTGATGTTGAGGAAATGACTCAACCTGTTGGCCAAGATAGCCCGGCCAGCACCGACTGTGATGTTGGCTGGCCGGTCTTCGGGGTCCCTACCCTGCATGTCACCATAATCTGGAGTCATTTAGCCGTGGATCTAGTGTGATGCATAACCGCCCTCAATCTCAAAGTGCTTGCTGAAGACTTACCTGACGCATATGATCCTACAAAGCAAGCCACAGGAGCACCATCCAGACTCTCGAGCGTAATGCCCGCATTCTCAAGTCCCTCATAGACTACTTCGAGCATCTGCCGCTGGTTGGGATCCATGGAGATTGCCTCAGTACGCGAGATCTCGAAGAACGAGGCGTCGAAGTCCGCGGGATCGATGTCCTCGAGGAACATGCCCCCAAGCGGGCGCATGGTTCCCGGCTTGGTGGACCCGTCCCAGTGGCCGTCAATGTTGAACCGCGACTTGGGCACCTTGTTCGACGCGATGCCTCCCCTCTCGAGGAACTCCCATAGCTTGCGCGGCGTGGTGTTGCCACCAGGCAGCCGGCATGCGAAGCCGATGATGGCGGTTGGCTCCTGGGAATAGGTCGACTTGGCCATTTTGGAGTGGCTGATAACTTATTATTCCTCTCAACGAAGTGCAAGATGCAGTTGGTCAAGCACGACGAGTCTCAAGCCAGTAGTCTCGGATGGATTGTGTATGAGGGGATGGGTGTAAATAGACTGAAAGATGGGCCACGCATTCCTTCACCGGGCCCCTGTCAAGCATAGTCCCCCCGAGCAGACCTAAGTGGATGTTTAGGGGCTAGAGAGACGCTGGATCGGTTCTGTCTGACGAGATAGACACTAATATGAGCTGACTGATGTCTGTTGCCCCCTCAATTTGCATACCGAGACTAAGGCGGTTCACCTTGTCATTAGCAGCCCAATCAGATGGCCCCAGTCAGGGAGGCAGTCCCATCGTGGCCACAATGCCGCTCTTTCCTTCTACAGTCAGCCTTATCGTCGACAGTGCAACTCTTACTTCACATCATGTACGACGAGGGGGGGTTATGTCGGACAACTAAGTAAGCTTATTCTCTCACGAGGAAGAGTCGAAGTGTGCGATGGTAAGCAATTCTCGCGTCACTGATTATCCTGCATCTGTGGATTAATAGTTACGAAACAATTAACTGGGTGTGTGGAGCTTCAAGGTCACGACTTCAACTCCCCGAGATGGCCTCCCGGCCCCGAGCAAGCACCTGGATGGGCAACATTGGAATCCCTGTTTTTCCCGCAAGATGGATGACCAGTTAAGGTACCCCAATCCCGTGTCATAAACTCACAGGGTGCCGTGTCGAGCAGCGAGCGAGTGAATAAGAATTGTCATGTTCTTCGACGCCGCCATGTCAACATAGGTACACTGCAGAGTACTCCTAGCATAGAACTCTGCACATCTTAGTTCCACAGCCATGCCGTCACTTCTTCAGGGCGGCTATCAGAAGGTGGAATGCAAGACCATTGACGGCATCACCATCAGGGGATGGTTCTACGCAGTGGAGGGGCCATCGCCAGCCATTATTATGACCCACGGTGTAAGTCGCTACGGAAATCTCAGGACGAACATCCCCCCCCCCCACAGTACTTACAAACTCGCAGTTCAACTGCGTCAAAGAAATGCTCATACCCGAGGTCGCGGAAAAGTTCCAGTCCTTGGGTTACAACGCTCTCATATACGATCCCCGGAGCATCGGAGACAGCGACGGGTCTCCGAGGAACCAAATCGACCCCCACCAGCAGGCAGAGGACCTCTCAGGTAAAATCACGCCTCAATATTTGGACCAACCAACTTACAATCCTCCACAGACATCCTCACCTACGTCAGCACACTCCCAACCGTCGACGCAACCCGCCTCGCCCTCTGGGGCATGTCCTTCGGCGCCACCGTAAGCGCGACCGCCGCCGCCGCCGACCGCCGCATCAAAGCCGTGGTGATGGTGTGCCCCATCTTCAGCTTCTACCAGGAGGACAGGCGGGAGCGGGCCCTGGCCCAGCTGATCCGCGACCGGCAGTCGCAGCTGCGCGGCAACGAGCCCTTCACGCTGCCGCCCTTCAACAGCCGCGGCGAGAACCCCATCGGCATGGCCGGGTCGGGGGGACCGGGCGGGCTGGAGGCGTTCGACTTTATGACTGCGGTTATCGAGAGAGGCGCGCCGAACTTTAGGAATAGGATCACGTTGCAGACGTATCGGAAGCTGGCGCTGTGGAGGCCGGCCGAGTTGCTGGACCTGGTTGGGTCGACGCCTGTGCTGATGGTTGTTCCTGAGCTGGATAATATGTCGCCTGCTGCTGAACAGAAGGAGGCGTTCGCAAGGTTGCCGGGTCCGAAGAGGCTGGTTGTTGTGGAGGGGAGGGGGCACCTCAACGTGCTGAGTGGGGACGGGTCTGCGGAGCTCTTGAGACTCCAGGTGGAGTTCATCGGGGCAGCGTTGGATGGGGGGTCAACCCTGAAGAAGAACGGGGATCATCCGGTTGCGGCTTCAAACGGTATTGCCTTGGCCAAGGTAAACCAGTTGAACGGAGGGCTGTATACATGAGTAACTGATGATGGGTCTGGGATTACAGGTCTGAATCTAGACGACCATATGGCCTTGGGTCGTGGATAGAGCGACTCAGCGTACGCTTGGGATTACGGTGCTTCTCAGAAGAGACGAATGACGAAGTTGTTGGTACCAAACCGTATCCTTGTAGCCTTTACCACGTAGTAATCCAATTAAGATCCAAACCAGGGCCATGAAATCCCCCATAATTACACAACATTGTGCTCCCGAAGGAAGGTTAGTCCTATTCGAAAGAGCCGCATCAAGTCATACAGTGCTTCCTTAATTACTTAGTTCCTACGGGGCTTTTCCGGATCGTGGCATGACGCGACTATATGTCGCCATGACGGGACACTACCTAATCTCCCTTATCCCGTATGATCCTCCCGCTGCATGCAACCTTAGATTGCCTTGACATTCCTTACTTTGCATCATCTCGAGCCCCTGTCTTACCTTGCATCCAACCCATCTCGGACCATGACTATGATTACCGGCGCTTACTGGACAGGGGATGGCCAAGGGTCTCGGCCTTGTCGCCAACCGTGACCTCTGTGATGCAACCCCTAAAGATCTAGCCAGTTGAGTTCTCGTCGTCAGCCCATGCCACTATCCCGACTTACAGAGGCAACGCGGTCGAGCAACTTACATCTACACACGTTGTTGATCATCTTGATGGCACGGTTGGATGTGATTGGGAACCAATACACGACTGGCGGAGGAAGAAACTCGGTGCACAATTGCTGTATCTCAACTTCATGTGCCCGACATTCCCCTCCAGATACCGGGCATGGAAATGGTTGTTCCCTAGCATATAGCGTAATGAATGGGATGAATTATTAGGAATCCCTGACAGTGGCCCGATGAATGCTTCACCTCATCGTTCCCCGCTTCAAGCCTTGGTTGCTCCAGAGCTCTCTCCCAGACGCGATGCCGCCAACACGCCATCCAGTGTGGAACTACGCAATAAAAGCCGCCGAGATAACACGCAGCGATCCCTCAAGTGCAGCCCCCATGGCAGTAAATGTAGGCAAGCCTCAATTATCCCAACCCCGTCCCGCCCGACACAACCTCCCATCCGCCGCCACAACCCAGTGGTCGCTCCCAACAGACGCAGGGCCATAGAACAAGAAATCCGGATCGTGCCTCCTCTTGACCGCCAACAGACGCGCATAATTCACCCCGTAGTAATCCCTCTTCCAATCCGGATTGTCAAACGTGGCCTCGCTCATGTACGCCCCGCCGCCGGGCGTGACGGCCTTGACGCGATCCTGCCTGCGGTTCAGCCCGTCCTGGAGCGGCCGCAGCGCCGCCGCCGAGGCGTTGAAGGGGTCCGAGTCCGTCACCACGTTGAGCCAGTACAGCGAGTTGCGCCACGCGGGCAGCACCGCGTTGGGGGCGTGCGTCGCCGCCCGGGTCACGTCCGACGCTATGCCATTGACGGCGTAGCTGGGCGCTGAGGGGTCGGTGCTGGGGGCGACTACGTCGCGGAGGGCGGCGACGAGGGCGGCGCGGTTGGTCGGACGAGCGGCTGAGCGTGGGATTAGTCGGCCGCCGATGAGGAGGGTGGTGGGGTAGTTTCCGAAGGGCAGGTCGGCGGTGTAGTAGGCGTAGTGCTCGTAGAAGCCTGGCCTTTCTGTCGCGGAGAAGGTGTATTCTATGCCGAGGTCGTCGAGCCTGTTCGTGAACGGCGCCAGGGCCGCGGTGATGCCTGCTGCGTCGGAGCCTGGTAGTGTCGCGAAGGAGAGGCCAAATGCCACGTCTGAGATACCAAAGACGCTGTTGAAGCCGACGATGTCATCTAGGACGAGCAGGTGCTCATGCCAGGCCTCTATTGCGGCCCAGTACACGTCGGGGTCAGTGTTGTTGAACGCCAGCGACGCGCCCGCGACTGGCCCGTCGACATGGACACGCGTTGTGTGCGAGAGCACCACGGCATAAGTCCCACCCCCTCCGCCGTTGAGCGCCCAGAACAGGTCCGAGTGCCGCGTCGGCGTGACAGTCAGGTGCCTCCCGTCGGCGGTCACGACCTCGAACTCGAGCGTGTTATCCGCCGCGAGCCCGTACAGACCCTCGAGCGGACCGTGACCGCCACCCTGGACGTACCCCCCCGCGATGCCGACCGTCGAGCAGAAACCGCCCGTGACCCGTAGACCTCGGGCAGCGACCGCCTCGTATGCTTCGTACGCCTGAACGCCGGCGCCGAGCCGGACGGCTGGTCCGGTGTAGTGGAGGCTCTTATAGTCGAGGAAGGAGATGCGCTTCAGGTTGTGCGTCCACAGAGCCAGAGATCCGCCGCCCGCCGACCTGCCGATGAAGTCGTGGCCCGTGTTTTTCACCGTCAGTCGGATGTTCTTCTTCTTGGCGAACTTGAGGCCCGCTGCGATGTCGGCCGCGCTGGTGACGTTGATGGCGTAGGAGGCGATGTTGCCGAGGGAGCAGGATGAGTCTCGGCCCGTGAAGGGGCTGCATGAGTTGTTTAGCCAGAGGGGCGCCATGACGTTGACGGGGTCATCGAGGCTGATTGGATGCGGTTTTCAGGGTCAGTTTGACAGGTCGCACGGAGATCTACGGGCTAGGGGTGTGACTGACAAGATTGGAGCCTGGGTCCATTGGCTCTGCACACCAATACATTCGTCGACATTGTAGCTGAGAGCATGGCAGCTTTGAGCGAGGGGTTTCCCCTGGATCAGCCTTCCACCAACGGATTGGTTCAGGTGTTTCCACTCCGCATGGCTGGGCCAGCGATCGTCACCGGGGATGTAGCGGCAGTGTGGTCCTGTCGAGTTCGAGTATGGCGCCGCACTCGTCCCTGGAAGAGACCCGAGGACCAGTCCTGCCGTCACGGCTAAAGAGAAACGTGCATGTCCTTGGCAGCGCATTGTCGAATTGGTCTATAGGGGCTCATTTGACGTCCAGAGAGACAAGGAGCGGAGACTGGGGCACAAAGCGATAACATTCGAATGTGCGTGACATGTGAACAGTGGACACTGGAGCTACACTCAGTCTATATGACAGAATTCCTTTCTCAGCCCCTCACAGTAAACCCCTGTTTGGCTAGCAGCTTCGCCGTCTTCGCCAGTCCCTCAGCTTCCGATTTTAAGCTTAGTTCATGTCCTTTTCCGAACTAGCAAAGCAGTCAAGATGGCCCAGCGGCGATGGGAAGGGATAAGCGAGGGATCTGGCTGCGCGCTTTCAATATCTATCAGCCCTAGTCGTAATAATCAGAGCTAGTCCCTGCCCCTCGGGGGTCTCCTATCCAAACTTGGATAACTCGCCTCATATGCACCGGGAATTGCTCATCGTAGGCACTCGAGGGTCTCACCGGGGGCGACCCATAACCAATTCCATTGGGATCGGGTTTAGCACTGCGGCTGCATGGTAAGCGGGTAGCCGTTGCCGCTTATCTTGCATGTCCGCTAATGCAGGATGCTGACGTGCATACGGGGTGAGCCGCTGCGTCTCGAGCTATCATGCATGGAGCTTACCTATGATTAGCCCGCAGCTTGTTGGCATCTGACGTGGGGGTGCCGGCTCACGGCTACAGTAATGTAATACCCCCGTGATAAATTGCATGAGCTTATTCGATGCCCTCCTTTCTCATCCAACTAGCTCCTTCAAAGATTGAACATCATAGCGCCACGCAACTAGGGGATTCCATCGTGGAAGCGATCCTCTGGCGTCAGTTACGCTAAGAATGCAGCAGCGCTAAGGTTGCGAAAGCGAGAGGCAAGAGCGACAATGTTGAGATATTATATTGCCAAATATGGCCCACAAGTATCAGGGCCAAGGTCACGCTACAGCTGTGTCCAAGAAGCTCCGAACACCCTGCACGTACCACCAGTGGAAAGGTGACTGATTCTGAAGCCATGTCGACTGTCACGAATGTCCTGCGCGATCCCCTGGGAGACATCCCTATCCCAGTCGGCATCCAAGATGGCCTCAACCGATGGGCGGGGCATCAAGGCTTTCTGGCCCTTCTAACGTTCTACGTTGCGATTGCATTGCCGCTGCTTTACTTCGTCGGGCTGGCAACCTACCGCCGTAATGCATCCTGGAATCCTGACTCCTCGAGTATTGGCTAATAGTTGGCCAAAGTGACCCTATCCCCCCTTGCAAACATCCCAGGCAATAAGCTGGCCGGTGAGGACCACCCTCGCTTATTCGGTACTCGATGGGTACTAACTGACATCGCCTTTTTTCCGCTGTTTAGCTTTGACGTACTGGTACGAAATCTACTATGATGTTTGGCTTGGCGGCCAATACTTCCGCAAGGTCGAGGAGATGCACCACAAATATGGTAATTACTTGGCTTCCCAAGACTGCCCTCTCTATCCTTGAATTTTCGCTGACAGGTGATGTCGATCAAGGTCCGATTGTCCGCATCAGCCCTCACGAAGTCCACTTCAACGACCCGGACTTTATCGACACGCTTTTCCCCGGCCCCTCAAGGAAGACGAATAAGCATTTTTTTACGGGGAGGAGGACGGGAAGTAAGGAGTCCCCGAATGGTGAATCCAAATGCAGCCAGCATGGAACTGACCCCAAACCCCAGCCCAGAACTCCATGGTCGCAACCGTGGACCATGACCTCCACCGCAAGCGCCGCAACACGGTCAACGCCTACTTCTCGAGCGCCAGCATCCGCCGGCTCGAGCCGGGTATGAAAGAGGACACGGCGAAGCTGCTCTCCCGGATGGAGGCCGCGGGTGCCGGGGAGGGGCAGGTCCTGCAGATGCACCACGTCCTCAAGGCGTACACGGCCGACGTCATCACGCAGTACGCCTTTGGCGACTCGTTCCACTTTCTCAACGAGGAGGACTACGCCGCCGGCTACATGGAGGCCACCGACGTCTACCACATGCTGAATCACACCTTCTGCCACTTCCCCTGGGTTTCCACTCTGATGGCGACGGCGCCCCCGTGGGCCCTCAACAAGTGCCTTCCCATCTTGAATGAGATGTGGAGCAAGCAAGCAGTACGTGTTTCGACATTCTTGATATCCTCCTTCTGAGCTAAGTGTCCTCCAGTTGTGGATGGAAAAGGTCAAGGAGATCCGAAACTCGCCGAACCCGGAACGAGTCAAGAGCACCATATTCGAAGGCATCCTAAACAGCAAGCTTCCCGACGAGGAGAAATCCGACGCCAGACTAGCACACGAGGCCCAGCTCATCGTCCTCGCCGGCCAAGGCACAACAGGTAAGCCAAATGACCCCCCCCCCCCCCCCCCCTCTCCAAACCGACAGCTAACCTCCCCATTCAACCAGCCTACACCCTCATGGCCGCCCTCTACGAACTCCTCGCCCACCCCACCGAGCTCCAAAAGGTCAAAGCCGAGCTCTCAGCCGCCATCCCCACGCCCGGCGACGTCCCCTCCTTCAGCCAAGTCGAGACGCTCCCCTACCTCGGCGCCACCGTGCAAGAGGTGCTGCGCCTGCACCCGGGCGTTGTGTCGCGCCTGCCGCGCGTGTCTCCCGATCTGCCCGTCGTGTACCGCGGCGGCGGCGGGAGGGAGTACGTCATACCGCCGGGAACGCCGTACAGCATGACGGTGCCGATCGCGCACATGAACGCGGACGTGTTCGAGGAGCCGTACGAGTTCCGGCCGCAGCGGTGGATCGACAACCCGAGGCTTGATAGGGCGGTTATTGGGTTTGCGAGGGGGACAAGGAATTGTATCGGGTGAGTTGGTTTCTGTGTGAGATCGCGGTGAACTGAGCTGATAACTTCCAGCATGACTTTTGCCCGCCAGCAGATGTTCATCGCCCTCGCGGCCATTCTTCGGAAATATGACCTCTACCGTGGCCAGGAAGGGCCGACGCTGGAGTTGTACGACACCATCCGCGAGAGGGACATTGACTTGAACCGCGAGTTTATCATCCCGTTTCCGGCGAAGGGTAGCCATGGGCTGCGGGTCAGGGTGAGGAGTTAGAGGGAGGGGGCGGGTGGTAGGTGGGCTGGCTGTGAGGGTGCTGGGACGTGGTATTTGTGATCATATTGGTGCAGGAACAGTGCTATCTTGAGCGGCTGATATTCACATTCAGGGGGTACACTTGCATACATACTTCATGTCGAAATAGGAGATGGAGGGAATGGGAGGTGGGGGGAATGGGATATGGAGGGAGGGGAGGTGGAGGAAATGGTAAGTGAATGAGATGAGGAGAGGAGCAAATGGTAAGAGAATAAGATGACGAGAGGAGCAAATGGTAGGTGAACAAGATGACGAGAGAGGAAAATGGCAAGTGAATAAGATTGTTCAATGTCTCGTGGCGCGGCGGCCGCCTGACTTATCCCCTCGTCGGCACCGAGCCCATTTCAATTGCCTGGGACGCTGGCGGGTGACGTGTCACCACGCCATCGCGCCTCCTGGTACGTCAAGCTGCAAATATCATCCAGACACACTTCCCTGGCCAAACCTAATCGCTCATTCCTCAACAACTGCCGTCTCGACTGGGCCACCATCCAGCTTGAGGATTCGCGCTTTCCCCAAGGCTTTCCCTTTCATATAGGAACCCCTCTTGCCCTAGTCGACTTCGTCGGTGACGACCACGACATCAGCGCAGCCAAGCACACAGGACTGGTCTTCAAGCATGGCTCTTCCACAGGCCCCACTGTCGGCGTTCGAAACCAGCCCAGATTGCTCACGCGCGAGTACAGCGTCGATGGAGCAAGCGTCATCGTCAAGTCCCTCGAGCGGTCCGTCATCTCCGGCCACCCAGGCTACCCCTTCGCCATGCCAGGTGACTCGGGCACGGTGATCTTCGACACGGATGGCAGTCCCGCGGGGATGGTCTGGGGGTACGTGGACAGCCCCTGCGGGGTCGGTATGCGGTGTACGCTGTACACGCCTATGGAGTCTATCTTGGCGAGCATGGAGGAGGCGCTTGCCGACGAGTATGGCTGGGGAAAGTTCTCGCTGACCTTGAGTGCTTGAACCTGTCAAGAGGGCGTGTGGGGTTGTAGGAGGCTCTGTCGCTAGCTAGACATAATCAACTAGTACTAGCAACGCCCGCGAGATAAGGGTCACGGGGAATAGAAGCTTGCTTGACTCACGCGGCGGCAGCAACAGTGACGGATAGACGGAGTTATAATTAGTTGTCGAGAAAAGGCAGCAGTCTCAATTAGTAGCCTTCAAATGATGACTGGTTTGATAAAGGCTTGGTAGTTGTCATTATTGGTCATGTCGTCATGTCATGGTCGTGACAACTAGCCCCAGCAGTGTTCCCTTCAGCGTTAATAATACTAATAGTAATTACTACTAGCTTTATGTGATCGCAGCAAAAACGGCAATAGCGATAGACTGCGAGAGCAATAGCGATAGACTGCGAGAGCAGGAGCGATGGACAACGACAGCAGGAGCGATGGACAGCAATAGGAGGAGCAATGGACAATAGTAGCAGGAGCAATAGACAAAAGTAGCAGGAGCAATGGACAGCAACAGCAGGAGCAATAGACAGCAGCAGCAGGAGCGATAGACAGCAACGGCAGGAGTGATGGACAACGACAGCAGGAGCAATAGACAGCAGCAGCAGGAGCGATAGACAGCAACGGCAGGAGTGATGGACAACGACAGCAGGAGCAATAGACACATTACGTTATCCTGGGGAGGCAAGGGAAGGCTCAAGCTTTCCACAGCCCAAACCTTCCTTCCCAAAAACAAAACCTTGACTTTGAGTCACGGTTTTGCTCACATATATTTCCTCAAAAGTGTCTTCCACCTTACCCATCGAACTTCATCCAAGAATCCATCGCGAACAAGACAATGCCGCCCCCTCCCACAAACACGACGCTCCAGACCATCTCGTCGGTGACCAACGACATCGAGGATCCCGCAGTCGTGTCCGTCACCACCTCAGTCTGGTCCAAGGACCCCCCCACCGAGTACAACCTGGCGATCGCAGCCCTTGAATTCGAGGAGTTCTCCTTCTGGGGCGAGGATGGGTCCCTGGACTGGGGCAACGCCTCCACGGAACACAACAAGGCACTGCGGAAGTACCTGACGCTCCACTACAACGTCATCATATTCCACTACTGCGAGCCTTTCCTCCTTCTCGGGTGCGAGGGGGAGCTTCCTAGCAAGGACAAACTCCCTTTTTCGATTGCCGGCATGATCGCGATCTGGAGGATAGATGACAACATGAAGTTCAGACCTCTTATCGGTTGGCACGCTGAAGGAGAAGAGTGTCTCAAGATCGACCCGGGAATGTTGGACAAGATGGTCGAGCATGAGATCCCCCCCAACGAGGTCTTCCTGTATCTGGCAGACCATATTTTCCACGACTGCATCGCCATATCCATCATCTGGGAGACCATGGTGGTAGAGTTACCTCTCACAGAATGGAACGATTTCGTGAGGAGGCTTCAGGTCCTTCCCGAAGGTATCGAGGGAGCTCCGTTCCTCCTACAATATCACAACGGTCCTCTCCCAAACACCGAGAGGTGCAGGAGCGCCACCACCCCGACCCCGAAGGCGCTGGAGTCGGATGTTGCCGACGAGACCGACTATGTGAAAGCGGACGGGAGATTCTACCCAGGCACCATGATCAACTCCACTGACAGGGCTGGAACGATGTACTCGTCGGGCACAGCCGGTGTGCTTGTTGAGAAGGACGGCGAGCAGAGGCTGACCTGCTCGTACCACAACTGGGAAGACCACGACCAGAAGTACCCCGGCCGATTCGGCCAGGATGACGACGAGGCCCGCCGCACCTTTGAGGTTGTCCAGGGCAACCCAGGCACGCCCGTCGGGTTCGCCGAACGCCGGATGGGCGATACCGATATTGCCCTGGCGAAGCTCAACGACGGCGTTGTTTTCGAGAACAACTTCATGGAGATGGCCTTCCCGGCCAAGACACTCGTCCCCAGCAAGGAACAATCGATTGGAGACTCGTACCTGATCGATTCGTTCACCACCGGCAAGCAACGGTTGCTGGGGTGTGGAGCCCGCATTACAATCCGCCGGCGGCCGGGAATGCCGCACTATGACCTCTCCTGCCGATCGGGCACGGAGGCGAAGCTGCCACCCAGCCACGTCGCGTATATCTGGCTCAAACAGGGCGCGGCCCTGACCAACAAACCGGTCATGATTTTGAACCCGTACTTCCGCGATGGTGCCAGCGGTGCGGTCCTCTTGAGATGTGGTTACGGGGAGAGTCGCCAGATTAGCTCGCGGACTGTCATGGAGCGTGGCGAGATATGCGGGATGATGTACTTCGCTGATATTCAGGCCAAGCACGCTAACCAGGCTGACCGCTACGTGATTTACACCGACGCATTCGACCCGCTCATCGAGGAGGGGTGGAGTATTGTCCAGGCTCCTGGGGCGGACAGCGGTGAAACGAGGGGCACCAAGGAGGAGGAGTCCCCAGCCAAGAAACGGAAGACAGCTTCTTCTTCTTCTAATGTCGCTGGACGTCTTTCTTGATGACGCTAGCTGTCTTTGCTTGTACTATTAGTATTATTAACACCGGAGGGAACACTACTGGGGGCTGGTTGTCACGGCCATGACGTGACAAACATGGCCACAATGATGAAGAACATGGCTACAATGGTGACAACGACCTAGGCAATGATATAACGACGGAGGTAGTCTAGATAGAGAACAGTATAATTAGAGCCTGACAATTATCCGCCCTACCACGCACGATTGGAAGCGTGGCATCGGATAGCGAGCTGTCTTCAAGGCCTGCACCACTGCCGTAATTATATCACGGCTTCTGAAGGGAGTAGAGTTTGTTTCGCAGGTTTAGAGTAAAGAGAGATATATTTATAGATTATTCCTATTGACATGTGACTATCCCAAGCAAACAAATCAACGAAAGCTTTGTTGTATGGTTCTGTTTCCATCATCATGACGTATGCTGCTGCTTCTTCCACGCGGCATGCTTCCGGTAGATGTCATGGCGGAAGGTCTGCTTCAGCGCAGCCACCTCGTCGCCATCGGACGGCAGCGCGGCCTGGATGGCGCCGACGCCGCACAGGTCGTTCTTGCGATCGATGAACCAGGCCAACGTCAGGCCGCCGCCCCAGCTCATCGTGCGGTCGCCGTACCAGCCATCGACGTCCTCCAGCATCACCAAGCCGCCCATCCCGTGGCCCACCTTCATTCCAGGCTCGGTGCCCACGCGGAAGAAGACGCCCATGGGGCCGGCCAGCATGGCCTGGTGGCCGGCCGTCGCCTCGGGGCCGAGGTGGTGCTCGAACATGTCGTCGACGGTGGCTGGCCTGAGCAGCTTGCCATCGTTGGCCAGCAGCGAGCGCAGAACCTTGACGTAATCGTCGCCCGGCATGAACAGCCCGTGGCCGCCAAAGTGACCGCCGGCGCGCTTGTTCATGTCGCCGCCGCCGGTGACGGCGCGGCCGCCGGCGTCCGGGTCGTCGGGGTTGAGGTCGACGAGGCGCGCGCGCAGGTCCTCGCGCGTCACCGGGTAGAACTGCGCGTCGGTGATGCCCAGAGGGTCGCAGATGCGCCGCTGCATGTGCTCGCCCAGCGTGCCGCCCGTCACCCGCTCCACGATGCGACCGGCCCAGTCGAGCCCCGGCCCGTACATCCAGCTGGTGCCGGGCTGGAAGCCGAGAGGGTAGCTGAACGCCTCCTCGACTGGCCGGAGAGTGGTTTCTTCCGGAGGGTCGAACTTCTCGCGCCACTGGGCGAGGAGCGGGTTCATGAAGTCGTAGGTGATGCCGGAGCTGTGCGTGAGCAGCATCTCGAGCGTGATGGGGCGGGCCGGCGGCTCGAGCAGGGGGGTTTCACCGTCCTCTGAAAAGCCGGTGATGACCTGCTTGGCGGCGAGCTCGGGCGCGATGGAGGATAGGTCGCCGGTCAGGGTCAGCAGGCCGTCCTCGACGCACTGCAGGGCGGCGATGGTGGCGATTAGCTTGGTGGCCGAGGCCAGGTATAGCACGTCGTCGAGCTGCTGCGGCCGCTTCTCACCCGACAACAGGGTGCGCTCTCCGAGCGCCTTGTCGTAGACGAAGCGACCCTCAGCGTCGGTGGCGCAGATGACGGCGCCGTTGATCTTGCCGGCGTCGATGGCCGCCTGGAAGTGAGTTTCGATGTCGTCGGCCATGGTGGAGGTAAAGGCCCAGTCAAGTTTCAATTGAAGAGTGAATATGCACGAATCCAGCGACGAATGCTCTTGGCTAAACTCTCCTCCGATTGATGTTCGTGAAATGAATGGAGATGGTGAGGAGACAAGAACAAGAGAGGTTAGGCAACAGCGCCTATGCAAGTCAGCTGACTAAAACCCCACCGAAATATGTGTCCTGAAAGAGGGGGTTGGAATAGTTAGCTAGACAAGTACGAATCAACCAGATTTCATGACGACGCAGCAATGGCTGTATCGTCGCAGGGCACATCTACATAAAAAGGAAGCCGAAGGAAGGAGAGGAGTTGGTAGCTTCATTGGCGGGCTGCTTCTAGGTTTGGAGGAAAGGGGTCGGCCGAGAACATCCCAAAGGGGCACTTATCCGCCAACATAGGAGGCAAGTCAGCTGATGAAAGGCGCAGCCGTCTGAGTGCCAGGCTGATGCTAAAAACAGCTTGATTTTGATAAGACCTGAGACCTCGGACCCGCCAACGGAGTTTAACAGACCCATGAGGTTCGGGGATCAACCTTGCTATGAACGAGTTGCTCACTGAAACTTACATGCAAACACCAAACCAGTCCATAACTAACTGTTGCCATGGACTGCTAGGCTTTGCGTGGAGCCCGTATAAATTCTCCCTAAAGGACCACTCGCCACACTGCAGAACACAAAGTTACATTAGAACAACGGTCAAATTTACTGGCATTCCCCATCGCCATATCATTTCCAGCTAAAATAACCACACAGCGAGCAACATCACCCCGCCCAGAATCAGGTTCTTGCCCAGGCCCGACGGCGAACCCGTTGGTGACCCTGCCGACGTCCCCGTGGGAGAGGATCCCGCAGTCCCGGTCGCGGTCGACACGGAATCACTCTGTGACGTCGAGTTCTTCCACTTATCGATGACAAACTGAGCGATTTCGGTGCCGTACTTTGGAAAGTAGGACTCGTGTACCGTGATGTTGTCGCCCTGGTCGCAGAAGGGATCTCCCTTGTCACACCAGGATGCCGTGATGTCGTCGTATTGTTTGCACACGGTGATGTTCGGGCGGGGGAAGGCCTGAACCAAGGAGGGAAGATCAGTCAATGAGTTGCAGAGCGTTGGTATTGCGGGAAATTGCTTGCTTACACCATCGTGACTGCTTGTGCCGCGATCGATCGGCTCGTTGGCGAGGTGGGTTGGGTCACCCATAAGGGCGATCGCAACAACTGCCGTCCACGTGTCAGCTTCTCACGATGATATGCTGAGTAGCAATGGTGGTGACTTACCGTTCTTCTTGACTAGATCTGTGGAGAGTGGTGCGTCACTGTTGAAGGGGCCGCCAATACCGCCACAGAGGGCATCCTGGACTACTTGAGCACCCTATGATAGCCAATCTGGTCAGCATTCTTCCTCGCCAGCACTAACATAGCAACACGTGTTGCACACACCTGAGAGTAGCCAATGAGGGCGATCTTCGAATCCGGGCATGACGAGTGGTACTGCTTCACCTCCTCCATGATGGCCTTGACACCGGTGTTCTCGGAGGGATAGTAAACAGTCAAGTTCACGCCCCCCGGAGCTGTCGGGTCCGTCGGGTCCGTAGCTGGGTAGATGACGCCGGCGATGACGGAGCCCTTGACCTGCTTTGCGACCTCTTGGGCAATAAGACCGGGTGACCCCGTATTGACGGGTTGCGTTTCGCCTGAACCTCGGGCACAGAGGATGTATAGACCTGTGGCACAGGTCACATTCGCATCTGCGGCGGTGGCGGTGGCAGCTAAGATGCCGATTGCGGTAGTGAGGAGTCCACGCATATTGGTTGGTTGTAGTATAACAAGGTAAGTGCGGAAGAGAACGGGTACATGGAGCGCTGAGAAGAAAGGGTCCTCTTGGCAGGCTGCTTGGCAGGTTTAAGAGGACATCTGCCCTTCAGCTTATCATGGATAGATCACCTTGGTCCGGGGTAGCTGCTTCGCATGGCCTCAGGGGTTTCATTAGCTCGAAAGGCATCCGACAAAGTCCCGGCAGCCGGTAACCAGGGCCCCGATGAGACCGGTCCAGGAACCTAGCTTCCATTGGCTACATCACAAATACAGTAAGCAGACAAGTTCCAATTGTAGAGGGGCAGTGTCCGGATGGCTGCTTTTTGGTTGGGCTGCGACGCTTGTGGTGCTGACCTGTCCAGGATTCCTATCATGTTAGTGCTTACCTGGCCGACGATCTTGACTACTTTTAAGGCCATTTTCTGTTGCCTAACCGGGCAGCAGGCACTCCCAGCCCAAATCTGTCCCAAGCGTACCAGCCCCAAATCTGTGCTGTCCCCAATCGGTGCTAATTACCCCCAACCTGTGCTACCATTTGGCGCAAGGGCATTCGGTTGCAGTGGATTGCAATGAATTCCCAGGGTAATGACTGGATTCAACTATCATGATCTCTCGCTCTTCTTCTTCCGCCACATGGTTGCAGGGTTATTCTGCCCAAATTCGGGATGAGGGAAATACCCCACCGACTCGTAAACGCCTTTGGCGTCGACACCAGCATCCACATAGCATCCATAGTTCATCTCGTCTGCCAAGTCGTTGCACATCCGCAGCAGTGACGTAGCATAGCCCTTCTTATGGTGATCTTTATGAGTACAGAGAAACACGACGTCTAAAATGTTCAGCTAGTAATTAATAAAGTTCTTAACATGCCAGAGTGGAATGGAAGCGCAGTGGATATGCGTAGCACTCACATAGATGCGGCTCCTTCATGATTGCAGAATGCCGAGCATCCGTGCGATCAAAGAGGGCCCCAGTCCTCTCCTCGCTCATGCCCTCTTGTATCTCTGGCCACCTCTGACGCCATGGCCAGGACACTCCGTTCAGGATATAGTACAGTACGGACGACACTACCTTGCCTTCGAACTGTAAGCGGGTATACCACGATGTAATGGCGGTTACACACCATTGACGTCCCGGGCAACAAACAACTTCGGCTGCTGGGTGGCAGGCTCCGACTTGATAGCCGGTTCATACATTTGTCTGAGGAACTCCCGGCCCCCAGGCGTTAGCGTGATGACTTCGAGGAGAGTTGGACGACCAGCAAAGGCAGAATAGAAGACCTCGAGCAGGTCCGGGAGATCATCTAGCGTCGCCAGTCTCGTGTGTTCTGCCATGGTCGTGTAGTGTTCCGAGTCCCTTGGATGGTGGGGTCAAAGAATAGAAACATAAATTATTTGGTGGTGGCAGTTCTTATGCGTTCTATCCTCAGACCCCGCACTCACACTGCCGTTTGGGAGTCTGACTAGCACGTGCAATTGGGAGGTGCGTGTACGGATTACCTTAGATAAGAACAAGGCCCGTCGCTCCTCATGGGCAAGCCTTGAGGAACAAGGGTGGGGACGTAACCCTAGTATTGGCTTGCCATTCTCACTCGCAGCGCTTGTATTCTTAGTCCACATTTGCGGTGTCGATTATTGGGCATTTTGTTAGGGCTTAAAGCAGCGTCGGGATAATAAGTTGCAAGAACTTCGTAGCTGAATAACAGCTGGCTCTGATTATTCAGTAAGTCGTCTACCCCTTGGCTACCGACAACTATCTAAGACGGACGGGCTGAATGAACCATCTCCTCAAGCAGTCTCCCCCTTCCTAGTCTGTCCCTTCCTAGTCTGTCCCTTCCTAACCGATAACATCATGTTCTCCCTAGAGGCCTGACATCCGGCGCTCCGCTCCCTAATAGCCTCTAAGCTGCTGGGGCGTGGACAAGCTTGATGATGATACCATCGTTGGTGAACCCTCCATTGACAAACTCGTCACTCTCGTATAGAGGATCCGTGCCGTTGACGATGACGCCCTGCTGGCCACCATCAGTGCCACAGTTGAAGAGGGACGCCTCCTGTTGCTCTGCCGACGCGCCGGTGCCACCATCGATGGTGTTTGCGATGTCGTTGAAGGTGACGGCGGCGGCATTGCTTCCGACGAGCTTGGCCAGCACCCAGGTGCCGCCCTTGACGGTGACCTGCCACTCGCCGCAGTTGTCCGCATCCGGGAGAGGCATCTTCCAGAACGGCGAGAGTCCGTCCTTGACGTTCTGCGCCTGGTAGCTGCGCAGGTACCGGGCGACAAAGTCCACCTCCAGCGGGTTCAGGTTCTGCGGTGTGGCATCTGGGGCGGCGTAGCAGATCTGGGTGGAGGGCTCGGGAAACAGACACTCCCTGGCCTTGATAGGACCAGCAGATGCCTGGCAGCTGAGGGCTAGGGTGCAGAGAAGTGTCTTGGAGGTCCGCATGTTGTGGTGAGGAGGTGAGTGAGTGGGAAAAGGAGTTGTAGATGTTGAGATGTGATGTTGGCTTGTTTTGTTATGGTAACTTGAAGATAAGTCGAGGGAATATGCTCTGTGGATGTTAACAAAACGCAGGTCTTATGGCTACGAAGCCCGTGTTATATATATACCTTACCAACGAAGTCCGTGATCCTGAAGACATTGCGATGCCGGGGAATCATTTGCATTGTGTGGTGCGAGTCTCTCGGTGCTGTGAGCCTAGTTGCCTGCACATAGAGCTCCATTCAACCGTGCAATGGCTATTAGCAGGCCTAGGTTGCATGGCGCCACACTAGCAATGCAGAAGAAAGCCATTGAAGGTCCCTTTCTCCCTGCCGCGAACCTGGAAATTTTATCTGGCAAGGCGGAGCAATTTTGCCGGTATAGTACAACAATTTGCCTGTAAGGGCAGGATTTGTTGGTAAGGTGGTATTTAAAGGATTCGTTGGTAAGGTAGTATTTGAAGGATTTGTTGCTGCGATAGGATTTGTAGGATTTGTTGGCAAGGCAGATCTTTCGCATTCGAACCTCGGTCCCGAGGTGCGCAGGGTCGGCTGCTAGAGCGATGCATCAGGGGCACAGCAAGGCGATGCCTCATTCCCATCTAATCCTTTAATATTTTAAGTTCTTGTAGTGCAGAATTCTTGCAATTGTTTCGCCACAACGCGAGTCTACTGGTAATTAATATGTGGCGCCTGCGTTCAAAGTAGGGGGTTTGCTAAGAGAGCCTCACCTGCCACGCCCCAATCTCCATTTCCCTCCACACACTTGACTATAGCCAGGCTTTCCCGTGCCTAGCTGGGAATACATTGAAGTGGGAGTCAATTGCCGTCAAGGAGTTTGGCATCAATGTCACCAAGAAGGACATTTCCTACGATGAGACAAATGTCCCTAAGAGGGTCACGTTTTTTATTCTATTACGTAGCACATTTTTGAATGCTTGCATTATAAGGGTTGGGACATAGCTATGGTAAAAGGCAAAAATAGATTCTAAGCATATCGATTTGGCGGTTCAGGACTGGGCAGGGTGATCTGGGTCCCTCAGCGGGCACCAGGAGTCGTCTTCGATGCTTACGCCGTCGCCTTCTGGCCCCCTTCTTCCCTTCCCACGCGCCCCTTGCGGAGGGCTAACGTGCGAGTCGACGCGAGACGGGCTCGGAGATGCGCGTCTTGGCCAACCCGGCACGGCGCTCCTGCAAACGGCTCTGACGCAGCCCACGTCCGGCCTCTGCGTGTCGTAGTTCTGTGACTCGTCGATGCTGAGTTGAGCAGGGAAGCCATTCACTGCAGATATACGTCCCCTAGGAGGCCACATCCCGCCGTTTTCGCCCGGCGGCTTCTTCGTCGAACAACACAGCAGGCATGTCCGGATCGTACCAGCTCCCCAAGCCAGACAACTCCCAGTTCGTGTTTACGAGACGATGGAATACGGAGGAATCCGCAAGGGCTGAGGAGGACGCCCCTTATGTGAGACTGGATCGCCCATCAATATCCACCACCCAGATGAAGGCTGTACCCTAGTGCTCGCAGCATCCATCACCTTCATACCCGGCAGACCCGCCAAGAACAAGGTGTTGACTTCCTCCCCATCGTTATTGCGCCACGTAATAGGAGCCTTGGTGATGCCCGTAGGGATTTCTTCCATGGTAATGACAGGATACACGACGCCATCTAGTTCGAACCTTCGCCAGACATCAGGCCCTCCCAGATGCCCCTTCCCGCAAGCTCATCGTCCTGGTATATCCTCTGCGTACCCCCGTCCGCCGTCCACCAGCAAAAAGCCGCGACCCACCCGGACATGGTGACAAGCTCCCCGGAGGCTTCGGCCCCGGCTGAATGACAACAACGCATCCAGAAGGCGCGCATGTCCGCGTTATCGGGCCGGCCGAAGCTGCCTACCATGTATCCGAGAGCCTTAACAAGGCGGTGGGACCAAGCGGCAGGCTCGTCGCCGAAACGAGAGAATCGCCCCGCCCGCTGCAGTAGATCGGCCGAGTCGTCGCGGGCCCCGTGGAGCGTTACCGATGGAAAGCCGCATCCAAAAACAACGTCGTAGGAGAAATACTCCTTCATGGTGCCAAGGAACACCATGGTGGCAGTTGCGCGGTCGTGGGGAAGGGTAGTGCTAAACTCAGGCAGCAGCCAGTCGGCCACATCGGGGTCCGCAAGGTGTGTCCGCAGTTGGGCCGCCATGCGCTGGGCCACGGCGTCAACGTCGACTGTGTCCAGGGTCTGGGGGCCGGCATCGGCGACGATCTTGCGCTGGCCGCCGTGCGCGACCAACAGGGGCCGCAGAGCTTCGGCATTGGCGTTGACGAAGAAGCCGAACTGCGCAAGGATGGCCAGTCGGGTCGCAGCTCTAGGTGGAGGTCCTGCTGCCAGGCGCGCAGCCCTGTATGGACGAATCCATTCGAGCATGGGACGATGCCGTCTTTGCCGCAGAAGGATGACGTAGCACTCGCCGATGCTTGTCTGCGTAGGACACCTCCCGGAGCAGGTCCCTTGCATCCGCGTAGGATCTGTGGTTGTTCCTGCCTACGATGACCGGCTGCGGCTTAACGACGGCAGGCATCGCAGATAGGAAGGTAGCTTTACCTTTTGGTGGAGTATGCGGGAGGGAATGCAACTGTGAGGCCGGGTATTTCTACCTCCCCCCCACTTCCAAGCAATCCTTCCCCCCACCTATAAACAAGCCTGCAGCAGCTTCCCGCACTTGCTACAACCTACCTATATTAAGATCAGCGTCATATAATATATTACCGTCCATCTGGAATCCTTCCCACTTCAAACCCGAGCCAGCGTCAAGTAGCATATGAACTAATTTGCTCCCCTTCCAGCTTACCAATGCAACTTGTCAGCCTTGCGGTTCAACCCTCCGTATATTATGCTCCAACCAATGAACCAAGCCAACCATCCGAATGCGCTGGGATTGCTTCAGCCAGCTCAGCCATAGCTCCGGTACGGATAGTCTTTGGGCTTGGCATAGCGGCCATGGTGCATGTTTGGCTAACCTGGCTCTTCTCTTACTCCAACAGGGCAGGATCTAGGCATAAAAACACTACCATGCGCCTGCGCCGAGGACGAGTGGGCCTACAAGGACGGCCCCTGCGGTGAACAGGGGAGATCGGAGTACCCTACGATCGGCAATGTGACCGAAGAATGGGGGACGGGCTGGACGTGAAGACGTGTGGAACCAGGACACGGGACCGGGTTGCAGATGTGGCCAACCGTTGGGGGAGACAGTTCCGACATGGAGCTTTGCGTCGTTTGTAGCTCGGCGATATTGCCTCTTTGAACGGATCTTGCTTGAAATGATGGTCTTGTAGGTCAATAAACATGACCCTAGGATACCATCATTCCAAGCAAGATGCTTATTTCTTCAAGTAAACCTTCCACAGTAGCGGTGTGGCCATGTCTTCTTCTCCTTGTCCCAGGCGATCCCTATAAAATTAGACACAATATCAAGTGGAACGCATTCCTTTCTGGGCAACGAGCTGCATGAACTTGAGTTCCTCCTCCATGGCCTTGGTGTTGCCGCCCATCGGGCTGACAGTCGGGTACAAGGCGTCTAGTTGGACCTCTTTCAGGTGAACCTCGGGCCTCTCCTTGGTGCCAATCATCATAACCTCAAGAATGTTGCCGTCGCCGTACTGCTCCTCGGTAAGGAGTCTCATCATGACGTCGGCGACGTCGGCGGGCGCCAGGGCGAGGTCATCCTGGCCCAGGCGATCGCGGCAGAACTCCTGGTCAAATAGAGGTGTCTGAGAAACGAGATAATTTGTCACACAACGATAAGCATTGGGCGCGGATCAAGCAAGGCACGGCATCAAGTCAAGGGCAAAGCAGACAAATATCTACGCACCCTCGTCGGCCCGGGACAGACGGCCGAGTTGCGGATGCCCACCAGATCCCTCAGACCCTGGAGGGACTTGAAGACGCTGACGATGGCCGCCTTGCTGGCGAAGTACAGGGGCGTCTGGATCGAATGCACGTACGCGCCCATGCTGGAGACCCACAGGAGGTTGCCCTTGACATGTCGGTTCTGGAGGAGAGGCGGAGGGGCCCGATGGTGTTGACCGAGAAGATGCGGTAGGCGCCCACGGCGGCGTCGGTCGGGTCCCGGGGCGAAGGAGAGACGCCCGGCGGGTTCCAGTAGGACGACCAGGGCGGCTCGAAAATGCTGGCGCCGTTGACCACGATGTCGACGCGGCCGAAGGTCTTGAGCGCCGCCTCCCACAGGGCATTGAGCTGCGTCCAATTCGCTACGTCTGTCTTGTGGAACGCGGCTGAGGGCCTGCCGCTGGCATCCGCGGGCGGCGGGTTTGGGTATTTGGCGACGGTGGCTTCGGCTTCGGGTCGGAGGGCTAAGTCCGCGATCATGACTGAGCAGTCTGCTTCGAGAAGCCGTTGGGCAAGAGCTAGGGAAATGCCTGGGTAACCGCGAGGAGCAAAACCAGCATTTGTTTTTATCCATCCGCCGAGAATGAAGGAAGACAGCAAAGCAGGGCGGGCCTCCAAAATAATAGGAATTGCCGTGTGAGGAACGGCTTGGCTTACCGGGCCCTGCTCCGGTAACGAGAGCAATTTTTCCCCGGACGTCATAGTCGGCCATAGTTAATTGTCGGGACGAGACGAGCCTTCTTTCTCTTCTGCACGTATGGGGGGACCGCGGGAAGGAAAGGAACTTGATCCTTGTGGTGGTGTGATTTTATTGGGCATAGCCCTGGCTTAAGTATTTGTGCCACCCCCTGCTCTACTTACCTGCTCTTCCCACCACAGCAATAGGCCTAGACTGCGGGGACTCTCGTGAATTTATGTATGAGCCCGGCGCATCATCAAGGTTACAACAGACGTCCAGCAGACCACATCGGAGGCAAGCCCAAGGGAACAATGACAAGGGGATAGTGCGTGGCGGCGTCCTTGCATGCAGGCCACACTGGGAAATGCAGAACAATAGAGAAAGGGGAAGAGATTTCCCCCGTGTTTATATGCTGAGACCTTTCGGCATTCGTGGGAATCGGCATCCAATTACAAGGCTACACCTCTTGCTCTGTGAAAAGTCCAGGTCCCTCTTTAATTACCCGCCGGCAAACACTCGGGACGGCCCTCATCTTGGGGGGGGGGGGGGGGGGGGGGGGTGGGGGGGGGGGGGGGGGGGCCGGCGGTGGGGGGCGGGGGTGTGTGTTTGGGGGGCCCGGAAGCCCCGGCCCCCCCCCCCCCCCCCCCCCCCCCCCCCCCCCCCCCCCCCCCCCCCCCCCCCCCCCGGGGGGGGGCGCGGGGGGCGCAGCTATTCTTGATTGGCATTCTTGATTGGCTGGCCGCGTAGTCCCGTGCCTCCGTCCCCTCTCACGGTCTCACCGAGCTGAGCGAACATCCCCACAATCATCGCGATAAGTCTTCCAGGTAATATTCTAGGGTTATGGGATCATCGACAGTACAACCCGTGCCCCTTCGGATTTCGCTGGATTAACAATCGTCTTCACTCCGCACCCCTTTCCTCCATGGGTGCGACACTTTCCAGTCTATGGAGAGCTGTCTTCAGGCCTTGGTTTTGGTTCCACACGGCAGCTCCATTTAGGCATCATTACGCCCTCGACGACAATTCAGTCAGGTTGTTGCGGTTTGCTCGCCCAAAGTGGTATACACTAGGCCTAGCGAGGCCAAGCCTTGTCATCGAAACGCATCCCGTGGACAAATCGCCCAAATATGTAGCGTTGTCGTATACCTGGGGTCCGCCACAAGACGGTATTGCCGGGGACGAATTCAGCGACAAGCTTCCGGTTCTCGTCAACGGGCGGCCGTTCCCTGTCTTGCGCAACCTGATGGACGCGCTGTGTTGCTTGCACTGGCGATGGGACTTTGACGACGATGTGCAACACCTCTGGGTCGATGCCATCTGCATCAACCAGAATGATCTAGCCGAACGCGCTGCCCAGGTGGGCATCATGGACCGGATCTACAAACGTGCTGCATCAACCTCCATCTGGCTGGGGAGGGCAAGCCCCGAGGCTGCGAAGGCTATAAAAATGATCAAGACCATTCTGCTGATCCCTCCCGAGGATTTTGGTCGTTACTACCGGCAACACCCAAACGGGGTCCCCCCGCCGGACGAGTTTTGGCATGAACGGGGCCTTCCCAGCCCCGAAAAGAACGGGGAAGAGTGGAAGCCGTTGATTGACTTCTTGGAGCATCGCTGGTTCAGCCGGACTTGGGTGATCCAAGAAGTGACCCTCTCCTCTTCGGACAACGTTTTCGTATTTTGGGGACCCTACGCGATGACGTGGGATGAGCTGGGCCGCGTGGTGTTTGCCGGTCGAGTGGCGAGGTTGGGACAACTGGGAACACTGCCGGCGCTGTCCCGGTATCTCTCAGGCGACAGCCGCGACGGCCACGGGAACGGTAAAGCAGAGGGGATGCAAGACTGGGTTGTCAGCGACTCATTCGCCAATAGCTTCCAGCTCTGGTACAACCGGCATCGATATCTCCAACTGGGCAATCCGAGCCCAGTCGACGACACGATGCGTAACGAGATGAGATGCCTCTCGGGCTGCACGACGGACAATGCAGTGTCGTGGCTCATGTACTTCGCTCTCACCAACCGGTGGGCCGATGCGACCGATCCCAGAGACAAGGTCTTTGGCCACCTCGGCCTCATCAACAATATCGCCGAGCAGGACGGCCTCAGTCCATTGGCAGTCGGCGTCAACTACTCGGCCGACATCACCTCGGCGCACATCTACGAACAGACCATGAGGCATCTTATCGACCAAACCGACAGCCTCGCCGTGCTCATGGCCATCAACGACCCCCCATATTCGAGGCAGCCAAATCTCCCCTCCTGGGTACCGGACCTATCCCGACGCCACGGCCTCGAGCTGATGTGGTCCATCCGACCCCAATTCAACGCCGCCGGAACACCCACCACCACGGAGGACGAACAACCCAACGGCCAACACCCCGAGACCAACAACCGCCATCGCAAGATCCACATAGCCGGACCGCGCATCCACGTCCGAGCCGCCGTCATCGGGACCGTTTCGACGCTGAGCGTCTCGCTGCCCGACCTGATCGGTCCGGACTGGCATCGCTTCGCCGGCCACCTGCTGGGGATTCCGGGCGGCGCCACATACCCGTTCACGGGGCAGGCGCGCGTCGAGGCGTTCTGGCGGACGCTGCTGATGGACTCGGTGGCGAGGAGGTGTCCTGCGCGGTGGCCGGGGAGTACTACGGGGGACGGGGATATGTTTCGTGGGTTCGTGCTGCAGTGCTTGGCTAGGTATTTCCCCGGGGCGACTGCGGCTGCGGCTGACGGCGCTATCGACGCGGATGCTGGAGGGGTGTTGGGTTGGCTAGGGGATGTCAATGAGCTGGCTGCAACGGACTTTTCTGGTCACATGCCCTCGTGTAAGGGGTTGGCAGATCTGACTTTGCAGATTGCAAGGCTTCTTGATGAGGAGGAGAACGGGGAGGAGGAGAAAGAAGAGAGGGAGGAAGAAGAGGAAGAGGAGGAAGGAGGCCGGGGGGAGAGGATGGGGAGCCCACCACCGCACGACAAGATCGTCAAGGCGTTGGCTGTCTGTGTCGACAGGACCTCGACATTCCTGATTGGAATGGACGGAAGTATGGTGAACCGAAGGATCGTGATTTCGAATCAAGGTCATCTCGCTAATAGTCCGATGTGGACCGAGGTTGGTGACACCATTGTTGTTCTGGACAGCTGTCCTTGTCCCCTTGTGTTGAGACCTCACCCCGAAGAACCATCGTGCTATATGTTGGTTGGCTCGGCATATGTCCACGGTGTCATGTATGGGAAATCAATAGGTGAAGATACGGAATGGGAGGAAGTATGTATTCGATAGGGGTCATGTACTGTACTGTACCATATGGATTGGCGTTAAGGTGGGAGCCCCGAGACAGCGTTGGACCGGGGGAGGATCTTCTCATCGTAGTTCTGTTCTGATGACCGATTGCTACCTTTCACAATGCCATGACAAGAAGGTAGACTAGACAATCAACATCTACTAATCAGTGACGAAATTGATGACCTATTCGTAGCTTGATATGAAAGTGCTGAAGAGTAGTGAATTGAGGACACGTCCAAGAAGTCATGCCACCGGAGGGGAGATAGCTCTAAAGCAGTTCCCAATCACTGCTTCTCAACGCAAGGCAAATATATTTGAAGACTGTTTTAGGAAATCAGCGACAAGAGTCTAAAGCATTACGGCTGCAGTGAATGCAGCTTGGTAACTGCAAGGCACAATTAGAAGCCAGCACGCTACAGCGCGTTTAGCAGGTCGACAGGTTTACCGCCAGTGATTCTACCACTATATGGTTCATAGAGCGCTATTTTAACATGTCCTAGGGCTAGACTGATGAAGGTGCTGTTCTCTATCTTCTAGTATAAGAAGAGCCTGCTGTTCCCCTAATTAGTCTCCTTGCCGAACAGCAACAGCTCCTCAACCCCTAGCCCCTAGCCATCGGTCAAAATCCCGCTTCCTGATAAGCCTTGCTCTCCACCAACATGTGCTATTTTCAATACATCAGTGCAGTTTGCTGCTGCAAGGTCAAGTCGCACCACACCCATCGGGGCAAAAATTGCGGGCAGGTATTTGATATCCCCGACAAATGGTATCTCTGCCCGCAAGTACTGGCCTTGGATCCAGCAGCACGATACATCCAAGAACGCTTTTACAATGGGCCCCCCGAATGGGGAACTACCACTCCGAGGTGCCCAGATATACTCTTCACCTCAGAGCCACACGTCCGGACGCTCCCAGTGGAATACGCTCCTGCCCAATTTCAAAACAGACGCTGTGCAGCTTGCACACCTTAGAGATGATTTGGTGACAGGGACTGGGATTGCGGGTTGATCAGGTAAGCTTTTTTGGCTTTCACAATATCTTGCAGCAGCAGACACTAACATCAGCTGCTTCTCTACAAGAGGCTGCCCTGTTCAGCACAATCTGGTGATATGCACAACTGAGTAACTGAGGGTGGAAAGCTGGAGAGGTTTGGGACTTTTTGGAGGGGGACGTATGATTCCAAGGAGTTGCAGTCCAAAGACGGAGTTGAGGAGACAGAGACAGGTAATGGGTGAGGAGGCATGGAAGAAGGTAGCTAAGCAGGAATTTTGAATGTATTTTACCTTGCAGACTTACAGAATGCTGTTGTCTAAACCCGCAAGCAACATAAACTAATTTGAACTATACTTTGCTTTGCCTAGAAGCACGAGATGGCTCTTGGTAAACGCAAGGCTTCCCGTAATATGATTGTCATGGCAAGGTGCGTTATGCCGAGCGCCTCCAGAGGTAGGCAGGTCTCATTCATGCTTGATCGAGATCACTTCGGCGAAAATGGAGATGACTGACACGCCAGAAGTGATAGTGGAATCCAAGAGAAGGCATATATTGACTTATCTCCTTCGAGCACATCGGGCAGCGCGACTTTCTTGCGGCGGACTGCCTGTTATTCATGGCCTGTGTAGATGCCAAAGACATTCCGCAATTGCTTCTCCCGCCGGGTCAATCGCGGAAGAAAGAGACAGACGCGACAGGGACGCTGCAGTCTGCAGACTCGGTTATAAATATCCATCGGTTAGTGCACTTGGCAACGAGGAATTGACTCCGGAAGGAAGAGTTGCTGCCCGGTTGGATCTGCAGAGTCAACGCAAGACTGGCAGAAGTGCTGGGAGACATCGGCTATGTCGACAGAGTGGAGTGGAGTGGAGGTCGTATATGCCGCACCCTTATTACACCCTCGGGTCAAGGCCTACCGGCGAGGACGATGGGAAGAGGCTTAATCTATTATGGAAATATGGAATATGCCTCAACTTGATGGGCGGTATCGGCAAGCAGAAGCGCCATTCGAGCGAGTGATGGAGACTCACAAGATGAAGCTCGGGGCCGATCATCCCTCGACGCTGACCGGCACAGCCAACCTGGCGTCGACGTACCGGAATCAGGGCCGGTAGGAGGAAGCGGAGGAACTACAGGTAAAGGAACTTTGGAAATCTCTACGAGGGTACTTGGTCTTAGGCATCTCGACACGCTAATCAGCATGAGCAATCTCTCTTTTCTTTGGAAAGATAGGGTCTGTCACGGAGATGCTCTAGGCTTGACAGACTTGCTTTGATCTGCAGCAAAATATATTAGGGGTAGGTCATCCATATACCCTGTCTACGCCTTCAACTCTGAAGGCATCGCCGGGGGAGAACGAACAACTCCCAAAGTCGATCGTACATCTCGTTCTCGTGCTGCAGGCGGGCACGGTTAGGACTCTCCATACCCTTCGCAACGAGCCTATAGCCGTGAGTTGACAGCCGCACCTTGAAGAGTGAGCCCCGCATGCCGGATCGATGGAGTAGCGCGCAATCCGCATCGCGGCCGCGGTCCATGGCAAGCTGCAGTGGTCTCGGGTGAGGGGAGGAACTCGAGCCGGTTGATTTGCGCTTGCCCGTGATGGTCCGAGTTGGGGTAGTTCTCGTCCGTGGGCCCGCCATAATTATGCTAATCCAAGGAGGCATTGTTGAGTGCAGAATGGCCAGCTTTGTATGTTCAGCTTCATCGCTTGGCCCTGCTCCTCCTGCTGCTTGCTTCGGCGTCGTCCTCGTTTCCCACTACCAACTGCCAAGCCCTTTCCCGTCGACGGCACCACTTTCCCGCCAGCAATAGCAATAGTAATAGCAATAGCAATAGCAACATCAATAGTGAATAGCGAGGAGCGAGGGCAGCTGTTTCCAATTTCTACCACCTGCCACAAAGCTCTGACACCTGAAACGCAAAGACCAGATGACCTGCCTGCGCAAATGGCGCATGCCTGTAGAGAAATTCCCTATTCAGATGCGTGTATGGTGGAAAAAATGTCAATCTCGAGTTCCTGCCAAGCCTCGCCAGGCCGGCAGAAGACTGTCGCCGACTCATTGTCTTCACGGCGAACAACAGCGTTCTTGACTTCTACCATGGTATATATAATATGGAGCCGCGGCAGCTGATCCTCGCTGCACCCCACACGAGGCGGCCAGGCGATTACGAAACGAGAGCACGGAGGGAAGACCTCCGGCATTTCAGCCTCATCCAATTAGAGTTAGGGACCATCCTCAAATAAGCTCTGCATTCTAATTTCCCGGCGGACAATAATTCGTCTCCGGGGTTACGGACAGTATATATCACGGGCTTCTATCCATGGCATTTGCCTGTGGTTGCCAGCAACCGACAGTCGAATATGGATGAAATAAATCTCCGACTTGTGCTCGTCCTCTACGTCTGCCGACATATTGCCATATCGAGAAGGGCCGAAATTCCAGCTGGATATAGTGTCAAGATGAAATCAGGGAGGAGAATATAGCTGTATGCAGGCCTATTAAAGGAAGCTTGGCCTGCCCCAGTGCCCAGTCGATGTGCGTGTGCGACTTCACTTCGAGTCAAAGCCAAAGCCGAATCAGATTCTTGAACAGCAAGCCCACTCTTCACAATGAGGCTCGATATCGCTGCCTTGTTTGTCGCTACGGCGCAGGCGCACAGCATTTTCCAGGTAAGCTGCTCCGACTTGGACGTATCCATGTGCCAGGCCGTTCGCCGATCCGAGACTGCAGCATCAAACTGACGGGTACATGACAGAGAGTCTCTGTCAATGGCGTTGATCAAGGACTTCTCGTTGGCCTCCGTGCCCCGAGCAACGACAATCCGGTCACGAACGTGAACGACCCAAACATGGCCTGCGGCCAACCCGGTACGCACTCCAACGTTGTGATCAACGTCAAGGCCGGCGACAGGATTGGCGCCGACTGGGGTCACGTCATCGGAGGAGCGCAGTACGCCAACGACAAGGCCCAATACATCGATCCATCCCACAAGGGCCCAATCATGTATTACATGGCCAAGGTCGACAACGCCGCCACCACTGGCACCTCGGGCCTGAAGTGGTTCAAGATCTACGAGGAGTCGTTCGACGCCGCCAGCGCGACATGGGCCGTCGACACCATGATCAAGAACGGGGGGTGGTCGTACGCCAATATCCCCACTTGTCTCGCGCCGGGCCAGTACTTGCTGAGGGTGGAGCTGCTTGCCCTGCACTCGGCGTACGACAACATGGGCGCCCAGTTCTACCAGTCTTGCGCCCAGATCAACTTGTCTAGCGAAGGGACCGTGGTACCGACGAACACCGTGTCAATCCCTGGCCTGTACCAGCAGAACGATCCCAGCATCTTGATCCAGATCTGGGTCAACGGCAAGGACGACAACGGCCACAGGCCATACAAGGCTCCGGGTCCGGCCCCGATGACCTGCTAGGCGTGTGGGTGTCGCTCACACTACTCTCGTCAACATGAACACTCTCTCCTTGAACTTTCTTGTACGGTAATTACAGAATGTATTAAGAGCTATGCTCTTCTAGCTACAATGGAGTGGAGGAAATTCAGGGATATTTATTCTGATGAACGCGTAAGCAAGCGCTGTCCCTAAGCTGTTCCGTAAGCTGTCGTCAACGGAGGGACTTGCCGAATCTTATCCCCTTCGGGTTCCCCTTCCCCTTCTACATCTACCTCGACCAAACTCGCATCCGTGAGGCGCCGCTCGATCTAATTATCGCAACGCGCCGATAATCATCACGAGTGTCCCTATGTCACCAACCTCGGCCCTCCATCCTTCCCACTCCGCCGCGCTAAATGTAACGCCGGTATCGGTCACTTGAAGCCTTGTCAGCACCCCGGTCTGGGAGAGTGCGTATGTGGTACGTTTATCGCAGAGCCTGAATTCCGTCCTCCATCCCTCGGGGTCCTCTGCATTCCACAGAGTCGCGCTGGTTGCCAGAGGGATAAGAAGGAGCCCGCAGTTGGCATAAGATGAGGCCTCCGTTGATATCTCTACCAAGATGTCGAGAATCTGAAAAATAAGCACCGTGCTTCATGGAGGATCAGCATTTGATGATACCACGTAACGAACAAATATCGAGAACGGTGCCTACCGTCTCATTGATTCGCTGAAGATCCAGTCTGTCCAAGACAGGCCAGGGTCATCAGGAACACACATCTTGTGAGTCCCCCCAGCTGACGAAGCCAGCGCACTAAAGACAAGCTTCCGCGGTTGTCAGCCGTAGTAGAGAGCATGACTCACTATAGAGGAGTTGATTGGCCGTCCACTTACGTTGACCGTGGTGAGCAGGGAAGCCTCCAAGCCGTCGTGTCCAACCGGAACCTCGTGGAGGCGCAACAAGCAGTAGACGAGCAGAGCCTGGAAAGCAGCCAGAAGTTCCCATCGGTCGAAGTTGGCATGCTGATTGATGAGCGACCGTTAGACTTGATTTCACACTGCCAACGGCTTGTGCCTACCTTGGCCAAGATTCTCTCTTGTTCAAGCCTGATCAGCCTCCATATAACGTTCCTATCCGATTCCGTTCGGGACTTGAACAAGTTGACCAGGTCCACGCAAGTAATCAGAGCCTGCTCGTTAATGGACAATCAGCAAAAGGGCACTCTTCGTAGAAAAACTCAAAAGTACCAAATAGCAGTCAAGTGACATTTTCCATGCCGCCTCTCCCGTGGTGTCGTAGGCCAAGGGTCCGAGAATGCACATAGAGGAGGTCGAGTCGTGGAAAACTAACCTGCTGCGGAGGCCCCATTCCTGTCTCGGCCCACGAGAACAGCACAGGGCTTATAAACGGCGGCAGCGCGGCTTTTTGAAGCATCATGAAGGGATAAGATCGCAATATCCGCATCGCCAACGACACCAATGGACCTTCGCTTAGCCTAGTGAAAGCACGATGTTCGAAAGGTGAGGGGCCAGATAACTGAATGGTCCATGGTGTGAAGGAAGACGTGCCAGTCACGAGCATATCGGGTGGTGCTCCGCTAAAACCACTCAATAGGGAATCGATGCCCTGGTTTTCAACAGGCGTGCTCTCCAGCCCAAGAGGGCCGATCTCGCCGAAGAAATCGGCATCCCAGATGTTAATATCTGCTGACTGCCGGCTGAGGGGAGCTGCAATATCGGGATAGGTCTGGGGCAAGGTGCTGACTTGCAAGTTCCCAGAACGGCTGGGTCGTCTGGTGAGGGTCAGAGTGGTTGAACTCCCCTGGATCTCCCAGTCCTTGGCCCCAGGGGGAGGCGCCCCATTCCGCCGTGCCGCTGCATCAAACTCGCAATTGGCACCCCGCTCATTGCACCGGACGCAAGACTCCAAGCCTGTATCGGCAGGCCGGATGCAGCGGGCTTTCGCACGGACACATGCGGCGCAGGACCGCTTGCGAGATGTGTTCGTGTCGGGCAGTTTGGAGCGACAATAGTAGTAATGCCGCTTCCGTGTGGACTCTAGCAGACGCGCATCAGCTACGCATCACTGCTGACTCTTGATCCAGCATGTCATAGATAGATGATGCCTCCCCACCTCGAGCAAATGTTCTCTTGCATAACGGACAGTAATGGTGGCTTGCTTCGGGGTTGCCCGAAGCAATTCGTTCCTGGTCGTCGGGCATGCTGCGAGCGTGCCGGATTTTGGCAGCTTAGTAATTGGTTCCGAGATCCTGGAATGCACTTCGTCGGAAACTCAATGCAATCTGCTCATTTTGGACATTGAGGGGCGTGAGTTCTACTCCGGTTATTTATCAATCGGGCACGCTTCACGGAATTCCGCGACACCACGAGCTCGATTAGTAATTGCCTATTTGTCAGCGGGCACTCTAACTCTTAACCATTTTTGGCATTCTATCTACCTATCGACCACAAGGAGTGTCTATCGTTCCGGTTGGCTTAAAAGAAGTACGGAATAATCATCATCGACCATTTAATTACATGGTTCCAGTGATGCCGCCGCTGACCGAGATCCACTGTGCAGTGATCCAACGGCTCTTCTCCGACGCCAGCAGAAGCGCAGCATCAGCCATGTCCTCGACTGTCCCGAGGCGAGCCTCAGATCGCGTCTGCGCAAACATGGCGGACTGGAGTGCGGTTTGGGATCCATCAGCCGCTTCCAAGAACCCCTTCGACAAATCTGTCACAATTGGCCCCGGTGCAAGTGTATTGACGGTGATTCCACGGCTCTGGCCAAGCTAGCGACGCCGTTAGCAAACGGCCCATCGCACGAGCATGGGAAGCACGCCAAGGTACGTAAGCTCACCTCGCCAGCCCAGGACGCCGTGAGGCTATCCTGCGCAGCCTTTGCCGCCGAATAGACCGCGGAGATTTCGAGACCAAGTTTCGAGGCGATAGAACCAGTGTTGATAATGCGGCCGCCTTTCGGCATCTTCCCTGCACCGACAACGGCTTGTGTGAGGTAAATCGAGCCGAAGGTGTTGACGCCGAATTCTCGTTCGAGCTGCTCTGGCGTTGCCTCCATGAGAGATACATTGCCCCCAAATCCAGCGTTGTTCACTGTTTAGAACGAGGACGAAGATTAGTTACGTCCCTCCCACAAACGAAACACTGGCTTCCATTACGTGCCGAGAATGTCAATGTGGTCGACGTCGAGTGCCTGCAGAATTTGCTCGACCATCCTCTTCCCGGTGCCGTATTTCTCCACCGGCCCTTGTACGACGGTTGTTTTGGTTCCGAACTCTCGGCCAATGTCTGCCGCCACCTTCTCGGCCCTCGCCTTCGAGTTCTCTGACACATAATGGATTGCGACAGATGCGCCGTTCCGGGCGAAGGCTCTGGCGATGGCAGCGCCAATACCGTTTTCTCTGCCCGAGCCTGTAACCAAGGCAGTCTTGCCGGCAAGTGAGAGGGTTTCGGCCACCATATTTGGTTAATTCACAGAAAAAAAAGCTATCAGTGATGAGTGTATACAACCAGTTTGGAAACAACCAGGTCAGATCGGGGTCTGGATCTTATTATATACACAAAAGGCAAATACTGCAGAATTAATCATTTGCTGCTTCAATAACATGCTTACCAATTCTTCGTGCGATTCACGGGTATCCGTGAATACCGGTGTTCTCCTAATTACCGCATGGCGACTACACCTCTCTCCGATCACACAGGTTCAAATGTGGTGACTTGACGAAAGCTTGAACACATTACAAAGCAACCTCACTGACCGCTCATCTTCCCTTCACGGATATCTGGAGACTGTGTCGATACTCAACGTGAAGCATTACAAAGCATCCTTGGTCAATGCAACCCTTCACGGATATCCGTGAAGAGCAGGTTCGGAGCCATATACACACTACCTATGCTTATCAACATTCTAGAGACTTTAATGCGAATACCCGAACAAGGCTCGAAAACGTTGATTGCAATGCAAAGCCACCTCGATAACTATCTGCCTCCCTTCTATCACCTTATCTTGCCCATTATGTCAACAGGGATCATCTTCGTCATCCGGCAGATCCTCCAGGCTTTATCTTAGAAACTGAAGCCTCTTCCTGAGCTCCTCATCCCCATCCTCGAGCTTCATCAGCGTCTGCTGTCGTGTTGCCGCCTCGTTCCGGCTACTACCCTCACCAGGATCAACGTCTTCGCGTAAACGCCGATCCCTGCCGACTGTCCCGTCATGTCCTTCCCTATCCGGTCCTCCTTGGGTTCCTGCAACGCCTCGACCATGGTATTCCACTTTAGCACTTCCTTAGGACCAACCGAGTCCTGCGTCTCGTCCCAGCCCCCGGCTTTATACTCGATCATGAACTAGTACAGATGCTTGGAGAATGAGTACGTGTACTTGGCCACGGACGTGCCCCGCGTGTTCGCCATTTTCTTATAGTGTCCCGTCCTAGCCCAGACCTCTCGATTCGTCAGCTCTTCCAACAGCACAGCCTGCATGCTGGCCCTGTACTCGCCTTGGACCAGAAAGTCCCAGATGACAACGCCCCGCTCCCCGTTCTCCCGCTCCACCAGCTGCGCCCACCGCCGTTTCGTCCTTGGAATTAGGCTCTCCACGGCGGGGTCGGAAGCAGCTCGTTGTCTCGGAGAAGCGGCAGGATGTCCGTCCCTGCCAACGGCCCGCTCGCCGGAGACAGCGCGGCCAGCGTGCGAAACCGGCGGCGGAGCAGCGCGAGGCGCTGGTCCAAGAAACCCCTGGGCACTGGCAGGGCGCTATTTTAGTAGTTGTACCACTGCTTCGATGGAAAATCCCGCTTCAGGGAGGAGGCGCTCGACAATATCCGCGAATATGGCCGAGTTTCCCAAGGCCCAGGGCACCTAACAGAGCACGTTGAACTTGGCGGCCAAGACCCGATTCCATCTCGTCGCCCGTCAGTCTCGCGACAGGAGAGAGCAACCTCCGCAAGGTCATAACGAAGTTAGGGGAGACTGCCGTTTCCATGTGCCAAGCCATGTAGCAGAGACACTCCAGGCTGATCTCACGGTCCGTGTGTCGAAAACAGCGCTCAATGATGCTGACGGAACCGGTGAGGAGTGCTTCATGAGCCGTAGCAAAGTCGGTAGGGTGCAGGCTAGTGGAGGTGAATAGAGGGGTCTCTGTTACGCATGGTCAGATTTGAAAAGTACCCTCTCGTTTTATAGAACGTTGGATGTGCGGCGCGCAGTAACCTACGATGATTGAAAAGGCACAAGGCAACATCCTCCCGCCCTGGTAGAATGGCATAGTCAACAGCCCTGAAGCTAAACAAATCCGTGGCGTTAAGCTTACACCATTTACTAGTAGTGTCTGAGCAATCTCTGCGACATATTGGGGCTCAAAAGAGTGAAGATAAATGCAGCGGAAGCCGACCGTCGAGAGTGGCGATAGTTGTCTGGTCGCGGAACCAGTCTAACTCCTCCGATTGAGACAAGACCGCTCCTACTCCGCCCACGCGGCAACACATATACATTGCCGTCTCGTTGTTGTAGTTTCCGTAATCAGTCGGAAAGAGTCCCGATCGAAAACCGCTAACAACTCGGTGGGCGTACAGGACGAGACAAGTCTTTGGAAAAGCCCCATGAATCTCGAGCCAAACCACTGATACTCCCGGACCTGTTCTGGCGTCTCCGTGTCTCCCCATCTTCCAAGCCCGCATCACCAAACCCACTGCGGCCCGTCGCGCACTTGACCATCAGGCCCGCCACATGGGGCAGCTGCCCAGCGGAAGCGAGCTGACAAGCTTCTCAACGACTTGCAATCCCTGAACGAGGGCTTAGTCTTCGTCTCAGGCCAACCTTGCTGGAGCGGAGTGCTGCCCGCCCCTATGCTGCCACACGTCTGGGGCGAGCAGAATCTGCTGACGTTAATTGAGGCCACGACGCCATACGAGCCCGAGCTAGCACGCTGCGCCCAGTTCAAGCGCGATGTTCTCGCAACCACCAAAAGGATACCGCAACGTCGGGAGGAAGAGGAGGAGGACCGGGGAAGAGACCGGGGCCCGGCGGTGGTTCGCCGCTCCGGATTCTTCCAACGCGCATCTGCAAGCGGCGGGTGACCCAGTCGTCACGTCTGGCCGCCGCCGAGCTCAGTGACAAAGCCACGGGACAGACCGAGCCGGTACTCCTCGAGGACAAGAGCTACGCGGGTTGGCCGCAGGACTACGAACGCTTCGTGGAGACACGCGTGCGTGAGCTCGCAATGATCCTGGCCAAGACGCCGAAGCCGACGCGGATGCGCGCGCTCGACTGCGCCGGTTACGTACCAACCAGCAAGGATCAGAGCTTTCGCTTGTCTTTCGCTTCCCGCAGGACGCGGCCAAGGATGCCGACCCAATATCCCTGCAGAGGCTGCTCCCGCGGGGACCGAACGGTTGGTCTCAACGCCACCAGGTGCACAACAAGTCTAGTCCGTACCATAATTGTCAAGCCGTCACTCGTTACGCGCTACCGCATGGCCCAGAGCCTCTTCCAGTCGCTTGCGCTGCTCCAGCCCTGCGGCGTGCTACACCAAGGGCATTGCGCCGACCAACATCCTCGTCTTCAAGAGCAATCAGGTGGACGCAAACATTGGCGGCATCGACCGCGACCTGGCTCGACCTTGCATCACCAGCTTCACGTGGGCAGGCATGCACGGGTCTGAGTACGTTTCCGACAAACTGCCGAGCAGGGACTTTGCCTCTACCAGTGGACTCCTTCAGGCACACCCGGCATACGCATTCAACGCCGACCAGCGCCACCTGAAGGTGTTCGACCTGTACAGCCTTGGCCTGGTCCTTCTGCAGATCGGCATGTGACGTAGCCTCGAAGACATCGCCGATGACATGTTCCCGAGTCCCAAGTCGATAATCAACACGGTGGGAGTCAAGTTGGATGAAGCAGCCGAGACTAGCACCTCGGACAAGTGGGCCGCGGAAAACGTAGCTCAGTGGCAGGACGAGCTTGTGAAGCGGCAACGGCTGGTAGATCAGTCGGATGGAATTACTTCGCAGGAGAGACCACGGCGAGCTTTTCAGGAAGCGCCCGTTAAGAACGTCGAAAAGCTGCTCCTTGCGACAGTGGCTGAAATATACACCAGGGTTGTGAAACGGTGCTTGACGGGAGATATCGAGGATGACGGATTGCCGCAGGACATTGTCGAGGCCAAATGAGATGAAGGGGGGCCCGAGTACATCTTTGCAGGACGCCATGACCAAGAACACTAGTAGAAGAGTTGGAGAAGTGTAACGCCTAGCAATACGTCTAGCTAAACCACCTGCATCATATCATTAAGTAGTCTAACCTCCCGGGGTCCTCTTACATGCCAGCCTTCAATCCGTTCAGAGCCACCATCGCACCCCAAGCACCCGGATCCGGCGGAAGGTCTTTGTCCCCCGTGGCGACATATGTTGCCCGGCCGAACCTCGGCGTCATCTTCTTCGTCGCCTCAGCGCCCCTCGCGGCGGCAGCCACGCCATCGTCGAAGCTTCCCGCCCTCATACCCTCGGCGAACGAAATCAGGGTGTCCATGATGGTGCGATCCCCGAGCTTGGCGGGGGTGTAGCGGCCCAGACTCTCCAACGCCGACGACAGGGCCTTTGCCCACAGGAAGGCCGCCCCCTGTGTCTTGGCGAGCTCGATATTGCGCTCGAGCGCGTTCGTCAAGGACACGAAGAAGATGCCCATGATCCCACCCAACGTACCCCCCATCCTGCTCTCCACGATATCCTCGAGCTCCCTCAGGACGGCGACAACCGACCCCGACGCGGCGAGCTGTTTTGTGTCAATGGCGGACAGCAGCAGCGTTGCGCCGGTCTTGATGGTCTCGCCGCAATCCCCGTCGCCCATTATGGTATCCCACCTCGTCAGGTCCGGCTCCGCAGCCACCAGCGCCTCACAGGCGCTACGAAGCATCCTCTCCAGCGTAACCGGATCAACCTTGAGATCCCTTGCGTCGTCGACGGGCCTCTTGTGGTCCTCTCCCTCCGTCTGGCCCCCAACAACAAACTGAGCCCTGCGCTTCCCAGGTCCGGCCCGCGCCTGGGCACCGGCCATGGATTCCCAGTGGGTGCTGGTGCGCGCGTCGAGGAAGGACTTGATGTCGTCGACCGAGTACGGGCAGCCCCTCGCCGCGGCCGTGAGGTTGACGACCGAGATGGAGAAGGCCGGCGCGTTGAGCGACGTCTCGATCTGGCCCGCGTACACCCGCGCCGGCTCCATGCCCCAGTCCCTGCCCAGCTGCTCCAGGAGCTCGTCCACCAGCGCGCCCATCTCCAGATTCGACATGCCGCCGAAGTTGCTGACCAGCAGTGCCGTCTCGTCGCCCGGGGCGAACTTGACAAAGCCTCGTTGGGGATCGGATTCGTCCAGGCAGAGCTTCAGGGCCTGCTTTATGAGATCTTCGGGCGACGGCACAGGCGAGATCTTCAGGTAGCCGGGTTCGTTATGGGGGCCCGTTCCGAGCTCGACCTCGTCGGCCGCCAGCGTGGCATGCTCCGTCCGGCCGGGGACATGACAGTGGTCGAGGGTGGCGGCGACGGAGACGATCTGGCGGGAGAAGGCGACGCCGAGGTCGTAGACGTCGTCCATGGACGCGCCCCGCCCGGCGGCGCCGCCCATGACCTTGAGCACGCCGATCTGGCCGGCCAGGCCGCGGCGCCCGACGAGGCCGCCCTTCCGCCCGACCGACACGTCGTCGCCGCAGATGATCATGCGGCAGTCGCGGCCGCGGGCGACGGCCTTCTCCGCGGCGAGCCCAAAGTGCAGGCAGTCGCCCGTGTAGTTGGTGATGACCAGGATGGCGCCCTTGTCCGACGGCACGGCGTTGATGGCCGCGAGGATCTGCTTGGTGCTCGGGCTGGCGAAGATGTCGCCCGCTACCGACGCCGCGAGCATGTTTTCGCCGACGTAGCCCGTCCAGGCAGGCTCGTGCCCGGAGCCGCCGCCGCTGATCACCGAGACATTGGATCTGTCGTGCGACGTGTCGTAGATCACTCGGTGGTCCTCGTCGAGCGCCAGCGAGGGGTTGTACGCGATTATGCCTCGCAGTGACTTTGAAACAAGCCCCTCGGAGGAGTTGAACAGGTGCCGGTTCGACATTGTGATGCGTGTCTTCGGAGTGAACGTCGAGGAAGTGTGCGACTCTGGCGTAGAGCTGGGGGGTGTTCAAGGACTTATGTCTCGAGTTGCGAGACATCGCCTCCGAGGGAGGGGTAACCCCGGACAGATGACCGATGTAGGAGAGCTTTCATCATAGACACTGTACAGCACACACACCAGTTCAGGGACCCGTCAGGGGGTGGAGAAGGGGTGGGTTGGTTTGATGTCATGGTGCCTGCCTAGGTGGGTTAGGATCGTCTGCACTATCGCTACTGCTCCGCCACCCCTGCGAAGGGGGGGGAAGCTACTACTTCATTATTTATACGTTGGCACCCGTCGAACCCAAATATTTGGTCATTGACATTACCGCTGTTATCAAGAACCGAAAATGAGCTCGCCAAAGTGGAGGATTGCCATCGGCTGCGATGTAAGTCCAGAAACCTCTCAGGGGATATCTCCCTTCCCCCGCTACCCTTACCCCATCCTTACACTTGTCGCAGTCGGGCTGACCTTACATGAACCGGCAATTCCAGGAAGCCGGAGTCTCGTACAAGAACAAGATCAAGGAGGACTTCGCCAACGATGATCGCGTCGAGTCAGTCATAGACGTGGGCAGCCTCGGGGCCGACGACAAGACAGCATATCCCCATCGCGCAGTCGACGCCGCAAGGCAAGTCGCCGAGGGCAAAGCCGACCGGGCGCTGCTCATCTGCGGGACGGGGCTTGGGGTGGCCATCTCGGCGAACAAGGTCAAGGGCATCAGGGCAGTTACGGCGCACGACAGCTTCTCGGTCGAGAGGGCCGTTCTCAGCAATAACGCGCAGGTCTTGTGCATGGGCGAGCGGGTTATCGGTCTGGAGCTGGCCCGCAGGTTGGCCAAGGAGTGGCTGGGCTATGTCTTCGATGAGAATAGCGCCAGCGCGGACAAGGTCGCCGCCATCACCAAATACGAGAATGGGCAATAATAATTGAGCGGGAACTATGAATTCATTTTTTGCCAACACCTCCCCCACCAACACCGTGCGCCTGTTACCGTGATCCAGACCCAGCGGCGATGTCCCGGTCTGGGGCTTTTAAATCGGGGTTGCAGCGAAAGGCCGAGGCTTTTGAAGCGGTCATGACGTCCCGTGATGTAGTTTACTGCCGGCCCGATGGATAGACCCCCGATTTGTTGCAGATCCATGTGGGGACTCTCAAACTTGGATGGAGGCCAGCGAATCAGATACGATTAGTTCCACCCATGACAGCTGCCAATTGTCAACGGAGAACGGGATTACCGTTTTAGGAAATCCGAGCCTTCGTCGAAAATAAAAGGAACAAGTCGCGCGAGTCCGGAGATTCACCGAGCCGGCGATTGCTCCGAAGGGGGGATCGGAGGTTTCGCCGAGGAGGCGGCTCATCCATCCACCTTTCGATATTTTTGCATTTTCCATTTTATTCCACACCCTTATTCCACACACACGTGCCTGCCAGCCGCCACCCTCCTCTCCCCTTATTTCTTTACCCTCCATTTTAATTAAATTAGCCCAGTGTCCCACGCTAGACCTCTAACCTCTAGAAGGACCGGACCGCTGCAGAATATGTCCACCTCACGCCCCCGCCGCATCCTCGGCGTATCCACCAAGATGTACTTCTCCGCCGCAACAACGAAGAAGTACATCGACGACGTCCTCCAGCACATCTTGCAGACCCCCTCGCTACTAGACCAAGTCGACGTATTCATCGTCCCGGACCCCATAACCCTGACGTCGGCCATCTCCCAGCTGGCGGGCACGGGCATCGCGGCGGGCGCCCAGGACGCCTTCTACGAGGACGCGGGCCCCTACACGGGCTCGGTGTCGCCCGCCGTGCTGGCCGAGGTCGGCTGCCGCATCGTCGAGATCGGGCACGCGGAGCGCCGCCGCATCTACGGCGAGACCGACGCCGACGTCGCCCGCAAGGCCGCAGCCGTCGCGCGCAACGCCATGGTGCCGCTCGTGTGCGTCGGCGAGCGCACCCGCGGGGAGGTCGCTGTTGCTGTGGATGAGTGTCGCGTCCAGGTTGAGGCTGTCATGGCTGGTCTGCCGGACGACGCAGAGGTCGTGCTTGCTTACGAGCCTGTTTGGGCTATTGGGGCTGCGCAGCCGGCTGGCGCGGATCACGTCGTGGGAGTGACGAGGGAGATTAGGAGGTTGGATTGCGTTGCGCGGAGGAAGGGGACTACGAGGATCATTTATGGGGGGAGCGCGGGGCCTGGGTTGTTTGAGAAGCTCAAGGACGGAGTAGATGGTCTTTTCTTGGGTCGGTTTGCGCATGACCCTGCCCAGTTTTATAAGACGATACAGGAAGTTGCTGCGGCATGAAAGCTGGGAAAGCTGGGAAGCCTAGTAGTGTAGAAGTAAAGGTTTAACCAGTCTTGCCAGTGCAGGTCAACGCGAAGCAATGAGAGCTTGACGAAAGTGACGTGCGGGAGGCGGAAGAACTGGTTATATTTGTCCCTTGCCGCGGCTCCTTCTTCACCCCCGCAGTTCGTTCTCCAACGGGTCTTGGCGCTGGGAATTGTCCGGGCAATCGATGCTTCGCACTCCAAATATAGCCCCGATCGACATATTGGAGAATTGGGTGACATCGCCTTGGACGCCAAGGGAAAATCTGGAGCCGAAAATCCGCCAATAAGGCCCCATCGAACGCCTCCACACCAACCCAACCCCCGCAAAAGCTTGACGTATCTTGGCTTCATTCGTCCGGCAGCTATGTTCCCATGCAGAACAAGCCTCCCCCTGTCTTGTGCCTGTTCCGACGCCCTGGTTTTGTGGCAGGTTGGGGCACGGCAATGACGGCAGCGAGGAAGATTTGCTGGGATTTACCCCGCTGACGGCCTCTTGGACCATGGCTTTATCCACCGATGCTGAACACCGCGCTTGTACGTCATCAGACTAGGCCTGGTTGTCTCTTGTCGGCGCCGCGATGTGATTGCAGGATAAACATCCAGTCGCCCGATAAATTGGGTTTTAGTCAGGCCTTGGCGGTGCTAGAGGAGCTTGAACCAAATTCTACTGCTGTGATTTTTGGGAGAATACGAGGCTAACTAATCTGCCGCAGAGAAGTTCTCACGACGAGCGTTGCTAACTAAACCTGGGAAATATCCCAATGGCAGCTGTTGCCAAGACGCCGGGGTTCTTCGTCACTCTATAAGATCCTCCCGCTCCTGTCACTTTCTTGCTCTCGGTGGAGCTATTCAACCTTTTCTCTTTATCTCCTTCCCAACCCTTGTGGCCAAGAACCTTCTTAGCAAGGAGCCCCTAGCAGGATCCACGATGAAGTTCCCAGCTATCCCGGCTACCCTAGCTCTCCTCGGCTCGGGGTTGCTCACCCTAGCTATCCCGGCTCCCCCTGACTCGTGCGGGGACAACGGTCTATCGCCTCGCCCAACCCTCGTCCCCTATCCCTACACTCCCCGGTTGCCCATTCCGAACCCTCCGGAACGCACCAAAGTGTGCTATGTCAAGGGTCACAACGATGGCGCTACCGATGACTCCTGCCGCATCATGTCCGCCCTGCGTAGGTGCAACGATGGCGGCCGCGTGGTGTTCAAGGCCGACACGAACTACCTCATCGGCACGGCTTTGGACCTGACCTTCCTGAAGCACATTGATATCGGTAAGCCCTTGCCCTGCCACGCTCCCCGCATGCATCCGCACTCTGCGCAAATGAGCGACAGCTAACGAGAGGTGTGCTGGCCAGACGTTCAAGGGACCATTCTGTTCACCGACGATACCGATTACTGGCAGGCCAACGGGTTCAAATTTGGGTTCCAGAACGTCACGACCTTTTTCAAACTTGGCGGCGAGGACGTGCTGATGTATGGAGGTGAGTGAGCGAGTCGCGACTCAGCTCTAGTCGAGATCCCTTTCCATCGTAGGTATGGCTTGTATCAGCTGACAGGAGCTAAATCCAGGTGGCACCATTGATGGCAATGGCCAGCGCTGGTACGATACCTATGCGGCGGACATCTACACCTTGCGCCCCGTGTTGTTCGGCATCGACGGCTTGAAGGATGCCATCTTCTCAGACCTGAACCTGCAGTACAGCCCTCAGTACTACCACTTCATCGCCAACTCGTCCAACGTGGTGTTCAACAACATCAACATTTCCGGACAGAGCAAAAGCAAGAACGGGGCCAAGAACACCGATGGCTGGGACACTTACCGAAGCAGCGACATCACCATCATGAATTCGGTCATCAACAACGGCGATGGTATGTGACGGACAGCCCCATCTTCTCGAACGTTAAATCATGGGAAGCAGAGGCAGGCCACTAACCACATAATCCAGACTGTGTCTCATTTAAGCCCAATAGCACCGACATGCTCGTCCAGTCTCTCGACTGCAGCGGCTCTCACGGGATCTCGGTCGGCTCTCTGGGCCAGTACCCAGGCGTGTTCGACATTGTCGAGAACGTCATGGTGTCCAACGTCAGCATGAAGAACGCCGGGACCGGAGCGCGCATCAAGGTGTGGCCCAACGTGGCGTCGGGTAACCACGACGACCTCGTCGGCGGCGGCGGCGGCGGGCGGGTGCGGAACTGCACCTGGGAGGACATGGTGGTCGACGACGTCGACTACGCCATCGAGATCAACCAGTGCTACTCGCAGAAGAACCTGACGCTGTGCCTCGAGTTCCCGGCGCCGCTCACCATCGACGACATTGTGTTCCGCCGCTTCACGGGCTCGACCAATTCTAAGCACAGCCCTGAAATCGCCGCTGTGGCGTGCAGTGCCCCTGACTCTTGCAGCAACATCACCGCCAGCGATATCTCAGTCAAGAGTCCCATTGGAACAAACGAGGCGTACTGTTTGAATCTCGATAACAGCAAGCTTGACTTTACCTGCACAGACAACTTCCTTGGGTTCTAGAAATGGCCGAGTTGTCTTTTAATTTCATGTAGATTTAGCGTCAGATTTAACTAAGCCAGCCCCCAAGAAGGGGAAGGAATTGCCTCTGCATGGAATCATGTAAACTGTTACTTTCACATGTGAATCAAAAGAGAGGAAGGCCAGGACGGTGGCGTGGGTGGGGCTGGGGGGGGCGACTCTGAAGAAAAGCACGGATGAGGACCCCACATTCACCAAAATGTGCCTGTCTGTAGGGCTTATCTTATCTTATCGACCCCTATCGGGTGACGCTAGACCCAACGCGGTAGAATATTTGCTGTCTTTCGTGTTTCTCTTCGCAGGTTTTTTTCTCCCCTCCACAACAACCACTTTTTGCCTCTGTGATTTCCGTCAAGAAAATTCCCCGTGGCTCTTTCCACGGCACAACAAGATCAACTAAGACTCCTATCAAACTGAGTCGACCTATCCATCATGGATAGATTGATGCGAGGCTCGTCGCGCGGACGCGGTCCGAGACGCAATCGGAGAAACGGCGACAACAACGCTGGTGCAGGACCGGCAACCCAGAATGCACAGAATGCACAGAATGCACAGACTGCACAGGTTCCACAGATTGCACCCCTCCCGCGCGCAGACGCAGCGCCTCTCCTCGAACCCGTCCCCAGCGACACGCCGAGATTCGCCGATCTTGCCGCGAGGAACCTTGTCCATCCCTCCCTCCTCCAGGCGATCACTCTCGACCTCAAGTTCGACCACATGATGCCCGTCCAGGCCGCGACCCTTGACGAGCTGCTCCCGCCAACCCGTGGCGACTGCCTCGTGCAGGCCAAGACCGGTACCGGCAAGACCGTTGCCTTCCTCCTCCCCGCCATCCAGACCATGATCATGAAGAACCGCCCCGCCGGCTCCGGCATTTCGCTCCTCGTCATTTCGCCGACCCGAGAGTTGGCCATGCAGATCGCCAAGGAGGCCGAAGGGCTGCTGCAGCGGCTGCGCAAGTACCGCGTGTCCATCGCCATCGGAGGCACCAACAAGGACAAGGAAGAGAGGCAGATTCTGGGCGGCTGCGACATCCTGGTCGCGACACCCGGCCGGCTCTTCGACCACATGTCGAACCCCGCCGTCAAGAATACCTTCCGAAACCTCGACACGCTCGTGCTCGACGAGGCCGACCGGCTGTTGGACATGGGCTTCATGAACGCCCTGAAGGACATCGTCCAGTGCCTGCCCGACAAGGCCGCCACCAACAGGCAGGGCATGCTCTTCTCGGCCACGATCGCGCCGCACGTCGAGCGGGTCGCCCTGCTGGTGCTGTCCCGCGGCTACAAGTTCATCTCGACCATCCCGGCCGGGGAGATTAACACGCACGAGCGCGTCCCGCAGCAGCTCATCACGGTACCCACATTCGCATCCGTGGCACCGGCCATGGTCGGCTCGATCCGCGAGGAGGCCGCCGCCGTCGGCGCGGCCGCCTTCAAGGCCATCGTGTTTGCGCCGACGGCCGCGCTCGCCGACTTCTACGGGCACATCCTATCCAGCCTGAGCGACATGCCGCAGGTGTCGATCCTGCACTCGCGCATCTCGCAGAACAAGCGCACCAGCGTGACCAACGCGTACCGCGACTCGGCGGCGGGCATCCTGGTCGCCACCGACGTCGTCGCGCGCGGCATGGACTTCCCGGGCGTCACCACCATCTTCCAGGTCGGCATCCCCAGCGAGAAGGAGTCGTACATCCACCGCCTGGGCCGCACGGCGCGCGCCGGCGCCGAGGGCCGCGGCATCTTCGTCGTCACCGACGCCGAGGCCTTCTTCCCGCGCTGGACCCTCAAGGAGATCACCTTCTCGGCGCGCGCCGCGGACCTCTCGGCCGGCGCCGAGGTCGCCGGCATCGCGGCCCGCATCGACGACGCGCAGAAGGCGTCCATCTACAAGGCCTGGCTGGGCTACTACAAGAACCACATGAAGCCGCTGAAGTGGGACAAGGAGGAGCTCGTGGCCGAGGGGAACAGGTTCGCCCGCGAGGCGCTCCGCTCGCCCGACACGCCGCCCATCCAGCGGAGCACCGTCGGGAAGATGGGGCTGCGCGGTACGAAGGGGTTGGTGGTCGTCCCGGATGCGCCGAGGACGCACCACGGTCGTGGGCCGGCGGGTGGTGGTGGCGGCGATGGGGGAGGCGAGGGGCGCGGTGGTGGTGGTGGTGGCGGTGGGCGCAGGGGCCGTGGCAGGAGAGGCGGAAGCCGCGGTTGAGCGGGCCTGTGTGCTGTGCTTTCTTTTTTCCTATTGTCTCTGCGGTTTGGGCGCTTGATGGCATTTGTTGATGAGATGATGAGATGATACCTCATTGCTCTGCTTTGACCTCGTCAGATTGGGCAGACCTTATGTCTGCGCTGACTTGCTTTGGCGGAGCATTCTCTTTCCTGGCAGCACCATAGAATACGTCCTTTAATAGACTCTTTCAGCCTCATTGTCACGCGAGTTCCACCATCTGACAGCGTTTGCAAAGGTGCCAGCTTGTCTCTTCCGAAGGGTGCGATGCTCCATTAATCGTCTCCAGATATTCGACGTAGTGATCACGACACTGACCCGCTGGAACACCCTCCCAGGATTCCAAGATTGAAGTCCATATCATTGGAACAGTGATGATCCTCAGGGGTACTTGGTTCCCCCCTTGTGCTGGGTTCACAGCTTGTTGGAGCCAATATGTGACTGTCGAGGGGACTCGACGTTCCTGAGAAGTTGACTTCCGATCGAGATATCTCCGGCCCCGAGTATCATGCTTGGTCAACATATTGTGTCGTCCACAGCGGGCCTGACCCTCGGAATGAAATGGTCATTTTCGTTTCCCAAACCAGTCGCTATGGTCTCGGGTGCACATGACTTTGAACGAGTCGAACCAGTCCATCTCCAAGGTCCTCCCTTCTTTTCTTTTTACCAACACTAAATCCGGAGAACCAGCGCGTCCAAAGTCTCATGGTCGAGTTCCATCTCCCCCAAGTGGAAGCGTCACCGACGGCCCCATCGTCGAAGCGAATCAGCCTCCCCTCCTAGAGCAACCAGGCTTACGCAAAAAAAATCCCAAGGGCCCTGCAGGTAGAGGGACAGATATCCCCCTGGACGCCCCTCGTCAAATGCCCGGTAGCTGGGTTCTCGCTATCCAAACGGAGAGTTGGCATCCAAACGCGGCCCAGGACCATCAACTGCGGAAATGGGATCTCCGAGGGACCGTAGTCCTTCGTCATGGTGGTTGAGTCGTTTGTTGTCCGAGAGCCGCTTGGGTTCTGTTTCGCGGCGTCCCCCACATGGCTGGAGTATCATTTTCCCTCGGCGCTCTGGATAACCCTGACGCTTTGCAGTGGAAGCTGAAGCGGCTGCTGATGCCCCAAGGTCGTAGATAGTGAAGAAAGAAGGTACTGTTCTTGAGGTTTATGGGGGTCGATCGTTTATTTCTCTCTTTCAGAATCTTCCCGTCACCCAAGTATTCCCGCGACACGCCGAAGTCAACGGCTCCTAGGATCCCTGCCGTGCCCTTAAATCAGGTGCTGGCCCCCACACAATAGGGTCGCCAGGCCGTAGGCTTGACTTGTTTGGGGCCTTTCTACTAGAGGTTAGTATCGTAGAATAGTGAGAGGTGGTGGTCGGAAAATGAATATTTCTATTTTAGGGGCAGTCCCAACAACTTCAGTGATACCCAAAGACTTCCGAGTTCTGTCCATCTTTCCCTCTCCGTAATTGTCCAAGTCCCACATTAGCCTACACACCCTGCTCAGCGTCCGCCCGCAGGATCTCATTCAGCCCATCTCTCTTCATGCAGTTCTCCAGCTTAAACGAAGCGGCAAGCTCATCCAACTCCTCCAACGTCTTCCCCTTAAAGTAGCTCGCGTACTCCCAAGTAAGGATCTCCGAGAACAACGTCTCGCGGATGACGCGGTGGACGTGGCCCTCGATCCTCCAGTGCTGGGGATATCTCTTGTTGAGGAACTCCTCGGGTATCTCCTCCTTAAGGTGCTGGATCAGCGGCGCGTAGATGTGCCCCACGTGCGTGTCATCACGCCCCCACTTGTCGAGTCCGAGGCGCTTCTTCTTGTCTAGGAAGGGCTTCATGAGGCGGATATATGCGGAGTCGGGGTTGGTGTAGACCATTCCTGATTACCCCGAGGCAAAAGCATTAGCGCCGGATCGGCATCAAGGAACTGAAGGAGCTGGTGTCTCTTTTCTTTCTTACCTTGGAACCCGATGTCCTTGTACAGCCATATGCTCCAGCTGATCTGGTCCTTCTTGTAAATCGACATCTGCTGGCCGAGCAGTCGGTACCGCTGGTCGTTGGTCTTGTCGTGGCCTTCTTCCTCTTTACTTGCGTAGACGGGACCAAATTCACCGTTCCAGATCTTTTGCCGCGTCAGTTAAAACCACCAACAACCCCCACGTCGGATTCAGGGGAGCAAGGGAGGCTTACAGGAACCCCGCGGGCCTTCATAAACTCGACCTTCCTCTCATACGACCTCTTGAGAAACTCGTTCTGCTCCGGGGTTCCGACGTACGGCTGGCCGGCCGGGAAGCCCATGGTGGCGTAGTCGTGGATGGCGTAGACGCAGTTGGGCAGGACCTCCTTGAAGGCGGTGAAGTCCATGGCGTAGGTGTTGCCGTCGAGAAACAGGATGTGGTCGGCGTCGACATCGCGGATCGCCTTCTCGACCCTGCGGTAGAAGATCTGGAGCCCCTCGTGGTTCGGGTCTGCTGGTTCGTTCATGGGGTTGTATCCCGCTACCTGCAGGGACGATTAGCGAGGTGCCGCAGTAGCGTGTTTGGATAAGCTGAAGGTGGGGCGACCTAGTTGGGGAAATTAATGAACCCCCAAACTTACCCACGTGTTTCCCCTGTAATGTTTTGCGATCTCGACCCATAGGTTGACCATGCGGTCCTGGAAATCCTTAAAGTCCCAGAAGAGGGCCTTGTGGATGCCCGTGTCGCTGTGCCACCCCTGGTTCTGGCCGCCCGGGAACGTGTGCATGTCGATGATGGTGTACAGACCCTCGGATGCGCAGGCATCCACTATCCTGTCGATCAGACGGAAGCCCTCGGGCTTGATGACGGACGGGTTTAGATCGTCCATGAAGTGCCTGTGGTTGATCGGTATCCGGATGCAGTTGAGACCGAGGGAGGCGAGGAATTTTGCATCTTCTGTGGTGAAGAAGTACTCGAGGAACTTGGTGAGTTGAGGTCAGTAAGATGGCTGGCACCGACATGGTCGTAGATGGGATGCCTGGGGGCCTTGTTGGGGGCGACGTTACTTTGTCAAAGAAGAACTCGTACTTCTCGTGGCCGAGGACCTCCAGCATTGCTGCTCTCATCTCGCTTTCGTGGCCGGGGTAACCGGTGATGAAGTTCTCCATGTTGGTATGGCCACCCGTGGCACACTAATCACCCTAATCTCAGCAAGGAAAACAGTTGAACGGAGTGCCAACCGGACTTACCCCTTTGAGGATGACCCGTTTTCCATCGCCATCGACGATGTCAGTCCCTTGGACACGGAGACAGGACTTCGGGGCTGGATGGGCCATGGTGAGTGAATACGGAATGATTGATGATAGCACACTGATTGTTTTCGACAAGTTTCTGTGTTTTGCTTCGAGATACAAAATCCGTCGCAGGTGTTGCAGAAGAGAATTCCAATCTCAAATGAAGGAAAGCCAATGCAGTGGGAAGCGGTGTTTTTGCCGAGTCGTTGGGCGCGGGGATTCGATTATCGTGTGGTTATCGCTCGTACTTTGTCCGGATTCCGAAAGGATCGCCGGCACCCGCCCTCGGCGCATGGCCGTGGCTTTTTCTACTGGCTATTGCCGACAAGAATCCCCGCTGTCAGTCGCCGGATAAAAAGAACACCCCCGCGCACGGAGTGGGTAATCGCCCGCCTGCAATTTTTCAATTGGTAATCCTACAGAAGCCCTTTCCCCTCATAAGGCGATGCTAATGGGTCTGTTTTGATGGGAGCTTTTCAGCTTTGGGCCTAGCAAACGTTTGATGACAGCCCTAGCTTTCGAGCTATTGCCTGCCAAGGCTGAAAATACCAGGTCAGGTTACCGGTTAAATAGCTGCCGTGCGTCGTTAGCTTCCGGTTAAATGGTACTTATATCGGTAGTGTCTCTGGTCAGGAGTGTTACCCTGTGTTACCCACTACCGGTATCTTGGCTCTCGACGTTCTCTGGTGATAACCCGGGGGCCCGGTTAACGCTAGCAGGATTCATCTCCACAACTCCACGAGTTCAAGACTCGTATGCTGATCCCTCCTGTGCTTTATAATAAGTCCCCATGGGGCCCCCGCATATGGAAGTAATAATCCTCTGCACCCCAAACAAGCATCGATTCTGTTCGCATAGCAGTCGGCCTCTCTCACCATGGCTCGCAAGGAGACTGAAGCTGTCCGAAATGTCCAGGAGTCCGAGGTCACTCGGCTTCTCAGGCTCGACAAGAAGCCATGGTACCAAAAACCTAACCTGCGATCCTTGTACTTCTGCCTCGTGCCTGCGGTGCTTGGCGTCGAGATGACGAGCGGATATGACGGTTCCATCCTCAACGGTTTGCAGGCTGTTGAACCATGGCTGACATGGACGTGCACGACGATACCCCTAACCTCCCGGCGAGCTTGACTTGCTAACATGCATGGCGGTAACAGATTTCAACAACCCTCAAGGAGCCGTGCTTGGAGTTCTCAACGCCGCCTTCAGCATCGGCGCTGTTCTCGCCCTTCCCGTGGTGCCATATGTGAGTATATGAACCAGTCATGGCCATCTATGCAGCCCAGCATGTTGTTTTCGTGATTCTCAACTGATCTCTTGTCTTTGTTAGGTGAACGATCGGTTCGGACGGAAGCATAGTATCACCATCGGTTCAGTCATTATCCTCATTGGTGTTGTCCTCCAGACGGCATCCGTACACAGTAAGCATTTCCCGACAAGCTTTTTATCGGAACACTATGCTAATTCATACCCGCACAGTTGCCATGTTCCTCATCTCGCGCCTTCTCCTCGGAATGGGCATCCCATTCTGCATCTCCGGCGCATCACAGCTCATTGCCGAATTGGCCCACCCCCGCGAAGCCGGCGTCTTGAACGGTCTCTTCAACGAGTCTTGGGTAATTAATTTCTTGCCCTTTTTGATTAGTTTATGAAACCCATCTCTTCGGCGTCTTCTAACAATGCTCACCCACTAAATAGTACGTCGGCGCCATCCTCGCTGCCGGCACAACCCTGGGCACATTCTCCATGCCCAACGACTGGTCCTGGCGAATCCCATCTCTGGTGCAGATCGCCCCATCGCTGCTGCAGGTGACCTTCATCTGGTTCATCCCTGAGTCCCCGCGTTGGCTGCTGTCCAAAGACCGGGATGAGGAGGCCTTCGACATCCTGGTCAAGTACCACGCCGAGGGCAACCGCGAAGACCCCTTCGTCCTCGCCGAGTTCGCCGAGATCCGGGACCGCGTCCGGCTCGAGATGGACAACTCGAACCGCCGATGGGTCGAGCTCCTGCAGACGCCGGGGAACAGGAAGAGGACCTTCATCGCTGCCTGTGTTGGCTTGTTCAGCCAGTGGTCCGGGAATGGTCTTGTTTCGTGAGTTGCCATGCCGCTTCCGCGGGAATCCCCCGTCGTCTTTCCACCTGCGTTGCTAATCAAGCTCATTGCAGATACTATCTGGCCAAGGTCCTGCTCACCGTTGGCATCAGCGATAGGCGAACCCAGAACATCATCAACCTTGCTCTTTCGGTAACCATGTCCTCTCCCCCCACGGGCCCAGCAACTCTGACACCCCCTCACAGTGCTGGAACCTCGTGACCGGCGTCACCTTCGCGTTCCTCTCCAAGCGCATCCCCCGGCGAACGCAGTACCTCATCGCCTTCGGCGGCATGACGGCCGTGTTTGCCGTGTGGACCGGCGTGAGCGCCAACTACGCGCAGACGGGCAACCACCAGGCCGCCGCCGCCGTCGTGGCCATGATCTTCATCTACTACATGTTCTACACCATCATGCACCCGCTCACCTACATCTTCATCACCGAGGTATTCCCCTTCGTCCACCGCGCCAAGGGCGTCGGTCTCACCCAGACCTTCTCCCGCGCCGGCTCCGCGTTTAACCTGTTCGTCAACCCCATCGGCCTCGGGAATATTGGTTGGAAGTTCTACCTCGTCTATGTCGTACGTTTTTGATCCTATCTTTCTGCGGCGTTGTAACTCCGAAATATTGACTCTTGGAATAGGTCTGGCTTGCCATCGAGACGACCATCATCTACTTTGTGTATCCGGAAACCCAGGGACACACCCTCGAGGAGCTAGGAGACCGTAAGTGGCCCTTCCCCCCTCCCCCCCCCCCCCCCCCCCCCCCCCGCCGGCCCCCCCCCCCCCCCCCCCCCCCCCCCCCCCGCGTCGGGCGCGAGGGTTCTGCTCGTGATGGCGGCGGCGTTGTCCGTTTGCGTTTGGATACTGCTTTAAAGATCCTGGTCATGCCTTTTAATCTATATTTATCAAGAATGTTTGGAGGTATCCCTTTTGTGGATGTACAAATGATGCCTAGAGGAGTACGACTTATAATGCTGGCACAGCTGCGGAATGCAGTGGTTGATAGGGGGCGATGCCTTAGTTATACACCTCGGACCAACAGCTGCGATGCTACCAACGCAGTCCTCGGACGCCCGACTCCTTCGGAATATCTGGCAGGTCCATCTTTCTGGGCGCTAGCCAGTGTGAGCTGCTATCAGGGAAGCCGCACATCTGCAGCAGATGGACTTGATTGCTTCGCCCGGGGGGGAATTTCGTTATGAGAGGAGCGAGGGAGGTGCTGTCCTCAGGGCCATCAATGAGAGATGTGCTGTCGTCGGGGGTATCGGTGGATTTACCAACCCTCTCCATGTCGATGTCCATTTCGATAAGCTGACGATTGATGCAACTTTCGCAAGAAGAAAATGGTTCTTGTCTCAGGTGTGTTGATGGTTGGCAAATAAAAGAAGGAATTGTTGCGCATGAACGGGCACTTTACTCTGCGTGCAGGGGAGGGGGTCTTTGCGCTCGCAGACAGTTCCAGGCCGAGAATGTTTGGCTGCCGAATTCGAAGTCATTCCGACCACTCTAGGCGATAGCTTCCTGTTGGTGATCTTAGGTGTTTAGGATGTAGGTATGTACAGTACCCGTATGTTGAGCATCTTCTTTCGGGCATATTAATAAATCAACAGACTGAATTTCTGGGTATCCGCAGTCACGTGGGCTATGCGGAGCACTCCACCCGCTTCACCTTCAATCCCTATATAGTATCCAATTAACGAGCTAATTTCACAGCGAATCCACAGCTACATCGGGTGTATACACCCGCAAATCTTCCGTAGTATAGTGGTTAGTATGGGAGCTTGTCACCTTCACAGGGTCCTCGTTCCAGACCCGGGTTCAATTCCCGGCGGGAGAGCTACTTTTTTGCTACTTATTTATTTATTTTGTACAGTCTTAGCAGATGGCAGTTATCTCTACCATTGCCATTGCTATCTATCGCCGTCGCTATTGGTGTCATTGTCACCGTCGATTGCTGGCAGCTTTGGGACCACCTGGCAAAGGATTTCCCAGCCTGTTGCCAGCGGTGCACACAGATTCCAGGCACGAGATACGTAGAATCTATAGGTGTTGAATAAGGAGACTTTAGGAAATAATTACAGGTTGCTGTTTTGGCTTTCGACGTTTAAATCAGGCAACGACGTTGTGCAATTAAGTCACTTATTTGATTAATGAGAGAGAGAAAGGTTTGAAAAGGTCAATCAAGATGGAATCCTGCGTTGAACCTGATAGAATATCTTGCCTTCTTTATTCCGCCTGCTAGTGTTGTCTAGGTATGCAATGATTTGACTTGGGAACTGAGAACACTTTGCCCATGGATATTTGAGACAAGTCTTTCTAAGGCCTCTGATGACGAGCAAGGGTTTCTAGATTCTAGCCCTCGACTTTGCAATCTTGCTGAAGTCAGGCTTCATGCCTTTGAGTACAAAAAGCTGTTGGCCATCGACATTGAGCCACCGTCTCCGGAGGAAATAGATGTCATATGAGTTTGTTATGGAGAGTTTCAGAAGCAGAGAGGATGCAGCAACCTGCGAGATCTAGATCGCGATCCCGCATCGTACTGGTCCGACATCCGGATGTCGGGATGGGTGTCGGTGTCTCAACTAAGGGGTCACCCGACTTTGCATCTCTTGGCTATTTGTTGAACGAGGGCCGGTTCGGCCGAAGCGACGGAGACCTCACTCCTAACTAAGACTGCATTTTTAGTTTACAACCCCTTCGGACCATTCGGACCATGAGCATGCGAGGCCATAGTGGAACATTGCCATCATGGTTGTATTCAATGTTCGGTGTTCGCTGTCCGTTGTGAGTCGTGGAGAAACCGGACATCCCAGGCGTGCTCATAGGCTGCTTTGATAGGGAAGCCCCCTTCTGCTGATTCGACTGTCTTGGAATGCCTCGTACGCTTTGCCAGCCTTCCTGGATTGGTGATACGGAAAAGCAGGTAGTCGACCCCACGAAACGGCAACCAGCAGCAGAGGTAACAGAGCAGGTCACAGAATCTAGCTATGTGGCGTGAGCAAGCTCAGCAGACCGGTTGCATTGTGAGATCGCTTCTGATGCATGTGATTTGACTGCACGTTTTCCAGCCAATTGCGAATTCGAGCGTGAAGCTTTTGTTGCACAATGCTCGACTGGTGCCGTTCTCATCCATAACTCTGATCATTATGAGCCAGCACGGAGGTAACAGTTGGATTAGCTCGCTGGCACAAATTAATTAAACAATGTCTATGAAGTTGTGGATCGAGAATAGGGGGTATCATGTGAAAATCGTCCAATATGAACCTACTTCGAAATTCTATTATATATCTTGAGTGGTCGACCGTCTCGGAGTCTACTATGCAAGATGCCAACCTTGACTTGTTAGCTATCATCCCATAACATAAATACTTCATATCCAGAGCTTGCCAGGCGCGCATAGTGCTTTCCCACACAACGAACAAAACATCGTTCCTGATCCATTAACCATGAGGGTCACCGCTGAGTTCCTCGCATTCCTCACCCTCGCAGGCGAGAGGGCCACCGCACAGTCCAACTCGCGAGGCCCCATCAGCGCGGCTCCGGAGGCCTGCCCCGAGTCCCCCTGCTCCGCCTCGGCGTCTGCTGTCCCCGACTGCGCCGTCGGGTGCATCAGGTCGGCGGCGACAGCGATCAGCTGCGCCACCGACGACTACGCCTGCCAGTGCAGCTCGTCGTCGGCGATGCAGGACGCCGGCCAGGACTGCGTCCTCGACTCGTGCGGCCTCGCCACCGCCCTCGCCGCCGGCAGCTCCCTGCGCTCCCTCTGCGACTGCGTCACCGCCAGCCCGACGACGCCCTGCACCGAGGCGCCGTCGGCCACGGCCACGGTCACCGCCGCCGGCGGCTCCGACGTCGCGACTCTCGACATCCGCAGCGCCCCCGCCGCCAGCTCCTCCTCGACACCGTCCGCCTCCGACCCAGGTCCGCCGTCAATGACGGTGTGCGCCGTCGGCCTCGCCGACTGCGGCGCCATCGCGTCGACGGTCATCCCGGCGTGCGCGCAGCCCTGTGTCGCCGGCGCGGCGACGAGCGTGGGCTGCGGCGCCGACGACTTTGCATGCCAGTGCCAGCCCGTCGCGCAGTCGAGCCTGAGCTCGCTCGTCGCGCCCTGCGTGGTTTCGGCCTGCCCGCCTGACTCGCTGGATGCGGTGCTTAGCGCTGGCTCTACGGGTGAATCCCCCCAACTTCCCCAGGCTCCCCACCCTGTGTTCATGATGTTAACAAGGAATGATATATATAAAGTCTGCGCATGCGCTACTGGGTCCCCCGATAGTGCTGGGTTGTGTTCGGCCCCCGCCGCTACCCCGACTGGCGACTACGTTCCCGGCACCATGGCCTCCTCGAACGATTCCGCTAGCACCGGTGGCGGGCCTGCTTCGGCGCCGTCATCCGATCGTAGGGTTATCCAGCCTACTGGTGGGATGGGATTTGGCGGCGAGAAGGCCATGGAACGATCCATGGTTACTGGCGGTGCGAACGGCGGATTCGAGATTGGAGTCCTGGGGAGCATCGCTGGTGCGGTGTTGGTTGGAGCTTTGGCTCTTTAATGCAGTTTGTGACTTGGCTTAAAGCCTGGAGGTGATGTTATGATGGACACTCTTTTGACTTGAATTTTTGAGCAGTAATGGGCGAGGGGCTAAGTGAGCTGGAAGGCAAGAAGAAATGGGCAAAATTGAACCTTTGTGGTGCAAGGGTGTGCTGAGAAAATCGTACAAGATTGGTTAATTTGACATTCATTCCCTTAGCAGAGTAGAGCTTGTTACGCAGTAAATTTAATGACGCCGCCAGCTTGAGAAGGCACATCAACCGCTTCTTCTCCCACGGTACAAACGCCCTCTGGTCAGTCCACACTTGGCTATCTTCGTTGAGGTCGAGATCGACGGTGAAGAAAGCTAGAGACGCGTAGACAAGAGGAATCATCACTTCTCAGTTTCACCGGCTGACTTAGACAGGCTGATTTAACGGCAGCAGTATCAGCCCCTATCTAGATCCATGCAAGTGATGGAAGAAGTAAACCCTCACTGACAGGAGCATTTCAAAGTGAGGCTAGCACTTGCCTGAGCTGAGGCTGTTCCCTATTCGAGCAAGTTTCGAATACCGCACTGGAAAAGCCAAACAACGGTGATTTTCTTTCAACCCCAGCAAATGGCACCAGAAGTGTTAAAGGGGACAAGGGAGGGGGTGACTATCTGTTCCGCCAATACTCCCAACAACTAGGGCCACTTTTCCCAATACCTCCCCAATATTGTGGTGCGATTTCTGAAGGATTGCCAAAGACTGCATGCGAAATTGCAACAAGGGTACGGATCCTCCCAGACTACCACTGCCATTTCCAACATTGTAGATACGCTCCTAAACATGACCCGCTGTAGCTAAGCAAGGACATTTCTCGTTGCTGCCGGTTACAATCCGGCCTGCCGACTCTCTTGTCAACCGTGTCTTTCCCATACAGACGGGGGATAAGACCAAGATGGGTACCGTCTTTTCCTCCCTCGGCAGCACATTGCTCATCGCCGTGCTTCTCGTCACTGCGCACGCGGGGTACCGAGCCGCTCTGCCCAAGCCGCTTCCCGGTATTCCTTACAACCGGGACGCGGCTGGCAAGTTGTTCGGAGACATACCTGAGATTATGGGCTATGTCATACGTACAAAACGCATATTTGTGAGTCGTCGTGTTGCCTGCGCAGGCAGTTCGAGTTCGCTTGGCTAACAGGCGTTTGGACACAAGTGCTGGCTGACCTCTCTCACCACGCGGCACCAAAGCCCCATTGTACAGGCCTTCATCAAGCCCATGGCGCTGCCGTGGGTGGTAGTGACGGACCCCCTTGAGAGCCAGGACATTCTCCTGCGACGCACCAAGGAGTTTGACCGTAGCGGCTTCTTTGGGGAGCTTATCGGCGGCATCCTGCCTGAGCAGCACATCCAGTTCCGACGCCCGCTTCAAGAACAACCGCAACCTGATCAACCACCTGATGGCGCCCAGCTTTATCGCCCAGGTTAGCGCTCCCTAGGTCTACATAGCTACCTCCAGCATGATCAAGGTGTGGCAACTCAAGTGCGACGTGGCCAAGGGCCGGCCCTTCGCGGCTCACCACGACATCACATATATGGCATTGGACAGTATTTTCGCCGCCATGTTCGGGCTCCCCGAGCCGGAGAGTATCACCATCCAGCGTCTCGATGCAGTGTCGCGATGGCATCCCGAGATCCCCGCCGGTGTTGACCACCCAGTGCCGTTTCCTGACGGCAATATCCCCGAGGTTTTCGCCGCCGCGCTCACGCTGGCCAACTCGGTGACAGACACGCAGCTGTCCCCGGCCCCGCGGCTCACCTCGTGGGTGCTGCGCAAGTTTCCGTATATGAAAAGGGCCACAGCCATCAAGGACAAGTACATCCGCGACAAGATCGAGGAGTCAGTGCGCCTGATCGACGGCGGCGGCGACAACGAGAACCGCCAGACGGCGCTGCACTCGGTCCTCCTGCGCGAGAGGGACGTCGCAGCCAAGGAGGGCCGGCAGCCCGGCTACCGCAAGCGCGCCATCGCCGACGAGTTCTTCGGCTTCATGCTGGCGCGCCACAACACGTCCGCCACGACGGTGGCCTGGGGCGTCAAGCTCCTGACCGACAACCCGGCCGCGCAGGACCGCCTGCGCGCCGACCTCGCCGCCGCGCTTCCCGGGGGCCAAAGCGGGTCCCGGGTTGCCGCGAGCTCGCCGCGGCGCACGTCCCCTACCTCGACGCCGTGGTCGAGGAGGTGCTGCGCCACGCCAACACCATCGCCTTCGTGGTGCGCCAGGCCCTGCGCGACACGACGGTCCTGGGGCGCCGCATCCCGAGGGACACGGACGTGTTCCTGATGGCCAACGGGCCGGGCTACCTGGGGCCCAACATGCGTGTCAGCGACGAGACCCGCACTCCCGGGGCACGGCGACAGGTGGGTAAGGGGGGCTGACGGGGTTGTGGGAGAACGGGGATATTGCTGCCTTTCGGCCCGAGCGCTGGCTTGGGCACGACCCGGACACGGGTGATGAGATGTTCGACTCCATGGCTGGCCCGTCGCTGGCTTTTGGGCTGGGGCCGCGAGGCTGCTTCAGTAGGAGGTTTGCGCTGCAGGAGCTGAGGATCCAGTTTGCTTTGATTGTTTGGCACTTGAACCTGCTCAAGACGCCGCCTGAGTTGAGCAGGTATGACTCTGTTCAGAGGTTTGCCAGGGAGCCGACGCAGTGCTACGTCCGGTTGAGCAATGCCAATGTCTAGGCTGCGCAGGGGATGCTTGCGGGGGCAGTTTTCACGGGGAAGCTCAATCATAGGGTTGCTTGGATCATGTTCAATATACTGTCGCCGTCCGCTCTGGTTATACTTGTCTCAATGTTAGGGAGAGAAACAAAAACTTGAAGGACGCTTTTCTGAGCTCCAATCTTCAATGGAATGTATAACGATCATTCAAGGAGCTCTATCGTATCTTGTAGATATCATGAGGCATAGGCAGCTAGCTAGGGATGCATCTGCAGCAAATAGTTGATGCCTCACAACTCCGTCCTTCAAGAAGGTCCCCTAAAGTGATGATAATAGTCTCAGAACACGTCAGGAACTTGGCGACCACTTGATGCCCATCCGACTCGGCACATTCAGCTGGCGATTGGCCAGACTTGGTGAGAAATACGGTTCCGTCACACAGTAATAGACTGAGGAAGTAGGAGGTTGATTTCGATTCTGCTGAATTTGACTCTTGAGAGCCCATTCTCACGAAACTCTGCTGCCCCCAATAACAATCCTCCAGATGCCCCATGAGGCGACCCACGACAAGGAGGAGTCCTCCCCCACGACAGCGGACAGATTCTTCATGACGGCTCCAAGAGGCTTATAGAGGCAAGCGTGGACCATGGCCTCGATATCAACGGAGTTGGCAAATCCGAAACTGAGACGTGGTGAGCAAGCGGTCAAAGAGAGAGAGAGAAGGGTTGATCATACCTGTCCAAGATCTGAGCAAGCTTTTCAACTGCACCAACAGCATTCCCGCAAGTCAGCGAAGCGTGGCCCACGGCGACAACCAGTACTAGGTACAATACAGATACAAGGGCCTAGGTTTTGGTCGCCCGGTGAGCCCCGAGGAAGCCCCGAACGTAAATCAATGTTGAAGATCTCCCGGCCCGTTGGCACCTGTTCTGCACAGACCATCGGCCACCCGACGAACAGGGCAGACACCGAGGGATTCCAAATTCGCATGTTCAATCCTGATCTACCTTCTCCACACACACGTATAGAAAAAGGCCAGCTTGTTCACCTCTACAAGATGCCTATCTTCAGACCTCGCATCGCCATTGCAGGTGGTGGCCCCTCAGGCCTGGCGCTCGGCCTACTGCTGCACCGGCGTGGCATCGACGCCACCATCTACGAGTTGCGAAGCAAGCCCACGCCGGGGGAGCTCGCCAAACCGTCCGGGATGCTAGACCTGCACGAGGAGTCCGGGTTGAGGGCGATACGCGAGTGCGGCCTGTGGGACGGCTTCCAGGCGGCCGTGGGCGACTGCTCCGAGGCGACGCGCGTCCTCAATCCCGACGGCGTCGTGCTCCACGCCGACGAGGGCGAGCTCTCCTACCGGCCGGAAATCCCGCGGAACGCACTCACTGACCTGCTCGTCCGGAACCTGTCGGTGGACACCATCAAGTGGAACCACAAGATCGCGGGCGCCGAGCGCTCCCGCAACGCGGCCACGGGAGCGACTGAGATCACCCTCGACCTCGGCCCGGACAGCGGCGCCGCGACGTACGACTTCGTCGTCGGCGCCGACGGCGCGTGGTCCCGGATCCGCAACCTTCTCTCGGACGTCAAGCCCTTTTACAGCGGCGCGCAGTACGTGACGGCGACGCTACGGCACGCCTCGACCAGACACCCGCGCCTGGTCGAGCTGAACGGCACCGGCACGCTCTGCGCGCTCGGCGGCGGAAACGGCCTCATGACCCACCGGGGCCCCCAGGACTCGATCCGCGTGTACGCGGCGGTGAGCACGCCGGACGAGCACTGGGCGACGACGGCCGGGCTGGCGGGGAAGACGGCCGCCGATATCAAGACGGCGCTCCTGGGCGACGGCGGGCCGTTCCGCGGGTGGGCGCCCCCGCTGCGGGACCTGCTCGCCACGGCGTGCGACGAGGACGCAAGGGATAACCCCGGCCGCGCGGCCGATGTCACGCCGCTGTACATGCTGCCCGTCGGGCATGGGTGGGAGCACCGGGCGGGCGCGACGCTGGTCGGCGACGCGGCGCACCTGATGACGCCGTGGGCGGGCGAGGGCGTCAACCTGGCCCTGTGGGACTCGCTGGACCTGGCGCGCGTGCTCGCGGCTGTGCCTGGGGTGGCGGACGCGGCGGCGTGGCAGGCGGCGCTGGAGCCGCGGGTGAGGGAGTTTGAGGAGACGATGCTGGCGAGGGCGGCTGAGAAGGCGGAGGAGACGGCTAGGAACAAGGACCTGTTTCTTAGTGAGAATGGCGCACAGGAGATGGCGGATATGTTCAAGCGGTTCTATGGATGAGGACATGGCAATTTCCTGGAAAGGGGTTCTCCGGGAGAGGATCAGTAAGATGAGAAACGGATCCGGCATATGATCAGCAGGGGTAAAGCGTGATCATAAGGGCTTAGAATCCGACAGCACACGGCAGCTATTTGTAAAGAGAAGGATATCATATGGAAGGGAGGAATACCGACTAAGCAGCTAAACCAGGTCCTCTGCGGCCGAGTGGCTATGATTGTACGTACATAGATGGTAATTAATTCACTGTAGGAAGCTAGCTAGGAAAATACAAACAAGGAATCCCACCCAGTCTCGCCCATTCATCCTGGCTAGGCAATGGTTCCTCCAGTTGGCTTTGCAGAAAGATTGCAGACTAAGTATAAAACCTGGTGAAATATTAGCTTCTTAACCAACTCATCTACTCACTAAAAAGTAAATACTCAAAGTGGAACTGATGTCGAGTTTTGCTAGTCGAACACTTGCGTCATTATACCATAATGTGCCTGTCTCTTGAGAAATGGCTCGTCCCAGCCATGACATCACGAGTTAGAACAATGGCCCCATGGGACATTCAGCAAAGTAATTAGTAGCTATGATTACAACGCAACCTGAACGATAACAAGAGGGGAACCATTAAACAAACCATGGCCAAGACAGACAGAGACAACTTCGTAAGTGACCCCATCCCCTCCCGTCTCGTCAACTACACCCCAACTAAACCACCACCCAACAAAAAAAAGCTCTCGCACGCCAGCGCGCGGGCCTCCGCGCTGCGCGACCACATCTTCTCCCTCCCCGCGGACGAGTTCCGCGACAAGCCATGGAAGCTGGTGGGCGCGATTGAGGACTTTGCCCGCACCAGTGAGCTGCCCATGACGATCCAGGCGTCCAAGGTCGGCGTCATCCGCGGCGCCATGGCCGCCATGGACCCGACGCCGAGGCTGGTCCTCGAGTTCGGCACCTTCGTCGGCAGCTCCGCGCTGGCCTGGGGCGCCACGCTGCGCGACTTCCACGGCAACGCCGGCGGTGGTGATAGTGGCTTGAGGGTGTTCACCTTCGAGGCTGACCAGCAAGTCGCACAGATTGCGAGGGATCTGGTGGAGCTTGCTGGGCTGGAGGAGCTTGTCTTGGTGCTGGATGGGAAGGGGTCGGCGTCGGTGAGGCAGCTGCACGACGAGGGCTTGGTCGGGGAGGGTAAGGTCGACATGGTGTTTCTCGACCACTGGGAGGAGTGCTACCTGCCTGACCTGAGGCTGTGCGAGGAGCTGAAGCTGTTCCACAAGGGGTCCGTCGTCATTGCCGACAACACCGATTTCCCGGGCGCGCCGGCGTACGTGGATTATGTGAAGAAGGGGGGGAGTGGGGAGAGCGGTGCTGTCCGCTACCAGAGCCAGTCGGTCGATGCTAGTGACACCAACCTAGCTGTGAGTTGATCCCTCTCCATCTTTCTCACTCGGAAGTTCAGTCTTTTATATTCTTCTGTTCCTTTTACTTTGCCTCTTGTTTTCAAGTTTGATATTGGATTTATGTGACTGACAGGTTGCCTTTAGAAAATCGTTGAAATCAGCAAGGTGATAGAAATATGAACGGCTGAGAAGACGATGTTGCCACCATGGTTAATTAGAGACTAGGCTAGAGGATGTAATTGGCTTCTAATTAATTATTATATTTACTCCTATTACTCCGCGTTTCTTCGGTGTAATTCCCTGGAGGGATAACCTCTATTGGAAGTCGCCTTCTCAATCTCAGCCTGCTTTTCCATTCTACTCATAAGCTCTTTTCACTCCGCGTTTTATCCCATTGCCTTCGACTCTACTGCTCAAAACCCCCTTGTATCAATAGCGACAACCTTCCCTCCTTCTCCGGGACTTGCTGCCCCCCCACTCGTAACAACGTACAGCACATCCCTGTCCGCCTTCGTCCGCCCAAACACAGACGCCGTATCCCCCGCGAGCAAGGGGCTCGTCGCCTCGCCCTCGACGACGACGCCCTCGCCGTAGCCCCCGTCGCCGTCCGGCCTCACCGCAATGACGCGGTTGTCCTTGTTGGTCTCGACGTAGATCGTCCCGTCGGCCGCGAAGGAGAAGTCGTCGAGGAACTCGGCGTCCAGCACCGCGACCGTCTCGACGGCTGCGTGCGGGGCGATGGAACCCGTCGGCGTGACCTTGACGCGGTACATGGTTGAGAGGATGCCGTTGTCAAAGTACAGGTCGCCCTGGAAGAAGTGGATTCCGTTGATGCCGATCGGGGTCGACGCGCCGGGGGGCACTGCCATCTGGGGCGTCTGCATTGCCACGTCGTACTTTCCGGTCAGAGTGTCGACGCGCCAGATTAGACCTTGGACGGAGTCGGCGATCAACACTGTGGTGGGGCGGTGCGGCAGGGGAGTCAGTCCGTTGGGAAGAGCGGCCTCGGGGATGGAGGTGATAGTCTTGACGACGGGCTTGTGCTTGTTGAAGTCGACGCTGAAGGTGACGGTTGTGCCATTGACCGGGCTGCCTTCTGCGGAAAAGTTGGCGCCAACGATGGCGAACACATCGGGGGACGTCTCGGCAATGCCAAGGAGACTGGTGACCTCGTCGAAGGTATGAACCAGCGAAAGGCATGGCCTTTTGCTGGCCGGATGGGAAAGTTGATACAGGGATGCGTTGGGGGACAAGATGGTCAAGAGCAGGGCACCATTGTGACGAACGGCGATATTTTCGATCCAGGTTGGCTCCGGAAACTCCTGCAGAATGCGGTACGGGAGGGGAAGGGAGGTCTCGTGAGGGGTCGGATACGAAGAAGCGATAGGAATGAGCGAAGTCAACCCAAGAGCGACGCGGGTCAACGAAAGGAGCTTCATTCTGGGCAGTTTGCGGAGGGCAGAGTTGCGGAAGGCAGAGTTGCTGAAGTTGTGAAGTTGTTGAAGTTGCTTGATAGTATCTCAACTCACGCCACGCCAGAGTGAAGCTCTTCCGTTGTCGCAAGACCGATGATGCCAATGCTGCGATAACTGCAATGCCTCGGGTGGTCGGTATCAGCCTCTTTATAAGTGGCCATACATCGCACGGATGCCAACAAGTTCGACGGGCTGCTACTGCCCTCGTCAGCAAAAAGATGAGTCAGGTGCATACCTAATTACCAATAATAGGGGCTTATTTCGTGCCTACCTAACTAATTAGTCATTCGCCGTTGTGGTCATCCGGCGTCCAGGTCTTGTTAATAATCGCGCAAATCCTTCCGAATCCTTCCAAAATTTTCTGAGTCCTTCCAAATTTATGCTCCAAAGGTACCTGATTAGAGGCCTGCGAGAGAATCAGTGTGGGAAGTCCAGACTCTTGACCTTCACCCCAACCCCAAGACGCGCAAAGAAGGCGTCAGGGCGAGGGAAAGAGACCCTTTGCTCCATCCTCCTCTTGGGGAGCTTATGCAACTTTCTGCGGCGCGCAAGCTTATGCAGCGTGTGAGCGGCAGCGATGGAACGCTTCTCGCTACACTCTGCTCTCTCTTCAGAGTCAAGGAGGATCAATCCAATAGTGCGGACGCCACCAAGTCTCTCATGACCCAGACCCTCTTATATTAATCTGGTGGTGCAACTTCGCGTATGGTCCGCGATGCGGAATCCGTTTCAGCTTCTTTCACTGCAGGTAACCGGCTCGGCGGGGAAAGTAAAGCGCTAATCATCGGCCGGAATCAACCGTGTCCACCCCCGAATGGTCGCTTCGCGGAACGGCTGAGAAGCGAGAAGCTGGCTCTGCCGTGTTGCATTGTGGGTTGGTTGTTGCGCAGTAGCTGGCATAGGCGCCTCGGGACTTCTCAACGGAGGCTACACCATTCTCGCATCGATCGTGCCGGCTTCCAGACAGGCCAGTAAGTATGACCCGTTCCCGGGGGCATGAAGAAGAAATCCCAGCCAATACCCGAGCGAAACAGCACTCCGGGTTCGGCAACCTGCTAGCGTTCCTAGCGTGGGAGCACCGCGTCGGCGCCGGGGCCTTGATCCCGGTAGCGCTGCTGCGTCATCTGCACCAGCTGCCTCAACATGGCCTTCCTCAGCAGCTGCACCATGACAAAGGCCTGCTACTTCTCCAAGGCTCGGGATTGGCTCACCGAGTCGTCCAAGATGAGCCAGATATACGGTGATGCAACATCTGACCATAATTCGTGCGGTAGAATATTTCAAGACCAAGCACTATTGCGAGAGGGAGAATTTGTGCATATCGACACGACCCCTACAACTTACACAAGTATTGCTAAGGTTCTCACTTTGTTTGCCAACAGATGTGATTTCCCCAGTTCGGGAAGTCAATCTCACAGGAGTAACTTTCAGCTCGTCCCACTAACAGGAATGGCAGGATCTTGCATGGACAAGCTGAAAGAACTCTGGCAGGGGTGTCACGTTGCAGATTTGGTTTCCACCAGTTTGTAAAATTCCAGAGCTACCAAAGTAATTACCACCTGAAGGACTATCCCAGGCCAAGTCCCGCGATAGGTAGCCCGGAGAAGACAGAAACGACAAGACAGAAACCAGAAGTAGCCAGAACCCAACTGTACCTTCCTATCACTTCAGATTCTCCAGGATGGCCGGGTGGGTTCAGTACTGATTTACGGACTTCGTCCCTTTCCAAGATTTCCGGAATAGTCCCTAAGACACGAAAGAAAATGCAAGCAAATTGGCACCCACCAGCTTCTTCAACCGCCTGCACAGCAACCCCCCACAGGTACACGGTCTTCTTCCCGTCCGCGCGCGATTGGCTTGTACGCCTGCACGACGCCGCGTGCACCCACCCACCTGGCGTGCACACCATTCGTCGGCGGGGCGCGCCGCGAACGCCCGGACGCCGAACCGCGTCAGGCCCGCGCGACAGCCCGGTCTCGCAGAAGCAGGGGTCGGCCGAGTTGATGATGATGGGGTGCGCGTGCGTGCGCCTTGGCGGCGGCCGTGTCGTCGACTGGGTCGTCAACGACGACGGCCAGCTTGGGGAGTGTTACGGGGTGTACACCATTCTTCAGCGGCTCGTAGCTCGCATTTGAGGTGTTTATCAATTCGTAACTATTCATGTGCTCTCTCGCGAATCGTGGTACTGGTTGGTACATACATGTACCTGCGCCACAAATGGTGCGCGCTCCTTGCCGATGGGGTTGGTCACTGGTGCAAGGTGTAAGTGGCTACAGGGAATCAAACTTTAACTGAAGGCTTCATTCAACCTGAGGCTCAGCTTCGAGGATATGGTGGTTGGTATTTACGTCAGCAACAGCTACAAATGCCGAGACAGACGGGCCTGGGATTCGTTGGCATGGCTCGCTTGAGTGGCTCGCTTGAGTGGCTCACATTGCGATCTCCATGTTGGGGAATCGTGGGGTCACTTGATGACAGGTCTCCGGGCACTAGACCCTAGTTTTCCCCTAAACCCCGCAAGCGAGGACGGATAGAGATGTCCAGGCACGTCAGGTTATTGTTTCCCGAAGCCTCCTGCAACGCTAATAACCTAGCGCGGCTGCTTGGGAATGGGTTCTGCCATTGAGCTATTGCGGGGCCACCTCTTGGCATCAAATGGCGCCGCAGATCTATGTCGAAGTGTCGTCTGATGAACGCCCTCGCGTTCCTGCGCCGGGAAAGGGGTTCCTTGTTTGTTGCCGGAGCCTCGGCCAGGGCAGTACCAGAATGCCAGCCGCGACGATTTATGGAGCCTCATGCGAGGGAATCCTTCATCTCCACAGCTTCGGCTTCCCCATTCAGTTCTTCTGCAGCAGACCCCCAGCACCAACTCAACCATGACCGCCGTAGCAGATCCAGAGCCCATCGCCCCCGACGTGCAGGCCCAGGACCACAAGGAGGTGAACGAGGGCCAGGTCGCGCACGTTAGTACCGATGACGAGAAAACCGTGGGTCAGCCCCAGACCGCCTACGTCCCCGACAACGATGACGAGTACAACGTCACCTTCAAGACCTGGATTGTCGTTGGCATCCTCTCCTGGAGCTATGGCATCTCTTTCTGGATTGTCCCGAGTCTCAGCTCCTGCCAGGGAGTCGTCGCGACGCAGCTGGGCGATGTCTCGGCGCAGTCTTTCTATATCTCTATTTACACCATGACGGTCACGATAGCATTCATGGTCTGTGGAGGTGAGTAACTAGCAGTCGGCACATGCGGGAGAACTAGGTGGGAAAGGGTCGCTAACTGGGGCTTCGGAACGCAGCGAACAGCGACTTGTTCGGCCGCAGGTGGTTCATCATAGCCGGCAACGTCCTCATGTTCATCGGATTCATCATCGGAGGCACGGCGAAAAACAACAACTCTTTGATCACGGCCTGCGCCTTCATCGGCTTCGGCGGCGGCAATGCCCAGCTGGCGGCCTTTGCGCTGCCCGAGTTGCTCCCCAACAAGTGGAGGCACATTGCCATTGTCATCGCAGACATGGGCGTGTACTTTGCCGTTCTCGTCGGACCTGTGGCCGGGCGGTTTGCAGCTCATAATGGCGAGTCGGTGAGTGTGGCTCTAGAAGAGCTTCAGCTTTCATACAGGCGTTGCTGACTTGCACACACACAGTGGCGCTGGCTGTTTTACGCCCCTGCCATCTGCGTCTTCTTCTCCTTCGTCGGCCTCTACATGTACTACTTCCCGCCCAAGCACCCGCGCGGTCTCCCCTTCCGACAGGCGCTCCGCGAGCTCGACTACGGCGGCGCGATCCTCTTCATCCTGTCGGCGACGCTGATCCTCACGGGCATCGTGTACACGACCACGCTCCCCTCCAGCAACCCGCGCGTGATCGGGACGCTCGTGCCGGGCTTCGCGCTGCTGGTCGTCTTCGCGCTCTACGAGACCTTCATGCCGCTCAAGCAGCCGCTGACGCCGACGCGCGTCTTCCTGCGCGGCAAGGGCCGCGAGCTGACTGCGCCCTTCGTCGCGAGCTTCGTCGTCACCATGTTCTACTACGCCATCAACGTCATCTACCCGACCATGATCGCCGTCCTCTTCACCGACGCGACCACTGACTTCCGCTACGGCGTCGTCCTGTCCCTGCCCTCCAACATCGGCCTCGTCTTCGGTGCCTTCCTGCTGACCGTCTTCGGCTCCAGGATCGGCCACTGGCGGTGGACCCTCACGGGATCCGTCACCGTCATGGTCGTCTTTGGCGCGCTGCTCGCGCTGGTCACGCCGTCGCGCAAGGGCCTGGCCATCGCCATGGTCTTCATCGAGCAGATCGGCTTCGGGTGGGCCCAGTACTTGTCCATCGCCTTTGTGCAGTTTGGCACCGATCAAGTGGAGCTTGGCATTGCCGGCGGTCTTGCGTGCGTGCCTCTAAGCTAATTACCCCTGTGTTGTGTTCACTGCAGCAGATAGAATGACTTGACTTATTTTCGCCGTTTTAGAGGTGTTGCTCGCTTCGCCGGTGGCGCCGTTTCCATCTCGGTCTTCTCGACGATCCTGGCCAACGTGCAGGGCAAGGAGGCGGCGAAGCTCATTCCCGCAGCCGCCGAGGCCGCCGGTCTCTCGCCCTCGGCGGTTCCCGCCCTCCTCGGTGCCTTGCCGTTGGGTGCCGAGGCGCTGGCCGAGGTGCCGGGCATCACGAATGAGATCATCGCCGCTGCGGCTGATGCTTTCAAGCAAAGCTACGTTGTCGGCTTGCGGACAACCGCGCTGGCGTCGCTCTCGTTTGGGATCATTGGCATTATTGGTGAGTGGTCAATTCATTAGCAACGACGTGGATCGTGTGCCCCATTGAATTCTGCTAATTTGAACCCCTTAGCCTGTTTCTGTTGCCAGGACATCGGCCCAAAGATGAACAACAAAATCGAGATTTTCTTGGAGAACGATGTCAATGCCGACAAGAACAAGTTCCACTAATTTGTAGCCCAAGAACTCGTGGGTAAATATTTGGTTAATTGGGCTTCGTAAATACCAGACAAGCAGGCGTGAGAAGCTTGCTTGCCATCTGAAACCCCCGAGGTTGAATATTGACGGGACGTTTAATCCGGATGTTTATTTTCCTTTCCTAAACTTACCTTCTGCGTAATACCGACGGAATCAAGGATACCAAACTTTCTGTACGGAGTAACTTAGCCAACATTGGGGTTAGGGCATATTTAATAATTATGCAATTCAAATGGAGTACGACGTAAGGTCCGCAAAGCTTGATCTCCTGGAAAACAGATACCAATGGCAACTGTTACAAATCACTAGATAATTAGTCCGTTACCCGGCTCTCTTTTCACCAGTGGTCGGTTTGCAACCCCTCACCAGTTGGGGCGGGTAAGGGGAACCGAAAGGGGTCACAGGAATCACAGATTATGATGTGGGGCGGACCAGGCACTTGGCACGGCTCCTGCAAGTGCGCGTACAGTCAATTAACTATAATTATCTAAAGAAGGGGGAGTGACCTTCTTCGCATAGCATGTGCTTCTCTTGTCCCATCTTATCAAGGTGTAAAGAAAGATCAGACACTGTCAACAAGTTCGCCCATCATGTTCTACCTGTTTGCCTACGTCAACTTCATGCCCAATGGCTACGGCCCCGTGAGTAGACCCTACCCAAGACACAAGACCATCTTGCTTTCCCAGGGGCGATGAGACTCACACACCGCAGTGGCAAGCCGCATATGACAAGCTCGGCGAGTACGTCTGGAAGGAGGAGCCGTCGACATTGTCGTACTACTTCGGCATCCCCTACGACTACGAGCACGACTTCGAGTCCACCCCCCTCATGTTCGCCTGGGAAGTATACCCCGACCGCAAGGTAAAATTGACCCGTCCACCCTCTCCCGTCCAGCAGCAACCCCAGCTAAACCCAACCAACCCCCCCGGGCAGGGCCTCTACGAAACCCACTTCAACTCCCCCGCCATGGCCGAGTTCCAAAAGGCCGCCCTGCCCGCCATGTCGACGGGCTTCGACCTGGCGCACTACGCCGAGCTTCCCGGCGGCATGCTCGACGCGCCGGGAGACGCGCGCCAGTGCGGCGTGATGCAGGATATCCGGATCCAGTGCAAATCGCCCGAGGCGCGCACCGTCGCCGCCGCCCGGCTCGCGGCCGTCGCGGCTGCGGTGCGCGCCAGGGCGGACCCCGCGGTGCTCACGTGGATGGCGTTTGAGTGCCTCGACGACGAGACGGGGCTGCGGGTGTTTGCGAGGTTCGAGGATAGGGCGGCTATGGAGAGGGCTAATGCTTGGGATGAGGTGGTGGGGTTCTGGACGGCGAGTAAGGAGAAGGAGATTGCGAGGATTGATCAGAGGGCTTATGTGCCTAATGGGAAGGGGTGGTTGCACCGTTGAGGGGGTTGCGTGGGGTTGGAGGGCAGTGGAGGGGGAATGAGTTGGTGAAATGGCGGAGTGTTCCCCGAAGTCTTTCCTCCAGTAGTCGCCGGTGTTAGAGATATGTAGAAACTCTGCTCATTATCGGTGAAATCTGGCCGTTTTGGCCCTCTCGGGCTCAACTGGGACTGTCCGCATGGTTGGTGTCAAAGTTGAAGTTCAAGGCTGCAGAAAGTCGCTCGACTATCACACTGGGGAAGGAATGACGGCGCAATAACCATAAACGGGTCCATAGAATGTGTCAGGGAGGGTTTGGTTGGTTGTGGAGGACGGCATAGGGGGATATAGTTACTGTGGTGTAATTAACCCAAGCAGTTCCTTTTTGTTAGGAGGTCAGTCGACAACCGGGAATAATCGTCGTCTAGTTTTCAAGTCCCGCCACCACCTTCATTTGGTTGAAGTGTCACTTTCATGTCGATGAAAAGTATATCAACCTACATAATATTTCACTCGACGTACGAACTACTGCAGGCCACTGGCCCAGTAGCGAATATCACACAGGTCCCGCTCAAGTCACATCTATATAACCCATCGCCAAGTTTTCCTACCCCCACTACCTCCCTCGCCCAGATAGAGATACAACCAGACTAAGAGCAGGCATAGCCAAGGTAGTCGGCCGTGCAACTACCGTTCTAGCCATTGCATATAGCTCTGGGTTCGCATTCTATCAGCCCAAAGAGGAATGTCTTGCGTAGCACGATATGGTCTGGAGAAGACTAAATTGAGACCATATGCCGCTTACGAGCTTCCTCTGAAAGAACCCAACGGAATAGAACAGCCAGAAAATCACATGTTGAGTAACTATTTGGGGCGGGGATAGGATTGCCAGGACGATAGCGCGGCTTTTGGAAGCCTGGCAAGAGATCATGATGGCCGTGATATTCTCGCTATTGTGTGAAATGATATCCGGATCGATCTCTACCTACCTAGAGACGATGAGCAACGAAGCGAAGCGAGCCGCGATGAAGAACACGTAGAGGAGACTTAACAGCCGAACAAAAACTCTTGTGGAATTGTCGCGGAATTTTGAGGACATCGACTACCTCCACCAAACCGCTCATGGGGTCACGTCGTACTGGGACGAAATCGTCGCAGACTGTCCGTCGCGATTCGATCCTACACTGCCTCTTCTTAAGGGTATTCTAATCCAACACTCAGTTTTGCTAGGGGGCTCGCACCATTGATCCGGGCCGATGGCATGGCGCAGTTGGTCTCTTGCTGCTCGCGGCCTCGTCAACACCCAAGACCCTCGGTTTCAGGACATTATGGATAGAATCGAGGCGAACATATGTTGGGTTTACCAACGGGAGTGGGCCCCACATAACTAATTACTTTTGTGCTGGGATCTGCCTCGATGGATACGCCCGAGATCGGGTAGTAGCAGAGCCAGAACACCCCTGTACACAGCCTCATCAGCCCCGTCAGCTTCCCCTGTGGGGGAGCTCTCCAGGGCAACCCGGGTTATCCCCGGCGGTGCCTAACTTCCCGGTAACCTCCCCGCCCAATATTGTTTAATAAGGAGAATCCTGTCAAGCCTGCCTTGCTGCAGCTTCCCCCTCACGGAATTTGCGCATACCTACATGGAGATAGATCGACAGCCAAGCAACAGACCACCATCCACCATGGACGACAAGAGGCCAACGTCTCCTGTCGAATACAAGTACACCCCCATCCAAGATGTAGGCTCAATTCGACTCTTAGTTCTGCATCCCGCTCCATTGCCTGAATTACCTCTTGAGATCTCGCTCGGCGAGTTTCCTCTTGGTACTGGTCAACAATTTGGAGCCTTATCGTACACGTGGGCAACAGAGGGTGGGGACTCTGCCTTATCAGAACGTGTGCAATGTGAGGGGGCATTTATCAGGGTCACTACGAACTGTGCAGCGGCACTTCGGAGGCTTCGCCAAACCCAGAGTGTCAATGTCTTCTGGGTTGACGCAATTTGCATCGACCAGTCGAATGACGGCGAAAAGAGTCTCCAGATACCCTTGATGCGACAGATCTACACTCAGGCGACCGTCGTGGGTTTGTGGATCGGCGAGACATCGTCGACTGTCGATGAGGAGACATCGCGTCCGCTTTCGGAGCTGGGCATGGAGTTCATCCACGACTTTGCTGTCGAGATCGCCGAGAGACACAATTCCGGTCTGAACATCCGCGAAGGGGTGCTTTACCAGGAAGTCGTCAAGGACCGAAAAGCCTATCGAGAGCGGGGGATCGAAGCTTTCACGCCTCGAGTTCGAGGTCTATGGGGCATCTTGCATCGGAACTGGTGGCAGCGCTTGTGGGTGGTGCAAGAGCTGGCTCTCTCACAGTCAGCCGTGCTCATGTGTGGAGGGAAAAGAGAGAACTTCGACAACCTAGTAACGGTCATCGACGCGATGGTGAGAATCCGCCCCGACCAACCGGTCGAGGAGCTCGAGTACAACGCCACGTTTCTGACGGCCACTTTCCACCAATTTTACATGAGAGATTACATCAAGCGACGCAGACTCCAGGGCGGAACTGGGGAGAATCGGACGCCTGGCATCAAAGCCCTCGATATTCTCAATGCCACTCGCAACACTCGCGCCGCCGACCCGCGCGACAAGATATACGGGATACTGGGCTTCTTTGGGGACCCAGAATCCGATCCCGAGAACATATTTCCTCGGCCAGACTACACCATGACGGCGGCGGAGCTCTATGCCCGTGTCGCCACAGCGATAATTACCAAGACCGGGACTCTGGACGTCCTGGGCTCATGTAACGGCTTTGTCCGGTCGACGGTTCCGGACCTGCCGTCCTGGGCAGCGGCATGGAATGACACTCCACTGAAATATTTCTCGGAAGATGGCTTCAACGCTTCACGCAACTCGTCTGTCGTGTATCAGGAGCAACCCGAGGGGAGTCGGCTTCTAAGAATAAAGGGGAAGAGAGTTGACTCCATAGCCCATGCAAGTGCGCCCAAGGATGGTGTGACCACTTACACCAACCAGGAGTCTGTTCGGATATGGCGTGACTGGTCCGACTTGGCCTTTTCGTTACATTCCTACCCGACCGGAGAAGACATGGCACATGTCCTGATGCATACGCTGTGCTGGGGGGCCAATGTAAATTTGAAACGCCTAGTGCCTGGAGAGTTGCAGGAGAACTTTGACGCCTGGATCAACATCCTGAGAGGTGCAGACTCCTTGGAGGTTGTTGCAAAGCACATCTTTGTGGAGGACGCAGCCTCTACATACTCGTATCGCGCTTCGTTTCTGACGTGGGGGAGGATCTTGTGCATGACTGCGAACTCGTATCTAGCCCTGGTACCGGTGTCTGTCTCTGCCGGTGACCAGATCGTCATATTCAGCGGCGGGAAGGTGCCGTTTGTGTTGAGTCCTGATGGAGACAAGTTCAAGTTGGTGGGACCTTGTTATGTCCACGGTATCATGGATGGTGAGGCTTTTCCAATAGAAGAAGAGGGATCCGACTCATTGGAATGGTTTACTCTCTGTTAGAAAGCGGCAACTATTATCTGCGCGCGTACCAAAAACTTGATGATCCCAAATGAAATCGAGCTCAACTACTTAAAAGAGTCAAAATCAAAATCCCCGCGCCGATCTCAACAACCACCATGAGAAGAAATATAATTGCTACAAGTCCAGAGCCGAAATTCGTGTTATCTCCCTCGGAACATGAATGCCAGGCCCATTGCCTATGTTTCTGCAGCAATGCTGCTCCCCTCTTCGTTATCACGAACAACCTCTCCTGTAGCAAGAAGCCGCCAACCCTTGGGGGGTGGCGTGTCTCGCGTCGGCGGGCGCTGCCACTTCAGGAAGTCCTTGCCCAAACGCATAAGCGTAACGCGAAATGCAGCCGGCCTACGAATGGGCCGGCTGTCCAGGTCCAGGGCTAGAGAGTCAGGCAGCGGCGGCCAGTCTAGAGGCTCTGGTGTTTTCGTAAAATGATTGATCTCCTTGTCAATCTTCTTCCTCTTGCTGACCCATTCTGTGAGGATGTGGCGATATTCAGCCACAGGGCTGTCAAGCTGGACATCCGGGTGCTTTTCTCATTCAGGCTTCTTAAGCACCCTTGACATCTTCAATTCGTGGGGGTAAAACTCTCTGCGGAATTCAAATTCGCGCGTGATGATCTCGTAGAGAGTAAAGACAACAAACTTGACGTCGTTGCAGTCCTCCTCATACGCAAACTCGCAGCGGTTGGCCCGGTCTCCCTCCCAGCCCAATTTAGCAGCACAATTGAAATCAAAGATCTGAATACTGTCCGTCTCAGCATCAATGAGAAGGTTCCACGGGCATATATCGCCGTGAACAATACCCAGGCGGAGGTTGAGGTAATCAACAGCCTATTAAATAGTACCCAATGGTAAGTATGCAAGGCGCGGGAAATGGAAAGTAAAGCACTAACGTTAATGAGTTGCTTCAAGTACTTGAGCTTAAAGATGCGATCCTTATTCTCTGAAAATGTGCCGCCAGGCACATAGCGAGTGGTAAAACCAACCACCTTGTCATTGCCCTCAACTGCGTCAACGACAAGAGCATCGAAAGGGACAATGTTGGGGTGCCTTGGTATGCGTAGAACGCAATTTGCTTCATGCCAGAAAATGGCAACGTTGGTCTTGATGATGTAGTACTTGAAGACAACCAGCCTGGTCTTGCCTCGGCAAGGCTGGTAGGTTGTCAAGTCGACCTGAAGCCCAAGCCGGTCAACTTCAGTGAGATCGTGGCGGCGAACTGTGGCTAAATTTGGGGGAAAATCGGTACGTGAAGGATAAAATGGGATGCTTGAGGCGTCATCCAAGGCATCTGAAGAGCTGGACAAGACTGCGCCGTCATCGGAAATACTGAGCAGGACAGTATCGGTGGGAAGACTGTCGATGCATTTCTGGAGAGCCTGGAAAAACAAAATCCTCATCACACTCCTCTTTAAGCGCATGCACGCTGATAGTGCGCCGCTGATCCCAGTCATGTACAAGCCACACAGAGCCATAGTCAAAGTGTGGATCGTTTTGGGTAGAGGTGAAGCGCCGATCGGCACGACAGTGCTTGTAGTAATGTGAGCCCATATTCGGTAGCCGGGTCGATGGAGAGAGACAAAGAAGATTAACCAATGCCCCCTTGCAGGATGTGATGGAAGAAGACGTTGGGCGCTTAGGTAGCCCAAGCCTGTGAAACGGAAACGGGTGGCCATTGCTCCGGGCGGCAGTTTACAGCTGCTCTTATCGCGTAGGTAATCGACGTTATCCCAGCATATGTCGGCCCTACGATCGAGAGAACCCTCGACATCCTCCCCGGAGACCTCCTGCGTTTTGTCGACAAATTTGAAATTGCGTATGGGGAAGGAAAGTAAAGGTATAAGATTTTGTTAGACCGTTGCAGATACAGGTGTAATTGGCGTTGAATGGGCGACAGTATACCAAAAATTGCAAGCTCTAGGGGAACTTGCAAGGAAGCCGTAAGTACCACCAGACACTTCGAACAATGGATGGACAATGGAGTTCGTTATACCGAGCAAGGCGAGCAACCAGGTGATGAAGATCAAGCAAATCTTTAGCAGCGTTCTAGGTGATAAAGATATCAATATAATTAAGGGAGTAGAGGCAAATGCTTGTTGCAAAGTTTGACAATATGCATACCGTCTGGTGTCAGGGTTATAGGCCTACTAGGATAGAGTAAGGGGTGAAAAGCAGGGTCAATGCTACGTAACTAGTAATCGCATGCAAGGTAAGGTGTAGGTGAGTAGTGATTGGAAACAAAGGTAGAGTAGCACTAGCATTCCCCTTTGGTTTTCTAACATGTGTCTCTCCAACCTGCAGTTCCGGAAGCAAAACTTCCCGATCCTATGTCCTATCTAAACCTTTTACCTAGTTACAAAAAATGTGAGGATGTATCAAGGGAGAAAAGGCCCAGACTTCTGGAAAAAGTTGGCAGGAAAGCTGAATTTCGAATCAAGCCCCTCCAGAGCACGCCTGGCCTCATCAACCACGTCATGCCCAAAGTTGTATTCGAGGAATTCATGGGGTGTTTCTACGGCACAAAAGGGTCAGCACCGGCACCTACTCGGTCCCCATTATGGGCCATGCAAAGCCGGTCTCCTCTAGGAATCTCAGCTCCAATGGGGGGGGGGGGGGGGGGTACAACTTACTGGGCACGGCCTCCTCGGAGCCCATGTACTTGGCCGCCTCCTTGTGGATCAGCTGCACCTGGTCCTGGCCGGCGTTGCTCAGCGTCTGGATGGCCGACGCGCGGTTGATGCGGATCCGCTCGTACGCGGCCAGGCGCGCGGCGACCGTCTCCCGCGTCGCGCCGCACATGGCGATGCCCAGCGCGATGCCGTCCTCGAGGCCCTGCGCGCCGCCTTGGCCTTGGTCTAAAGGGATGGGTCAGCGAGTTATTGGATTTGCTTCATGGAGTCTGGGCGCGGCAAAATGGGTGGTAAGTGGGCGGGCTTTACTTACGTGGCAACATTGGATGCGCTGCGTCACCAGCAAGTACCATCTTCCCCTTCGTCCATGTTGGGATGGGGGCTCGGAAGAGGAGCGGCCAGTATTTGACGTCCGTTGCTTTGCTGCACCGCCGTTAGTTGGAGTCTCGATTTGAGCATGAGGCTTGCATGCCACATACTTGATCACTTTGAGCAGGCCTGGGTGGAAGGCCTTGAACACCTCCAGCATCTTGGACTTGTTCGCCGAGGCGTGCCAGTCTGGAAAGACATCGAGTCAGCCATCGAGTCAATGGGACTGGACACATGCATTTAGCGTCCCTGTGTCACATTGATCAGCCCACCTTCTTTCTCAGAGGCACCCATGTCCGCGTTGTGAAACATGGCGACAAAGTTGAGGATCTCATTGCTTCATGGGTCGTCGGGGTCAGCGGGACAGACACTGACTAGGTAGTCGAGGTTGGGGCGTACATACTTCCGACACGGGTAGCAGACAAGCCTCCTCCAATTCGCCGTGTCGACGAAGATGCGCATCTTCCCGTGGCGGTCCTCGCTGAAGAAGGCCGTGTCGGGGTCGCTCTCCAGCGCCGACGCCGGAATGAGGAAGCGGTAGCAGCAGTTGTAGAACTCCTGCGGCTGGGCCGGGTTGGGCTTCCCGAGGACGGCCTCGACAGCGATCGAGTTCACGCCGTCTGCGGCGATTACCACATCCGGCGTGATAACCTCGCCACTGGCGAGAGTGATCGAGGGGGTTTCCGGGTCCTGGAGAGAGATGAAGGTTATATGAGTACAATTCTGAGCGCCCCGGGAACTGGGTTCGTTACCCGGGCCCACTTACATAGCCCACGACCTCCGACTTCAGGTGGATGACCACCGGCGTCCCCGGCGCGTCCCCCTCCTCCGTCGTTGCTAGCGTCTTCAGCGCCTGGTGCAGGTCAACCCTGTGGGCGAAGTAGAAGGGCGCGCGGTACTTGTGGGCCACCCAGTCGCCCATGGGCACGAGCTGGAGCTCCTTGAGGCCAAATGGCTCGTGCAGAGCGACGGCGGTGACGGGGACAAACTGCGCAGCCACCGGGTCCAGGCCCCACCCCAGCAGCGGGCGTGAGGCGTTGGGTGGCACGTTGATGGCGGCGCCGACCTCGTTGTTCAGCGCCGATCGCTCGTAGATGGTGACGGTGTGGCCGGCCCTGCGGAGGGACACACCCGCTGAGAGGCCGGCTATGCCGCCGCCGACGATCGCTATGTTCAGGGCCATTGCGGGTTAATTTTCGGGTGGTTAACCTTGGGCAGGCGAAACAATATGCTGGTAAGTCTCAGAGAAGCATTTTTGTATTCATTCACGGATACAGCACCTGCAGCACATATTACAAGGTGGCTCAGGGGCAATAAAAACACGGGCGAGGGCACCGTTGGAAGACTCACTCACGTCAGCAAGGCCACATGCCAGGGGGGTGAGGGGTTGCAGTTCATGGCATGGCATGGATATACAACATCAATACAAGTCGGAGTTACGGACTTATTCTGGATCATACGTTCGTTTGGACAGCCCCACATCAGCCGCCCCCTTGCTTTGGCCGTTTTTGTTTCTTTCCTTTCCTTCCTTTTTCTCGCCTTTTAAACTTTTCCTTTCCTTGGTTCTTGATTTCTTGGTTGGGATTGTTTCTCTTTTCTTTTTTTTGCCCTCTCGTTCGATTTCTTGGTTTTCCCCTCTCTCAGCTTGTCTCAGCTTGAGTGATCCACTTATGCGACTTGACCCGTAGACGTCGTTGGGCGGCACATGCATGCAAACTAATGTAGTAAATAATTGGTGCAGGGTTTCCAGGATCAAGCTGCATCCATGTGCTGCACCCCTTGCCTCGCAACCAAGGCTTATGGTAGCACCCCGGCGCAAGCCACACAGGTCGGCTCTCCCAACCCGCACCAATATTACCACGCTGCGAACAACCCCCATCCCAGTCGTCCATCCCGTGTGTAGTGCCCTTCTTGGCCCGGGGAAGTGGGTTGCATGTTCCGCCACAGTCTCGATCTACATTCATTGCAGTGGCATGGTGGAAGCCGGAAAGTGGGCGGACTCCCGGAACATTTCTAGTCGACATGGCCAGTGTCGGTGCTTCCTTCAAAACAGCCATTGTCATCTCTTCCTCTCCACTCCAACTTGCTGCTCCTTTGGACGCTTATCGGTGGTATTTCGGTGCTTAAAAGCGAGTAATTTGAAGCGCTGTATTTTGATCGGTTTGCCTCTGCTCTTGCCAGCGGTCATCACCCCTTAACCCACCACATTTGGTTCTTCTCTGGCTGTTTCCGGCACTCCTTCAACAGATCCCGTCCCGTCCCATCCGCCCATCCCTCGCCCTCGGGTCGCGACAGGAAACAACGGCCATGGCTGCAGCAGACCCTGAGACCTCGGCCAATGAGGCCCCACCTTCTACCTACAGCGGCGAGAAGAGCACCGCCATCCTTTCAACCAGCAGAGGCGAGGAGAATGAGCCTGTGCCTCGCCTTCACTTGAAGACGTATCTAGCCGTCTTTACTGTCTGTCTGATCTACTATGCCCAACTGGTCAACCTCGTTGGCGCCGGAGCGGTATGTGACTGGAGTTCCCTGTAATCATGCATCCACGACACGAGGAGAACTTGCTATCTGACTCGATGCTTGCAGCAAACCCAAACCATCGCCTCTGCGCTTGGAGGATCCGATAAGTCGGTATGGATCAGCTCCCCGATGGTCATCATGACTGTCGTGCTCGGCCCCATCATATCCCAGGCCGCCGACTACTGGGGCCGGCGCATCTTTCTGGTAGGGACGACAGCCCTGGGGGCCGTCGGCTCCATCATCGTGGCGAGGGCCGACTCCATGGGCATGGCCATCGCCGGTTTTGCCATCACGGGCGTCTCGTACGGAGCGCAGCCGCTCCTCCACGCCGTCTCATCCGAGGTGCTGCCTCGACGGTACCGGTCGTGGGGCCAGGCTGCCGACCTCGTCTCGAGCGGGCTTGCCGGCGTCACGGCCCTGCTCGTCGGGGGCGCGATGAACCGAGGCGGGAACCCCAGGTCGGAGAGCTTCCGCAACTTTTGGTATATGACCACGGGCATCTTCACGCTCGCGACCATCCTCACCGTGTTCTGTTATAACCCGCCGGCGAGGGAGGAGCAGAAGTCGTTCGCGTTTATGGAAAAGCTGAGGAAGCTGGACTGGATCGGATACGCCCTCCTCACGGCGGGCCTGGTCCTGTTCTGCATCGGGCTTTCGTGGGCCGATAACCCGTACCCGTGGTCTAACCCGCACACGTCGGCCACCTTCGCGGTGGGGATGGCGCTGGTGGTGTGCCTGGCCGTCTACGAGGGCGTCATCAAGAAGGACGGCATGTTCCACCATGGGCTCTTCCGCAACAGGAACTTCCCCATCGCGCTGGCCTGCATCTTCTGCGAGGGCGTCGCCTTCTTCGCCGCCAACCAGTACTTCGCCTTCCAGGTCGGCGTGCTCTACGAGACGGACAACCTCGTCGTCGGCATCCGGTACAGCATCCCGCTGATCGTGTCCATCTTCTCCGCCCTGACCGCCGGCTTGTACTGCGCCGTCACGAGGCGCGTCCGGTGGTTGACGGTCCTCGCCTTTGCGATCTTCGCCGCCTTCTTCGCCGCCATGGCCACTACGGGGCCCGACGACTCGACCAAGGTTTGGGGATTCCCTATCCTGCTGGGTACGGGGCTCGGCATGTCGCTCTGCGCCCTCATCACGGTGGCCCAGCTATCCACACCGCCTGAGTTGATTGCCATTGCGAGCGGCCTTATCATCAGCATCCGGTCGTTTGGCGGTGCCATTGGCCTTGCAATTTGTGAGTGAACCAACACTGTCGCAGATGATGAATTATTGATTATTTTTTGACTAATTGCGCGGATTCCAGACAATGCCTTGTTTGTCGCCAAGATGAACCACCTCGGCGACAACATCGCCGCCGCCGTCCTTCCCATGGGTCTGAATCCCGAGAACATTGGCCCCTTCATCGGTGCCCTGACGTCGCGCGACGACGCTGCCTTGTTCCAAATCCCCGGCGTGTCGCCCCCGATGGTAGAAGCGGCAGCCAATGCGTTGCTCAAAACCTACTCGACTGCCTTCAGGAGCGTGTGGATCGCGGCGAGCTGCTTTGTCGCCGTTGCCGCAATTTGTAAGTTTTCTCCCCGAGAATTATATGAGCCCAGCCCAGCATGCAGGTTTGCTGATCTTCCAACCACAGTGGCTGTTTTCCTCAAGGACCCGAGACATGAATTCAACATGCACATCGACTTCCCCGTGGAAGAGAAGGAGAAACTCTATTCCAAGGAGTAGGGGTTGCCAGGGGTTCGGGAACGCGTGGGCGAAAACGTGGTCTGATTCTGCCCCTTTTCCGTGCAGGCTGCAGGCTGCAGGCGCCATCCAGTTGTGCCTAAGCCACTCATCCGAAGATGTACATGCGTAGACAAACAAGATAGATAGCTACTTATTAGGTGGGCAGCCAGGTAGCTGCAGGGCGCTCATGCTGGTAACCTATTCTTGTCTTCGGAATCCAGCCGCCTCGCTTCTCTAGATTGTTTACTTTCCAACAGGCACTGTAAGCTCGGTAGTGGTACGACATGGATCCCCCCTATCGCCTGCTGTCTCACAATTTCCACGTTACTCGCACGATTTTTCAAAGACAGCGCCGCAGCCGGCAGGGAAACCCATGTGGGCGAGGCGCATGCGCGAAGCCATGATTTGTAACAACATGTAAGCCAAAAAAAAGCAACCCGGTTTGGTCCAAACGTGGAACAGAAGAAACGTTTTTCCCAAGCTATTGGATTTTGGGTTGGGGGCTGAGACTCAGTCACATGCCGCCACATGCATGCCCGTCTCAGTGGAAAGAAAAAGAGGGAAAAGAAGAAAAGGTCCGATCCCCTGCCTTCCAAGCTCCCATGGAATGATCCACCAGCCCGTGTTAACTCACCTTACCGGGGGCTGCCTGCTAGTGGCGTTCGACTACTATGCAGTAGACCGTCTATAGCTTAGCGGAGCACTCTTAGGTCGTCCGTCCACGGCACAAGCCGCCTTGCCCGAGGTGGGATTGAAAACCATGACCCAATCAGACCTCGCAGTCAACCAAATCTATGATGTGGGCTCACAGTGAGCGATCCACGGCGCATGGATTTGCTGATCCCTTGCGTGCAGTTAATAATGTTACATACCCTGAACCAAGCATCTCGAGTCCAATCGGGACGTTGTTCCGCGCCATTGTTTGGAGTTTCCGAATTTACTTCCAACGGGATTATCGCATGTCCCTCTTCAGCCTGTTTGATTCGAAGATTACAATAGTAAGGATGCTTTCGCCTACGGAAACCAACCCACCCGCCCCTTTTTTTTATTTTCATCTTTCTTCTCATATTGCTCAATCGCTACGTACTCATGTAGATTGAGTTGCAGTCAGCTAACCCTAAAATAACTAGGTCCAACCTGGCAGGGCAGAAGAAATAACCTGGGGCAATGATACGACCTTGAACGAGCCCCCCCTCTTGGCAAGCGCCAAGTGCGCCGATAAAACTTGGAAGCAAGACACTATCTCAGTTCTTTCTTTTTTCTTCTTCTTTTTTTTTTCAGGCCAACGTAACAACCAGGGAGGCAGGTAGCTGCAAGTCATGAACACCCCGCTCTGTATAGAAATATGCGTCGAATATACACTCGGTAGTTCGGTATATACATTTGGGGGTCAGTGCATCCCGCCCCAGGCACCCAAAAAAAATAGCGCAGTTTGAGCAAGCTCGCAAGCCGATTAGCTGAACCATGAGATGCATGCGATGCGAATCACACAACGGCTTGGTGTGGCATGATGGATCCGCCCCCCTGCTTCCCAACTGGCGGCCATCTTTCCAACGCTCGCCTGGGCCCTGAGGGCTAAGACATTGATCGTCGCCGTCGCTTGGACTTGCAGCTTCGGTACTTTGATCACTGGGCACAACTGGGATGAGAGTGGCGGGAACATCGCCATCATCGCTATATGATGCTGAAACGGCCGTCCTCTTGAGCCTTGGCGACTGGTCTGGACGTGGGGAAACTCGAGCTTTCTCCGCCTCGAGCTTCTTTCTTCGGACCCATCTTATCATATCATAACCCGCTTTTATTGCTTCCTCCTCCTGCTCTTCTTCTTCTTCTACCTCGTCGATCCTCCGCGTACAACGCATTTTGCCAGGAAGGATGCAGATCGCCGCGCCTGCTGTCCCCGCAGTGGTGACGCTGCTCGTCTTCACGACTCTGGCCCTCTTTGTCGTGGCGCTGCGCGTGTACACGAGGGTGTTTGTGGTCAAAAATGTCGGAGCTGATGACTACCTGATGGTTGGATCCATGGTGAGTTTGCCCAACTCTAGTTCGTTCATGACCTGCCTCTGGATCACCGGCATACCGCCAGGGCAGATCAGGATGTACAGTCGCTGACTCGGCCGTGCCAGCTGGGATCCATCGGCTTTCTCGTCGTCATCTTCATTCGTGAGCCTCCCTGGAACTCTAATCGCACCGTCCACCCTAGCTAATGAGGCTGCAGAAATCAAATTCGGCCTTGGCCGGGCGGTCACCTTCGAGGAGCTGCCAAAGTTCCTCATGGTAAGCCACCTCCCCCAATGTCCCGTCCCACAACCCAGCGACCGGGGCTTTCTGTTCCGCGAGGTGGCTTGTACTGATGCCGTATTCGTAGGCGCTCTGGGGTACCATCCCCCTGTACAACCTCGCCTTGATCCTCTGCAAGATCTCCATCGCCATCCAGTACTACCGCGTCTTCCGCACCCCGGCGGTGCAGAGGATGCTCAAGGGAATATTCGCCTTCCTGATCGTGTACGGCCTCTGGACCATCATCGGCAACATCCTCACCTGTGTCCCCGTGCAGAAGTACTGGGACTTCACCGTCACAGATGGCGTATGCCTCGACAGGAATGCCATCACGTTCGTCAACGCCGGCATGAACATTGTCACCGACCTCACCCTGCTGGCCATCCCGATCCTGCTCCTCCGGAGGCTGCAGATCACGAGGAGGCAGAAGTACATACTCATGGGCGTGTTTGCATGCGGCGGGCTCGCGTGCGCAATGAGCATCATCCGGCTGAGGTCGCTGTATCAGATCGGCCACGCGCCGCTGGAACGACAGTCCAGTACGTGACCCTCCCTCCGCAACCCCCTTCTTTTTTACTATATTCCACTATCTTCTTCCACCTCCCATCATCACGTCCTCCCCAATCCCCACAACCAACCCGACATCACAAACACGCTGGCTAACATCTCATCCCCTCAGTCGACGGAGTCAACATAGCAATCTGGTCCTGCATCGAAATCAACGTCGGCATAATCTGCGCCTCTGTGCCCGCCATCAAAGCGCTCGTCGTCCAGGTCTTCCCCAAGCTCCTGCTCTCCTACATCTACCCCTCGCGCTCCAAGAACAACCCCTACGCCGGCTCCCGCTACGCCCACCACCACCACCAGCGGCAGGGGCAGCAGCAGCTCAGCGACGGCGGCGAGACCGGCGGTGGCTGCGGCGGCGGCCCGTCGTCGTCGTCAAGCGCGTCCAAGGAGGAAGGGAAGGCGCGCATCATGGTCCGGCAGAGCTTCGAGATGAACGCCGTGACGAGGCGGGACGCCGGCGTCGTCGGAGACAGCACCGAGGCGGGGAGCCGGGACGGGAGCGAGAATAACCTCGTCTTGACGGGGTGGAAGACTGACTGCTACGCCGTGCCGGGGAAGAATCGGAGTGGGAATTAGGGAATGAGGGTCGGTTGTCGAAAACGAAAAAAAAAGGGGGGGCGTCAACGGGTATTGTTTAAATCGGTAGAGAAAAGGCCGTTGGTTCTTGGTATGGCGAATTGAGGCGTTGCCTGGATGGGGGAGCGTCTGTTTGTCACTAGCAATTTGGCCTTGACCTGTCTGCCAATATATGTCTTCATGGAGGTTGGTTACATCCTGTTTCGTGGGGTATCGTGACTATCCTACTCAAGAGCGCTGTCAAGTTCATTCTCACCTTACATTTAACATTGTCCGGGATATGCATTGATATTTGGAAAAAGTAAGAAGGTACTGAAAGAGAGTTGACGGTAGAGTCCTCGATATCAGAACATTGACTCAAGTCGTGGTTGGTATGGTTGCCTAAGCCCACTTCTTATGCACAAAGTATTTCTCATCCCGCAGCCCCGCGCTCCAGCCTCTCTTTTTTCTTCCCAGAACTATCCGTCCTTCTGGCGTATCGCGCCTCACTAGTACACCATGCACCAAACTCTATACGTCTTAGTCTACCCCTCGCGTCTTTTCGCCGCACACTGGTCATTTTGGATACCATACCTCGATGGCAGCGGCCAAGAGTCAGATACCGGCGACCGCATCCATGTGACAGGAGACCGCCTCAACGGTTTCCAGTACGAATATGTGCGGGACTACAATGTCTGCGAGGACGAGAGGAAGCCGAATTCCTTCGCCATCGGATTGCTTTCGACCGCATCAATCAGCGGAGGAACCGAGGATGACCACCGCACCTCAGGCGTGGCGGCTGAGGAAACTGATGCCTTCAATGCATTCGACAGGGCTTGCAGGGAGGTGCAGGCGCCGGGCCCGAGTCTCAACAAGGTTATGAAGACGGATGGCGGTAAGGCGACTGGCCCGCCCTCAAGGAAGACCGAGCTTAGAGACTGCCAGTGGTGGGTTAAGCAGGCTGTTGCCCGTTTGGTTGAGGCAGATATGCTATTGCCCCTAGATGAAGGACAAGGGGCAGGGACTCCTAGTGAAAAAGTGGAGGGATTGCCGCGGCACTGATGCCACCAGGGCGGACATGCAATACCAGTAATTGCAGAGGAATAGAAGCAGTACTGCTCTCTGAATCTTGCCCTCCTGCAGCTGCAGATGTCAAATATCATAAGCTGTGGTAAATCGAGCCTTAATAGTGAGGGGCTGGGTGCCTTACAGATGTGGTTTAGGTAGGCTGGCAGTGCTATACAATTAGAAAGCACCGGGCAAAATAATCGTTCTGGTTTCAATGCCTCATTCCCCAAAGCGGCGCACACCACCAGCTGCAACTGCAGCGTCATATGATATGGCGAGAGCTTCACACTATGACGTTGCCTTTTGCTGGACCCATATAACAGAAGACGATTGCGATCTCATCATCCGAACCAACAATGGTTGGCTTTTCTACTGCCATTTCGACCCGCGTCCAGTCGCCCGACGTGAAAGAGCAGTACTTCAAGTGCCTCAACATGCTTCGATCAGGCGAAGAAGAGATGGGTGATTTCTATGTGGAAGACGCTTGCGACTGGCTGATAAAACCGTTCGGGTCCCTGATTGCTCAACTGGCGCCGGCTACAACTCCACTATCAGTGTTGACGACGAGTGGACGACCGACTCTGTCTCAATACCTCTTTCCTCAACAGGTGTCCTTTATTGTCAACGCCACGGACAACCAGCTACAGCCAATCCGGGTCGACAACCAAGAGTACGTCTGGCGGGCTTCGACGCTCAGGCTAGACGACGACTTCGCCAAGGATCTTGATCAGTGGACACAGTTCTACCATCCATCCCGCATTGAAGTCCATTACGGTTGTCCCCAGGATGTCCTTATCAAACCCCCGACACGAGTCATCGTCACTGGATCCGACGACCGTTCGGTCATCTGTTTCTTCAAACCGTTCAGGGCTTCATCCCGCAACCCACGCGCGGATATCGAACTCATGACCCACCGGAAGATCGCCACGGCACAGATACCCCCTCCACCACATATATGGATCTGCGGCATCTACGGCCTTGTTCGGGACGAGAACGGGTTATTGGGCATGTTGTTCACTTGGATCGACGTGAGAGCCGTGTTGTCAAAGGGGCTGGCTGAAAGTAGTCCGGCTTATTTACGGCGACGGTGGGCATCTCAGATTGATGGGTCGATAAAAACGCTTCACCAAGAAGGTATCATCTGGGGTGATGCCAAAGCCGAGAATGTCCTGATCGATAAGAACGATGATGCTTGGGTTATTGACTTTGGGGGCAGTTATACACCTGGGTGGGTTGATCTGGAGAAGGCTGGAAGCTTGGAGGGCGACATGCAGGGCTTGGGGAAGATCATGGATATGCTTTGTTGATGTCAGCAGAGGAGATCCAGGACGGTTTACTGCTTGTGGCTTAGCGTGGCATTGCCTTCGCATGGTGCAAACATCGGTGCCTGATAATAATGCCTAAGCGAGCTTTCCCAAGCGAGAGCCTTATCCAGCTTGAAAGGCGAATTTCACCCAAGCCAAGGCTCTTGCAGTCGTGATTGTCGTACTTTGTAACCTCTCGCTGAGTTATTTGAAACCCCTGGGCGAGAATCCATTCTTAGCAAGATGGCCGCATCTCCATCATCATCGACCACCTCGGAGCCTTTCCAGTACACCGCGTTAGCAGGTTCGAGAGCCATCCGCCTGCTAGAGATCTTGGACGATCAGCCGAGCTCACCCATGAGATTTTCGCTTCATACCTACAACCTAGATGAAGTCCCAAAGTTCGAGGCTCTTTCGTACACCTGGGACAACCCTCTTCATGAAAATAGTGCTGCATTCCGCGAAACTCTGGCCATTACCTGCAATGGCAAGACCCTCGATGTCAAGCGAAATCTTCACGAAGCATTAATCCAACTGCATCAGCCATACATTGTGGACTATGTGGATTCCAGATGGGAGCGAACTGCACTCCATTGGGCCGCTGAGAGAGGCCGCCACGAAGAGCTGAAGGTCCAGCTTCAAAAGGGAGCCAGTGTTACCGCCGGAGACCGCCGGGGATATACGCCACTACATTGTGCGGCGTACAATGGACATGACGAAATCATCAAGACACTCCTCGAGGCTGGAGCAAACCCTATGCAAAGGGACTACCAGGGATTGCTAGCACTAGACCGTACTAGGGAGTTGAAACAAACGAGTGCGATGGAGATACTATCGAAAGTCACCACCCTAGTTACTGGAAGTCGAGATATCACGACATCGCCGTCGGAGCTACACAAAGCGTCCAAGAAAGGTGATCTGCAATCTGTCCGCAACCTCATCCGCGTGGGCCACGAGATCGATCTGCGGGACGAATCCGGCAGGACGGCACTCCATCACGCTGCGCTGCACGGCCATCTGAACATTGTTCGGGAATTGGTTGGCGCTGGAGCTAATCCTCGAGCCCTTGATCCGGAATACGCTACACCGTACCACCTAGCAAGGGATGGGAACAGGATCGAAGTTGTCAAGTGGCTGTGGTGGCATGGAGAATCAGAAGTCGCCGCATCCAGACCCAGCCTCCACGTACACAAAGCTTCATCCCGTTCGCGACCGCGATACGTCTGGATCGATGCTATATGCATCGACCAGAGCAACATCAGTGAGCGTTCCTCTCAGGTAGCTCTCATGTCCGACATCTACCAATCTGCCGAGTCAGTACGGGTGTGGTTCGGCAGGAAGGACGAGACCTCCGACTTGGGAATACGGAGTCTACGGCGGCTCGCAACTACCATGGGTCAAGCTGAAGGACTCGAGTCACATTTTGAGCCATTCACGCTTGCTGACGAGACGGCAATGCTTGATTTCCTCTGCAGGAGGTGGTTCCAGAGGTGCTGGATCATCCAAGAATTGCTGCTCGCTAGGCAGATCGTCTGCCACTGCGGGGATGAGCAAATTGTTTGGGAAGACATTTTTGAGGCCTTGCTAGCCTTCAACGACTGGGGCTACGGCGGCGATCTCCATCGTCAGAATGCGACGTCAGAAAAGCAGCTCTTCGCGTTGCGGGTAATGCGGCGGCTCCAGGTCCTGAGAGAATGGTACACTTCCCACCGGGACAAGCAGAACTATTGGGACCTGAACACACTGGTGCCGACAACCAAGGAATTCCAGTGCGCCGTACAACATGACAAGATATTTTCCCTCCTTGGAGTTGCGCGGGAGACCGAGGCGCGTCGAAGGTTTCTTCCAACACCGGACTACACCATGCCAGTGAAGGATGCCTACTGCGCGGCGACCATGCTCATGATCGAAGAGTCGGAATCACTCACCATTCTCGAGTTCGGCCAAGGCGAAAGGATGAAGGATAGAAGCGTACCATCGTGGGTGCCTTTCGAAGCGGTCGACCCGCCGTTGGACCGTCTTAACGCCGGGTCACATACATACTGGTCTACAGGCCAACCCCCATTGCAACGACGAACAAGGCCTTCAACCCACCAATATGTTCTCCGACTTGAGGCGGCAAAAGTCGCAGACGTCTCTGCCGTAGAGTCAAACACGCTGTCCAAGAGATGGACATACGATCCACAATGGACCCGCATGGCGCTTCTTCCCGACTCGGTCTATCCGCCATCAGAAACCCGGGCCGAAGCCTTGCGGCAAACCATCCTGGGAGGAGCGAGCGGGTTCCACCAGCTACAGTCCAGGCTGGAATACTACCGTCGCGACGGGGGTCTTCTCTTCAAGGACTGGGTCCGCATCTCCTTCTTGACGCTGGCCCAGCGCGGCGGTTGGCACTGGGAGGACCTCGACAAAGACCTGGATGAGCTGGGTCGCCTGGCTGAGACGGACCCTGATGGGAGGTTCCCCACGGCAAGTGAGGTGAAGTCCTGTAGCGGTATCGTCGATTGGCGCACCCTTCGAGGAGATCGGTGGGCTCCAAATGACCTTGAATCTCGATGGCTTTCCGACATCACCATGACGGGTCGGAATATATTTACAACTTCCCAGGGCCACATCGGCAAGGGCCCTTTATCGACTCAGGTTGGGGATACCGTTTGGTTGATTCCGGGGAGCAATGTTCTTTTTCTTCTTCGCATGGTTGGAACTGGGCGTTATGTAATTGTTGGGGATTCGTACGTTCACGGCATTATGGGGGGAGAGCTCTTGGAGAATGAGGTGCTCAATTTCGAAGAGATTGAAATAGAGTAGCTGCAGTGTATCGATGCCCTTCAGCCACTTAGTAAGCGATATAACCGACAAGGGGTTGTTGAGTCAAGGTGTCCGGGCGGACAGGATCACTAGGTAAGTGGTAGGGAAATCGTCGCAAGGGACACTTCAATTCAACAGAGTACTTAAAGCCTGACCCTCCTAACTTGAAGGCTCAGAGGTCGGTCGGGTCTCCGCAATGCCCGCAGCCGATAGGGTTTCCCTCGGAAATCAAACATGTTGTCGCTATATACACTTCGCACTAACCGCTCAAGACTCTCAATACGTTGCATTAAAGTCATACCCAACAAGCAAGAAATACAAGCGATACTATTATTATTCCAACCATTTAACGCCCGTTGCTCGACAGCTTCGAAGCCAGCCTTCCAGAACCGCCATCTCTCTACAGAGCGAGGCGGCATCTTGGAGCCCTCGAGTTCATTCCCAAACCCCCAATTGCTGCCCTCGCCTGGAGGCTCTTCGAGATGGTCGTATATTATCAGCTTGAATAGCGTCTGGCCATGCCAGAGTATCCATTGCGCCGCCGCCATGACCTTGCAATCTCTCTCCCAGGCCTCTTCCGGTTTCTTCGTCTCAAACGCGTCGCATAGCGTCTTGAGGGACTGCCCTGGCGAGGTGCCCCAGACACCGGTTGCAAACAGGTTTGCCTTGAAGGCGTTGATATTCACCCACGCGTTGTGGTTCTCTTCGTCCGGTCCTAAACGCAGGGTATTAGACCAAAGGCGGAAATGTGAAAGTGCGGCTAGTTGTGACGTATGGGAGTGTAAAGACGTACCGGATGCCCAGTCTACAATAGATTCCCATAACAGCTGGAAAGCACCCTGGGCCTCCTCTTGTGGCTGTAAACAAAGTCAGCATAGATAAAGAGCCGCTGGGTCGGGGGAGATATACTGACCGGCCGCTCGTACTTATACATGAACTTGGGAGACCGTGAGAGATAGTGTAGAAGCTGTACAAGCTTGAGCTGGGAGGGGTGATGATAAGGAATCTGCTCGGCAAGCTCCACGCATATCTCCCCAAAAGAACAGACTTCGGCATGTTCTGATGCATTGGTTGGAATGAGAACGAGAAGCGACTTCGCGGCTGACTCGAGCGATGTCTTGCTATCTGGCTGCAGAAAGTCTTTCAGGATGGCAGCAACCTTGTGTTGTGTAAACTCGGTCCTGCCAGTCCAGACAGTGCGGGGAAGAGGAGGCCTTTCCCGGCTTAAGGCTGACTTGATTCAAGTGCCGGGGATGTTGGGCTTTTTGTGGGGTTTGTCGCTGATGCCGTATGAAGCAGCATTATCAAGGCTGTCGACGGTGAGGTCAAGAGAGGACATGGCTCGGGCAATGTGAGAAGGATTCCGGGGAGGAAAAAAAAAAAGGTCGGGAGGATGGTTGGGTGAGGAGAATGAGGAACCTGAAGCTTGGAGAATGGATATCTCCTGGTACATGTAAGCTTGCTCCTTTTGACTCCCTCGAGTCATGTTGGTTCTCGTCGGAACACGTGATTTATCCTCCGTTCTCTGGGAGCATCGGCGCTAAGAGGGAATTACAGGTGGGAGACTCATTCAGCCCCTGTCCAATGGGAATGAAGCGTGAAAAACAACCTAAAACACGAAAGCCAGGCCGTGGAAGTTGTCCGAAAACACTTCCTGGAAGCCATCATCGAGTTTCTGCAGAGTGGCCTTGTGGCCGAAGAATTGCCGGATTTTCAGGGATGTTGGGAAGTCGTATCTGATTAGATCCCAGGGAAGGTTCGATGAGAGTGTCATATCCAAAAAGCATGACTCGTGCGGTTGGAATATCTGTTGTGAGTTCGAGAGGCCAGAAGAATCCCGTCTTTGGGCTCGTCCACGTCCGCTCCGCATTGCCGTTGAGACCATGCACGAAATTGCGTAGTCTGGGCTAAGACTTATCTGCCTAATCCCCACCCAGGTTGGAATGGTTGGTCGGTCTGTAGTGGCTGTGAAAACCGGTAGGTCCTGCATCGGCTTAGCTTGGTTGGGCTGTGCCAATGAACGACCATGCAGGTCTTGCAAATTATCCTGGCTGCGGGACGCAGCGCCGGCAATTTATCTCCGGATAGGTTGGGTAGGTGCGTAGCCACCGAAGTCGAACGGCCGGTATGCATGTACGATGTTCTGTCGTCCCACCCCCAAAAGTTAGGCGTGGCGAATTGTGCCTTACACTGGTGGCGCAGAAGAACAAAAGCTCGAGTCAGCAATCTTAGGGAGGTCTCTGATTTTCTTGATAAAGCAGACCAGACTTTCTCTATCCCCAGACGATCCAAGGACCAGGAGAGAGAAAAAAGCTCTACGAATTCACAGAAACGAGTACGGACGGAAACCCTGACGACCAGCCATGAAGCCACCGGTCTACCCCACGCGGTCTCCTGCTTCCAGCGCCTCCAGCTTTTTCCCCGCCGAATGGTCGCAGCACGTGTTGCAGAAGAGATACCGGGACCCCATGAGGCTCAAGCAGACACTGGACGACATGTACGGCCCAGGGCAATACAAGGTGATGGTAATGCTGAAGAGGACTGCTTTGTAGCTTGCTTTGTGGTAGGACTAGTTGTGGCTGATATACGTTCTTTAGGAGAAGGGAGGGAGATGGATCTTGGGTCTTCCTAAGCCCATGAGTGAGGTTTGTCTTTCTAGCAATGCGGTGCAGAGGTGTCAAAATGCTGAGCCATCAATTACAGAGCGATCTCGAAGAGCTGGACAAGCGGACATACCATCATTACTGAGACTGCCTGCAAGCATTGGGGTGGACCAAAGATTGAGGACGGAGACTCCGAGCTATCCAAGATTAGGGCCTTTTTCTTGACATTGAGGTCTAACAACATTAGTCTAAGTTAAAAATAAAATTAAAATTAAAATCTGAGCCGAACCCGTAGGATCCCGAGCGAGCTGCGTCCCGCATCCCATCTCGACATGACCGTTTAGCCCTCGTTACCCATCCCACCCCAAGAAGATTTTAGTTGTTATAATATGACACCTGTTATCTAATAGATCAATGTCCCGAGCGTGAAAAGCTCTCCCCAAATCCCGTGATACAAGAAGGAAAGGGTGTACATAACATCAATAATTGGGAAATGGAAATATTCGTGCACACATATCCAATAACAAGGTCTGGCACAAGGCAATACGAAAACGAACGCAACCTATCACGGACTAGATGCGTGAGCCTCCTCTTTGTAGTAGCTCGAGTCTCTCCGACATGTCGTAGTCAGAAGCTCCAACTCTCTGACCAGTGGACCAGACTTGACTCTCTCCTTCGGGTCGGGGTGGAGCATCTTGCCCTCGATCGTGTCGAGGAACTGTAGGATGCAGGGGTTGCAACGGTCACTTTTCCGAAGTTTCCAGACCCACTCGCGGACTTTGGGCTTGACCTCCGGCGTCTCCGACTCGCCGATGCTGAAGAAGGTGTCAGACAAGAAGCCGTAGATATCTATGTCCTGCCGGTACGTTGGGAACAGCTCGTTGACGGCGTCCCAGCCTAGCAGGTACCACGTCACGAACTCGAGGAACACGCAGCCCAGCGAGAATATGTCACTGGCCCGGGAAATCTTGCCGTGCGGCGTGTCAAACTCGGGCGCGCGGTAAGTTGCTGTTTTCTCGAGCGTCTTGGGATCGACGTTTGACCGGGATATTTTGGTGTGCATACGTCCGAGGCCGAAGTCGGCAATGACGAGCTTGTCTGCCGCCTTGAAATAGAGGATGTTGTCGGCCTTGATGTCCCCGTGCCTGCCGTAGAGATCGGAATTTACGTCTAGGCTCTTGAACCGCCTAAGAGCAGGCCGCTCATTGTGGACATACATCAGACCCTTAGCGAGTTGGTAGCACTGTTCCATCATCCACGGGCACCGGTGATCCCGCTCGCTGAGGATGTCGTGCATCTTCCAGAAGTGCCACAGGTCTCCCTGGGCCCACGGGAAAACGAAGTAGAAGATCGATATCCCTACGGACGTTTTGACCTCAATGGTAGCGAGCAATTTGATCAGGTGCCTGTCTTCCTGGTTCAGGCAACTGAGCAAAGACGCCAGCTCAATGTCAAAGCCCTCCCGATCCGAGGAGAATAGCTTCTTGAGTGCGAAGGTCTGAGGGCTAGGGCAGGGACTTAGCTGTCAACTAATTAGCATTTAGTCGACGACTTACGATAACTCCTTTTATATGTTAGGGGCAGCACAGTATAATGAGACTTACTTCAGGATCGAAGTTGAAATGGCTCCCGTGGATACTTATGCGCTGAACCTGGCCGAACCCGCCATCCGTGCTGTCGGGGACCCGTTGATATCCCTTTTTCGTGCCGCTCTGCTGTGTTTGCCTTGCCTCCGACGGCCCCCGCTCCTCCAGCTGGATAAAGGGGAAGACATCGTTGCTATCCAAGACGTAGTGCGCGTGGCCCTTGGGAGGTTTCTTGAGATACATTGCCGACACGGCGTATGTCCATTGGCAGAGCGATCCGCGATGCTTTGGCTTGATTTTCTTGACGGCAGGGTGCTGATGCGTGGAGACTTGACAGCGCAACTGGCAACCGGCATCAGAATCGAACCTGAGTGGCAGACACGAGTCTGTCATGCCGTCGAGGATTAGTTCCAAGAGGTGGTCCAGAAGTTCGGCTCCGATAGTGACTGTAAAGAGCTTCCGGCATGGAGCTTGACAGAAGGTGACTCCTCCCTCGTAAATTTCTCGAGCGAGGATCTCTTTTTGCTCGCCGGTGAGGTTGGAGAAGGATTCGTGATTTGCAACTATGACTCCGATTTGCTTAGGTGTCGATATTTCGGACTGAACATCTCGTGGAATAAAAAAGTGGCCACAGTCGTTCGGTGGGTAATGCTTCTTGGCGGCCTCAAGTCTCGCATCGATATCGTCAATGACCTTGATGTGTTCATTGCGGCTTCCCACACCTGACGAGGCCCCGAGATGAGACTCGTAATCCGGGGGAGGGTAATCCTTGAGGTATTCCTCGTTTCCACGATCGGGAATCGACACTACTCTCTCGTCGGCGAGACCGAGCTTGGTGCGGCCCCCTGAATCGGAGGCTGTCATCCCGAGACCTGGCTCAGTGCAAGGCTAGGCGTTGTGACGCAGACTTTTTAAAGAGCAGGAGCCGTATAGAACTAAATAAAAAAGGAGGGTGTTAGGGTGGTCGCGAAGAAAGGCGAAAGCTCGGGAGATATCATGGAAAAGGGAAAGACGGGATTAAGTAGACGTCAATGTGCAGTTATGTGTCGTGCGGCTCCCTACGCCTACCTATCATCGAATCTTGACTTGGAGCCCTCCCCCTTCAAATTAAAGTATCGCATGTGCTCACTGGCTGGGCACCAGTTGAGGCGTCTAGACTCTAGCAGTTTGCCTTATTCGGTCAGGCTATGCGCCTACATTGACACCGGTTCTGCCTACGGGTGTGCAGCCTTACCACGACCCCCAACTGGTTGGGCGAGCAGCAGAGCCTCGACATACGAAGGCTTGCTGCTGACAGAAAGTTCCGGCAACCCAAGCTGGCTTCTGGTAAGCCATGGAATGACATTGGACAGCGCAAAATACCGCAGTACTCACCGCCATCTCTTGTCACACCTGCATCGAAGGTGATCACTGTCACCGAGAGGGGATTGGTTGTCAAAACAGCCGCGCGAGGCTCTGATGCAACGCTGTGGCGCTCCCCCCACCCCCTCTTGATGCTCGAAAAAGTATGACAACCCACCCTCCATGTAGGAGAAGTCGAGGCATGTGGCCCTCAAAACTAGAAGAACAATCGGCCTGTCCGAGGCCTCCCACGAGATATGATCTTCGTTCACTCGTCGCGCGCCCCGGGGCAATATTTGACCTGGATACTGGCAACTTGTCCGCAAAAAGGCGGCAGGGGAATAGACCCCTTTAAATGAGAGGCTAAATGTCGGGGCCAGGCAGTGCGCAGTTTGTCTCGAGGCAGAAAGAGGAGGCTAGGCACGCCATCAAGGCTAGGATTCGAGAAGAAAAAGAGATAAAATAAAATAAAGGAAAAAATGAGGCGTCAAGGCAGATTTACGGAGTTGACCGGATTAGTGGGTGGCGGGCAGCCGAATTGCCTTGACAGGCCGTGATTCGCTCAAGAATGAAGTCCGCCCAGCCGCCAGGGGCGTAACTTGAGGCACACGCGGAACCGGTCTTGGAACCTCGTTCCGTCAACAAACCATAAATAGACTCTCTGTGTCTCTTTCTGTCTCTTTCTGTCTCTCTGTCTCTCTGTCTCTCTCTGTCTTTGTATCCCACACACACACAGAACACACACATATTAATCCGTTACGAACAAAATGCTCTCTGGAAGCAACTGCCGCTCTAGCACGGCTAGACCGTCATGGCTAAACACACCTCGTATTTCGTCCGCCATCCGAAACGCCCGGTGGGAGCCCCGGGAGGGCGGCGGGTTTATCGCAATACTTCCTGCGTCTTCTTTCACCGGCGGGGAGCTAAAGACGGCCCTGGAATCTGGTTTTCAAGGACAGTATTCTGTGCAGGTATGTACCTACCTGCCGAACTCTCTCGTCGGTCGGGTCTCTAACCGCATGAGTGAAATCAGCTCCGGAAAGACGAGTACAAGATCACGCTTCCCGTCAAGCTAACCTCGCACAACAATCCGTGATGACCAATCAGGGGTCAGGTTAATTCAACTCTACCCAAGGTCTCACTTTATGTTCTCCAATATGTACAAACGGCGTTGTTCTCCGTCTGCATTTTCGGGGCTTGGTAAATTGTTTCACCAAGGTTGAACAAAAGGAACTGGAGAAAGATGGTTAATGTTTGAGTTTGTGGGAATGGGGTGGCAAACATACTTGTTGGTTTCAGAAGTATAATCGACTCAACAGTAAAGAAAATCGAGAATGGGGCGACTCCAAGTAACCAGATTGCCAGTCTTTGCTTTGTCAGAAACTAACTCTACTGACAAGCTTATAATAGGCAGTAACTAAAGGCCAAGACTAAATAGCCATTCCTTAAGTGTTGAGCTAACGCAAGTAGCTAATAACCACTAGAAATAAAGGCATTTAAACTTTACTAGTAAAGGGGGAATTTTCTGCCCATTAGGACTACTCCAAGGTTCTCCCTCAAAGACGCTGATATTAGCACTTGAGAAAATTATAAACACAGGGGTGGGGGCAAATAATATTATATTCCATATAGGTAATCACCATTGTTTGAGAAAGAGAGGCTTGTTGAGATTTAATAAGAACAGTTAAAGTCATATTATCAAAATCAAAGGGACTTGAAAATCCAACTCGAGACAAAATTATCATAAGCGCCTAGTCAAGTCTTAACAACAATAGCATCGTTGTTGCAGTAAAAACTGCATGCACCTCTTAAGTTGGCAAGCAAGTGCGTAGAATACAGTTATATGCACTGACGCCCAATGCTGCTACCCGAAAACTTCTGAACCAATCGGATTTGTATTTGTGCACTGCCCGAAAAGTGTGGCTATGCAATCGCATCTCGTGGCAATGTTGAGAAATTCAATCCGGGGTGTGTGCAATGCCCACGAAGTTTCCTCAGCAAATAGTACTCTGTTTTAATTAGGTCTAGATAATCATGGACTGGGAACGCAAGTCTCTCGAGTGGTCCGATGAAGATTTTGGCAAGTTTTGCTACGCGTGGAGAGAGGCGATAGTGGTGACGAAACTCCAGATCGGCGAGGTTGGGGCTCACTCACCAACGAGGGTCGGAGCAGACAAGAAGCTAACGAGTCGCCAGGGTAAAGCAATGGTGGACAATTTGGTCACAGCCAGGGACTGGGATATCTGGTTCAAGAGAGCAAGTCGAGCCAAGTCCCTGGGTGGTTTTATATCCCGACGACAAGTCAATAACTGACTGGTACAAACAGGCCACCTTCCTCCAGCCTAAAGAGAGAAAGCCAGGAATATGCGTCATGTATGGAACAGCAGCGCCGCATGACCTTATATCTTCCCCCTCACACGCGGCCTCGCTGACGATTTCATGGGAACGTTTTAATATAGCTTGTGCACGAGAGACGCGCCTGTCGACTTCGAGGGATCATCATCTGCGCCGTCATCTGCGCCGGTCTATTACCTCCCGTTCGATAAACACATCCTCAAGACCATTGTTGAGAGGTTCCACGTCCATCCTACGATAATGCGAACAATTACAAGAGAGGTGCCGTATTTCTCTATCCAACGCCACGGATTCAGTGAATGGCAGGAATGCAAGATTAGTGCGTTGCCATTCACAAATGAGCGGCGGACATTCGTCAGCCGCTGCAAGCTGGTCTAATATCTTTATTTTAATTATAGCGTCAACAGTCCGAACCGCGTCGGTACAGAACGATGATCTCGCGCTCTCGTCGGCCTACCTCCCGACCCCGGGCTTAACCCTAGCAGTCGTATACGGGTGCAACGAGTCCCAAAAGCAGCAGCTCGTACGGAGGATAAGCTCTGTGGACCTGGCATACAACCACCCCACCCTCCTCGCCGGGGTACTCGCCGAGCTGGAGAGAGTCCGGCTGAGCAGGATGGTGGAGTCGGTGCTGGACGGCTTCGAGCTGCAGGCGTGGCGCGAGACCGAGCTCGATCTCGACATGGACAAGGCGAAAATGGCGTCGTCGCTCAAGTTGAGCTTCGAAAGCCGCGCCATCGTGAACCAGATGCAGATGCTCAAGCCGCAGCTGGCCAAGATGCGCGCTGAGACGGCAAGGTTCGCAGACTCTATGCCCGCGAAGTTGGAGATGAAGGAGGGTGAGACGCTCGCGAAGAATAGGGACGGCGACGGTATTCCTGGAAAACGATTGCAGCCGACCTTCTCCCAAGAGCAACTTAGATGGGAGAGCGAGACGCTTGCGAATAATAGCGACGACGACGGTATTCCTACAAAACAATTGCAGCCCGCCTTCTCCCAAGAGCAGCTAAGAAGGGCGGGCGAGCTGATTGTCTCCCGACTGGACGAGATCTCCACCGAGTTTGACGACAAGATCAACGAATGCAAGACCATCATCGACAACATGTCTCTCACGATGCAAACGGCAAGGCTGCCTCCACTGTTTCCCCCTCCCCCTTTTCCCAATTGTTTGCCCCCTTCTCTGACAGACGTACATCACACAGGTATGGAATCACTTTGCGAGGGAGGATAACAAAATGAACCTCAGCCTAGCGCGGGCTAGCACTGGCTTCTCGAAGGACATGAAGCGCGACAGCTCGCAGATGCGATCCATCGCGCTACTGACCATGGTGTTCATCCCCATCTCTACTATTGCGGTAAGAAGACGGTTTTGCCACTCTTTGTCATCACAGGACATATAAGATGAATAAAATGAAGGGGGGAAAAGGGAAGAGAATCTCTCAGGAGGCCTGCGCTAGCGCAACAGGTGGAGTTGCCATCGTCATTGCTATCGCTGCTGTCGTCGCTGTCGCTATCGCCGTCAATGTCATCATCGGTGTTTATATTGCTGTTGCTGTTGCTGTTGCTGTTGGTGGGAATGGGGACTGAATAGCAATAGCAATAACAATAGGTGTAGTGGTAGTGGTAGCGGTAGCGGTAGCGGTAGCGACGGTGACGGCGACGGGGACGGCGATAGCGGCGATGGGTGATGGGTGATTGATTTCGGCCTCACTCAGCCCTAACCCTAACCCTAACCCCGAGCTCCTGTCTGGCACTTCCACCGCGAGAGATTCTCAAGAAGAAAGGGAAAAGTGATACGCCCGCAATGCTGACTATCCTACGTATCTAGTCCATTTTCTCCGCCGACCTCTTCAGCTGGGACCCGGCCGAGGGCAAGACCGTCCTATCGGGCTACATCTGGATCTTCGTCGTTATCTCTCTCGGCCTAACCACCGTAACCGTCGGCGCCTGGTATCTGTCCATGTATCGCGTGGTGAGGAAGGAAGACGCTAATCGTCGACGGGACGACGGCGGCGGTGGCAGTATGGGTGTGTAGCATAAGGCTCTTTAGCTACGCTTTAGTTAGCACACGACGCACACTCGCTGCAAACCTACTGCATACCTACTGCATACCTATTGCATAGGTTAAGCAGCAGCAGCACCAGCCTACTCATAAGGAAGGAAATAATTGAGCGGCTATTGCAACCAAGGTTTCGACACTCTATCCACTATGTTATCCTCTGCACTGCTGAATCAAAGCCAATCGCCCTTTCCGCTCAGCCCTACGGACCCATACACGTGTATGGAAACAGTGAAATTGGGATCCACCATCTCAGGGATATGAATCCTGAGGGAAGCCTCTGGCCTCAAGGTCTTACGTTAGCGTCCGTTGGGCGTCAGCACCATTCCATTTTCAGCACTGGCGGCGGCCGCCCCCTTTAATGCCAATCCTTGGCAGCATTGCGAACTCTCAGCCGCAAATTTGATCTTCCAATTGGGGACTCAGCTGGCTGGTAGAGAAAAGGCATCCGAGCACACTGCCGTGCCTGCCTGCGCGCTAGGAACAAAACCAGGACCGATGGCGTCTCTTTCCCCAGAGCCTCACCTTTTCTAACCTAACTTCACTTCTTCCCACCTTAGCATCGGGCGCAACAAGTTTGGCGTAGTGGACCGCCATCAGCCATTGCCTGCCCGTCCATTGCCGTGCCCCTCCCCGGACAGCAGTATCAGTCGTTTCCACCATGTCGGACGGTGTCCACTTCACCTACTTCCCTCCCTACGAGGAGATGAACTTCGCGGCCAACTGCACACTCTGGGGCAACTGGCTGGCAACTCTCCTCCTCCCCAACCCCTGGGACAAGTCCGACTCCATAGGGGGTTCCTATGCCAGCGGCATTCTCTTGTTCCTCGCGGCCCTCCCGCCCGGGGGCCTGGACGAGGTGGCGAACCTGACGGTGGGCGACTTAGCCGGCCTGATCTCGGAATGGTTCGCCTGGAACCTCTTCGACGACACGCAGACGGACCCCGACAACCCCTGGCCCCCCATGTTCACCAAAGGCCTGCTGGAAACGCCCGCAGACGCGTGTCCGGCCGAGTACTGCAAGGCCATAGGCTACATGGGAAATGCTGACTTGACGGGCATTGGCGTAAGTTTTTGTGTCTCGGCTGCCCCCACTGCGATTGATTCCACAGATATCTGACCCCAACACCATCGGCTTAGGTTTACGTCTCGTACTACGTCGAAGCAGGCCTTGCAACCCTCTACCTCCTCGCCTTCACCATATGGCACATAGGGCGACACGTCAGTGCGAAGAACAAGCGCAGCGGCCGCGGCGGCGGCGGGCAGGACGGACAGGCGAGGGACGACAACAACAACCCCGACGCCGGCCCGGCCGCCCCCAAGCGAATGACGTTCCTCCGGCGCACGCTCGACTCCTTCCGCGGCTCCCTCGACGCGTTCCTGACCTCGGCCATGCTCATGAGCATCGCCATGCTCCTCGCCGCGCTGTACACGTCCATCTCGCACGGCCGCGAGCGCGCCTCCGGCAGTGCCCAGCAGACCCTGCCCTTCTTCGGCAGCGCCGTCTACGACATGGTGCTCTCGCTGCTGGCCGCCACCTTCTCCGTCTTCCCCGTCATGCTGCTGTACGCGCTGATGGGCCGGCGCGAGAAGAAGGAGAAGGACCCCAAGGCCGGATCCGGCGAGCCGGCGGCGGCGACGGCGGTGCCCAAGTGGCTGTCCACGTCATCGTCGACGTCGTCGGCGGACGCGCACCGCGTGTGGCTGCGGCGGGGCGTCATGGCGGTGCTGTGGATCCTCGCGGTGGCGGAGGTGTACCTGTCGCCGCGCGGGGAGCGCGACTACGACGACCGGCACAACCGCAACCAGGTGGCCAACCAGGACGTGTGCAACCAGCGCGGCGGCACGCGGTACTGGCACGCCATGAAGGCGGCGCAGGTGCTCATCATCGGCGCGCCCGTGCTGTGGCTCGTGCTGACGGCCTTCGTCGTCACGGGGTTCGGGATCCCGGGGTTGGCGGACCGCCCGTGGGTCCGCAGGTGGCGCTCCGTCTGGCGCCTCGGCATCGCGTGGCTCAACCTGCTGCTCATGTGGGGCCTGCTTGCGTACTTCACGGTGCTCAGGCACAACATCATTGAGACCTCGGGCGGCCTCGACGATGAGAACAAGTGGGGGTTCGGCCAGCTCCTCGCCCTGGCCACGTGGGTGCCCGTCCTGGCCGAGTTTCTCTACATCTTCATCTGTGAGTTTCTTTGATCTCTTTCCCATCTACATGCTTGTTGGGAGCTTGTCGGGAGTACCAGTACTAACGCCACGGTGCGCTTTCCAGGGGGTCTCGAGGAGAGTCTGGACACGCACATGCCGGCCGGCTTCTCGGTCACGCGAGACTTCGACCCGGGCCTCTTCCATGTCGCCACCCTCGGCCTCGACCCCTTCAACCAGGCGGGTCAGGGTCAGGAGGAGCCGCTCATGGGCGAGGCCAAGCCGCCTGGGGCCCAGTCGACCGTGGTGGAGATGGTGCCCCTCCACACCGGGTACCAGGGCGGGCAGATGGCGCAGAGCGTGCAGGTTGTTGGCGGGGCACAGCAGGCTGGGACGCACGTCTATTATGATAATCCCCCGCCTGGGCAGTCGCAGGGGCAGTCTCCGTGGCATCAGTGGAATAATACGGGCTGGTGATGCAGCGGGGGAAGGCTGGTGTCAAGGTGCTGTTAAGGTGCGAATACCCAGAAGTTTGTACATGTTTGGATACATGGGAGGAGCGGGCGCTATTGCAGGCTTGGATTGTTTTTGGGCCCCTGGATAGCTGTAACTGTCTCCCAAGAGAGACTGTTGAGGGATGTAGAACACCCGCCAGGGTGACAACGAAGTAGGTCTATCGAACTTGTGCGAGTTGTCAAGGCGTTGCTTCATCTATGCGCTTCTCTTTTGCAGCCAACGCCCTTGTAACGGGGTGTACCCAGACCTTGGGGCCAGCTTCGTCATCACTTGTCCGATGTTCCTCAACAAGCCGAGCGATTTGCTTCGCAAGGCTGAGGTTCGCCGTCACGGTCGTCACCCCTTGAACCCACCCGTACAAGTGGGAGTCTCTGTTCAATTCCGACATCTCGGCCAAAACCGGCGCCGCAACCTGAGGTAAGCGCCCGGACCGGATGTAGCTCTCGATATCATCCGCCGGACTCTTGGCGTCAACCACCTCGATAGGGAACAGCAGGTCGGGATCCACTGTATGCTCCGACAGCGTCTGCAACTCAGCAACCAGAGCGGGCGAACTCATCCCCGAAGGCCCACTCAAGGGGTTACCCATGATAATAGCCGCCCTCGCAGCCTCTGTCGGCGTCGCAATGGTGTCGACGATCTCGCCGAACCGCCGCGCTGCCGCGCGCGTGCAGACGAGCCGCCTCCCGCGCAGCGCCGGATACAGGAACCTGACCAGGGTGCTCCCCTGCTCGAGCTCGTCGACGACCTGCCGCGCCGTCTCCCGACTGTGCCACGGCCGCACCTCAACGCGGCCGTGCGTCACGTCCGACGCGAGCGTCACGAGCACCGTGCAGTCGAGGTTGACCGTCGGCGTCAGCCCCCACAGGCGGCCGTCGTCCGTCAGGTTCCGCAGCGCCTCGTCGGCGGGCGGCGGCGGCGCGGCCAGGAAGGCCGACCCCGCGCAGTCGACCACCACCTCGACCTCGGCCCCGGCACCCGCGCCCGCCCCCCGCCGGAGCAGGCGGATCAGCCTGTCGATCTCGGCGTCGCGGCCCTCGGCGACGCGCGTCAGCACCACGTGCACCCGGGGAACGCGGTAGTCGTGGCGGTTGGCGCGCGCCGCCTCGACGAGCTGTCGCACCGTCACGGCGACGGACACGTCGCAGTCTGCGTCGTCGTCCTCCTCCTCTTCCCGCTCCCTCTCCCCCTCCTCGGCGCCCCAGTCCCACCCGCCTTGCGCCATGTGCATCAGCAGGCTGCGCTCGCTGATGCCGAGGACGCGCACCCACTCCGTGCCGCCTTCGACGACGGCGTCGACGCGCGCCAGGTCGGCCGGGTCCTGGCGGTTCTTGGGCGGGCATTTCTTCCTCCTCGGCTTCGTCCCCGTCACCGCGCCGCCGTCTGGAGGCCCGCGAGGAGGCGGGCGTTTGCAGATCGAGCAGGCGCCAAAGGCTGGGTGGCGCGAGAAGGCAAAGACCAGGCTCTCGAGGCCGCGGCAGCGCTTGACGACGCCCCACGTGGCCTCCAGCGCGGGCAGGTTGGAGCACCGGAGCGAGACGCCCAGGCGCTTGACGAGGTCGGCCTTGCGGGCGTCGTCATCATCGTCGGCGCTGCCCTGGAGGTCCTGGAGGTGCTTGTGGAAGATGGCGTGCTCGCTCCCGGCGACTTGCCGGAGCGACCTCTGGCCGGCGGCGACGGGGACGAGGCCGCGGGCCTGCCGCAGGTCGTTGAGCTGTTGGAATTCTGCCATCAGCTGGTCGGCTCTGCGGACCATCTCCTCGGCCTTTTCTGTCGCGGTGGCCGCGAGGACTTGGAGGTCCTCTGTGTTGTCGTCATCGTGGGCCATGGTGCTGAATCCTGGGGCTCAGAAGACGGAGGGTGATGTTCGGTGACTGTCTGCCTGAAAAAAATGGGGCTTCACAAAAATTTGAAGGCTTCCAGGTTTTTGATTATTTTTATGCACAAGCACTGGACGCGGGCCAGCCATTTGGCTCCACCCTGGCTCCTAGGACACCACCTCAAATCAAAATGCCAATGATCAATCTGAGCTATCCTCTCCCTAGGCAAGATGAACGTCGTAGTGCTGGTTCATCTTGCCTGGGGGGAGAGAATGGCTTAGATTGACAATTGGCAGTTTGGCTTGGATTGATCGCGGTGTTTGGGATTAATTTGAGGTGGTGTTCAATAGGATTGATTGAGAGGGTGGTGGTGGTGTTGGATACAGAGGTGGAATTTCCGCGTGTCGTGTCCCGACCGGAGACTTCGTTTTGTATGGCTGGGCATTAGGGTTTACGGTCTGACTTATCGGCGAGTTGCATGACATTGGAATTGAGAGTCTAAGGCTACTGGTATCGCCAGATTGTGTATTTTTACTATTGCTTGGACCCCGTGCAACGCAAATTAAATAAATCAAATAAATGGTACTGTACACATTGATGCAAATCATACAAACCATCATGATATCATTGTAGATGGCTGCACTTTTTTTTCGGCATTTTCCCCTCTTTCCTACCTATCCAGCCTCGAAATGGACGTAAAACCCAAGATGCAAGCGTTCCTGGCGCTCAGGCCATGCATCGCTATAATCATCTACCATTGCTATCTGACCATGCCTCCAGCCCACATCCATCACTGCTGAGTTTGCGACAGCCCCTGTTCTCTCGGTACGGCGGCGCCCTGGTTCTTCGACTCCCCCGCAGCCGCGACATACTTCCCGTGCCCGCCGCCCTCGCTCACGAGTCGCTGCCTCGACTGCTCGCGTAGCCGGTTCAGCAGCCCGACGACTTCGCCCACCTCGACGTCGATGCGCGCCTCTGCCTCCTGCTCACCCTCGCCGGGCTTGCGTAGTGGACCAATAATCCATAGCTCGCGGAGGAGGCGGGTCAGCTGTAGAAGGTCTTCTGTGGACCTGATCTGCGGCTGCGCGTTAGTATCAATCATAGGTGGGGATGAGGGCCCGCGAGGGGCACAAGGGAGGGGCGGTCCTCACCAGACCCTTGGTCTCTATCTCCATGGCCATGCTGCTGTAGGCAGCTTGGCCTGCCGACGCCGTGTTGTCGATGGGCTCCGTCGCGAGGACGACGAGGTCTCGAAAGTGAGAGAGGACATCGGCGATGATGCGATTCTCCCGATCTGGGAGCCAGTGTTAGCAATGACGTCTAATAAGCTAGACCAGTCACTGGTGATGGTGGGGGCGAAACTGGAGATAAAATGAGATAAAATTGTCTCAAAACTCAGGACCACCAAATTCGGTGTATACCTGATCCTGGTTATATCACCAGCACAGTTCTCGGTTCAAATATCGGCGTACGGTTGAACGTGAAGAGGAGAGTGCTGAGTATTAAGACCCAAGCGCCAGGACGACTTGATGTAGAAGAGAACAGACGATGAGGAGCAAGTAGAGACTCCGTAGGACTTCGATAAGTCCGGCAGAGTATATGGGAGATGAATGTAGGGACCGACTAACCTAGGAGATTTGTGGTTGCTGCTCCCTGATCGCGGTCCATCTTGGCAGCGGGCCTTTTACCAACCACATTAAGCCACTTGAAGTCAATTTCCCAGGAATTATATCATGGTTCGGGGGATGCAGATTATATCGGTGGCTCGATATGGATGGTAGATGAAAGATGAAAGAGAAGGTTGGTGAGTGTTCGCCAAGGACGAATGTGGATAAGAAAACTGCATGTGGAATTGCACGTGATTCTTGGTACTACCAGAACGTCTACGACTCAACCAAAAGAGGGTTAGGGTTATCCTACAACTTGCAACGTCGTAAGGCTTCAGGTTACCAACGACGCCACATTCCCCCCACAGTTTTTCCCGCCACCATGGCAGCTCTTCACCTAACTATCGACAGTGTTGATAACGCTTCAGCATATGTTGCTAGCATGCCGGCGAAAGCCTCAAAATCTCCCGCATCGTGGATCAAATTCATTGGCCAGACTCGGAAGCACATAGGGCCTGGCCGCCTCGCCGGAACCACCAACTACACAGAGGCCAATGTCGCTGCAATTCTACGAGACTTCCTTCAACCAGATACAAAGATGTCTCTCGAGGCGGCTACCAAATCTCTCCTAGTTATGATACCGGCCCACGCCCCAGAATCTGCTGAGGTCCATTCTTTCGGAGAGATATGCGTGGAACTAGCCGAGCAGATTCCCTATCATCACCCCTCCCAGTTAAAGCTTGTCCAGCTTCTACGCTACCTTTCTCGATCTCCCAAATTTACCTCAAAGACTACTCTACTGGTAACCTTTGACCATGCAGCCCTCTAGAGATAATGGAGACTTTGCACTAATGGAATAATAGCCGCAAGAGGAGCTCTGTCATTGTTACCAGCTCTTACGTGAATCCATTTCCGACAATCTAAATTGCATGTCTGAACCCAAATATATCCCAGAACCTGCCGCTATTCCAAGTCCATATTTATAGATGCTAACTCCAGCATTATCCAGCACCGGACCCTGAGTCCCACTGTCTGGGTAAACTTCCACGCTTTCGTGGCAAACCTATATGAAACTGGCATCTGGGGCGCCCAGCCAGGGTATGCCATCATGCTAATGCGCGATGCATTGGAAGAGGAGAAGTCAAAGGAGGCATGGGAGCAGGACTGTAATGTTATGGCCGCCGCCCAGTGGATCATCTGGTACGGCCAGAGCCTTTTCAAACAGATTCTGTACGATCATGATGAGGAGGATGCAGCGAACAAGACTGGGAGTTGGAGGCTTGGCAAACTCTTTGCTGGACCGCCAATGGAGTCCCGATCTGTTGGGAGATGGCATTTCTGGAAAGATTGCTTTGAGGCGATTGGGGCTGATCCTGGCTCGAGCGATGAGTGCAGGAAGCTTGCGTCGAAGTCGGCTGGTTTGATGGGGTCTATCGAGAAAAATATGGTGTTTTAGATGACGCTGTATGAGTCAGGACCGGTAGTGTGCAGGCACATACCTTCGCTCGCGTGCGAGTCTCTTTACTATAGGGCAACGAAGAATTACCAAAGTTACCTCGGGGTCCAGCTCGTGCCAGGAGCATGGGACTCGGGAGACAGAACTGGGGCTTTCGGCCTCCGATCTGTGGCCATTTACGGAATTAGCTCGTAAGTACCACTGAAAAATGTGTTGCGGTCTCAGCTAGGCGCCGCATAGCAGACAGTGTGTCTCGCCCTGCAGACGGAAGCGCTCTCTTCCGTTTGTAAGCATCTCCAAACGAGGCCCGCTCCATTGCGTCTGCATTGGGCCTTGGTCTTGGCCGTGGGGGCATGCTACAACCCTAGCTGACCCAATAGTCGTATTAGCTTCCCATAATAGGAAACTCCCGAACCTTGAGGGGGGCCTTGAGTCAGCACAACGCCATATATCGTCGTCTCGACCAATGGTCCATTCAAGTGACATCTATACCCGATGACTGCAGACCCCCTCGGTTGGCCAACGAATGATACGTGGGATGGGACTACCAACCCAAGCCACGAGTGGTGCCATGTGCACTGGACCAGGAATATTGCATTTGGGGGAGACAAACGACAAGTTGGGTAGGCAGGCGGCAGGTTAGGCGAACATGCAGAGGCGCGACGTGCATGAACTGGTAATTACTTACCCTTACCAGTTGCCTGTCTCTGGCCGTTGATTAACGACAAGTTTCACAGACCCCACGATTTAGCACGCCATTAGATGGGGGGGCTGGGTTGGGGTTGGTATTCGAGATTATGCACCTGGGCATATACCTTGCCTGTTTACCTTGGCTACCTAACGAATAATCATAGGTCGATGCGGGAATGGAGATGGGACTGCTGTCTGGCAGGAATATTTGATGCAAGGATGATGAGCACCTCAGTGGGGTTCCAAAATGAATGAGACAGGGGGGAGTGGCAAACACCCAAAGGTCGAAGATGCAGGTGGTGTAGTAGACGAGGAAGGTGCGAGGGGAAGAATGGACAAGAACTTCAAGATTCGAGGACTCTCGTCGGCAGACAGGCCCCTGAGTCGTTGCTTGAAATGACTTCCAAGGTGTCTTCCAAAATTGGAAGGCATCAGCTCCCATTAGGTGCCGCGCTTAGCAGACCAGACCAGATTTCCACCCTTCCGACTTCCATTTCCTGCTTCCTCCTCACCTATTTCCAGCCTGCTCCACTGCCCATATCCAGACCCCACCAATCTCGCGATTCTTATCGCCCGAATCCAAGACGTGCTCAATCCCAGATGTCGCCAGATTTTCAGCTCGCTGTACAGAGCCCTGAACGTGTCAGGCCTCGGCAACTATGCCCTCAGCCCCTTGATATATGGCCTGTCGCATGCACGAAGGATGCGATACTTTGATATGCACCCAGCTTGGAAAGCCCCCAAAGCCAATACTGTCGATCCGGACGGGGCAGCCATTGCATCGGAACGGTACGGGCTGGCGAATCAGGTGGCGGCGAAATACCAACACCATGCCATGGCACCTTAATGAAGTGATATGGCGATAACGTGGGATGCCATGCGACGTCAATGTTTCAACTCCCGGTTTGCCGATTATTGCCCAGAAATATGCAAGCCATGCTCCGACTGTCACGCTGCCTTTGTTTATCATTTATCAGGCCAAGCTGTTGCTTCCAACTCGGCAACGCCGCCAATCTCGTCCAACACCGTGTCGCAAAGATGGCGCTATCAGCCGCCGAGATGAGCATTTTCGGTGAATCGGTCAACTTACTGGACAACGACTTGGCAGCCACGAGCACGGCCATCGCCCAGCCAAGCGTGATACTATGCGCCACATTTTGGGAATGTGTTGCAGAAACAGCAATTCCTTTAAAGGATTGGCATTGACGCGATCGTCGTCCCATATCACCCATTTGGAAGGAGGAGCGTCGAGCGTGGAGCATGGAAGATCGAACGATGGGATCGAGTATCCGGGCCACATGCACATGGAACACCCAAGCATGCGATTCGATAGCATCCCTCATATAAATTAACCCTCTCGCACCCGGCCACCCGAGACATTGATCCTCTTCATATTACGGACCCATGGCAAGTGTAACCTGCATACTCAGCTCCTAGTCCCTACCTTCGAACACCGTCGATCACGTTTCGTCAAATACCCGAGGGGTCAACCCGAAAACCGGAAAGACATGTCTTTCTGGCGCCGGCCATTCAGTCGCCGGCAGGGCGATGACGCCGCCGCCGCGCAGAACACCGATGAGGGTGAGGTTTCGGATGGCAGCCTGCACTACGTCGTCGAGAAAGGTGGCAATGACTCGCTGCCGTCGTACCAGGAGGCCGGGGGTGCCCCTGTCGAGACCAATTCGCCCTTGGGGTACGCCGTCGGCCCCGTCACCATCGTCTTCCTCAATATCAGCAAGATGATCGGGACGGGTGTCTACTCGACCCGTAAGTGCCCCCGCCGGGAACTGTTCCACACCGTGTCCTGTGAAGGGCGCGGAGCTTTGGACGCAATGATTTGACTCTCCCGCTCGCGCACCAGCCTCGAGCATCCTGGTCGGTACCGGTTCCGTCGGCCTGAGCATGATCTACTGGGCCCTCGGTTTCCTCACGTCCATCGCTTCCCTGTCCGTCTACCTCGAATACGCCTCCTACTTCCCGAACCGCTCGGGCTCCGAGGTCGTGTACCTGGAGCAGGCGTTCCCGCGGCCGAGGTGGTTCTTCCCGACCGCGTTCGCCGCGCTGGCTGTCGTGTTGTCCTTCAGCAGTGGCAACTCAATTGGTAATTAGGCCCCTGTCCCACTTGGCCAGCATGGATGGCCATAAGTGACCTGTGTCGTGGCTAATTGGTGTCGTTCAAAGTCCTCGCACAGTACCTCTTTCGCGCCAGTGGCCACGTGCCGACCGGCTGGGAAATGAAAGGAGTTGCCGTGGCTGGATACACAGTTGCCGTCTTGCGTAAGCACCTGCTCGTCCGCCCATGGAAGGCGTCAAGCTGGGGATTTGCTAAGATATTCCTCCTTCTTTGGCAGTTGTCGCCTTCAACACCAGGGTCTCGTATGCAATCTCCAACGCGGTCGGCATTGTCAAAGTCATCACCCTTGTTTTCATCGCCATCACGGGTCTCGTGGTGCTGGGCGGTCATACCAGAGTGGCCGAGCCGACGGCGAATTTCAAGAATTCATTCGATGGCAAGGCGACTCCGTATGGGCTGACGAACGCCCTTGTGAAGATCATCTTCTCGTATGCGGGGTATGAGAACGCGTTCAACTTTGTCAACGAAGTGAAGGTTCGTTTCTCCCGCCCCCTTTTGTCTTTGACCATTCTGGAAGATAAAGTTCGACGAGCTGACTTGGGGCGGGCGTGTGCTTCTGCAGAACCCGGTGAAACAACTCCGACGAAATAGTTTCATTGCGCTCTTCATCGTTGCTATTCTATATATCTTTGCAAACGTCGCCTATTTCGCTGCCGGTAGGGACTACTGACTTCTTCTCCCATCACTCCTTTAATTGGATTTGAACTAACCAGACCGCATTGCAATAGTACCCCTCAAAGATCTCAGGGCCGCAAGTCAGATATCCGCTAGCCTGTTCTTTACGGCCGTTTTTGGCGAGGGCAATGCCGTCAAGGGGTTGAATGTGTTGATTGCCCTGAGTTCCTTTGGCAACCTCCTTGCAGTACTGCTGGGATCGGCCAGAATGGTCCGCGAATGTGGAAGGTGAGTTAGTTGACACGACTGCCCTGATCTTGCCGCTGATTTCGTGGAAACAGGCAAGGAGTGCTTCCATTCACCAGTTTCTGGGCCTCCACGAGACCCTTCGGAACACCTCTGGGACCATACTTGCTCAAATGGTTCTTGACCGTGCTGATGGTCCTCGCGCCTCCAGCCGGGGATGCGTTCAACTTCAGTGAGTGCTCGTGGAATATGACAAAAGTTCGCGGTTCGGTCGCTAATAAGGCCCCACAGTCGTCGACCTCCAGGTCTACCCTTCCACCTTCTTCAACTTCGCCATGGGGATTGGCCTCTATCTGCTTCGGTGGCGGCGCAAGAAGATTAATCTGCCGCCACCAAGCTTCCGTGCCTGGCATTCCATCATCATCTTCAAGATCCTGGTGGACCTGTATCTGCTCATCATGCCTTGGTATCCACCTCTCGGCGGCAAGTACGGTGGCGATGTCAGTTTCTGGTATGGCACATACGTGGTGACGGGCATCGTTATGTAAGTCTCGCCAGATCTATTCTTTCACAACATGAGCTAACTGGCCGTCCTCGGCTTCAGCATCGGGGCTTGTGGGGTCTACTATGCGGTGTGGGTTTACCTGCTGCCCAAAGTTGGCGGGTACAGACTCCGACAGGAAGTCCTGGTGCTAGACGACGGTGCCCGGACTCATCAAATCATCAGGGTCCCTGTGGAGGAGGTGGGCCACTGGGATGCCACGCACGACTCTGTTGGCCGTCCACTGGGGGACGCCCACAGCGACTCCCACGAGAGCCAGGAAGTGGTTAGGGAGCAGAAGGTGTAAGCTGCGGATGCGGACTTGCGGAGAAGTGAAACGGGGCGACAAGAAACAGATTGGCAACCGGAGTCCGTGTGGCCAGACAAGAACGAACATGGGGCGGCTGCTTTCTGCATCAGATGCTTAGCATGCAGATCAACCAAACTTCCCCGGCGGCGATCGGGCGGATGGATTCTGCGGGGCACTCTTAGTTCTTGGCACTACTTGACCCTCCATATATATTACTTCGTGTCTTTCCGGTCATCATTCCCTCCTCCCGCCACCGAAGCGGCATGGCAATGTCCGAATCAGACGACTTGGCTCCTGTTGGGGAGTTCAGAATCTCGACACAGCTGCTGGAAAACACAACATGCAAAGTTTTGGAGCGAGATTGGTAACTGGAAAGCAGCAAGCTAAGAAAATGGGGGGGGGGAAACAAATGAGTCGTTACGTACGAGATGTTTGAGCTTAGCAATCTAACCATGTGCACTTGTGGTTCGTCAAGTTGGGGAAAGGCAACCCGATGCACGTACTCCTCGTCATATTTTTGGCCCCTCGATCGGGCCAAAAAAAAAGTGAGCAAAAGCTGAACAGCCTGATCTCGAAGGAAATCGGGGTCCCCCCTTTTCGCGCTTTGTGTGCAATTGGCTTTTCTGCGGGGCGCTTGGGGAGGGGGCTGGCTGCTCCCTGCATTTGATTGCTGCAGACCTGAACTTCCCTGGCGGCATGGCTTCGCAAAAAAAGAAGTCACGAGCTAAACGGTTCTTACCAGGGGGTTTGTTATTGAACTGTATGGGCCATTCAGCTGCAGCAGACGCGATCACGCAATATTGCGTGAGGCAGGGCCACATACAGATGAGGCGACAGTGACGGGGAAATTGAAGAGAAATGAGCGGTACAATCGATTGGAATACATGCGTGGGCATGGTCGAGCGTGGTCACCGGACCAATGGGCTGTAGGCCGCTAGGCGGGTAGGCAGCTCGTTGCAGAAGCCTGCATCAAGGGACCAGGTATTCAATGCAACGGTACTCTACCGGCCCTTGTCATTGGTCATGTCTATTGACCTGCGGAGACATGGGCATCTGGACATGGTCTAGATCCCTCATGGGGGTCACGGTCAGCAGCTTGAAGCGAATCTTTGACTATTACAGTCAATAGGCCGTTTAGCCCATTTTGTATGTATGTATGTACCAAATTGATCTGTCATCGGAGGGACGGGGAACTCAAGAGCGGGGACACCCATCGTTTGTGAGCCTCGAGTAATTAGGTAGGAGGGGGGGTTATTGTAGATCGACGACAACGCAGAGTAACACGAGGCCAAGGGAACAGAACAGATGGAACTCAAAGCCCCAGCCTCATCGCAACCTCCATCGGCGCTGCTTTCGGCATCGGCTTATGGTGTCGAGCCGTGCCGGCCCCAACGGGTCGGTAAAATTTGACGCTGTTGGTGAAATACGACCGGTGGTAGCGGGGGTGACAAGAAAAATGCAGGCGCTGCATGCGCTGCAGGGTGGGGGTTCAATGCCCATTGGGTTCTGTTCTCGCCTGCAAACCTCCGTGGTCTGTCTTTGGCCACACAGGTATGTACCTCCAGGCTATCTGTAAGGAAGGAAAGACATTGAGCAGAGGCTGCTGCTCGCTTGATATTACTTGTTGGTTCTCTGGTGGCGAGACGGCACCACAGAGAACAAGTCTCCTCACAGGACAAGAGGAATTGACTCAAACGCGAGGCATTACAAGCCAAACATCGAGACTGAGCCACAGAGAAAGCAGGCCGAGTCGAGGAAAGAAAGACAGTTCGACCCATGACAAGAAAACAAGACGCCATCATGACTGTCAAAGCCATAGACGACAGAACTCCGCTTCTGGAGTCGCAGGCCGGCAAGCCAGGGTACGTTACCTTCCCAGAGCTAGAACTAGAAGGGATTTGGGTCCGGCCAAAGGGCTTCTGGTGGATCGAAACAGGTACGTAGGCAAGAACAAAACATTCACTCACCTCTTCCCACCCCCATCGTCCAACTCCGGGAAAGCCGGAAGGGATATGGGTGAGGCGATTTACAGACCAGGGCGAAGTTCAGCTAACCAACGTGGCCACACTCCTGCGCAGCGCTCTGGGCCAACGTCTTCCTCTCGGGCTTCGACAGCACCATCACGGCGTCGACGTACGCGCTCATCGCGTCCGAGTTCGGCGCCGCCAACAACGCCGCCTGGCTTACGACGGCCTACCTCGTCACCTGTACCGCCTTCCAGCCCCTGTACGGCCGCCTCTCCGACGCCCTCGGCCGGAGGTCGTGCTTCTTCGCCTGTACCGCCGTCTTCATGGCCGGGTGCCTGGGCTGCGCCCTCGCGCCCAGCATGCTCTCGCTCGTGCTCATGAGGGCGCTGACGGGGCTTGGGGGCGGCGGGTTGATTACCATGGGTGAGATTTTCCCTCATTTTCTTCTTCCATATTACCAGATTTTTCCATGTGGAATGCAGCATTGGTGTCGAAAGAAAAAGGAGGCGAAGGAGAATCCTTGGTGCTGACGCATCGGTGAATTTAGCGACGATCATCAACTCGGACATCATCCCATTCAGGAACCGAGGGATGTACCAGGCCATGCAGAACGTCCTTGTCGGATTTGGGGCCATATCGGGTGCGTCGCTCGGCGGCGTGATCGCCGAAGGCATTGGCTGGCGGTGGTGCTTCCTCCTCCAAGTACCCGTGTCCTCGCTCGCCCTGCTCGTCGGCTATGTCGCTCTGGAGAACCCCATCCACAGCTTGATCAGCCTCGCACCGGGCCAAGGGTTCTGGTCTGGTTTCCGATACTTGGACATCTCGGGTGCATCGGTTCTGGTCCTCGCGCTTGTGGTGCAGCTCGTGGGACTCAGCTTCGGGGGCAACGAGTTCGAGTGGAGTAGCCTGCCGGTTATTGGGAGCCTGGCTTTGAGCGTTGTCCTGATTGCCTTGTTCGTCGTGATTGAAGCGAGGACGAAAGCCATCCCCGTGATTCCGCTTCGCCTCTTGTGTGGCTGGCAGCCGGTTGCGGTCCAGTTGTCCAACTTGTTCTCGGGCATGGCCTCTTATGCGGTGCGTAAATTCTCCTCCTTCGCCCATGGGCCCTGGATGATTCGTGTTGTTGACTCGGCCTCCAGTATCTCTTCATGATCCCCCTGTATTTCCAAGCGGTTCGGGGCGAGTCGCCCGCCACGGTTGGAATGCGCCTTATTGTACCCTCGCTTGCCACGCCCATCGGCGGTGTTATTGCGGGTTCCATGATGCACCGAGGGTACCGCCTTTCTTATAATGTTCGGATGGGCACATCGATGATGCTCTTGGGCAATGTATTCGCTCTGATGATGGGGGACTGTGGCGGTCGGTGGAGGGATGTGTTGTTTCTGGTGCCAGCGAACCTGGGCCTTGGGCTTACGAACCCAAGCCTGCTGTTTAGCTTCATCTGTTTGTTCGAACACAAGGGTAAGGACCATGCCTCCACTTCTTCTTGCCACATCGTACTCACTGGATATAGAACAAGCTGTGGCGACATCAACCGTCTATCTGATTCGTTCCATGGGGACCATATACGGCGTCACGTTGACCTCGGCCGTCGTGCAGAACACGCTGCTATCCAGGTTACCCGCTGCCCTAGGCCCGATCGAAGGACTCGATGAGGTACGTGCCTTGGTCCTCTCCTTCTTGACTCGGACGAGCTAACGGTGATGCTTGCGTTCCAGATTGTCGAAAAGCTCCGACACTCAGTATTCGCCTTGTCAGACCTTCCACCCGAGCTCCAAGCCGCAGCGAGGGCGGTGTATGGCGATGCTCTTCGTGTTGCGTTCTTCGCGTCCAGTTCGTTTGCGCTGTTGGCCTTTGTCTTTTCGTGGGCAGTCAAGAGTGGCAGCTTGAGGCGGAAGAAGTGCGCATCTTGAAGGTGACCCCTGACAACGATGCCACCTGGCTGTCTCTGAGCATGGTTTGGTGAAGTGACCTGCCGTGGGGCAGTAACAAGGCTATGGGAGGGGCATTAGAGCAGATGCATTAGAGCAGGTTCTTTGGGGCAAGTTCCGTGTCGCCCATTGCAGGTGGTCTGTATTGGAATGTTGTGAAGGATAAAGGACAGCGAAAAAGGTATTCTGTCGTGTGGCTGGAGAGGGGTTGGTTTTCGCACATCGAAGAAAGGCAGCAGTCCGGTTGACTTCGTCAACGGCAAGAGCAAATAAGTAGCTGCGGGAAAGAAAACCTGGAACCGGGCAACGATTTCATTTCCAAGATAAAGAAGGATGGCAGTTTCCTAAATGAGGAGTGAGGCAGCAATGTGATGCTACTCGGTTGACTCAAGCGATCCCGTCAGCCACCCCCGAAATTGCGTGCGCGTCGGCCAAATGGCGATATCAACCACGGGGGTACCTGAGCCCTTCTGATTTGTACCCCCTTTTACCTAAAAGTCTCTGAAGGTTACCCAATCTCCATGAACATTGGGGGTAGGTAGAGAGCGCCTGGAAATGAAGCTGGGAATTACGGTGCAAGATAAGGAAATGGCAGGGCGAGGCACGAATTGGATATCACCACTCTAATGACCCGGGCAGAGTACCCAACTAATGGTACAAGTGAATACAAGCTAGGGACCATTGAGGTTGCCAGTGCCCAACCAACATGGAACCCAACGTCGACCAGGCAGAGAGGAGTCGCTGCTCTGCCATTTCGACAAAAAGATCATCCGGAACGCCAAATCTTGCCCACAAGGTGCCGAAGCTTTCGTCTGGCAGCTGGATCAATCTCAAGGCCGGCAGGTTCACACCATAGGTATTTTGGTACCATTAATTAGAACAAACCCTGCCTTTATTCGTAAATTTCTGTTCCTTAATTGTTTTATTTCTCCTGGAGGAGAGTCTTGTCCTCTTGTCCCCACAGCAGAAGCCCGACAGGGTGGTTGGGGGGTGATGATCAAGAGGGAAGCGACCGCAATGCGCAATCACGGAAACTGGCTATGGCAAATTCCAATTCTATTTTCAGTGACGGTTTGCTTCCAAACTAGCAGGGCCTCTTCCTCTCTTTTTTTATTTGCTTCTGGTCTTCGCCCACTGTCAACAGTGCGAGTTCTTGAAAACAGGATCTTTTATCAATCGCCAGGGAGCAAATCAATGCAGCATATTTTAGATGTCTCCCACAAACAGCACAACCACACCGATTCAAAATATGAACGATTTCCACAAAGGCACAGGCATCGAGATTAGGCTTGCTATATTTCCGTCGTGTGGGCGATTCCGACCTAGCACCCTTTCCTCGGTGGACTCCCTGTAATCTCCCACGATGGGCTTGCTAGCCTGTCCCAGTCCACTGCAAGGCTCCGAATATGCTCGAACCGCTCCAGGAGTGCGGTTCAACCCACAAATCACATGACGGGCGTCCTTGAATGTGTCGCTCTCGCGCATCATCTGCTGCATTAAAAGAAGGCCTCCTGGTGAAAGCAGATGGGTTGATCCGAGATTTCGACATATTTTTTCGAGTCTCAAGTAAGTGTTTACAGTTTTATTTCTCCCTGGATTCTTTTGCACTGGACATCTTGTACGCCCAGTGACCGGGGAATGGTCTCAAGACGAAACGATTAACGCCTATCCTAAGTCAATGAACACTAACAACGTGGCTAACACCGGGTCTGAAACTGTACGTTCTGGGTTAATCAAGTCATAAACCTGACTGACGATCCTTGTTGTTTTACTTCAAATAGCATCAGTGAATATTCTCATACAGGGGCAAGCTGTGTTGAAGGGCCACATCGATCGGCGGAGCTATCGGTGATAATGGTTGCCTAGAAGGGACCATGCAGTTTCAGCCTTCCTGGATCGCGACGACGTAACAGCGAGATTTTCCCAGCTGCCAAATCTGGCAGTCGTATTCGTCTTGTTCGCCAAGTTCTCTCATCTTGCATGGCGATCCCCTCTGGCTAGATCCATCTGATAAGCTGCTGAAGTGGGGCACCGGGGTTTTTAGCTCCATCTGATAACTTTATTTTGCTAGTCAGCCAATCAAATTGCCTACCACCTTGCCCATGAACCAAGACTCCTCATGCCGCCCCATCCGTGGAGCTGCCTGCGACTCCGGAAGAGGCACGTCATGTCTTCTTTGCCATTGTTGTGAATCTCTCGCCATCATTCGCGTACATCCAATCCTTTTTCCCTCCGCATCGGCGGCGGCCGTCACGGCGAGCTGATACAAATGACTGATACAAATTGTTGTGCCCCCTGTCGTGCAACCCACCGGCTAGCATCGACCGCTGTCGGAGGGCGGCCCCCTCTACCCTTTTTGTGAGAGGTTGGAATACGCGCAGGGTCGTGTACACTTGAGAGGGTTCTAAGGAGGGGCTTTCCTTCCGTCAAGTACAAAAAGGACTCCAGTTGGGGCAATTGCATGCATGGTGAGAATGTGGCCCCTGTCCTGCTTGCCATGCTTCAAGCACCACAGTCCGTGATCTACGCACCACCGGCCCCTTCGCCAGGCTTCCGGCCCAGCGCCCTCAACCTGCCACCCCAGAACCACAGCAGCACGGGCGCCGGCCCCACCAGCGCGACCCAGACGAACCCCAGCAGGCTATTCCCCCACCCGTAGCCCAGGCGGCCGTACAGCGCGGGCGCGAAGACGGGGAACGCGAAGCCGAGCAGGTTGGACAGGACGCGCGACGCGGCGTTGGCCGAGGCGCCGTGCCCGGTGAACTCGTCCAGCTGGTACGCCAGCAGGGCCTGGCCGACGACGAAGCTGCCGCACGCGAACACGGCCGCGCCCGCGTCGACGGAGGCCCACGCCGCCAGTTGCTCCGCCGACCAGCCGTACCAGAACAGCCCCGCCGCCAGCATGGCCACGCCGGGTGCCATCCAGGGGACGCGGAACTCGGGCCGCCCGCCGGTGCCGCCGGCGCGGTCGCGGAGGCGCAGGTAGATGAGGTCCATGATGTGGCCGCCGACCTGGGCCCAGACCGTCGTGCCGACGATGTAATTCAGGCTGCTGGTCGTGGTGGATTGGCCGTACAGGTCGATCCAGAGGGTGGCGAAGGTTGAGAGCATGAAGCAGTAGATGCCGAAGTTGAGGGCCATGATCAAGGCGATCACCTGGATCACTGGTCTCCGGGCCAGGAGGAGGTAAGGTCGGCGGAAGTTGACGGACAGCCGCGAGAGGAGATCTCGCCAGAACAGCCGGTTCCAGGGCGTGTCGGCGGGGCCGTGTTGGGCCCGGGCTTTGCGGCGGAGGAGGACGGGGGTGTACGACTCCCGTATGAACACAACACCAAGCAGAGTGATTGCGGTGTTGAAGATGCACATGATCCAGAAGATCCATTGCCACTACAACGACTGCGTGACGAGGCCGCCCACAAGGGGCCGAGGGCTGGTCCAAGATATGGGAGAAAGGAGGCGATGGCGAGGGACTTGCCGCGGTCTTCTTCTCGGTACATGTCGGCCATCACGGGGCCGGTAAACTAAACAAGACGCGTCTCGTCAGTGACGAAGGTAAGCAGTGGCTTTTGAGCCCCCCAGGGAGTGAATTGGAGGCGCACACACCGTTATGCCTGCGCTTGCTCCCGCTCCTGTCATGAGCCTGCCAACAATCATCAAGCCCTTGGAGTTGCCGACGGGACAGCGGGCATTCCACAGGATGTACCAAGGATTTCCAAACACCCAGACGCCCTTGCGCCCATTCATCTCGGCAACGGCTGCGATGAGGAACGGGGCAAAGGCCAGGCCGAGAAAGTAAGTGGAGAAGATGATCTGGGCAGTCGACGCATCGACGTTCAAATCTCGCTCGATATCGCCCAGGGCAGCAGCAATCATGCTGGCGGACATGAGAGTCACAAGCTGCCAAAAGGAGAATATGACCCCGATGCCGATCTTGCGGAACGATGACCAGTTATAGGGATCGTTGGGATTGTTTGGGCCATTCCAGGTGCTCTGCATGGGCACACGGTCAGTCATTGGATTCGGTCTGGGGATTTCTCGCTCACGCCATAGTCTTTCTTGAGCTTGTCAAGGCGGTCACGGGCTTGTGTGTCGCCATCAACGTTTGCAGCTGCTTCCTCAATGTCTGTGTTATCCGGCAGCACTTGCGTGGCGTTATCTGTTGGTGGAAGGCCGCCTTTCTCGACCACGGAGGCCATGTTGTGGGGGTTTGGCTGCGGAAAGTAAGCAAGCAGGAAAGGAAATGATATGGGGAGGGTTGAAATGGCAAGACGGTGAAGCCATGGTCGGACGTATCCAAGCAAGGGGAAATCAGACGAGTTAAAAATACGTCTATGATGGACCAAGTGGACGGAACAAGCTCGTTTTCCGAACCAAGGATTGTGTGTTGTTGCCCCTGTCAAAGGTTGACCGCTTATCGCATTAGCAGATTTTCAGTGCACGGGGTGGGCCGGATTTGCCAGTTGGTTGCTCCATAAGCCGAAGGAGGTTCCGGCGCAAGCCCGATGCCGGGCCGTGTGGCCTTGTAATAAACTGAATGCTGGGAGATATGACCGACTTGCTCACGGCTTCTCTAATGCGTGGTGATAGGTGAAACTAAGTCTCCAATGGCGGAAGTCTTAAGTCCGACCCGCAAACCCTCCCGCCCTAGGGGTAAGTGAGGGATATTATCATCGATTTTGTCGTGAGAATACCATTTCAGTACTCTATTACATCTCTTGGATATGCTTAAATCTTACCTTGCTCCTGAGATCTGGGTCGTTTCTCGGGCGTCAGCTCTATCTTCTCGATCGTGGGACTGGGCGGCCAGCGAAGGGGGCAGGTATCGGATGGCAAGTAAGGTAGATGGCGGTTGCGGCACGGTCCTAGATATCCCGCTCAAGTAGTCAGTAATGTCAAGAATCCGCCTTGAAGTCTGCTGAAGGAGGGGGTTGGCCAATACCTGTTACCTTGCTTCTTCCATCCAAAATCATTTCGCTTTATGTAAATTTCAACCCGTGGTATGCATCCGATTTGGAGTTGGCCGCCGCCAGATGTTTCAAGTCAAGTCTTGGTCTGATATGCCTGAGCAAGGGTACAAGACGGCTGGCTGGAAGGTGCTGCCGTACAGTCACAGATTCTGATAGCTCATAGCGTAAATGCGGTGAATAATGATGCGGTGGGCCAGGTCCATTGAAAGGAGCATTAGATCAGGGCAAAACAAAGACGGTCCAAGAAACCTTGCGACACGTAAACAGGGGCAGGGGATGGGGACCAGTCCGCCATTCTGGCCGTTAGGTGCGCTCCGTCTGATTTTATATTCACTACAAACGTAAACCATGGAACCTAGTGTTTGTTGTGGAAAACATATTTCCTCAGATTACGCTCATCATGCTCACAAAGAATCGCCTAGGGGACGCAAAACAATAAAAACAACAAGACCATTGTTTTCCCCGACCCATCAACCTTCCACCCTCCTTCTCCCCAAAAATTGATTCAAAAGGCCCGGGAAAGGGCACGAGGGATGCCTACGCAGAGTTTCTCCCTTTTAATTTCTTTTTTCTCCCTCGTACTACTTCTCGCCTTCGGTATTATCTTTCTTTTGTCCGCCCCATTGCAGCCTGCCCCCAAGATGAGCAATCAAGTCGCCCACCGCGAGGGTGACACCCTCGAAGAGGAGCCACCCCCGCCGAACCCCTACAAAGCCGGCGAGGAGGAAGTCATGTGGCACAAAGTCAAAGCCTACCTCCAGGACCCCCGCGGCCCGAAGCCCATCGTTGCCTGCGCCGTGTGCCTCGAGGAGCTGCGGATCAAGGGCCTCGGCAGCTCCAATGACGAGGACACCACCGCCACCACCAGTGGCGGAAGCACCACCGGGATCTCCGAGTTCGCCGTCGTGCTGCCCTGCGGCCACATGATTGGCCTGGGCTGCCTGAAGGAGTGCAACCGAATTCGGTGGGAGAACGAGCTGCCCTGCCGCTGCCCGACGTGCAACTTCGAGCTCCGGTACCGCGGCTGCTACGACACCATCCAGGGGATCCTGGCCCCCGCGGAGGAGCACCACGTGCTCGGCCGCGTCCCGCCCACGGTCCCCGAGGGCGGTCAGGTCCCCATGCGCTGCAACAGGTGCCGGGCCGCGGGGGTCAAGAGGTCGGCGAGGCGCATCGGCGACTACATCTGGAACCCGTATATGGAACTTGACGGGGATGTCCCCACCAGGAGCACGGAGTTTCTGGCATTCGTGAAGGAGCGGCTGAAGGAGCAGATGGAGGAGGAGCGGAGCCCCAACTGGGCTGACCGGCGTCACCACCTCTGGCACAAGCTATGACTTCGAGTCAATTTCGAGTCGCGCTGGGCATATGATAGGCGGGGTCTGTAAAGCTGGGGGAAGACGACGGTGGATAGAATGTATAGACTCATCAGTACCCTTCCATCGAGGTCTCGATATCCAAGACAAATGCTCTTCCCTTCCGGTCGCGGTGCTTGACGATAGATTCCGTATCAAAGAGGAATGAAAGAGAATAAAACCAATGCTGAAGCTGAGTGGTCCACAAGACTTGTGCAACGATATTCTCAAGGGATGGGGAAAACAATAAAGAATGCAGGATTGGGTGGACTTCGGCGCAGATATCTTCAAAGCAGGTAGCCAACATGGTCTGGGGTGTAGGGCAGGTCGGCGTGGTGCAGGGTTTTCAAGTTTCATGCCGAGTTGGGGACAAGTTACGAGTGCAAGTAATCTGTCGGCAGCTGGGTTAGGAAAGACTTGATTGGACAGAGTTGCTACCGTGTGTTCGTCTATATAGCTTTACTTCACCATGACCAAGTTCACTTTACTCACCTACCAAGATCACTTCACTCACCCACCAAGCTCACTTCACTCCCCTACCAAGTACGGAGTATAAAGGGAGGGCAACAGCCACCAAACGACATTTGTCTACTCCAACTACACATCTTCTTTCAACCTTACAATCGACTCCATCGCGTGCCATCACCAAGATATTAGACATGTCTAGATCCAACACAATGCCATCCAACGACACGAGAGAGGCTGTTCAAGTCGCAGTCCAAATGGTACCTAGGCAAATCTGCACCTTCCTACAAATAGAGGCTAACTAGGTATGGTTAGGTGGTTGTGCGCTCAGCTGTCCGTACTCTGGCAAACGAGGGCGTCAGCCGGGAAACGGTCGAGGATATGTTGGCCACCGGTATGCATAATTATGCCTCTGTGATGGTACGTGGACATTGGCTAATACTCTCGTGCTGCAGCGGTACACGAATATTACGCCAATGTCAACCCAACCCCAACCATGAAAAGGGTCAAGAACGACGACAGAGTCTACACCAGCTCGTCTAAGCCGGACACGTCGGGCGACTACGTCACGTCGGAGGAGGAGACCGTGAAGCCAAAGAAGTGTCCCAGGGGCCAACACGGTACCCCGAAGACTACAGGGCGCTGCCAAAAGGCCGAGGTGAAGGAGAAGCAGACCGCAAAAACAACGAAGAGACCTACGCCGCCGTTTCTATCCAGGGATCGAACGCAAACTTTCGGAACGTGTGGCTGCCCCCCCGGTGTTACTAAAACCAAGGCAGGGTACAGCGGAATGGCGCCACAGCATTCGTACTCGTACCCGACACAGTATCCGTTTCCGTACATGCGGTACGACTAGGCGGGCTCTTTGCCGGGGCGGTATTGTTTCACTCAGGCGCCTCGAGGCATGCTGTCTCTTCTAGTTAGAGAACGAAAAGCATGGTGGTAATACTACCGTCTATAATAGATAGCTGATGCAGTAAATCTAACTATTGCTCTGCCAAATACCAAGTTCAAGCGCTCATCGGTCATTACTTCCCCTCCTCCAGTCCACATATGAGTATTGTCAAGCCGCAGCAACTCTTCTGCAGTTCGTGCAAATACACTGAGAACCCGGTAGTATCGTGCTTTGAGAATGCCTGTCCGCAGGTGCTGTGGCCCGCGCTTCCTGCCGTGGCACCATCGAGATCATCGAAAACCGCTCTTTTAACGAGCGAACCCGGTTAGAGGCAAGGACCTGTGGCCGGGGCTGATCCGCTGCTGGACGAACCAGGTTGCAGCTTGCTTTTCCTTCGTTTCGTATCTTCCCGTTAGGCGGCGCTTGTATGGCTGCTGTCTGGGGTTGGAGTCGGGGCAGAGGCGATAGCGGTGGTATAGGTGACAGCGCTGCTAGAGGTGATAGCGGTGGTAGAGGTGACAGCGCTGCTAGAGGTGATAGCGGTGGTAGAGGTGGGACGCTGCTGCTGCCGAGCCGATCCCTCCTCGGCTCGGTTCCGGAGGAGCTATGCTTCTTGGGGCTCGTATTACTTCTTCTGCCCAAAGGTTTTCTTTTCCTCTCCCTCGCCTGGGCGGCTTGGGCCTCGGCAATTCTCGCCTCCCTCTGTTGCCATTCATCGTTGAGCTGGTTCTGTCTTGCCTCAGCTAGCGACTTGTTAGGTCAAGTAAGAGTGGTGCACATCCGGAGAGGATACAATACAAGAAACTTACCAGGGCCTTCGTCCGTTGCCCATCTAATGACATGACCCTGGGCCACAAACTTGGGCCTTTGAACAACATTTAAAGCATTATTCTCCATGCACCACTCATCCCCCATAATAATATCACATTCGTGGTCCTGGCATTCCCAGACATGGAAGGGTGTGGGTTCGTGACCCCTCGGTCGTCCGTCGGGGTCCTCGAGCCAGGGGAGGATGACAGTTCCCAGGAGAGGGAACGGACCCGCACCCGTCGAAACCGGTTTCCCTCTTAAGGCGGGGTCAATTATACCAGTCAGACCCAAGGCCCGTACAAGGCGAAAGCTTATTAGGTTGCCCACAGAGCATCCCGAGTCCTTTAGGCCGTTGGGGACGATGAGAAATCTACCGTCGTAGGCCTGGAATACCAGTTCGATTTTTTTCCATTCCTGCGGGGGTTTATTACATTAGCATCATCCAACCATGCATGATCTTTGGAATCCTCACATTGATCTTCTCCCTCGTAGGATTCTTCCGTGGGGCCCACTCTTGTATGGTATGGGTCTGCATGCTGACAAGAGCTTCAGAGTTAATGTATGGAGAGGCACGTAGTCTTGAGTCCGTGACTGGCAAGTAATACACAGCTTCGCGGGGCCCTCCGAGTGCGGTGGGTACGGCTGCTAATCCTCGGAAGTGGAACCGTTCACCATCTTCGTCGATCCAAGTTTGTTGCAGCGGGCCGTAATCAGCAACAGCGGGGCCGGGGTAGGGCACAACCGTGGCCGTGCCCAAGTTGGAATCGTCGGTAAACCCATACCCATTGTGGTCATTGTCAATCGGGGGACGACGGCGGAGGCTTGGCGTGCTAATCTCTCGACGGGGGCCGTGTCGATGAGGGAGGGATAATGTGCTGCTTGAGCTACGTTTGCTCTTCGTCTTATCTTTGGGTGCTTTCGAGGGCTTCTGCACTATCACCGGTGTGGGGCCGGGAACATTCGGTGGCTCGCCGTAAACTCTGACCGAAGCGTTTCCCCTGAATCACTGTCAGCATCTCGCCACCATGATAGACTTCATAATTGGGAATCTGGCAAACCGTACTCGATTCTAATTGAAGTACCCCCAGTTCGAATGGGCTTTGCCGGAATACCGGATACCGAGTAGCTTTGATAGCTTTGACGGGAGTTCTCGGGTTGAGAGACTGGGAAGCACTCAGGACATGGGCAATGAGGTCGTCGTCGATCCCCCGATTGTAAGGCGGCGCCATCCGTGGCAGGTTCGTCTGTATCACCCATCGTCCTCGGAACCGAGGACGTTCAAAACGCCAACTTTCTAAGATTTGAGAAGACAAAGGAGAGCAGAAACAGCGACAGCACACAAACTTCCTTACGATGTGAAAAGCGGGGAAACAAAAGAAATATTGTAGAATTGGGAGGGCTGAAAGAATGACTGACTAGGTAGGGAAGCAAAGCATGGGTAGGCGGAGCGATGAAGGTGGTGCGGGAATAATTACCATTGGCGGCGTGGCGCCTCATTCGAGGCGCAGTGCGAACTGCGCAGTAGCTCAGTATCTGTAGCTACCTACCCACCAAGGAAGGCTCTCTCACTTCCACCCATGATTCAGTCCTCGTCACATCTGGTCTCGGGAGGACATGGCAACAGAACTCAACAACTTGGATTTGGAGGCCCAGAGTGCGGGGCGCGGAATAGCAGGATACGATTTGATGGGAAAGTTGATGGGAGAATACCCTGAAACGGCAATATTTCGAAGCTTCTGCTCTTTCTCCGCCGAAAACCTCCTCTATCTCCAGGCAGAACTTGTCACTCTAGAAAACGAGTTGCGCGATGCTCAAAGAGAAGACCAAACCTCACCCCACATTGAGAGGCGACGGTACGCAGTGAACTGGGCTAGACTCAGCGGCTCGCTTGACGCAGAGGCTTCACACCAGGACGATGGAACTCAGTGGGCGACTGTGTTGGAAATGAGAAGCAAAATGAGAGAATATCGTGAGTTCCTAAGGCAACGAGAACTGGAGGGAGAAGCCGAATTCTTCCAAGTTGACTAATCTGCAGTCATGGTCCAGATGAGGCATTGCTACTACACCGGGACATAGTCAAGCTTGCTAGACCGAGACGGTCGGGACTTCAATTCTTACAAGAGTGGATGAGAAGGACAACCATGGGCAATGTCCGACTTGTTGGCGCTGATAAAGACATCTGGTCTAAACAAGACTGCAGAGATCTCGTATGTGTTGATGAGTCCGACACTTGGGCAACCCAATCACTGGTGTTGCTGTATCATGACTACATCGGGAAGCGCATTCATGTAAGATAATTGTCCCTTCGCATTCATTCCTTCTATGCCCCCACGACGGAACATTGATGGGGTGCAACCCCCTTAATTCCAGAAACCGGACAAATCCAAGCTACACCTTCGCAACTCGATTGACTACGACAACAAAGTAGTTGAACGAATCGGCAAGGCCCTTACGACCGTCATCGGAGGCTTGCTTCCAGTGGTTTCCATTATCGCCCTTTACGTCATCCATGACATGGCGACGAGGCTTGGATTGCTTGCCCTGTTTACCGCCATCTTCTCGTTGTGCCTCACCGTCGCCACTAAGGCGAAGGTGACAGAGATTTTCGCGGCAACGGCAGCGTAAGGAGCCAACCCCCCAGGCGGGTGCCTTCTTTGTTTTGACATATACTGATGATATCAATATAGATTCGCCGCTGTTCTGGTCGTATTTGTCGGAACAAGTGGGCCAAGATGATGTCAGCTAAACTATTGACCTACCTATCTTGCCTGCTTTTATCTGTCTGTACTGAATATAATTAAAGATGAAATAGGAATGAGATCGAGAGATTACCACAATGTGCTCAGTAGACGGTATTATCGTCACCAGCAATAGCTTCAACGGTAGCAAAAGGCTCTAAACAAGGGAATAAAAATGGAACGAAGAAAGGAGAGGACTGGTGCAGGAAAGGGGTAAAGAGGAGCGAGTGCGGTCTATCCGAGTAACAGCAGCAAGGTCGAGTCATGCACAGATCGTGTTGTTCCAGCCTATGACTATAGGTAGTTACTGTCCATTGGTTCTTATACCACAAGAAGATCCAAGTACCAAAATACCTCCCGACTAGCAAGTGATAGGTGCAGGTCCTGGGATGGTGTAGGGCTTCCCACCACCGGTTCGGGTTGTCTATAGTGTCGTGAATGTTGATAAGAATGCTGGAATCATTGGCCTTGTAAGCTCCGGGGAAGCTAACGAAGTTTGAACCAACGTTAGTCCCGCAACCGGTGATACGGATCCTATTTTCTTGAGGTTAGATTTGGGGGCCTCTTGCGATGTGACTGCCAACTTTTGGTAGAGGTCTGAGAGGGCGATTGGGGACGGGGCTACACATATTGGAGGAATGGCCAAGCGGGCAGACGACTTGCCCAATTTGCGACCCAAGTACCAGGGTGTACGACAAGTACCAACCAGACTGCCAGGCAACGGACTCTTGGGGCAGATTTGGAAATCGGTTAGCCTGTTGAGGGCGAGGCGAACTGCAGTACAGCCAATGCCAGCGAGTAGAATAAAAGCCTAGAAAGGACGCCACATGCACTTCATACATGCAACACTCACCGCCAGAATGACAATGACAGTGTCATGTCCCCTTTGTCATTCCCAAAATCAAGGGCCCCCCTTTGTCATTCTCAAAATCATTGCCCCCCCCTTGTCATTCTCAAAATCATTGCCCCTCCCTTGTCATTCCCAAAATCGTGGCCCCCCCCTTGTCATTCCCAAAATCGTCGACCTTCCATTGGTCCCCCCAAAATTCGTCGATCTTCCCTCGCTATCCCCCCTGTAAAACCCGCGTCCTGCCAGAAAAGACCTCCCCAAAAGTCCCAAAAATATCCCCTAAAACGCCCCAAAGCGCTAAATCCCACACCAGCCCTCTATTCGTTCCTCCTACCCCCTGATACCCTGCATATGATTGGCAGGTGCCTTGGAGGTGAATGCATTTCTAAAAGAGGAAATTCCGTCTGCGCTGGAGCATACAGGATGGAATATCCTGTAAGGGCATGGTTTACAACAGAGAAACTCAGGAGAGATGATAGCATGCGCTTGTCTTGAGTTTGGAAAAAAAAAATATATATATATACCCTAGTTAGAATCCTGTTAAGCTTGTCGCCAACTCTATCCGCTGTTCCAGATCCATCAATATCTTCACCCTACAAAGCACGCTGTGACGCCTACCGAGAATACAAAAGAGACACCAGCAGCAGCAGAAGAAGAAGAAGAAACCCTCTTTTTGCCCCAAACTTCTTGCTATAAGACAACTCAACTCCCACACTCAACTCCCACACTCTCCATATCCCCAAAGTCAAGAGACAGCACACTTACACCTACCTCTACTACAGGTAAGATTGAGATTACTATGACTAGCATCGCGTCACAATTGACTCAGCTAAGATAAGGAGCCACAAAATGGACAAGAACAACCAAGATACCAAAGATCGTGGTGTCTTCATGCACAACATTCATGTGCGGCAAGATCCTGTGGGGACGCCGAACATCCCAAATGAGTTGGCCAACAATAGCCCCGCAGTGCAGAGGTTCCTTGCCGAGACTGCAAGGCAGGAACCATTCCATGGGATGGGGTTGGGGATTCAAGACCGCAGGGTGGTTATACTCGATGCTGCGACTTTCTACACACTGCCTGCGCTCGCATCTCTGACGGTCTAGGTAGCCCCGAGGCGGAGCTAAATCGTGTATATGGACTGTGCCTTGCATATACGTCTCCTGTACTTCGGGTTGTGAAACGGGCACTTGGCCAACACATCGAGAATACCTAGCATCCATTTCACATTAGGTAGCCAATGAAAGCGCACAGCTGCATAGAGACTTCCATGATAGAGAGTGCAGGGCCTTACCTAGATGCGCACCTAGGTAGCTTACGTGCAGGTGGGTAGTCAAGTAGCTCAACATGGGATTCAAGTACCACCATAAGGCAACGTCTGTGCCGTGCCTCATGACTCCCAGCCCCAGTTGCCTTAGTTTGAGGCACAAATGTTACGTACATAAGTAATCCGTAGAACCATGGGACTAAAGTTGAGTGTGTGGGAAAGCGTCACGGTATTTTGGCTACAATAGCTGCTATGGCCGATTTCAGACTCACTCTTGTACAGAATAGGTAGCAAAGGGACGTCTACTATAAACTGTGTCTGCGGGGGAAATGGCAAGTCCTATTTTTGCCTTGGAGGCTTCCACCATCCAACACTTCATATTATCTAGAACGTTTTCGGGGCTCAGAGCAGGCGATTTGTCGAGGGCCGTGATGGTAACGTAGGTATGTGTCTGTGATCTCGCGAGTTATGAGTGCGAGGATGGAAACCCGGAAATGGTGGGTTGTAAAGGTGCTGACCTCGACCTCCATCGTTCTTCGAGAAGGTTGCATGTCAACAGGGTTAGGCTCATGGCGATATGGAAATGGAAGCGATAGGCGTCGGAACAACAAATATTCCTTGATTGCGCCAGGTACCTAGGTACCTACCTAAGGCGGGGCGGGGCCGATGGCGCCCAATCGGTACATGGGTACTGTACCTAGGTACCTGCCCAGGAATCGAGCTTGAGAAATGGAAAAACAGTAGGTGTCAACATTAGCATTGTTAAACCAGGATTCGGTAAAGCTCTACCCAACAATGCGTGTGCAAACCCAATCAGAAGAAGTCTAAACAGTAATGGCAATGGCGCCGCCCAAATGACCTTCAACCGGGCCCTCCTCCGCCTTTCCCCTCCCTCCCCCCAATTTACGCGCTTGACGCAAACGGCCCCAACCAAATTTTGGCCATCTCTCCCCCTAACCTTAACCTTGCTTCCCAGGATTATTTTTGGATGTCTACTCCTCGAATTCCCGCCCCGTCACAAAGGCCGGCCCGCTCTTCTCCAGCTTCTCCTTGAGGTACTCGTACACGGTGAAGGTCACGGCCTGCCCGGGCGCCACGCGCATCACGCGCGGGGTGATGCCCTTGTAGAAGGCGTGGAAGCCCTCTTGTCTGTAGCGCAACAGGCCTGTCAGCAATCTCGGGTTCTGTCTTTCCCGCTGGGAAGAAGGTGGGAGGGGGAGGAAGGGGAGGAAACATGCAAGGGAGCACTGACTTGAACATCTCCGACGCGATCTTAGTGATCCTCTGCATCGCGGTGCTGCCCACCTCGGCCGGCGTCTTCTGCAGCCTGGTCTTGATGGTGTCGATGGGCGCGTTGCTGAGCGGGCCCATGGCTCCGCTGACGAGGCCGATGAGCGTGGTCTGCCAGTTGGGCAGGTTGCCGCCGTCGTACTCGGGCTGCCAGCGCCTCAGCGCCTCCTTGAAGTACGTGTAGGCCGTGAAGTTGACCGCCTGGTTGGTGCCCTGCCGCAGCGCCGTCAGGCTCACGCCCCGGTAGAGCGCCCCGAACCCTTCCTCGCGGACGACCGTGTAGAGCGCGTGCGCCGCGTTGCGGTACTTGGGCACGTCGAGCGGGTCCGCCATGCTGTGGTGCTGCGCCTGCAGGCGGATCTTGATCACCTCCATGGGCGTCACGACCGCCACCGCCTCCGTCACGCCCGCCGCCAGCCCGGCCAGGAAGGTGGCCTTCCCCGTCACGGCCCCCGTCTCCTTGTTGGCCAGTAATTGCTTGTACGACTCGAACGACGTGAACCGGATCGCCATCTTGGGCACGATCCCCGTAAGGACCGCCCCGAGCCCCTTGTACAGCCCCAGCGGCGTCTCGCGCTTGACGATCTCGGCACCCGTCCGCAGGAATCCCCGCTTCGGCATCCCTGGTTTCCGCCCGCGGCGGGAGAGCTGCATGCGGACTTTGATCGTGTCTGCCCGTTGGGGAATTAGCGGTTAGCTTTGTTAGGACGACGCCCGTCGGGTAGGGGCGGATGCGCCCAGTTGGCTGGAGGATCATAAGATGGGGCTACTCACCGAGCGGGTGGCACACCAATGCCTCCATCATACCTGCTCCTCCTCCGGCTGTGGTTGGTAATATTGGTCAGCTATGCGAGTCCAATGGCATCTCAATGGCCCGGTAACGGAGCTGAGGAGCGGGATGCTAACCGATCAGGTTGGTGGCCGCCGTCGGAGGCGGCTTGCCATCTTTGCCCCCAACTTTTGTCGCCATTGCTGCAATGCTTTAGGTGGATTTCTTGCTTCGACTCTCGGCGGACTCGCGTCCCGGGTTTCTCGGCGATATAGGACTCGACTCGATAATACCAATTGGTTTCCGGGGACCAGCTATGCTATGCACGTGGGCACCGCAGACGAGGGTATGGGACCGGGACAAACGACAAAGAGGGACCTAAAACCTAGACAAGAGGCAAGAGGCAAGAGGCAAGAAAGGGTATCACAAAGAAGGAAACCGAAGATGCTATTCCCGAACCTGGAAGGAAGAAACAAGGGACCAAGTTCAAGAGGGAGGAAAGAGCAGGGAGCGAGAAAATAAAAGCAAGCGAAGACCCCGCGGCAGTTAATCAGGGGCCCAGGTGAGTCAGTGGGGGTTTTGTCTTGTGGGACTTTCCTGGCCCGCGGCTCTCCCAAGTGTTGGCGTGTGGTGCTAGGTAGGTACGGCAAGAGAATGTGGAGATGCGCCGGAGTCGGCAAGACTTAGCTTCGGGGATGTGTGTACATATATAACTACCTAGTAGGGGAGGCAGTAGGATGGAAGGTAACATGATGGGTCTTGCCCCAGATCCCTTTTCCTTCGGTTCTCACTGTCGGCGCACCGGAGGTTTTAGCTAGTCTTTGACGTCTTCGTTTTTTGCCCCTAGCATATGACCAACGGGCTTCCGTTCTCCCAGGGGAATGCCAAAAGACAAAGACATCCCCAATTGGCACATGGGATTTTGGGCCTGGTAATCGATACCCCCATCTTGAAAATGCGGCGCATGATAGGCCCATTCCCCAGGTTTCAGAGCCCTCGTGACGACGAGCGCATGGGAGGCGGTTTTGCTCCTGCTGTCCGGCTTGTGATTGTCTGTGACGTCGACCTCAGTCCAGCTCCAGCTGTTAGCCGACCTCGAGCCGAGCTTGTGATTTTGCGGGGAAAGTTGGAGTTCAAAATCCTGGGCAATAGCGAGACGCAGAAGGGGCCCCACCCATTCCAAGATCCACACACTCGGATGCTTCCGGGGTTTCGGGGTCGAGACTCGAGTCTGGCCAAAATGCCGAGGTAAAACGCCGCAAAACAGATGCCGCAAGCAGCGTTATGTAATCTCGGGACGTCCCGGGAAATCCTTCGTCCAGTCCCGGTACTTGATCGCTTCCATCCACGCCGGGTTAGATGCGCACAGAGACGGAAGTGACGGACAGAATACCTAATTAAAGCTCGCTCGGCACAGATGTATCATCTCATGGTGTATTTTCAAGTGACGTCGGCTCCGCCAGCACTAGTGGTATATATATATGCGTAAGAGAACCCAAATAACTCCCGTCCTCTCACATAGCCGCCGAATCCATAACCCATGTCCTTTTCGCAAATGCGCCCCTGGTGTCAGGTCCTTTTCCACCGTCTAGTTCCGGTGCCGATCGTTCGTCGAGAGCATTAAAACCGCCGCTCCTCCGTTAAGGACGATGGAATCTGCCATGCCCAACCCAAAACAATAGAGATACAAATAAACGCTGTCATACCATATTCCACCCAGCAGAAAGAACCCATCTAGTTCGGTGTTCCGACCTCGATAGCAGGCCCGGCGCCCTGCGGGTTATGGAACGAGTATACCCTGATCTCGCCGTCGTCGCCTCCGCTGGCCATCCGACTGTCGCTCAAGCCGACGCTAGTCACGGGCCCTCTATGCCCGGTCACCGTCCTCTCGCACTTCCCGCTCCTCGGATCCCAGACCTTGACCATCCCGTCGTTTCCGGCGGTGACCACGCGGAGGGAATCTCCGGCCAGGCCCCAGATGCCTTCCACGTGGCCGAAGAAGGTCTTGAGGCATTTCCCGGTCGCCGTGTCCCACAACCTGATGGTCGAGTCGAGACCCCCGGTCAACATGTACCTGGGCGGTAACGGACGATCCGGATCGGACGAGAACCCGGGGTAGAGGGCACGGAGACCTTCGTCTTGGGAGGCCGAGGGTGGCAACTCCGGCCGGTTGTTGCAGTGGCTCGCCGAGGGCACGGGGGTTAAGCTCCGCCCGCTTCCTACTGACGATTCATCGGTGTTGTCTCGGGGCCCGTTCAATTCTCGGTCCATATCGTCCGGTTCGAAATCTTCCGGCAGTGGCAGCACCTGTTGGGCATGGCCGACGTGCCCAACAAATGTCCTCATCTCGGTCCTCGAATCCAGATCCCACATCTTTATTAATGTGTCGTCCGAGGCCGATGTTAATGTCCGGCTCTTGGTGTCGATGACAACCTGGTTTATAAAGTCGGTATGGCCCCGCAGACAGTAGCTGACCTTGGTCTGGAAATTGAAGATCTTGATGTTCTTGTCGGCGGAACCGCTGGCCAGAAGCTCGCCGTCGAAGTTCACGCTGACGACGGCATCGGAGTGTCCGCGCAGTGTCGCAAGACACTCTCCAGTCGACCAGTTCCAGACCTTGATGACCCCGTCGAGCGAGCCCGTGATGAGCTTCTGGTCGTCAAATTGCAGGGACCGGATCCCTCGCTGATGTCCTCGCAACACGCGTAGCTCCTCGCCCGTCTCCAGGGACCAGACACGGGCGGTGGAGTCGTAGCTGCCCGAGATCAATATACCTTCGTCGATTTGAAGGCAAGTTACGCCGTTGGTGTGGCCCTTCAGGATGGTGAGGCAGGCCCGGCCGTACTTCCAGTTCGACCCGACTTGGAATCTATCCTTGTAGACAAGCTTCCACGGCCGAACCCTCTTTTCCTTCTCCGGTTGCATTCCGCTGCGAGCAACGCTGGCCTCGCTGCCGACGCGGACGACGCACTGCCGTTTGCCACCAGAGAAATCATCTAGGCTGGCTGCGTCCCGTTTGGGTGGGCTTGGTGACCTTGGTGTGTTGGGGGCATGCAAAACCGGGGGCAGCGGCGGTAATTCCTGGACGGCATTCTCCTTGACGCCCCTTGCTAGCTGCTGTTGCCTGGACCAGGACCGTAACCGTTTGCGTTCCAACAATGGAAGTTTCCATCCGCACCTGTAATGATATCCGTTAGACCTCGTACGATTCCTAGATTCAACGACGGGGCAAAAGGACGTGACATACCGAGTACATTTCCTGTCAATGTGCTGCTCACACATGTGAACCCATATTGAATCGTCATTCGAGAGCTCTGCCCAACCCCTAGAGACCTGAGCGGCCCGACACAGCGACACGGTGTCCAAGTAGCACAGGATCTTCTGAGATATCTCGACAGGTAGCGCGGTGATGAAGTCGATCTTTAATTGTTCGTGGACTTCCCGGGCAACGGTCGACAGCTGAGGGAAGCAGCATGTCTGGAGCACACCTTGCAGCATCAAAACTCGGTGTTTCGACGGCGCTGCACTGAACAAACTCCAGACGTGGGTGATTGCTTGTTGGTCTGCTGGTGGGAGCTCTGAGAGTTCCTATAGCACAAGGAAATCCCGTCAGTCCACATGCTGCAAATATCAAATGGATAGGAGACGTGGGACGAAGACTCACACTCTGGATCTTGACCATCTTGTTCTCGTCGGCTGCCCTCCGACATTTCAAGTCCGGTCTGTGTCGATAGCAATATCTGCTGTTCGGATCCTTTTCTCTCGATGTCTCCTCGTTGTCCGACTTCCAGATGGGTGCGTAAAGGTTCGGTATGTGTTCGCGAAGGAACGGGGTGACGGTTTTCGAGATGAGGGAGGATGACATGTTTGTTAGACGTGAGGGATCTTCTTCTCCGGCTCTCCTCCTGTCCCAGTCTTTGGCTGTGTTCAGATCAATAGTTGAGCCATCTTTGGCGGTCCTGGAAGAATCTGAATAGGTTTTGTGTGGTCGAGTCACAACGGAAATCGTGTCGGCGTCATTTGCTCCCAACGATATGTCGTCTTGCCTCGAGCCGGGTCGGCGGTTGCTCATCGAGGTGGAAAAACCGGAGCGTTCCATGGTAAGGGGGGATGAGGGAGGCGGAGGGGCCTCTCGCGTGGTCAGGAAGATAAATGATGCCAGCAGGACCCAGGAGCCATTGGGGACTGTAGGTATGGGCTGGCAGGGTACTCGGGGAACTCGGAAGTGTCAGGGAGACGGCTGAGAGACGATGTGCTCGACTGGCCGGGCACAAATGAATGACGTGCTAAGCGTGGGTGATTGGGAGAACAGGGCTCAACAATATTCGAAACGATATGACTTTGGGAGCGGTCAACAGGCGACGAGGAGCAGGGCTGGCCAAAAGGAATGATGTTTGAGTACAGGCAGGGACGAGGGTCGGCTGGCGCAATGCGCAGGTGGCAAGTCGCAATTCCGCAACCCGCGAATGACAACACCGAAGGCGTAAAGTGGTTACTCCGCGGCCAACTCTGGCTCGATATCTTCGAGATAAGACTCTGTCGTCCGGAGTTTCTTTTTCTTTTTCGCCTCCGGCCCGTGTGATACTTTTGACGGACTGTGGAGCGCGGCGTGGGAGACTGCGAGGGTGGATATAGGACCGACAATCCTTCGAACTTTCCTGGGCTTCGTCTGGCCGATTTGCCTTCGTCTAGTGGGATGTCGTGCAAGCAGTGAGTAGAATGGCGAAAGCATGGACCCAAACCAATGACGGCGATTGCTATTTTATTCCAAAAATTGCGTTATCGCTCGGGATGTGGCCCGTGCTTTGCCGTATCCGAGACCCGCGACTCCCGTTTCGGGCCCGTCATTGGTCAATCTTGACTGAGAGTGCGGGGCAATTACCCACAACGCCACAAAGGTACCGGACCCAGGCCTTGGATCTAATGACCACCAAGGCCTCGCCAAAGTGGTCACTTGACAAACTGGGAAATTCCGATCGAGCGAATTGGTTTGTCCTGAATCCAAGGACGATTCAGTAGTGTACAGTTCCTGACTTGGGGGCGGACTCTCTCTACTGGGTTTGGAGGGGCAGATGACTCAGCTTTCCTAAACTGGACTCAACGTCGCCTCCACTCAGCGTCGACAGCCTCAACACTTCACTGCACGCGGGACAGACAAGAGACTTAGAACTTGATTACTACATTTGTGGGCACCAATCATCTCCACTCTTTCCATGAAGGTAGGTATTTGCAAAGTCTAAACTGTGCTTTCGCGCAGTTGCTCCAAACACACCTCGTTGCCCAGATTCCCCTTTATTTTTTGCTTGAGGTGGCAGTGTGGTTGAGGACCGAATGCTAGAAGGGCAATGAACGTGGTGAGTGAGACTCTAGGTAGTTATAGTGTGCCCAGGCTAGCGTGTTCTCCTATATTGTACAGTACATGGAAGGCGTTTGGAGATAGACACTTAGGGGTACATTCTCAGACCCAACTGAAGACTCTGAAAATTATGCCCGATCTATGCAATATATAACCAGAGGCTTGTTGCATTGCCGTTGGGTACAAGCTAAAGGTTGAGGGATCTGGCGCATGCACATGGTCCAATTTTTGTCCAACCCCTTTTACGTTCGTGATAACCCCTACTGTAGCCCCTGACCGATCCCAGTTCTCTTTTCCAAGGACAAGTCTTCGTCAGGGCACTGACAACAAATAATCTCCAGAAAATTAGTGACCTAAAGTGAATGTAAATGAGCGACTACCTTAGGTCTATATGAGTATTTTTTTCCCTTTTGAAAGTCCAAGAAAGCAGCAGGAAACCAAGCCACAGCGGAGCTTGCTGAGTTGTCAAACCAACCCCTGGCAAAACCAGAAACAAGAAGATAAGGAAGCATTTACGTACTAGAGATAGATTGAAAGCCAGTGTGAAGGACGAAGTGAATGGGGAGGCACGCAGTGAACGAAAGACTCATAGTTGGACTAGGTAGGCGAATGGGGAGGGGGGGATATGTCAGTCATGGTGGGCAGCAAAACTTACCAGAAGGGAGAGGAGAGAGAAGAAAAGAAAAGAAACGGAAGACAAAATCAAGGCGAGGAGGGGGGGGGGGGTAGGGGGGGTAAGGAGAGAAGAGAAGATAAGAGGCAGAGAAAAGGACGAAGAGGGTGAGAAGGAAGAGATGAGTAACGATGATTCAGTGAAGGAAGGGCTTGAGGACTATCAATCCAACACACTACTCAGGAAATCCCTTGGTGAAATAGACATACTTCCGGCCCTTGTATTCGTATCCACCTTCGACTTTCGTCCAGTCTTTCTTGGACGTATCTACTTCGTATCCATTGGCGTTGACAAAGTAAAGCTTCTTCTTGCCTGTTTTGTGCCTCTTCCCCGTGACATGCTTGCGAGTGTCACGCTTGTCATGCTTGCGAGAAGATCCGACTACCGTTTGGTCGCTCTGCTGGTCGCTCTGGTTGTCGCCCTTGTTGTTGGAACCTCCGTATCCTTGGCCATGGCCTTCGTCAAAGGTGCTACCAGCTTGGCTAAAGTTGGCCCCGCCATCGCCGCCACCAGGGCTTTGAATGCCGCCGTAATAGCTACCGGGCGGTACTGCTGCCTGCTGTGTGCCGCTGGCTTCATCGGTGTCTTCGCCGGCAACTGCTTCATGGGCAGCTCTTTCTCTCCAAGGTCTGTCAGGATCGGGCTCTTGAAACGCATCTTCCTTGGAAAGCTTTGCTTTAGCCGCGCCTGATGTATTGTGAACATATCCCTTGTCTGCAGCACGCCAACTGTCCAAGCCGGGATACGAATAGTCGATAAATGCGTCGCCATTCGTAGCCATCATAGCCAAGCACCAGAGAGAAAGTTTGATGGTGAGGTTTCCATATCCATGTGCAGCCCAGGGAATAGTGGCATATTCAGGTTCAGAGTAGTCCCACTCCATACCGTTGTTGTCCCTGTATGACGAAACAACGCTTGACTCCATAGTGGCATCGGAAGTTTGTCTCGAATGACCAGCACCAGTAATCTCTCTTTGAGGACGCCCCTGAGCCAGGCCGGGGTCGATAGGCTGGCGAGTGATTCTCAACACAACAAGATCTCTGTCTGTGAGGATGAACCCGTATCTGGATCGATGTAGGGCCATATAGGTCTCAGCTTGGGCCACGACCTTTTGCCATTGAGCAAAGTTGCTCTCGTCCTCCTCGACCATTGTAGGCCACCACTTTGCGTCAAGCTTGGTGTCTCCTGGGAGCATGTTGGCGTGTCGTCCGTATTCGTCGAGGCGCATTGGAGAAATCACAGACCAGTCAGGCCTGTCCTTAGCCCCACATCGACTTCCCCGACCAAGATGGCACTGTCCTGCCTGGCCATCCAACGCGTAGTTGACGACTGGGGCAACGAATCTTCGCAAGAGGTCTTCTAGAGTTTCCTCATTGTTGATCGTCAAGTCTTCCACCAGCGGCCGTTGCTCTGGTGAACCTTGGTATTCCGAGGCAAGCTCCCTCCGGAAGATTCGTGTCAGGGTGGCGTAGTTGAAGTCGAGCCATGGAGACCAATTTTCGGGCAGAATGCTTGTGATGACAGTGGTATTGCCGCCCGGAACGACGGCATCAGAGTTGATTACCACATTCCGTCTTGTCAGGGCCTCGAGGAGGGTCGGCATTGTTTGGACGCCACTGCCCCCTAAGTATGTTGTTAGCTCGGGGCACGGATATTGTGATTTCGGTACTTACCGTGAAGGCTTCACCTAAATTTGTATGTTGAACGCCAAGGGGGTCTGGAGAAAGATATTCACTTAGGAAGGACTCGGGCGATATGGACAGATTGCAATGCGAGCAGAAGAGTTTGAGTACCCGTGGCCTGGATGGAGCAACGAATTCGTGGTTGGGGAAAATACCAGTTTATATCCCTTTTCCTTCGCACCACCCCGCGACTGGACTTCCACCATGGTCCTCTCTTGTCCTGCTGTTCTAGCACACATCGCTGTGGTCTAGTTTCAGTTGGTCGTCGGAAGTGTTGGTCTACCTCAGGGGGTTCTAAGATGGGACTTTGGAGAAATGGGGCGCATTCGGACTTCGGAAACTCTGCATGTTTCCCCCCTGCCCTCGAACTTCAGTTAAGCAGGCTGTGCAGTGAAGACAATTATTTTTCCGAGCCGCCCTAATATTCTGCCTTGTTTGCCAGCTTGCGAGTCGGATAACTCCTGGCCTGCATTTTGGAATTGGATTACTATCTTAATATCGTTTCTAACCCATATCGGCGAGATCTGTACTGTACGCATTGGAACAAGGTGTCCGGGATCCGGCCACCCCGCTTGTGATCAGGCTCTCTTGAACTTGAGAACTTGTTCCCACTTCCATGTTCGGCCACGGCGCTACCGCGTGGGGAGCCGATGTGGGAGCGATTGTGTCCCGTCACTGATCCTGACGACAGAACATAGCGAGGTGTTGTTCCTATCAAGAAGTTGAGGTAGGCAATATAAGATCTTGTGGCTTATACAGAAGAGTGGAAACATGGAACCTACAACCTACCTACCAAAGGTACCTACAGAGGTACCTCTATCTAGGTAGTATGTACCTCTTTGGATACCTACCTACCTAAGTGGTCGTCCAGGGATTGGTAAGTACCAAGGTACCCTACCTAGATAGGCAGATACCTCTAGGTACCTAAGTAGGTAGGTATGTACCTATGTATCCATGCAGTACACGGACCTACGGAATAGTGGGACCAAGGTAGTCACGTGCTCTCACTGTTGGGAGCTATCAGAATAAATTTGGGCAAGTACCTAGTGTAGGTATCCCAGGTCTCCCTCTCTTCATATTCGTGCTCAAGACGTCCACTTCCTTTCTCTAATTATGGAGGGTCTTGTATCAAGACTTCGCCTCGCACAACAGATTAAAACCATCGACAGAGCGCAGTCAGAGGCGTCAAAGGTGCCATTTCTTGACAACAAATGGATGGACGGCCCTCCTAGTTGTTCTGAGGCAGACTTCAAGACGCCGCGTCTCCGGCAATGCGCCTTTGATATAGCCACCATTAACTGGAAATCCTCTGCCTGCATTGACGGTGGACTTGACGGATACCTTTGGAAGGTCTGGTTTGGAGAGGACGGCCCCTACGTCCTAAAGGTGGTAAGCACGCTTTAATGGCCTTTTCGCTGCTGCTGGCCTTTCTGCTCACATTCTTGTTCAGTTCTGGGACGCCGAGCCGCCCGATTTCAGGCACTATTATGCTGTCCAACGAGAATGCCAGAATTCTGCGCTTCTCCAGATGATAGAGGCGGCAGTGCATCAGGCTGCCATAGAATCTACTCCGATCCTGGTGAATGGCAACCCAAAGACTAAGGATGATGCTATGGCCAATGTCTGCGCCTTCTCCCACGAAGGCCGCCAAAGGCAGTCATCTGCCGGAAGCTCTGGGGTCACAGCAATATCGTCAATTCCACGCATGAGGAAGTGCTATGGCTGGCTAAGGTTTAGCGGCCAGATCTTCCTTAAGATGCCTGCAAGACTGAGGGCACCGACTCTCCATATTGACAAGGTTAAGCGCACCATGTCAGCCGACCGAGAATATATTGCTATTGTCTACGAATATGTCGAGGAAGTGGAAAACGACCCAGCTGTTGTGGAGGAAGTGGCTGCCTTTTTTTGGCTTGCTGGTTTTAGTCACACAATCTCCCCTGCTGCAAGAAATTGGAAGAGCGGAGTCTTGGTGGATCTCTCAGACATTGTTCATCCTGGCGGTTATGGATGGCATCCAAAACTCTATGGACCGAGAAAGGCAAACAGGCTACTGATACCATAACTAACCTCCTGGGCATATGGAACGGCTGGGGGTTCATCCTAGGCACAGGACTGAGCAGCCTCGGGGCCCTGGGGTTCAGCATGGAGAAACAGACATGGGTAACTTCCACAGCCAGCTTGTTTCATAGCGTGTTCTCAAAAACATCTCTCAGTTCCGAAGCGCAGCATTTCGTCCCACTAACAAGGAGAGGTGCCGAATATAGCGGCTGCCGTTTGTGACTCTGGACAACCTGCATATTTGGCCCTTGTCATAGAACATTGGCGGAGGGGTGCTGGGGATATTGGTCAAAACACGGGAGTGCAGATTATTGGCTTTGCTCTTCAGCTCAAGGGTACATACCTGGATTCCCTGTCCAGGTGTTGCGCGCGTTGGCTCCCTAGATTGAATACTATTGGTTCGAGACCCCGGCCGCAAACCCACCCGAAGTCACGCGGGAGCGGCTGGACGAGGTGAGCTGCCCACTCTTAGCTTGCGAATGCTGCCTAAAACAAAAGGGTGGAGACCGAAAGTTGGGACTCGTTGCATATCTAGATCCAACACCCGAATTTCGAAGATGGGAAGGCTGGAAGGGGTCGACCCAGAGTTCGGCATTTTGAGCTCATCCTATGGCATGGCTCAAAAGTGGTTTAACCATTCCCCACCCCCCAGGGTCATCCATTCTATACCCCAAATCCGACCAGCATCCATGAGCCGGAGCCTTTGTTTCCCATCGCCATAAACATTCACACAATATACAATGGTCACCATAACTAACCTGATAACTGACATGGAGTCCATTGTCAGACACATCAACTCAATCCCCGCAAAATTCGAACATTCGGCACTTCGTCCCTCCAGCCAGGAAGTCTCCCAACTACGCGAGCTGGCGACCAAGACACTCCAGCATGCGCAGACGCTTCACAGAAAGCTCACTGATTGCGCCACAGAATGGGCGCCAGAGGTCTATGAAAAGGCAGATAAACACATGTCGCAAGCAAGACCAGCAATCCAGGCTATGATACAGGGCCAGATTAAGGGGCCAATCCTAAGGAGAAACCTGGTGGCTATTTTCCAGGGGCGGCAACCGTCGACTGTTGATTCTCCACAGGTTAAGGCAAGGAAGGCGAAAAGGACACAGAAGTGCGAAACGCTTCGGAGCTTAGGACCTGCCACTGTCCTGGCATGGGGGGGTCTCCTTCCCACCTAGCACATGGGAAGAAATGGACCAGCTTGTTTTCAAGGATCTTGTCAAGCAAATGACAGCAGAGGCAGTCACCGACCTGCCTCTGAATGTCCGGGAAACAATCAGCAGTCTTGGGAGGGAAGATCCTCTCTGCAGCATTGAAACATATGGCGATTTCGTCCAAGGTGAGCCGCCCATGCTGATAGGGTGAGAGAAAGACATGCTGAGAAACAGGGGAAATCGCCCCTCACAGGTATCGAGGAACTCGCAAGCAGCCCACCTGACCATCCTCGCCCAAAAAAGCGAAGGCTTGAAGACGATGGTAACGTCGAAGGGCCACCGGCGCCGGATCCGGTGCCGTATACTGGAGAGACAGGCCCAGGGCCAATGCCGTGGGTTGGAGCAGCGCGTGAAGAGTTGCAGATGAACGACGAACAAGATTGTGAGTGGTTTTGGTTCTCCAGGATGCAGAACTTAGTTTGCTGATCAGCTATTGTGGAAAGTCTCCCTAACCCAGGTGCGTTTTGATGTGCCAGATGAAAAGGTGGTGGATCTGTTGGGACTCCGCTCTCTGAGGCTCGACGATGGGCTGCTCCCAGTTACTTTGACCATCCCTTTTGTCGGTTCTCCGGCGTTTGTTTTCTTCAACGTGCCACGTGGGACCGCGTTTGCATATGCGCACGAAATTGGGTGGACACCATCGTGGTTTAGTTCAATCTTTTAGTAATGAACTTCACTTCAACAACCATGGCTTCAAAACGACAGCCAGCAGGTACCATGCCTGCGTAGGCACCCTTGCATCTCACCTTCTCCCACACCATGGATTTCTTCCCCTTCTTGTTCTTATCCAGCGTATCGGGATCGTCCTGTCCATCCTGCTTGTCCTTGTCGTTGTCGTCCTCTTTCTCAAGCACTCCTATGCATCCGAAAGCCTGGGTTCCCTTTCGGTGCCTAAAGACGATGATGCAGTCTGTTGGATGGGCCTCAAAAAGCTGGACGTACGGAAGTAGACAGGTGTGAATTCAGAGATGTCGCATTTCGAGGCCGAGAAGCTATCGCCAAACTTTCATGGCAGCGAATATGTCAGCGCTGGCAGAAATCGGGCTGCAAGAGCCAGAGGAAGGACGAAGGGGAATGAGCCCAAACCTCGTTCGTTATGCACTCCAACAATTTTTCGTTGTCGTCTACTGTACTCTCAGGAAGAGACACAGAACGCACCGTATTCATGCCTTTTGCTGAATGGGAAAGTGATGAGCGTGCTTATCCGTAGTTGATATGTGGAGTAATGGAAACGTGAAAGGTTGAAAGTGGTGATAGTTTAGTACCCCACTACGCCATTTGCGGAGTGGGGCAATGGACAAGGGGCCCTCCCTCGGCATGACGTCCACTGCCCCCACCTACCTGCCACCTTACCTACCATACGCAAGATGTCGACCTAACTACGTCTCCCAACCTTTAACCTGCAGTAGCCACGGAACCCAAGGGACTTTAGGATGCAATGCGGCAGCGGTAGGTTGTTACCATGTTTCACGTGGGGCGGGAATGCGCTGTGGACTAACAATGTTCCGGCCTCAACGTCTGCCCCCGCCGGGCCGTGCGATGGCGGGGACATGATGGCCCCAACACTGCCACCCGGTCACCAGGTTGTTTTCCTGCCCACCTTTTGGAGGTTTGGTTCTAGGTTTGTTCTTTCGCTGACCCAGAATTGCTTGGTCAGCTCTGCGGGACATTTGGGTCTCCCTTCTTGAGACTTGGGGCTCTTATCTCAGCTCTCGAGGCGTATCGTTTCGTCCCGTAGAGCCTTCCGTGTCCCTGCCGACTCTCTGTCTTGCCACCATTCCTTTCCATGACGAGTTCAGTACTATAGAGCAGAGCCTTTCGGCGCTGTTCAACCAAGACAACCTAGTCAAATTCTAGATCTCGCTGTTCAGGCCGACCGGCGTAGCCGTCTTTAGATACACCATGCCGCTTGTGTGTCTTCTAGTCTTGATTTCGCGGACGGTTCCTCCTGGCCCTTATCCCGGAATTCTCCCTGTCGGATTTCATAGCCTGAAGTTGACTGGGGTGATAACCGTCGAGAATGCTCTGATCGCAGCCGCGGATCAGGCCGCTTGAGGAATTGGAAGGTAACTAACATTTTCCTACCAAGACGATCAGCTGGGCGGGTCTATTTTATGTACATTTGGTTGCTTGTGACCTTTTCTCGAGGGATGGAATGGTGATTAAAGCTGTGTTGCTCGATCCTAGCTCTAGGAGACAAGCCCTTCGATAACACTGCCAGGAACAGCTTTCCATCAACCACAACACCCCTCTGGGAGTATGGAACGTGGTACAGCAGCAAAAAAAAAATTACAAGAAAGCGGCTCCGCGGTTCGACAAGCCCTGGAAGTTAAACACCCGGAAGCGAAGACGGGACTCCGAGAACAGTACGGTGGGTGGACTCGGAACCGGGGTATGAGATATATAACTCGGGAAACCACCGAGCTTGCCGCCTCACTGGAGCTTCCCAACAAGCTTTTCTTTCTCTTGCGTGGAGACTCTGAGAGATTGACTGACTTACAGAATTCCCAGCTCAGGACCGCATGGTTAATTATGTGTAAATCTGTTATTGCGCAACAATATCAGGTGCAATACCTGAAATGCATCGCCGAGAATGCTGGCCTCGTTCGATGCTGCGGTACCAAACTTTGCCATGACCTCAGATATTAGGGTGGAGGTAAGCCCCCAACTCACAAGATACTGGTTAGTCTAGTCCTCCCATAGGACTTGGAGTTTGAATGGATATTTGTCACAGAAGAGAGCTTAAAGGGGCCTGGTAATAATACTTCATCAGTGGCTTGATGTTAGGTTTCGTAGTCATTCATGTCTGTATTTCGGCATCAGCTACCCATTACTCAACGCTGCAACGAGGCGGGCTCCCCCCAATTCACCGACCCGGCCGCTTGGGCCTGCTGAACGCCTGGCGGGTCTCAACCTTCGGGTGCAATTCTCCAAGCACCGAACCCTCGGTTATCTCGCTGGGCTCCTCGACCTCAAACTTCTTCTCGATCTTCAGGCCGACATCCGTCTCGGCAACGGTGAGGACCGCCCGCTTCATCAGCGGATACATCATCCTGAACTTGATGGCCTTAGTCCCCGGCGCCGGCGGGCACGTGTAGAAGAACAGCACAGGGCTGCTCTCGCTCCCGCCGTGCGAGTGAGCGAATCTATAAAAGGTAAACCGCGGCTCCGTCGCCGAAATGACACGCGCCAGCTCCGATATTGATGACGGGTTCGAGTCCTCGGGAACAAGCTCGACGACCTCGGAGTCGGGATTGATTTTCTGCCCAGCCGGAAACAGTCAGTACAGCACGCCTTATCCCTTGTCCCGAACTCCCTCAGCCAACAGCCAACAGCCCAAACTCACCAGCATGACCAGCGACCGCCCCGCCCCGCCGGCAAGCTCCTCCAGCGCCGCCAGCGCCCCCTCGGCCACGGGCATGGCCAGGCTCTTGCTGAGGTGTATCTCGCGGACGCCCGTGCCGGCGCCGGCCTCCTGCTCGGCGCGCTTGACCTCGCCGAGGCTGCGCTCCTCCTCGGTGAGCGGGGCGTCGACGGCGGCGTGCGCGTCGTGGCGCGCGAACCCGGCGGCCGTCAGGTCGTCGGGCGTGGTGGCAAAGATGGTCTCGCGGAAGTGCTCGCCGCCGAGCTCGCGCACGAGCGTCAGCCGCGTGCTGGCGAACAGCATCTTCTGCCGCACCTTGGCCGCGTCGGGCACGTACGTCACGGCCGCCAGGCGCGGCGCCGAGGCGTGCCGCCGCACGATGATGTACAGCGGTTCCTCGCGGGTCAGGCGCGGGGTCAGCAGGGCGGCGACGTTGTCGGCGAAGGAGGCCGTCGGGGAGGTCGGGGTGAGGAGGCAGATCGGCTCGAGAGACTCGGACGAGATGGTCGCGAGGAGGCCGAAGTGCTTGTCGCTGGTGAGGAGGGTGTTGAATTGGGAGACCAGCTCCTGGGATGCTGGGTGGTGGGGTGGGGGTTAGCAGCTAGAGCTGGGAGATATTCGGCAGGCGGTAGTGCTCGGTGCTTGTTCTGCTTACCAGATATGCCTGACTGCATCTTGTCTGCGTGTGCCTTGTACAGTCGCTTGTAAAATCGGGTTTGTCTGTCTTGTTGACCTGGCCAGACGGGGCGTTTTAGGTTGTTGACTCCCGCGGGATATTGGGCCAGTCGGCGGGGCTGTCGAGCTCCCGCGCACGAGCCACAATTGAGGGGCGCACCAGTATTGTACAGTGCAAGTACAGTACCAGTATAGTAAAACTTACTGTGTATTAGACTACCTGGGCAGCTAACTTCCCGATAGTAAGGGCGCTAGGAACGGACCGTGAGTGCCAGAAAACATAACATAGCCGACGAATGCGATCATGAATTCTTGGGGTCCTCTGATGATCCTCTCCCTTGGTGAGGCTCAGTGGCTTCAGCCTGCTGACAAAGTTCGAGATGGGGGCGGCATGCGTGGTATATCAAGCCTTCTCATCTTAGAGGGCATCATGGAGAACCTTCGTGATGCTAAGGGCCTTGATAGCGTCCCGCGACCATGCGGACACTTACCATACAGACAGCTAGACCAAGAAGGCAGTTGGGCTACTTGCGCATGTTGTGGCGATACGAGAGACAGTGCTTCCTTATGGTCAAGCTTCCTGCTTCAAAGGTTAAAGATTATATATAGCCACAGACAAGTGGAATGAATGTCAGGCTGGGGGTCTTCTATTAACAAACAAGGACAGCCAGAAGTCACGCCGATTTTTGCGCCCTTCTCAACTCCGCGCTGTTGCCCGATTCCAATAGCCCCTCCTGATCCCACTGAATTGCCAGATGCGCAGTTTCTCCGAGGCCCCCCCCACCCCCGGTAAAAGGCGGACTATGGCGGCAGCTCCACCCTGTCTGGATTCGGGCCCGTGCCTAACGGGTTCCCCGCCGGTGCTTCGCTTATCCCGCCGCTCTCGGATGACGACGGATATTTCGGATATCCAGCAAAGGCTCCCGGAATCTGGTCTGGACCGGGAACTTCGGATGGTGACTGGCCATATGACGAGATGGGATGGTAGCCTGACGTTGTGTATGCCGACGACGGATAGGCGGAGATGGGCGGGGGTTGCTGGCCCGCGAAGTCGCCTTTGTTGGCGTTGGCCTTGTTTTTCCGACCACGCAAAACTAGGAGTACGGCGCCCAAGACGGCGATGGAGATCACTGCCAGACCACCCACAACACCCCCCACGATGGCTCCCACAGGTGTACCACTCCCGCTCGACTTGTTGCTTTCAGCAGGCGCATTCGATGACCCGGAAGCGGATGAACCGTTTGAACCTGACTCATTTGAGCTTGGCGAACCGCTTGCGCCTGAGGAACCGCTTGTACTTGAGGAACCATTGGAACTCGACGAACCTTTTGAACTTGACGCATCACTCGAACTCGAACTTGGACCCGTGCTTGTTGCGGGCGGATCGGAGGCCGTGGTGATAGCGAGTGGCTGCGGCTCCGAGTCGAGGATTTGCTGGCCCGCAAAGTTCTCGCTGTCGCAGACAAACAAGCTGAAGACCCTATTTGGCGTCGCCGTCGTTGCCCACAGGTAGGTTACGCAATAGGACTTATCCACCTTACGGGTACTGGCCCATGTCAGTTCCACGAGGCTCCAGCGCAACCGGCTTCACTCCAACCAGGGGTTCTTCCTCGACTTACCAACATAGCGTCCCCGGCGTGGAGGCTGAGCAGGCCGGCTCGGTGGCATCGAGACACACTGACGAGAAGGGCAGGGTCAAACAATTGTCGCCTCTACAACATCCGCGGTAGTCTCCTATATTGGTACATGTCAATCCCTCGTCGCAGGGAAACGCCTTGTCTGCTTCGTGTTAGCAACGGGGCCTCCTCCCCACATGGACAGCGTCGGCATACTATTTCGCGTCAGGAAGCCGCATATATTGGTGGCGATGGAGGTGTCCTGGCGCCGGAGAAGTTCGTCCGCGTCCACCCTTGGGGAGTCGGTCGGCCGGGGAGAGAATTGGAGATGGGGACGGTCATCCGAGTCCAGACCCAACGTCTGCAGGGCCGGCCTCCATTCTGGCAGCGCCTGTTGATGGGCAGCTGCTCGGCTGACGATGGTTGTTATGAGGACCAAGAACGCGTGGTTCTTGCTGGTCATTATGGCTACTTTAAGGAGAAGCGTAGACGAGATGTGCCCCAACAACGGATGTTATGGCTGGTAGAGGTGGCGCAGGGTGACAAAAGGAACAACGGAGAGCGGAAGTCTGACATTTCTGCTGCTCGTCCCTAGCCGCACACACCCGCTCTGGGGATCGTTCGCAAATTCAAGCATCTATCCTTGGTCGACTGCGCCGCAGGTCCCGAAAGCGAGGATAGCAAGGGGTCGTTGGCTGCGAACTTGTGATTGGCGCTTGTCAATGCTTCCAAACGCGAAGGATTTCGCCCAGCCCGCGGTACATGGGGCGGCCGATGCTTGACCCGCAGAACGATGAGTCCCGTTTGTTGCCTGCTTTTCAGGCAGGAGAACTTGGTCCAGGATATCATGAGAGACGCAGGGGCCGAGGAGTTTGATGGTGGGCTCTGCAATCATCAATCCTCATCCGCAATCCGTCCTCTGCCCCTTAACCATTGCTCCGCGGGACACGTGAGGTGGTTTATTGAGAATATGTCGTAAGTGGGTAATCCAAATGAATGACCGCCTTGGCGAACTCCATCTAATCATTTCCAACCCTGCACTGGTGTGGACAACAGGGCCTAGGAGTTCCGGCGATGAGACCTTGTGGTAGACCCAACTTTGAGCGTGGGCACAGGAGGAAGAGCCGTTTGAGCTTTGGTCATGGAAATTTAAAGGACGACTGCATTTGCGGTGGAGTTGCGCCATACCCAGGGGTGCATGCCCTCTGCATTGCTTGGGCGGTACTCCGTATGTGAGACTTTGGCCCCCAATCATGAAGCCAGGCAGCTGTCTCTTCACTCTTGGCACTCCCCACTCTTCACGCCTTGGCCCCCCCGTCCCGCTCCATCCCACCCAGAGGCCATGCAGCCTACCTCGCGATCCAATATCCTCCGCTGCCATGTGCCTCATCACGTAGCGCTGCCCCAGCGGTGCGAATGCCAGCCCAGTGTGCCGGTATCCTATCCACCTGCCGCTGGACCTTTTCCCTCGCATCGACATATTTGTCCGAGAAGGTCCGCGCAGTCTTAGCTGTCTTGATCCTGTCCAGCGTCATCTGCGGCCCCCAGTTCTCACGACTAAGGCTCGCCATCGTGAGCCACACGTCCTGGGACACAGCGTCCAGCGCTTCGTCCAATGGAGTGTGTGGCGGTTTGTTGGGCCGCAGATACCCCATCACGATGACCTGCATCTTCGCGTCGTAGAACTGTTCCTCGAAATCGTAAATCATGTGTACAGTGACTGTAGTCCTGGCCAGCACCGTCGCGGACGCATACGGGGATGGTCCGGCAGAGATCATCGCCTCGTGCCAGTCATGAGAGATACCCTCAAGCCCGGGCCTGGGAAGTATGCATGCCCACCCAAAGTACACGCCCTTCAGGCGGAGCTTGATATCGTCAGGCACATCGTCAAGATTCGCCGTGGGGACACCCAACTGCCCCCTCCCGTTCCCCGTCCCGCGAACAACTCTCCCCTGGAACTTCAAAGGAAATGGCTTCACCGGGCCCTCATCAGGCCCCACGACATCCAACTCCTCATCCGCGGCGCCCTCCCCCACGGGGGCATACCTCCCCTCCATCGCCCCGACCCTCTCCCCCAACCCAGACGAGTCATACGCCACGCGCGCCGCGTCCAGCCCAGGCCGATACCTCTGCACCCCTCCGGCCGCCGCCACCGCCCGCGCCGTCCCCGCCACGGGCGCGACGGCCCTGCCGACGAACCCGTTCGCCACCGCCGACGCGACCTTGACGCCCACCTCGAGCGGCAGCGTCGCGAGGCTCGCGCCCCGCAGGACGCTCGCGTCCGCCGACGTGCTGGCCACGCGGAACACGGGGCTCGAGCACAGCGGCTGCTTCGCTCCGGGGCCAGCACAAACCACTACCCGGAAGTACCCGTCCCCCGCCGCGGCGGGGATGCGGATCACGTGCGTCTCCCGCGGCGCGTGCGTCGCCGCGGTGCCGCCGGAGCGCGCGAGTCGGGCGGCGACGCGGGCGATGTCGCGGGTCCAGGAGCGCTCGAGGGTGGGGTCTACGTCCTGGGGGTTGGCGCGGCGGGTGGGGGTTACGTCAGACCAGGAGGAGGAGGAGCCGACGAGGGCCTTGAGGCGGGCGCCGGTATCGCCGGATAGGCCACGGCGCTGGAGGCGGAGGGTGCGGGTCGCGGGGAGGGGGCGGGAGGGGGAGGTGAAGATTGTGAGGGTGATGCTTGTGGCGGGCCCGCGGTAGAGGACTAGCGGTGGGGTGTGGAGGGCTACGGTGTGGTGCTTCGTTGTGGTGGTTGGGAGGGGCTTGAGGCGGGCGGCGAGGTCGCGGGCTGTGGAGAGGGCTGTTTGCGTGAAGGATGGGGTGGTGGGTAGGCTTGGCCTGGGGGCGAGGGCTGATGAGTAGGGGGGCGGGGGGTCCGGGTACCCTGTGGTTGTTGCTGTTGATGAATGGGTCTCTATTGCGCCGATTGTGGCCGCACTTCCGACCCTTCGAAGCCCGGGAGGGTAATAGCTGGGGGGTGACAGTGTGGCGGCGCTGCCGTTGACGATGTGTGGACTTCGACTTCTTGGTGGAAGCGGCGGTGGGTTTTCCTCGTCTCCCGGGAGTGCGAGCCTATCTCTAGAGCTTGGCCCGGCGGACCGAGCCCTACGCTCTGGAAATATCCGGGGCCCGGGGGGCAGATCTCCATCGTTGAATTGCTCCGACGATGCCGAGTCCGGGATCGCCTTCCGCTTGACACGAAAACCACTCGGCGGATCCATCCAAACAGCGCCGCCAAGTACTGCTCCTAACTGAACGGGAGATTGACTTGGGCCTTCAATCTTGGTTTATGTCGGGGATACTGTTCCGGCGCGAATGTTGCCCGTTTTATTTACTCGATTGCCGACGTCGGGAATGTCGGTGAAGCGGCGCGTGGCAATTCGGGATTTGGCTGCATAATGACTGGGACCTAATTGCATCCCCCAACCACACCCCCCACATGCTGCGAATTAGTTATTGAATAGACATTCCATGCATGCGAAAATATGATGAGGCAAGACCACTTTTGCTCATGAATTCTCGATCGTCGAATTGTTTTGAGCCGAAACTACGCAACACAGTACCAACCTGACCCCACAAAATAGGGACTAGAGGATCAGATATTGGCAACCCACCAAATCGCTGATTGCCTAGGAAGGTATGAACCCAAGTGACGTTCCGCTCTAGCATCACAGTAGGTACCTAGTCCTAATTCCAATATGGTACTTGGAGGAGGTGCTTATATGTGGCCCTTAGCTGGAGGCAATTTAATGTGATGACATGGCCGCCCTTATTTAGAGCAGACAGGCTGCTTCCACAGAGCTTGTATATATTCATATGCGCCCCTCCCAAGAGGATATGGAGTGGGGTATTATTGGGGCATCTGAAGGGGATGCAGTTGATTGTACCCTATAGCCACGTGGATGTTGGCACCTGGCTGGTACCAGCTGACGAAAGTTGGCCTGAACACGGGACCGTAGGGAAATCGGGAACCACAACTCTGGCTAAGAATGCCATCTTGTCTCAAAGTAGGTTCAAAAAGATGCCCCTTGGGCAGATATTGGGCAGAACAGATAACCGATTATTGCGTTGGCTAGCGGGCGGAGCGGAGGGTTGGAGACCACAACAATGAGAAGAGACAGACAGACCGCTTCCTTTCTGGCGCTTTCCTATCATTCCCTTCGATTGCCAAAATCATACAAACGGAGAATAAGCGCAACGATCGATGTTGGGTCATGCTTCATCCGAAAGGTGAAACACGTGCTAAATACCCACACACAGGTACCTAGAGAGCGATTGTACGGATCCGTAGACCCACATGGTTATCTTCAGGCAAGGTACGGATCCGTACAGTACCTTGGGTATAGCAGTTTGGCCGCTATTTTGGTGGGCAGCAGATAGATGACGCTCCATGCATCGAATTTGGCTGCTGGGAGTACGAAAGGTCTCTGCGGTAGCTCGTCAATAAATTCCTGATCCTTGAGAAGCGCAAAGCCGTGTTGCCAAGAACGCCGTTCTTATCTTCACCACATGCACGGTTGCCCGTGGTAGCCGCCCTAGCCTAAAGAAGACTAGCGTCATGCCTGGTGAAAGGAGACCTTGACGACCATCATCCCGCCATAAAAACACTCCGAATCCAGATTAATCAACTTCCCGGAGAGGGGGGAGAAGCTTCCCCTTCGACATCGGCCCCGACACCGACCGCGACAACATCGACAAACGGCCCCTGCGACGGTGCCAACACATGGACACAGGTAAGACCGGTAAGTGAAACACTGCCGCCGCCAACGACGACGCCGCCGACGAGAGACGACGTTATTCGCACGAGCAGCAAACAATAACAACATCGCCATCAACAATCGACCGTTTGATTGTTGCACGACACCACCAGCCATTTTTCTCCACGACTCTAGGGCCGCGACAGCGCAGGCGACCATCCCATTAATCGCGGCTGCGCATTTCGGGAACCATCCATGCTTCTCTGCCCGTCGCCGCAACCCAACCCCGATACGAGACACGTTGACTCGAGTCTGATCCACGGAAGTCACGGTGTAGCCAAACGCCAAACCGACCAGTTCCTCAAATAACCCGCACCCTTTCCCTGCCACTACGGCACTCACTGCTCGACGCATTGTTTCTTTGATTATTTCACCTCTCTCTGCCTGCGGCGCTGTCACATGCGACTCCGAAATCATATAGCGACATCCCGCAGAAGAGACAGCACACATGGCGGAACCACCATCGTCGCCCCCGAGCGAAAATGCCAGCGCCGAGGATGCGCTCGCCTGGTACAAATCGCAGTACGAGCAACTAGAACACGAACTATCCGAATTCCAGTCCTCGAGTAAGGAGTTGGAAGCGGAGCTCGAGAAGGACTTGGATGCGGCAGATAAGCGGGAGCGGGACCTACGAGGCAAGGCTGAGGAGTTGAACTATGAAGTCGAGGAGTGGAAGGTATGCTTTTCTCCCTCTCTCCGAACCCGGAACGCAACCCCTTGGTCGATGAGGCGGTCAATGAGGCGGTAAGACTGACACACGGACCACTTTCGCAGAGGAAATGCCGAGAGTCCAAGGCCGAGGCAAACGCCGCGCAAAACAAGCTAGAAAAGGAGATCACGACACTTCGCGATTCAAACCGCACCTTGCAGCTGAGGCTGCGCGATATCGAGGTGGCCAACGATGACTTTGAGCGCCAGGCGCGGAACACGACGTCGTCTCTCGAGGATCTCGAGTCCAAATACAATGTCGCCATCGAAAGAGCGGTGATGATGGAAGAGGAGATCAAGCAGGGCGAACAGGAGCGCGAAACGCTGCGAGTAGAGGCGCAACGCTTACGGGAGGAGCTGTCGGATCTCAAGATCGAAGCCGAGATCCTTCAAGACAAGATCAAGAAACAGGAATCGCGCCATCTCTCGGCCATCTCGACAGATATCTCGGTACTAGAGTCCTCCATGTTCGATCAGTCGCCGAACTCAACCGCAAGCTCGCCGCTTATTACGACGCCGCCGGCGGATTCAAAGTCTGTCTCCACAGCAGAGACGGTCTCCGAAGTCCAAGATCCTCCCTCGCCTCCCATGTCTGACGCCTCTGCGCCACTATCCAAGCCAAAGGCCGCAAGGACCCCTGCGCTGATGGCCAAGAAATCCCGTCTGCCCTCCCTTGACAACAGCATTACGCCGAAACCGAAGCACTTCAGCACGTCCACGTCCGCATCCACTTCCCGCGCCCCCGCCCCTCGCATCACAACAACCAGTGGCGCTTTCCGCACGCCCGGCCCTCGACCTTTGCCAGCAAGGGCCGCGCGCGCTACGAGCCACAAGATCCCTGCCTCGAATTCTCTCACCCACATCCGCTCTCTCACCGCCCAGATGCAGCGACTCGAAGCGCGTGTCCAGTCCGTCCGCTCCAAACTCCCCGCCCCAGTCGCGACGCCTCCACGAGCCTCACCGCGAAACTCTGCCCTCGGTACCAGCAGCATTCCGTCGACGGTTACGATCCGCAGTCGAAAGCGCACGCTCGGGGGCAGTACCGCCGCGTCAAGCGTGGCCGGCGGCGACGACACCACGCCCACAAACTTCCGACACGGCGAGACGGCAGCGGCGTCGGCGGCGCCCGACTTCCGCAGCAGCACGAGTTCGATGGCGAGCTCGAAGGCAGGCGGCGGCAAGTCGCACGTGCCGCGGCTCAGCACGTCGGGGGTGTCGCGACTGTCGTTCGGCCCGCTGCCGAACCGCAACCCGGTCGACCCGGACGGCTCGCGGCCGAGCAGCCGGGCCAGCATGTCGAGCAGCGCGCGCCCCGTCAGCCGGGCCGACTCGCAGCACGACTCGCGCTGCATGCCGCCGCCGCGACCGGTGAGCCGGACCAGCCTCGGGCGGGCCAGGACGCCGCTCGGGGGGCGGCCTAGGAGCAGTCTCGGCGGCCACGGCGGCGGTGGCGGCGCGGGGAGCCTCCATAGCGGCCACGGCCACAGCCAGAGCGTCAGCTACTCGACGGCGGAGCTGGACGAGCTGATGCTCGGGGACGGGGACACGCGGACCCCGAGCCGGAGGGGAACGTACTCGCGCTTCGAGACCGAGGCTGCCGGCACCACCGGGATACCCCTGCCTGGATCGCGCAGGCAGAGCGGTGGGGGGTCGTCGGTCGCCATTGGGAGGAGGTCGTCGAGCTCGGGCCTGAGGGATCCGGGCGGGACGGGCCCGAGGGGGCAGAAGTTGGCGGATGTCGGGGAGACGTAGTAATTTTGGGACACTTGCCCTTTCGAGAGCTGTTGTGTTGTGGTCGTGGTGGTGGGACACTTTGCTTTTTTTGCGGACGGAATTACACGGCGACGAAATCGATACCTTATGCGCTTTTTTCCTGCTTTGTTGATATTGGGCTATTGGAGGAGGGCTTGACGGGCTGCCTCCTCTCACTGACGATACGCTTCTGTTTTTCCTTTGTCCTTTCTTTCCCTCCCTCTTTTTGGGTTTTGTGGCATGTCTACGAGGAAGCATGATGGAGGGGGGCATGGGATGTAATCCACTTTTGGTATTTTTTTTTCGCCCGCTTTGCTAGGACGATAGAAGATCGATCGAATACCAGGAGTTATGTTTCCCTTAATTGGCCTTGGCTTGGTGTTCATGTTGCTTTTTGGAGAGTTGCCCGGTGCTGGGCATGACGATTCCAAGTGGCTTGCTACGATCTCATACCTAGTTAAGATGTTATGGGTGTGAAAGCAACAGTCGGGAAGGGAAGGTAGAGGAGCACCTCGGCGGTGAATCCCCATCAGTCTTGTAACATGAAGTCGGAGGACACAGAAGCTCGACATAATCAGGATCGATGTATAGTCTCACAGCTTTGTGGGTAGGCCTCATATATCCCCCCTGGATGCCCTTGATAAGAAAGACCATGAGCCTGAGATCGACACGGCTCTTTCTATTCCCGCCGCAGTTTTGTCGAGGTTCGACGCTGCATCCATCCGTAGACACGGGTCGACGAGAGTATGCCGTATAATTACTGGACTCTCTCGATCGAACAGGTTTCGATCGGCAGTGTGCACAAGTACGAGGAAGGAATAGTGAACTGGGATTGGTGGTAGTCAATGGTCATGAGGCCCTGCTAGTCCCTAGAAAGACGGCGACGCTTGGTTGTAAACTCGTATTGCGGACCAAAATGCCACCATGCTTACGCTTGGCTCCTTTATTCTAATTATATATTTTTGACAACGCAGGGTCTTTCTAGATGCTGGAAATGAGTATCCTCCCATATTTAATGTTTATTTTCTTGGTTGCGTGTCACTCTCAACGCGTTTGCTGAACCTACCTAATTACTTTTTAATATCGTGCGTGCCTACTTGGTTAAAATGAGAATGAGGAAGGCTAGTAGTAGTCTCTGGTTAATTCCGCTGCTGCAATTCTCTCCTTCCGCTGCAGAGTACGTTTGGCCCTCCGAACAGGACTGGATCGAGGATTTGCTTACTCTGCAGTCGGGATACATACGGAATGGCTTCATCGATGGTGACTATCATGCATACCCAGGTTAGAAGGACATGACTGACCACTTCACAGCCGTAAACCCTTGCTCCTTCGCCGCCCAGAACCCAGGCCGGCAGAACGCGGCTGAATGGCTCCGCACAGCTTTCCACGACATGTCGACTCATGACGCAGGGGCCGGCACCGGTGGGCTGGATGCCTCCATCATGTTCGAGACGGAGCGGCCAGAGAATGTCGGTGTGGCATTCAACGCCACGCTGGGATTCATGGTCAATTTCCACACTGTCAAGTCCTCCGCCGCCGATCTGCTGGCGCTGGGCGTCTACTCGGTGCTGGGCACCTGCGGGGGACCTCAGATTCCCTTCCGCGCCGGACGAGTTGATGCTAAAGACGCCGGGCCCGAGGGTGTGCCTCTGCCCGAGCAGAATATCGCCACGCATGTGGACAAGTTCGCCATGGCCGGGTTCAACACGAGCGACATGATAGCTATGGTGGCCTGCGGACACACCTTAGGCGGCGTTCATGGCAAAAACTTCCCCGACATTACGGGGAACTCGTCGGACGAGAACTTTGTCTTCTTTGAGAACAGGACACATTCTTTCGCCGAGTTTGACAACGCTGTTGTAACGGAATACTTTGACGGCACAACCACAAACCTGCTCGTTGTTGGGGCAAACGACACGACAAACTCGGACAAGCGCGTCTTCGCCGCCGACGGCAATGCCACCATCGAAGCCCTCTCTGACCCGGAGGAGTTCAAGCATCGATGCCAGGACACCCTAGCACGCATGGTCGACACGGTGCCTGCAGCAGTCAAGCTGACGGAGCCCATCACGCCGTTCGACATCAAACCCTACATCAACGCGCTCGAGCTGAATGCCGAGGGCGACCTGGCCTTCGTGGGGCGCATCCGCGTTCGCACGTCTGACAGCACGGGAAGGGACCCGGATGATATCGGCGTTCATCTGACGTACAGCGACCGCGCGGGGGCGGACGTGTGCACCACAATCCCAACGACACGCCCGACGTTGCAGCTTGGCATGTCGACCGGGCTCTTTGGCGAGCGCTTCACCTGGTATGAGTTCAACACGACTCTTGACGCCGCGGCGGGAGTCAGCAGGTTCAACGTGCACCTCACGACTCTGTCAACGAACATGACCGAGGTTTACGATAATGGCGGGGCTGGGTTCCCGCTGACGGATGCGCTGCTGTATCAGTTATCGCAGTCGTGCCTTAACACGGCTGTTGTGGATGGGAAGATGGACTTGACTGTCACGGCCGCGGTACGCGGGGATCAACAGGCTGATGATTTGGAGCTGCGCCTGGTGCGGAGGGTTCCACGGCAGGGTGTTATTGTGCCGGCTATGGAGGTTCAGGAGGTTGAATTTCGGGACAGTGGGGTGACGAAGGGCGAGTACAGGATATTTCGGTCGCGTTATCGGATTGATGGGCAGAACTGGGCTACGACATTCGATATTGCTCTTGGTGATGGGGAGGACAGCAAGATGGTTGAGTTTCAGAAAACCAGCCTGTTGTTTGGAAAGGCGTGCGAGGAGTTGTAGATGTCATTGCCTTTGCTGTTGTGCTTAATGGATTGTGGCCATGCTCTGTGGTATATATCTGGGTAGAATATATGTCTGTGGCATCATGATAGAAAAAGCCTGCATCAATAGACCTTGACCTCTTCATCCCTTGTTGACATTTTATTTGACATTTTAAACCTGGAAAACACCATTTTCTAAGTCTTTTAATCCGCCAAGCAGGGGTTGGGGTGTAAATCTAGTTGGATGTTCTCTCTCCGTCTTTTTCTCTTCATATAAGCCATTACTCCTTACCCCTTTTCAACATTGTGTAACAGCAATGGTGCCTAGAACAATTATCCCCCTTTTCCCTATTTTCATATACAAGTGAGTCAGGTGAATGCAATGCCACTTTCAAAACCAGTTCTTCATCAAGCATTCATACCGCCAAAAACGCCACAGCGTCCCAAGTCGCTGCTGGTGTATCAAATAGTTCGACGGCGAAGAATGACCAGGCTGGAGAGACGGATGAAATCATTGCCTCGAAGGTGGCGGCGTTCACCAGCTGTTTTAAGGTCGCGACTGTCTTCACGAGGAGACAGGAGACTGCAGGTGCCCAGGGGGCGGCGATCTCAGGGTAGCAAGCAGTGGCCGCGAGCCACTTTGCAATGAATCAGGAGATTGCGGCTGCCTAGGTAGAGACTATGCTACGGGGCCAGCCAAAAGATTTCGACTTAGGCGGCAGAACGCGACCAACCAGTCTGTTGTGCAGTCATTTTCCATGTCCTCGCCTCTCTCGTACTCTCTGCAAGACGACAATCCCAAACGGTCGGTACTCCTCCAAATGCCGCGGGTCTCGCGCCAATAGTGGTCGGGCGAAGTGGTATTGCTGCACTTTAAACTAACGCCAGCCTAGATCCAAAAGTATGATATCAGAACCAGAAATCAAGCATATAAAACGACGTAAGATGACTGATGTCTGCATGATCTTCTTAAAAGTTTTCAAATACCTGCCGATCTGTCTCTGCGACCACTGGGACCATGGCAGCTGTTTATTCAGAGAAATGCGGTGTTTTCACCTACGCGCCTCGTTATGACAGCGTCTCTGTGAGACATCATTGAAGATATTGTCAATGATCTACGGATTATTTTATCCGAGAACATAAATGGACCTTGTGTGGCACTCATCCTGGCAAACGATAAAATGTTGAACGTGGCTTCCCAAGGAACATGCTATCAGATGTGGGCCACAAAGTTGCAAGATTCTGAGTTAAGCAACACTAGATGTCAACACGAAGTACAGAAATCCCATATTATGAGAGATATGTGTGAATGGGATCCTGAAAGCACTTGCAACGACTGATGGAGACAATAGGGGAACATTCCTGCCATAAGCTAACCCACGTGCAAACATGCGTCTAGAACCATCGTGGATTTTTAAAAATCGCACTTATCTTTAGCAGTAATGATTTGCTTTCCACCTAGTCCCTCAAGCGACCTTAGCCTTGAACTTGCAGGCTCAACCAATCCTAGATCTCTAGAAGCGCTCGTGGTCGTTCACAAGAATCAGATCATCATAAGGAGGTTTGATGAAATGGTGATGATTAGAAATATCCGCATTCCTGCTGTCACAGTAATGAGATAATCATGATGAGATTCCATGAGATGAATGATTTGTGATATTGGCGTTGCTGCTGTCATGACAATACGAAGCTTAGAAAAATTCCTGCCGCCATGATAATGAGATAACCATGATGTTATTTGATGAGACGATTCATTTTGGATATCCACGTTTTCCCGCCGTTCTGATAATGAGATACTCGTAAAGCGATCAGATGATTGACCACAGAAAATCAGGCGTCAATAAATTTCGTCCAAATATGCAAATAGTTGTGACGCCACAAGCATTAGAGAGCGATGACGCATGTTGTACACATATATGGAGTGATAACAAGAGGATGCTCGACGTCTAAAGGGTGGGAAGTGTCTGGAGATGGAGGCATGAGTTGGACTGCATGCGGCATGGGCAATAGTAGCTGAACATATGGGTGATTGGGACTAACGGAAATGGCTTGCTCGCAAAGGTATATAAAGGATGGCTATCTTCATCGTCTCCTCGATAATTCTCGGAATTGGAAGACTCATCAAGTCGAGCAAATCGAACCATCACATTTGTCTTAACAGAACACAACAGCACATACAAAGCACATACATACAACCGCAATGGCTCCCCCTACAGTATACACCGTCCGCTATTACAACTCGTACAACACCGCCGCGGTCATCCTGTACCCCATGGTCACCAGCCAGACGGACCCCAGCTCGCGTATCTGGAACGGCCGCGACGGGCCAGGCCAAGCCTGGCGGCAATATGACGGTGGGTCTTCGCTTTTCCCTCTAGTTTCTCTTCTTACCTCTTCCCGTTTGCTTCTCCTGCATTCCTCAAACTAACGTGATATTCGTAGGCAACGGCCTTGTCGTCGATCTGTACGAGAACTGCGACGGCAAGCTAACCCCTGGGCAATCGTACTACTTCGCGGCGGACGTGGTGGGCGGGCACTCGCCGTGGCTGAGCGACTGCCTGTTCCAGTACGACCCGAACAGCACAAACGTTGCCAATGTGCAGTGGTCCGGCAACTCGCTCGACTGCGGCGCCTCGTTCAACGGTATCACGACCTACCCGACGGTATACGACCCGGATGCCGTTGGCGGGAAGATGAAGCTCAACGCCGGCGAGCGGACGTATGGACAGACGAATGAAGGGGCAGCCGCAGCGGGGGGCAAGCCGCCGTTGAAGCAGGGACAGAAGGCTACAAGTGTAACGGGCTGAGCGTAATCGAAGGCACTCGGTCAGCCCCGGCTGCAAAGGAATAACCAATGCTAGGATCAGAGAGACGTGCAACCCGCTAGGTTGCCTACTACTCCAATCGTTATTATTACCTCAATTCCGCCTGGACCCTCTAGCCTAGAGGGTCTTAGTGCATTGCACATGATCCCATCTGCACCCTCTCTGCCTTGATCGCCTGAAGCCCTTATACTTGCCGGACCTGGTAACATGATGAATGGATTGATGTTATAGTGTAGAAGAACTAGGCATTGTAGTCACTCAGCAGAGGCAGCTCCGGGAGAGTCTCGAATTTGCAAAACTGAGAACAGTCTGCCCAAGGTCCGGGGGGATGCTCGCGATGACTTTGGCAGCCGAGACCAGCGGAGAGTCGTATCGGTGTGGTAACGCTCGCAGAAGCGCGCCATCTCGAGTCCCAGAGTCCCCATTGAAATTTGGTTGAGAAACCTTTGGTGCTCCTTAGGGGCACTTCGTTTGAAAGAAAGACGCATACCGCGACTGGTGTGGGTTGTAGAAAGTTGAACACGGGCTGCAACGTGATGTCCAAGTCACGGCCACCAGCCACGGGTGCGTTACTGTGGGTCTCAGCTGGTAACCTTATTGGTTTAATAATTGACAGTGCTGTGGCTGAGTGCTTCTGGCTGACAGCAGGAAGCCATTGGGCTGTATCAAGCTCTACTTCCTAAAGCAGATTAGTGCGGCGGGTGCGACAACCAGATAAGATTCGGAAGCAAGTGTAGACCCAAATTAACAAGCCGTCCCCCTGAGACCATTCGATTCAGCAAACACTGGACGAGCTGCTCCGGCGGCATTGACATCTAAGCCCATCATACTCGTCGCCTCGTCTTTCTCCTCATTGACCATCTCTCTCGTTCTGCCCAGACTAGAAACAACCCAGTGGCTATGCCGCAGACGCCAGGGGGGGGGGGGGGGGGGGGGGGGGGGGGGGGGGGGGGGGGGGGGGGGGGGGGGGGGGGGGGGGGGGGGGGGGGGGGGGGGGGGGGGGGGGGGGG